GCTCCAGGCAACAGAAGACTGGAGAACAAGAAGGGTGGCAACGAGGGAAAGGAGGTGGCCAGACCATCGAACCAGACCTCTGGTCCATGGGACCTGTTCAGGCCATTTGCTTTCTTCGACGACGGCTTTGCTCCGCCAGTTGACATCCACGACAACGACGACTCGTACGACGTGACCGTCGCCATTCCAGGAGCCCCTAAGGACAAGGTCACCATTGACTACAACACGAAGACGAATGAGCTGATTGTCAAGGGTGAGATTCCAGAGCGCGAGACAACGAAGACCAAGGCCAACAACACGTACACCGAAAGAACCGTTGGTAAGTTCTCACGGGTTTTGAAGTTGCCAGTGAAGGTTGACGGTGACAAGATCCAAGCCAAGTTTGAGAACGGCCTGTTGAACTTGACCGTTCCAAAGAGTGGCGAGGAAGACGAGGGCCTGCGGAGAATTGAGATCTCGAGCAGCGAGTCGTACGACAAGAAGTCAGCATAAGCCGGTCTCTAGCAGGTCGATTCTTTTGGGATGAGTAGCTTGAAGTGGAGTTTCCATCCCATGTTATAAGTTATGGATATGACGAGTTTATAGTTCTCAATGAAACAATTAACAATAAACACATCAATTAGAATAATTGTAGGACCTGCGTTTCTCCTTACGTAAATATTTATTTTTTTGCCTTTGCCTCATCATTTTACGATTGCCCATGTCTACTCGCAAGAAGACCATCCTCAAGGTTATTATTTTGGGCGACTCTGGTGTGGGAAAGACGTCGCTGATGCAGCAGTTCATCAATGGCAAGTTCTCACAGCAGTACAAGGCCACCATCGGCGCAGATTTCCTGCCCAAGGACCTTGTTATCGACGATAAACAAGTGACCATGCAGATTTGGGATACCGCGGGCCAAGAGCGGTTCCAGTCTTTGGGGGTTGCCTTCTACCGAGGATCAGACTGCTGTGTTCTGGTGTACGACGTGACCAACACCAAGTCGTTTGAGAACCTGCAAAGCTGGAGAGACGAGTTTCTTATCCAAGCCAACATCAAGGACCCGGACAACTTCCCGTTCGTGGTGATCGGCAACAAGATCGACGTGGAGGAGAACAAGAGACTTGTTTCGTCCAAGAAAGCGCAGTCGCTGTGTGCCAGCATGGGAAACCTGCCATATTTCGAAACAAGTGCAAAGGAGGCCGTTAACGTGGAGCAGGCGTTCGACGTGGTGGCCCGAAACGCGCTGCAACAGGAAGAAAGTCTAGAGTTCAGCGACGACTACACAGACGCAGTCAACATCCACGTCGACGGAGATAGCTACGGGTCGTGTGGATGTTAGGAGCACACGTCCTGGGCGAAGTTGTACGCCAATTGAGCTGGGCTGCCGTTACAACTTCGATCCCCTCTTATTCCTGCTGGTCGTCCCCCATCGCCATTTGTACTCTTTCAACTCCGACCGTAATCGAACTTATTTACATAAGCAGTAGCTGTAATTTTTTTTTTCTTGTCTTTATGCCTTCGCCATCCGAAAGACCAAAGGGCGTCAACCTTAACATCACTCTGGTTTGTCCGGAGTGCAAGGTGTATCCTCCAGAGATAGTAGAGAGACACAGCGAAGGGGACATCGTGTGTGCTCTTTGCGGCCTGGTGTTGAGTTCGCGAATAATAGACACTCGCTCAGAATGGAGGACGTTTGCCAACGATGACCAGAACGGAGACGATCCGTCGCGTGTGGGAGAAGCCACGAACGGAGCGCTCGACTCAGACCAGCTGTCTACCGTTATCAGTGCCGGAGTGGACGGAAACCGGGCGGCCAAGGAGCTGAACCGGATCCAGAACCGCAGTGTCGTTGATAGAAAGGACTACGCCTTGCAGTCGGCGTACTCCAAGATCTCGCAGCTCTGTGATGGCTACCAACTGCCTCGTGTTGTGCAGGACGGTGCCAAAGAGGTGTACAAGCTGGTGCACGACGACAAGATGTTGAGGGGAAAGAGCCAGGAGGCGATCATGGCCGCATCGATATTCTTTGGGTGTCGTAAGGCGGACGTGCCTAGAACGTACAACGAGATCTGGGCGCTGACAAACGTGCCAAAGAAGGATATCGGGAAGGTGTTCAAGATCATTAAGCAGATTATCCAGAGGAAAGACGCAGAACAGGATGGACTGATCACTCGCCGCAACAACAATATCTCCACCACGCAGACCAATCCGGAGGACCTCGTGGGCCGCTTCTGCTCGCACTTGGGTCTGTCGCCGCAGATCACCACCTCCGCACAGCACATTGCTCGCACGCTCAAGGAGCTGGGTGTGCTGGAGGGACGGTCGCCCACGACGATCGCAGCCACGGTTATCTATTTTTCCACGGCCATTTTCAAGCAGCAGATCCCGCTGTCGCGGATCAGCGAGAAGACCGGTGTTTCTGAGGGAACCATCAAGTCGTCGTACGTCCACATCTCTGCCGCCCGCGACAAGCTGGTCGACCAGTCCTGGATCGACTCGGGCAAGGTCGACATGTCTGCGCTCAGCTAAACCAATCAAATCTAAGGCTCTTTATACGGGCTATATACAACGATATATACACTAATTCTTCTTTCCTCTCTTCTGGTACTCCTCGACCAGTTTCTTCTGCAGCTGTGGCGGGCAAGGCTGGTACTCCTTGAACTCCATCGTGAACTCGCCCTTTCCTTGGGTCAGCGCACGCAGCTGCGAAGCAATACCGAACAGGTTGTTCAGCGAGCACAGACTCGTGATGGTGAACTCCTCTGCCGTGTTCTCGGTGTCCTGGATCACGCCGCCGAGCTTGTTGACCAGGCCAATGACCGCGCCCTGGAACTCGGTCGGCGACGTCATCACCACGTTCATGATCGGCTCCAGCACAACCGGCTGCGCGTTCAGGAACGCCTGTCTGAACGCGTACTGCGTGGCCGTCTTGAAAGACAGCTCCGACGAGTCCACCACGTGTGTCTGACCGTCGTTGATCAGCATGTGCACGCCCAGAACGCGCGAGCCGGTGAGCGGGCCTTTCTCCAGGCTCTCCTCGAATCCCTTGCTGCAGGCCAGGAGATACTTCTCGGGAATTTTTCCACCCACGATTTTAGTCTGGAAGTTATTCTTGAACCGAATATCCTCCTCTGGCGACGCTCCAACGTACTCCGGGTCGCACAGGGACGTCGCCTTGAACTCGCCCATCACCTTGGCGTACTGGCCGGCACCTCCAGACTGTTTCTTGTGCGTGTACTCGAACGGAGTGCTTCCAAGAACAGTCTCTCTGTACGAGACCCTAGGACGGCCGACCGTGCACTCGACGTTGTACTCGCGACGCATTCTCTCGACGTAGATCTCCAGGTGCAGCTCTCCCATTCCGCTGATGATGGTCTCCTTCGAGTCCTTGTCGTAGTGCACCCGGAACGTGGGGTCCTCTTTCTGGAACCGGTTCACAGCCTTGGAGAAGTTCACCGCATCTTTGGTCTTCGGGTGGATCGACAGCGACACGACCGCGTCCGGCACGAACATCGACGACATCGAGTAGTTCACCTGGCCGTCCGTGAACGTGTCTCCGGAGGCGCATTCGATGCCGAACGTGGCGCAGATCTCGCCCGCGCCCACCTCGTCCACGTCCTCCATGTCGTTCGAGTGCATTCTCACGAGTCGGGCAATTTTGACTTTCTTGCCCGTTTTGACGTGCGTGACCATCATGCCCTTCTTCAGACGGCCCTGGTACACACGCAGGTACGTCAGCTGGCCGTACTTGCCCTCCTCCAGCTTGAAGGCGAGCACAACGGCCGGCTGGTTCGACGCGGCAATCAGATTGACGGGGGCCTCGTTGTTGGAGATGTCCAGCGCCGTGTTCAAAACTTCAGACGGGTTAGGCAGGTAGTCCACAACGGCGTCCAGAACAGGCTGCACGCCCCTGTTGGCCAAGGCAGACCCCATCAGCACCGGGGTGAACTTTCTGGCGATGGTAGCACGGCGAATAGCAGCCTTGATCAGGTCTGTGCTTGGCTCTTCTTCGTTCAAAAACACCTCGGCTAGCTCGTCGTCCACGTCGGCCAGCATCTCGATCAGAGTGGCTCTTTTCTCCTCAACCAGGTCAACCAGGTCGGCAGGCACCTCTTTCTCGATTCTCAGCTTTTCGCCCTGCGACCCTTCGAAATAAATAGACTGGCGGTCAATAATGTTCACCACCCCAGAAAGATCCTTTTCCTCTCCTATCGGCACCTGCACAGCAGCAGCAGCGATCTTCAGCTTCTTGTTGATCTGCTCCACGGCTCTCCACGGATTGGCGCCCATTCTATCCATCTTGTTGATGAACGTAATTCTGGGAACATTGTACCTCTTCATCTGTCTATCAACGGTCACCGTCTGAGACTGAACACCCGAAACCGCACAAACAACAAGAACAGCACCGTCCAGCACTCTCAGCGCACGCTCAACCTCAATGGTGAAATCGATGTGGCCAGGAGTGTCAATAAGATTGAAATGGTAGTGCTCGTCGTCTTTGTCCCACGAACAGTAGGTGGCAGCAGACTGGATGGTGATACCCTTTTCTCTCTCCAGGTCCATGTGGTCCATCTTGGCTCCGACTCCATCCTTTCCACGGACATCGTGGATCGCCTTGATCCGACCGGTGTAGAACAACACGCGCTCCGTAAACGTGGTTTTTCCGGAATCGATATGCGCAGAAATACCTATATTTCTCATTTTCGACAGTCTTTCCACGTCGGCCTCGGAGAGCTTGGCAGACAAGCTGTCCAGAACCGCCTTCTCCTCCTCGTAGCCACACACAGCAGCGGACCTGTGGAATGCACGCACAGGCGCCGCGCTCCGCAGAACGCGCGGCGCAGCAGCTAATCTGGCGAGTCTAAACATCAACTGAATATAATTCACTGAAAATTCGAAAAAATGAATAAATTTTAACAGCGAGGTCGTGTATCACTCAAAAAATGGTAGCTCAGCTGAGCAGCCTACTAGCTTACTGGTGGAGCTCACAATACACTTTCTAGCATATGTACATTCACCTATAGAAGGAAGAACAAGAGAGAGCCAAACAAAAGTCCGAACGGACCAGAGGCCGAGACCTGTCCTGCCATGCCCTTGGAGCTGGAAGAAGAGGAGCTAGCAGAGGTAGTTGTGCCGCTGCTGCTTGAGGAGGTGGTGGTGGTAGCAGCCTTGGAAGTGGTGCTCTCAGACAATGTAGCAAAGTGTGCTGAGGAGGCAGACGAGAGCCAGGAGGAAGTGTCCACAGTGATATCGCTGGAATAGTAGTTGTCGTCAGTGGCATTGAAGCAGTTCAGAGCGTACTCCGTGACCTCAAAGACGTTCTTCTCCACAAACTCAATGTCGGCACAGGCGTAGTGAGTCACGTTCGACTCATCTTCCATAGCCATGTACTCCAACTGGATGGTAGCATTATCTCCGCTATTGATGTTAGAAGGAATGTCTGGCAGATAGAAGCACGTGTGTCCAATATCGATCTGGTTAGTCAAGTTGTGGGTAGCCCAGGTGTCGAAGTCATCATTAGACTTTGGATTGTTGTTGTAGGAGATCTTGAGGTTGACAGACCACGCCTGGTGAGACTTTGCAACCAAAGCCACGAAACCATCGTCCAACGGGAACTCCGACCTATTGTTAGGACTGGCATAGGACCCACAGGGAGCGATTGTTTCAGCCTCTTCCGACCATTCTCTATCAGTTGGATACAGCATTGCAATCTCACCCATGGTGTTCGCATAATCGGAGCCATGCTCCAAAGCAAGAGCCTCAGCAAATGCAACAGGATTTGCACGTCCAAGAACAACCTTGCAAAGTAGCGGGAGTACCCAAAACTGTTTCATTTTCGTCAATTGTATGCAAGATAACCACATTTTCTACCGATCAGATCCTTTTTATAGCCCGCTCTCGAATATATCGGATTACTGCTCGGGAAAAAAATCTCACAGAAAAATCCCAGAGCCCAGTCTTGGCATGTTCAGGTCAGCGTGTAAACGTACACCAAAATACCATAAAGGTAGTGGAAGAAACTGAATATCAGCGTATTCAGAATCAAGCCACAGATATTCAGCAGCGAAGTAAACGTCTCTCCGCCATTATTGTTCCAGCTCGAGCCATCGGACGCTGAAGACACATCTGACAGTCCAGAAGTGGCAGCCAACGTGTTCGTGCTGCTGAGCCCGCTCAGCTCAATCTCTCCGTTTGTAACACTGCGGAAGATCTGGTTGATAGCCTGCTGAATTAAGAAATCAATAAGGTAGTACACGAGATAGTGGACGAGACAATAGATTATAATAAGCCCAAATGCGAAGCGGCTTTTACCCGATAATTCCTGGATCTGAAAGTCCTCGTTATTGTCGTTCTGCTGCTCCAGATCAGAAGCCCCGGTAGTCAAATCGGGCTTCCTTGGTTGGCCAAAATGTATCACGTGGTCGGAGTGCGAGTTGTAATCCTGCACGATTACATCCTCGGGACTCACCAGTGGCCCGTTTTCTATATTATTCCTAGACCGGAAGCCGGACACTAGGTACAGCACCCAATACAGAATCAGATGCAATACAAGCACAGCAATGAACGAAACCGCAATGAGCGCAAAATTGACCATCTTTAATTGGACGAGCATGATGAAGTCCCCAATAGTGCGTTGAATCTTATTGTAAAGCTCAATCTTATTCTCAATAATTACCGAGTCAACCTCAGCGGACGAGGATGCAAAAAGAGGGATGTGGGTACCGTTGAAGCCAAAAAGGAACAGATAGTTTGCTATTAGACGTAAGTTCGAAGTGTTGTCGTCATCATGACTATTGAGCTTGTAGAACCGCACCATGTTTTTCCACGAAGCGTGAAACTCAATTTCCTCAAATTTCGAGTCGCTCAAATATGTGTTCACCAAATATGTCTTTTCACTGCGAATGAGCCCTTGCACACGGCATTTGAATTTCGTAAAGCTGTATTCACAATTGAGCGACAGCGAGCCATTCTCGATGAAAGTGGGCCCCACATAAACTAGATCCAGTTTGGGAAATGGAGGATACAGATATAGCTCTTGCGCTGCCGTATCCAAGTCGCCGCTCATTTGCTCGATGGTATTTAAAACCTTTGAAAGCTTGATGGAAGAAAGCGAATGCTGTTCCAGGTCTGAGTACCTCTTTAGAAAATGGTAAGTACTCATATCCACTTTGAACTCTGTGAGCCTGAACTTATTGCTGAATAGATACAGCTCCTGCAAATAATCAGTGTAGATCAGCAGCGATGCGAAGAAGCTAAAAAGGATGGTTAGCAGAACCCTTTTGAACACGAAATGGTTGCCAATCATGTGGTAAATTCGGATCGATGATTTTCTCGCATAGCGCTGTAACCGCTTAAATTATTTCCCATTCATTGAAAAGAGAGATTCCGGTTCCTGAAGCTCCTACAACAGCTCCTTTGCCGCCAAACTGTCCCACACACACCTCTTTGAACTGCTCGTCCAATTCCATCTGGGAGGAAACGCTGCACTCATCATTAGTCCATTGATAGAATAGCAACTGTGAGCCATCGTTTTTCGGACTCCAAACAAACACCAGTCCTGGGTCATCAAGTGAAAAGCCGAGCTGGGCATTCTCTGAGAGCTCTTCAATTTCGCGTTTGTCAGAAGAGAGGTCTTTGTACCAAATGCAAGAGAGAGCTGTTTTTTCTCTTGAGAGAACATACTCGGGTGTCACGATGACATTGTCAAAGGTTGTCGCATTCCATGCTTTCGTTTTGGTAAGTTTGCTTTTGAACTGCTGTTTTGTGTTGCGCAAAATCAACGATTTGTTGGAAAGAATCGCAAGATCATAATCGTGCAGGTTTGTGAACTTGGCTGCCAAAAACTTGATGTCGGAGTTGCGGTCAATTGCATAAACCGGCTCAAAACATTCATCTTGACATTCTAGCTTGAGTATTTCGACCTTGTCATCAAAAACAGCGACGAGTCTATCCTCCCTAAAATCGACAAACTGGATACGTTCGTCCCATTCGTACGTGGCAAGAGGAAGTGCGTTTTCTTTTGCCTCCAGCTTGAATGCCAGAACCTGCTTGACGCTCAGAACAATCAGCATCTCCTTGTGATAAACCATGTCCTCCACCTTCGTGGAGCCGATCAAGATGGAGTGTTTCAATTCAACACCGTTTTCTAAGCTAGACCAAACGTTGATGCATTTCTTGTCCGGTAGATATGCAAATAACAAGCCATCGACCAGGAAACATTTGCCGATGGCTTCGCCTAGAATAACCGTGGTTTTGGCCGGCGGAGCAACAGCCTGTGCAGGAACCTTGTGATTGGTGTCATTGTGGGGCTTGGCCTTGGCTTCTAGTGAAATAGCCATATCTAGGTAATCCGCGGCAGCACTGTCCTGAGAAGATAACGTGCTGGTCTTCTGAGATGGCGTTGAGCGAGCGTTCAGGTTAGAGTAGAATTCGTACGTCTCATCTTTAGAAAGATGCAATGGGTCCGAAAGCTCGACCGTCGGACTTTTCAGCATGTAAAGAATCTCGTTTGTGGCCGTTCTTAGGAATTGTCTTGCCTTCACAAGCCTTGTTACGTCCACGTTATCCGGAGCGAGTAGATGATCAACACTTGATTCATCTCTCGAAGGCTCTTTCGTACGAGTGTGTCCCTTTTCCATCTCGTCCACACGAGCTTTCAGCTTTTCATTTTGGAGTTTGAGCGTATTTCTCTCGCTTTCGAGCTCTACAATACGAAGCTTCAGCGCCGACCTCTCTAAATCAGACATCATCCGATTACGCTCCACTGTGGTAAATTGCGACTGCAAATATTGCATTACTCCGGGCAATGTGTATTGCGAGACTCCAGATGCTTGCCCAAAAGCGTCACCGGTGCCATTGCTGGAGCCGCCGTTGGGCTTTGAGCCTCCAAAATGACTTTGCTCCATCAAATCTAGATTGTTATGTTATCGATTTTGCCCATGTATATACAAAAAAAAAATAAAACTACATGTCTGCTTATGTCATACTATGCGACAAATTTGGCAGCTTCCTGGAAGCTCTCTGGGTTCTTCTGGAGCTCGAAAATCGGGCGATGCGGGTCGCTCCATTGTAGGCTTTCCAGCACTTTAGAAGTGAGGTCTAACTCCTCGTGAGTGAGTTTTTCCGGATTGAAATTAGTGTAGCCGTACTCCTTGGCTCTGGCTCGCAGCTTTGCAACCTCTTTAGGAAGCATGATTGTGCGTGCAAACGAAGTTTTGCTCTCGATGTAGAATCTGCGCACTAGCACGGACCAGTTCTCACTGTTTGGGCGGTCTATCATTGCCATAGTCAGGATCTCGTACACCTTGTGCACTTTTCTTTTGAGAAAATGGTTGTCGAAATTGTTGATCATCGCTATGGCGTTGTGAAGTTGATTTGCTTTGACAAAGTGGTTTACAAAATGGACCAGCATTGACGGCGTGAGTTCTGAAATATCATTTTCAAGTCTGTCCATCGCAAACTCCCAGGCTTGCGAGGGCCCGTATTCATCTAGCACAAATCTAACGAATTCTGCAACCAGTTTCGGCTCATCTCTGAACGATTGTCCACTTGCAACCATTTCCGCGATGAGCTCGCCATAGCTCTTTTTCTCGATGTCGTGCTTGTAGGCCATCACGGCGGGGAGAATGGGACGCAGCGAGCAGCCGCTGTTAACCATGTAGTCGTATATTGGTTTCCGATGCGTGCGGAGACACTCAAAAAGAATATAACAGGTGCTCAGATCTGGGATCTGCCTGTAGAAACGCATTTGCTTGAGGTACATATTGATGAGCGCAAACTTTCGCTCATGGCGACTGGTTCTCATGGGGCCCAGCACAAAGTTGAAAGACTCTGTGTTCGGATACAGTTTTCTTTGATTCATCAGACGCATGGTTTCCTTGACGTTACTGAAATCATGTGTTGTTGCAAAGAACCTGAGAATCATGTTGTAGGTGTGCACGCTCGCTAGCACATTGGACTCGACGATTTTCTCAAACGCTTTTCTGACATAGACTGGATTTTGGTCAAACTTTCGGGTCTTCACACGGTTCAGGGTACGCACATAGTCATCCAGAGTAGTCTCATTCAAAGAATCGGGAACATTTGGAATTTCGACGAGATCTTGAGGTTGGTTTAGCTGTTTCCACGATGAGATGTCAGAAGAGAGCTTATGGTCTTTGGGAATTAGTTTACGGAACTGTCGTACCACCTCTGACTCGGAATTGGCACTCTGGTCCTCTTCAGAGTAGAACTCTGACTTTTTGTTCATTATTCTCAGCAGCGTTGTGAGATCGGATAAACGATTGCGTCGCAGAGAGCTGGTGCTGGAGAGTCTTAGTAAAATCATAGATCAGAAATAAAAAAATACTGTCAAGTTATTTTTTTCATGTACCACGCGTAAAGATATCATGACAGTGTCTAATAACGAGGACAATATACGGCTAATTGTCGTTCCAAGCAACTTGCAAACGCCGTTCAAAACCATCAAATCTTACAAGGGATCCCAACTGGTGGTTAACAGCGGGCGGGTGTACGAGCTCAACAAGGCGAATTTCAAAGATCCGCACAACACCGCCCAGAAACTGACCAAGAAGCAACAGCCGCTCAAGACCATCTTTTTAGCCGCCTTGGACGTGTCCAAAGATAGTTTGATGGTGGGAAAGAACTGCGAGCTCTGGATAGCCACCAAGTACAACCCTGTGTATCTGCTGCTGGATTTTTTCACCAACGCGTTAAGTCGCGAAAATGTGCGCATGGTGAGCTTCCAGGACCTGCTGGAACAATTTGAGCGTTCGGAGACGCTTCAAGATCTGGTGGATAATGGCATCGATCTGCAACAGCCGTTGCTGCAAATATGTGAGAGCGTTGATGAAAACGGCGAGACGTTTTACAAGCCCTCGATGCACAAAATCGTCGGCTATCTCAGCTCAAAGGTGGACCGTCTGGCCCAAAATCTGCCGTCAGCGCTAGTCGCCGCGACAAAGAAAAAGCTTGTATTGCCCGGCTTCGAGCCAACAGACGAGGTGCTGCAGGTGCGCAAAAAACTGCTCGCTATTGAGCTGATTGGCTCCTACGTGGACGCAAAGTACCTAGAAGAGCTGAAAAAGTTGTATCCGACCGAGATTCTGGACTCCTACATGGTGGAGTACAAGAAGAAAGAACAAATGACCGCGCTGGCCGAGGAAAACATCAATACACTCAACGGGATGAACGCGGCAAATCCCAAGAAACGCAAGGTTGAGAAAAAAGTGGCGCGCAAAGAGGTGAAGAAAGTTGCTGTCGGCAAGGGAGCGCTCGATGGCTTCTTCAAGAGAAAGGTGTAGCAGCTGTTTGTGACTACCGTATGTACATTAATTGTTCTTTGGATTCTTTTCCTCCTTCTGCTGTGCTGGTAGCTGTGGCTCTGACAACACTTTCTGGGCCAACTCGGTGTCGTTCAATTGGTTGTAGATGTTCATACCGCTGGCAATCAGTTTAGGCAGGTTGTCCAAGCTGGCAGGCAGTATAACCGTGTTTGTCTCCTTCGCCAGCTTGCCGAAAGCTTCGACGTATTTTTCCGCAATGTTGAGCGACACGGCCTCCTTGCCGTGTGGACTGTTGGCAATGGCGTCGGCAACCAGTCTGATCGACTCGGCCGTCGCCTTGGCCTTGAGCAACATGGCGTCAGACTCACCCTTGGCCCAGTTGATCTTCTTGCTTTTTTCGGCCTCGGACTTGAGGATCTCTGTCTGCTTGTGGGCCTCACTGATGTTGATTTCACTGAGCTTGAGACCCTCCGACTCCAGAATGTTGGCACGCTTCTGTCTTTCCTTCTCCACCACCTGGTTCATCGAGTTGATGACGTTGGTAGGAGGCCGGATGTCTCTGATCTCATACCTCAACACCTCGATACCCCAGTCCTTGGCAGCCTCGTTGATGGAGGTGGTGATGTTGACATTCAGCATGGTTCTTTCGCGCAGCACAAGATCAAGCGCCATCTGACCGATCTCCGAGCGCATCGTGGTCTGTGCGAGCTGGATAATTGCGTAGTGTGCATCCTCAACTCCGTAGGACGCCTTGTAGGCATCAACCACCTTGTAGTACAGAACTCCGTCCATTTCCAAGGTCACATTGTCCGCAGTAATAGCGTTCTGAGAGGGCACCTCAATGGCAACCTCTTTGAGCGACTGCACATACTGGATTTTGTCAATGAACGGGAGCAAGATTGCGAGACCTGGCTTTAGTATTCTGTTGAACTTTCCCATTCTCTCGACAATCCAGGCCGTTTGCTGAGGAACGAACCTAATGATAGTGTTGGAAGGAAGGGTCGAGCGGTTAAAGAAGTTCAGGTTCGCCGTCGAGTACCGGCCTACGGAGGCCAGCGACCTGAGCAGCCTGGCGCTTTTATTTGGGCTGATTTGTTTCAATGGCGAAATCATGTTGGACGGCAACAAATAAAAGAATTGATGGAAAAAAAGTTGAAGAGAATAAATAATATTTTCAAAAAATTATGGTAAGGGACTACGACATCTCCAACAACGAAAAACAGTTTGTGCTGACAGCCTTGGAACAGAACATCCGGTTGGATGGCCGCAAGCTGCTCCAGATGAGAGATGTCCACATATCTGTCTCTCGCGATGAGTACGGGTATGCTGAGGTGAGCCTGGGGAAAACTAAAGTTGCATGTCGAGTCACAGCAGAGATCACCAAGCCCTACGAGGATCGTCCGTTTGATGGTATTTTTCAAATTAGCACCGAAATATCGCCCATTTGCTCGCCATTCTTCGAGAGCGGGCTCACCACAGGCGGCAAACAATCGAACGACGAGATACTAATTTCCAGACTTATCGAGAAGGCCGTGCGACGTTCCGGAGCGCTTGATCTCGAAAGTCTCTGCATAATTGCCGGCTCCAAGTGCTGGGCTATCCGCGCCGACCTGCAATTTCTGAACTACGACGGGAACTTCATCGATATCTCGTCTATCGCTGTCATGGTAGCATTGCTCCATTTCCGTAAACCTGACATGGAGATCGATGGAAACAACGTTATCCTATTTGACGAGGACCAGAGAAATCCTGTTCCGCTTTCGATACTGCACATTCCGCTGTGTTTCACCTTCCAGTTCTATAACCCAAACGACGACGAGGAGAATATAAAAGGAAACCTGAACAACGAGTTGGTCTTGTTGGATGCGAACCTGATAGAAGAAAGACTAAGTTTGGGCTCGATGACGCTCACCATCAACAAGAACAAAGAGCTTTGTCAGATGGTGAAATGTGGAGGCCTCAACATCGACGCCAGCATGATCATGAATTGCTGTCAGCATGCCAGTAATTTGGTGGACGATCTTACAAGAAAAATCCACGACGTGATAAGAACAGATAGCGAGCTTCGCAAGAACCCTGTTGAGAAAGAGCTACAGGTGGTCAACCAAAGAGAAACTTAAATAATGTGCAATTCTTCCTACTTATTCTGCTCTTCTCTCCCATTCAATCTCAGCAGGCTCTTCAGGGAGAGTCACCATGGAAGAGTAATCGACCTTAGGAAGCTTACTGGTCCATTTGAATGTTTGAATGAAAGTGACCAGGATAGTTCCCAGCTGAGTGTATGCAAACTGCTCACCGATACATCTATGTCTGCCGCCTCCAAATGGCAGGTATGGCGAGGAAACACCCTTTGTAATAGTACCAAATCCATAATCCACTGTGTCTGAATCGGACGATCCAGCGTTTTGAGACACATCCCATCTGTGGGGCTCGAACGTGTTGGCGTTAGGGAAGTATTTTTCGTTTGTCATGGCGAAACCTGGCGAGACAAGCACGTAGTGGCCCTTTGGAACAATCATCTTGGAGTCTGGAACCTGCAGCGGGTTCATCACTTTTCTGAAGATCGAGTGCAAAGGCATGTGCAGTCTCAGGGTCTCCTTGATGGTGTTGTTGACCAAAGGCAGGTTCTGCAAGTCCTCGTAGGTGACCTCTTTTCTGTCGCCAAGAACAGACTTGATCTCGTTGTACAGCTCTTCCTGTAAATCTGGCCTCTCACCAAGATGGAGCAGGAACCACGACGAGGTGGAAGCAGAAGTGTGCTGACCTCCCATCAGAACACCAATCAGCAGGTTGGCGATCTCTCTCTCGGTCATTGCGGTGCCGTCCTTGTATGTAGAGTTCTTCATCAGAGCATCAACTAGATCTCGGTCCTGGATGTCGTTCTCTTGCTTTCGTTTGTTAATCAGTTTCATGTAGGTGCTAGAAATAGTGTTATGTGCTTCGTCTCTTCTCTTGTAGGAAGGAAGCGGCAGATTAGGGAACACAAAGTTGATTGGGGTGAATCCCTTGTCAAGGTCGGAGTACAGCTTAGCAAAACCAGTGTTGAGCATGTTTCTCACTTCCTCGCCAAGCAAGGTTCTGGAGGCCGTGAAAATGGTGATCTCTGGCTGGGACTTCAGCACGTTGGCCTTGCCCCTGTTGCCCCTGAACTGACTGTCAGAGTTCACGTAGTTGAGAACCTCTTCTCTGATTAGTGGCACGTACTTGATGAAGGAGTCTTTGGTCAAGGCAACCTTGGCAAACTTCTTTTGTTCCATGAGCTTCCAGTTTGGACAGTCGTAAATCACGCCCTTTCCAAACACAGGGGTCGTCAGATGGGTGTACGCCTCCTCGGCGGACACGTCGTTCAGTTTCGCGTTCAGAATGAACTCATGGCCCTTGGGACCCAGATACACAGTCATGACCTTTCCCAATAGCAAGAAGGAGAAGCAATCGCCGTACTTCTGCTGACATTGGGCGAAAAATTCGTATGGTTGCATGCCGTATGGGATGGCAGACCCGACCCACGGGATCCAGTAGAAAACGAGAGGCACTCTGTCGTTTCTCAGCGAGTAAAGGAATTGCCAAACAATAGAGTAGAGGAAAGGAAGGGCAACCACAATCATGATCTTCTGAGCCGTGCTCAGCGCCAGAATAGCGTCCAAAACGTGCAGTCCGACGCTCTGAACTTCCTGAATCAAAGCAGCGGTTCCAGACATGGCGAAAAACGAACGATGTCACCAAATTTATATCTCTTTTTTTCGTGATTTAATATAAAATGGTGTGTTTTTTTAAACGAAAAATACGATCGTCGCGCCGATCGTCCGCTATTCTGACCAATAGTTTTAGACGTGGTGTCATCAAACGCACCTCGTTCGATAGCATGAGCCCCGAGTGGCGCGTCAGTACCTGCCCTTGCAGCATCTCTACAAAGCCTCGCATGCGCAATCTTCTTGGCTGACCGTTTCTTCAACTATATACAGTTATTGTTTGAGCACAGGGATCTCGTCTTCTTGACACTTCACAGCCTGTGTGAGTTCTACCAGCTCTTTCATAATATCATCAGAGTGTTTGTACTTGCAGTCGATCTTCTTTTCGCGCCCGTCCGCATACACCACCTTCAAAACGCTGGGACACTTCAGTTGCTCCTCTTTTGTTGGGCACTTGACTCTGGTGACCTCGATATTGACATCCGGGTTGTGGAAACAGATCGTCCGAAGATTCCACTTCCAGAACTGCTTGGCTCCCATATGGCCGTAGGCGTTGTGACTTTTAAAGACGAGATGTAATTTTGACACCTGGGGAAATTTGTATGCGGAGTCCTTGTAGTTTGCAATCAGGTTCAGGTTCTCTCTTTGTCTCGTGAGACGCGATGCAGGAAGATCTCTCAAAAAGAGGGCCCGCGCGGCCTTGGGAAGCTGGCTGGCTCTTGTCATGAAGAAGAGTGCGTAAGTATTGAAATTTTTTCTCGATCTTCCACATCCTTACACTGAACACTGATTGTCGATATATACAGTACTATACGTTGCGCTTCCTACACCACTTTTGGAGCCAGCGACACCAGCTTGTTGAAGTTCTTGCGTCTGAGCTCTCTAGCAACCACTCCGTTCACTCTCGTTCCAATTGGCTCGTCCTTCTGGTTGATCAGGACGCATGCGTTGTCGTCGAACCTAATCACACTCCCGTCAGGTCTCAGGGTTGGCGACTTTGTGCGCACAATCACCGCACGGCACACGTCACCTCTCTTCACTCTGTTGCTGGCGCTTGCGCCTGAGAGATGCTGGTTGAGCGATTTTGCGTTCTGAACGACGACAACGACCTTGTCGCCGATATTGGCGTGGCTGGTCGGCTTCTTGCCGAGAACCTTGATGCATTCGACAAGCTCTGCGCCAGAGTTGTCCACGACCCGCAACATAGTTTTGAGGAAGATCATGATGAGAAGACGTAGTTGGTCCAACACTTTTTCAATAAATTTTCAGACCCATCTTTGCACCACGCCGACAGCTGGCTCAAATTTACGTAAACGCAGTTTCTCTGACGCGTAAGCAGCTAACCGCAAAATAATCACTCTACAAACCGCAGCAAAATTATGGAGTCGATCAGAGTGGACGCCAGCATCATCTCGCAATTCACGAAGAAGACCGTCCGTGTCATCGGCAAACTCATCGACAAGTCCGCTGGCGCAGGCACTGCGATCGTCCAGTGCAACGGCTCTATCCAGCTCAAATTCCAAAACCAGCAGGCCCTGCTCGAGTCGCTCTCGCTGAACAACTGGTACGAGTGTATCGGAATAGTGGACACAGACAACAGCGTGAAGGTGATCCAGATCATTGATTTTGGCGACCAGATAAGCGAGCCTGCCGTGACGAAGCTGGTGGAGATGAGCCACAAGGTGCCGGAGCTATTCTACACTAGCCTGAGCTAGCTGGATTTATACTCGGTTAATATCGCTACATGTATTTGTGTCTTAATCGTCCCATCTCCGTTTCTTCATCTTTCTGTAGGAGCTGTCCAACGTCGCGCTCTGCAACCGTTTGCTTGGGGCGTACCAGCCGACTTCGCTGGGGAATGGCGCAGGCGTGGCGTAGTTCGTGAGAGAACTCATAGTGTACGACCAGCCGGCGGTGATCGTGGAGTGAACAACAGGAGTTCCCGAGATGGTGGAGTAGTACGTCACAGAGGAGGCAGGGAACCTTCTGGACCACGTCGTGGCCGTCACCGTGCTTCCAGGCTGAGTCTGCATTGGAGCGTATCTTGTTTTTCCCGTCTGCATCGTGTATGGAATGGTGAACCAGTCGGAGTTGATGGACTGTTGCACACTAATCTGCTGAGGGTCAGGAGCCTCCCCAGAACCCGACGTCTCCAAAGTACCAGTCATGCCTTCCAGCTTGAATCTGTCCGTGTAATGAATTGTGTAGGACTCCGAGCCGTAGTCTGCATAAATTTGGACGTAGTAGTATCCGTCTGCACCAACGCTAGCTTCCACGGACGCCTTGTACGTATCGTCGTCGAGGTCCTTTAATGTGATCGATGTTGCCAGCGTGGCTCTCTGCTCGATATTGTCGTTCGGACCGGTCATGAGCAGCAGAGTGAAGGAAAGAGCGTCATTGATGCTAGGCGACTGGCCGTCGTCTTTGAAGCTCACGTTGAACTCCACCGTGGAGCCGTCAACCGTGAACGTGTCGCCCGCGCTTGGCGAGACAGGCTCCACGTCCGCAAACACACGCGTCCATAAAAATACCAGCGAGAACAACCAATATATCGTCCGCATGGTGAAGCGTTTTTTTCTATTTATAACAGAAACTGGTAAACCTTTTTTCGCATTCCAGGTGTTTTCGCTTTTCTGCATCATTATACACACCCGTGCACCAGCCAGGCTCCGCCTTGCTTATTCTGCTCCGTGGAGCTGGGCGATGAAGTCGCCGACCTGGTCGCCCTTGCGCACCAGCGCCTCGCCTATGAGGAACCCGTACACGCCGTGCTTTTTGTAGTTCGACACGTCCTGCGGCGACGAAATCCCGCTCAGCGCGAGAAGGAGAGGTTTTGGTCCGTCGTTTGGAAGCAGCTCGTTCAGCTTCACCGTCGTGGACAGGTCGACGCTGAAGTCGTGCAGGTTTCTGTTGTTCACGCCAATCACCTTGGCGCCGACCGCGGTGGCCACCTGCATTTCCTCAACGTTGTTGACCTCCACCAGGGGCTCCATGCCGAGGCTTCTCGAGAACGCGACCAGCTCTTTGAGCAGCTCGAACTCCAGCATCTTGACAATCAGCAGCACGGTGTCTGCTCCAGCCAGACGGGCCTCTAGAACCTGGTACTTGTTGAAGATGAACTCTTTGCGCAAAATACACGGTCTATTGGCCACAGAGTCGATCGCTTTTCTGGCCACCTCCAAGTCCTGGATGCTTCCTTTGAACCAGGTAGGCTCGGTCAGCACAGAAATAGCGGCAACCCCGGCCTTGGCGTATGTGAGGGCCTGTTTGGCGGCGTTGACAGTTGCGTCTATGACACCTTTCGAAGGCGACGCTCTTTTGATTTCGCTGAGAATCGCGATGTTGCCGGCGCTGATGTTCTGCGCCAGCCTGTCGTAAAAATTAATCAGCGGCGGTGCCAGTCCCATAGACAAGTACAGCTCCAGGTCGGCAAAAGTGCGGCCCGGTCTGCTCATCTCGAGCGCGTAGTCTCTTCGTCTCTGTACGTATATTTTCTCCAATATGCTCTCCTTTTTCTGAACCGCGCCATTAGCGTTGTCCTCCCAGTATCCACCGGAAACGCTGAGGATGTTCTGGATCATCAGATGGCCCTCCTCGGTCAGAATGCTCTCTGGATGGAACTGGACGCCCTCGATGGTGTACTTCTTGTGTCTCACTCCCATGATGATGCCGTTTTCCGTGCGAGCAGTAATCTCCAGACAGTCCGGAAGCGACTTGAGGGTTCCGGCCAACGAGTGGTATCTGGTGACGGCAACGTCCTGCGGCACGTTCTTGAACATTCCCTTGTTGTCGTGCTTGATCGTGGAGGTTTTTCCGTGGACAATCTCGCCAGCATACTCCACGTCTCCGCCAAACTCCTCGAAAATACACTGCTGGCCCATGCACACGCCAAAAACGGGGATTTTCCCTTTGAAATGGCTGATCACGTCGCGAGATATGCCCGAGTCTGTCTTCGGATGGCCCGGACCGGGGGAAATCACCACAACGTCCGGCTTGAGCTGCTCAATCTCCGGGATGGTGATCTGGTCGTTCCTGAAAACCTCGACGTTGGCCCCCTCCTGACACAGGTACTCGTACAGGTTCCAGGTAAACGAGTCGTAGTTATCGATCATGACAACGTTTTTGGAAGCGGCCGGCATCTTGAAGGTGACTAATAGCCTGGGAAAATATTCTTGCAAGAAATTATTTTGCGTTTATTTTTCGTATACTCGCTACTTGAGCATTTCATCTCATCACTTCATAATCGCTATAAACCAGAAAAAGAACTATTTTCACACGCTTGGAAAAGCTGTACGTCCTTCCGTGTCTCCTTAGAATCTGGCAAGTCCGGTCTCCTCGTAAGTTCCGAGTCTGAAGTTTGGAATCGTCATGTCCAGGTCGGAGCCAGAGTAGCCCAGGTCTTCAGCAACGAGAGTGGCAGCCTTCTCACCGATGGTCAATGCAGTGGAGTAGGTGTTGCAGCCAACGTTGTCGGGACAGATAGAAAGGTCTGCAACCTTGAGGTTCTGGACTCCGTAAACGTTCAGTCTGGCGTCCAGAACACCTCCCTTAGGAGCAATTTTGCTGCCCTCTCTTGGGGCCATCGAGCAGGTACCCAGGCAGTGCCAGGTGGTCTCTGTGTGCTCCTTGATGTAGTTGACGATGGCCTCGTCGTCCTCCTCGGAGTACTCGATGTCGGAGTGCAGCTGGACCTGGTTCGAGGTCACGTGGAACTCGTTCTTAGGCGTAGGCTTGCCGATAGGAACGGTCCACGAGCCGTGGTACAGGTTGGCAGTGAGGTGGTTAGGGCCGGCGTACGCGTTGCACGTCTCGAGGTCCAGGTCTCTGGCTCTGGCTGGCGAATCGACCTTGAAGAGTGGGTGGTGCGAGGTGACCTCTCCGGCAAAGCTCTCCATCCTTCTGGCCGTCTCTCTGGACTTCTTGTAGGCCCAGACCATAGGCCACAGGTCTCTTTCGTCGTTGAGGAAGCCGGTGTCGAAATCAGGAGCGTCGTATGGGTTTGCCGAGGTGACTCTCACAAATCCTCTGGAGAATGGGTACTCCAGGAAGTGGAACATGGTCATGAACTTGCCGTTAGGGATCTTGGTGTGGTCTCCAAAGAAGCCGGAGATGACAGAGTAGTGCATCAGAGGCTTGTCTGGCTTATTCTCGAAGTATTCGGCGTAGCCGCGTCTGAAGTCCTCGTCGGCGGTAGCCAGCTCCTCCTCGGTCGGTCTGATCTTGACTCCGGCCTCGATACCGTTGGTGGTCAGCGGACCGTCCTTGTTGGAGTACCACTGGTCGAAAGCGGCCTTCTGGGCAACCGGGTCGCCCCTGACAAAGTCGTCAAACGTAGGAACGTCCGGCTTGACGTAGTAGGGCGTGAAGAAACAGTAGTGGTCCTGGAAGTTCTCACCCACACCTGGCAGGTCGACAATTGGCTTGATTCCCACGGACCTCAGGTGGTGGGCCGCACCGATACCGGAGCGCTGGAGCACCAGAGGCGACGAGATGGTGCCGCACGAGATCACGATCTGCTTTCTGGCCCTGAAGGTCCTGGAGACCGGCTTCTTAGGGTTCAGAGGCTTGATTGGCACCGTTTTCACGGCCACAGCCTTGCCGTCCTCGATGATCACCTTGTCGCACTTGGTGGACGTGATGAGGAACAGGCTCTGCTTGTTTCTCATGGTTGGGTGGACGTACGCGTGCGCAGAGTCGGATCTTCTGCCCAGGTCTCTGTTGATCCACTTGAGCCAGTGCTCTGCACCGTGCGATGTCTTGAAGTCCTCCAGGTCGTCCATGACAGGGATTCCTTGCGACTCGGCTGCTCTCAGGAAGTCCTGGCACGTAGGATACGTGTAGTTTCCGAAGGAGACCTTGATTGGGCCGTCGAACCCGTGCAGGTCTCTGTTGTTGCAAGGACGCTGGTAGGTTTCCATTTTCTTGATCAGCGGCAGCAGCTCGTCCGTGCTCCATCCCTCGGACTCCCAGTCGTCGTAGTCGGAGGCCGAGGCTCTCGTGTACATCAGGAAATTGATGGAGGAGCCTCCTCCGAGGATGTTAGCGCAGGGAACGATCGCCCTTCTGCCGTTCAAGGCCTTCGACGGTCTGGACGAGTAGAAGGTGGCCGTCTTGGAGTCGAGTCTCATGTTTCTAGGATACACCCCGGGCAGGTAGACCCACGGGTTGTTGATGTTGTTCTCGCCGCCCTCGATCAGGGCAACGGTTAGGTTCTGGTCGTCGAGGTTGGCGAGTCTGCCGGCAATGCAGCAGCCGGTGGAACCTCCACCAACAACAATGATATCGAATTCGTCAGGAATGGCCATTTTGTTTTTGTACTTTGGTTGATGGCTCCACCGTCCACTGGTGGCACTATTTATAGATGGCCCGTGTGGGGACGGCTGGTGCACTTAGCGACAGCGCTGACCCCATCTGTGATCAGGTAGGGCAAAAACTGGGGATGCCGGAGTCACTGCACGGTAGCATAAGAAAAGCAGGTTTTGGCGGACTCACCCGCAGTTGCACTGTGGAGAAACTGACACTCCGACACCGCTGCTGCTGGAACGAGTTTCTGGTAGCAGGCGCAGCAGCCAGAGCGAGGGCCGTCCGCTTAGGCAAAGTCACGTTGTAGGCTACGCCCGAGAAGGGAGCCTCGCAGGACGCTCTCCAGCTGTGTCCTAAAGCGATGAAGTTAGGTTGCGGCTGCAGAACCCCCTCAGTTGCCAGATTCACGAGTTTTACGCGACGGCTAGAGCGAGTGGTGCATTTTCGGAGGCGGTGCAAGGATGCAGGGACCCCGTACAGGTGCGGCAACAATTAATTAGCACGCCCAGCGCAGGAAGCCAGCCCCGATGACTAGTCGCTACAGAGTGGAGTACGCGCTCAAGGAGCACCGTCGCGACGGGCTCATAGAGTGGATCAAAGGCCTGCTGGCCACGCCGTTCGTCCTGTACGCGGTGAAGAGCAACGGCATCTCCGCCGTGGACGACCTCATGGTGAACTCTGAGGCAAAACGCCGCTACGCAGAAATCTTCCACGACCTCGAACTCCTCATCGACGACAACATCGAAATGACCAGAGCAGGCACCCCGGAATTGTCTCGACTCGTGCAGCTGGTTCCGAGCGTCGGCAACTTTTTCACGAGACTGCCTCTGGAAAAGGCCTTCTACATCGAGGACGAGCGCCGCGCCATCAGCAAGCGGCGCCTGGTGGCGCCCTCCTTCAACGACGTCCGGCTCATCCTCAACACGGCCCAGCTCTTGGAGATGTCGCGCTTCTTTCACTCCAAGACCATCCGAGATCGCAAGCTGCAGCTCATTACCTTCGATGGTGACATCACACTGTACGACGACGGCAAAAATTTCGACGCAGAGTCGCCAATTTTACCCCACCTCATCGGACTAATGGCCAAAGATCTCTATGTGGGTATCGTCACCGCGGCCGGCTACAGCGACGCGAACAAGTACTACGAGCGTCTCAAGGGCCTTATCGACGCCGTCCAGACGTCCCCGCTGCTGAAAAGCCACCAGAGAGAAAACCTGCTCATCATGGGCGGCGAGGCCAATTATCTCTTCCGCTACAGTAACGAGGAGCAGAGACTGCGATTCTACTCCAAGGACAGGTGGCTGCTCGAGAACATGCTCAACTGGTCCGAGGAGGACATTCGCCTCACCCTGGACTTTGCACAGGACGTCCTGAACGACCTGGTTCACAAACTGGGCGCGCCAGCCACCGTGGTGCGCAAGGAACGGGCCGTTGGCCTGGTCCCGCTGCCAGGCTACAAACTGATCCGCGAGCAGCTCGAGGAGATTGTTCTGCGCGTGGACAAACGCCTCAGGCAGTTCCCGACCGCCAAGAAGATCCGCTGGTGCGCCTTCAACGGCGGCTCAGACATCTGGGTCGACATTGGCGATAAAGCGTACGGTGTGAGGGTGCTCCAAAAATTTATCAGCTCCAACGATAAGATCGACGTCAAGGCCGAAAACACCCTGCACGTCGGCGACCAGTTCAACTCGCTCGGGTCAAACGACTACGCCAGCCGCACCGCGGCAACCACGTGCTGGGTCTCGAGCCCCGACGAGACGAAGAACCTGCTCATAGACCTCATTAAGTACATCGACGACTGGGCCACCTACTGATTACGTCAGCGCACGTCATGGGGGTAAACTGATAGATAAAAAATAAAAAAACTCAGTTTAATTAATTCCGTTTTCACAGTGGAGAAAGTTGAGTAAATCTGTTTGGTCCTGCATATTGCTATGGTTAACAGTCTGTGATTAGGACTGTTGATTTTTGCTTTTCAGGCCGTACCCAATTCAAAGCCTCCACACCGAATTTGCTATCGACAATCAGACCATGTTCCGGGTACTGTTTGCTGTGATCGGCGTCTGGGTGTCATACTTGTATCCATTGGTGGAATCTTTCAAGCTGCTAACCAACATCGACCAGTCACGACACCCCATTGTTTTACCGCCACAGAGTCAGTTCCAAAGATGGTTCGTGTACTGGCTTGTCCTCGCCGTTTGCACGCTGGTTATATCAAACAGGGTGGTGAGCACTGTGCTCAGTTTCGTTCCATTCAGCTCGCTGGTGATCCTGTACTTGCGGATCTGGCTGGTTTTTCCGCTGGTTTCCGTGGACTCCTCGGGCACCAGCGTCACAGGCTCGTACATTCTCTACCACCACTATCTCAAGAACTGGCTGGTGCTGCTGAACCACTATCTTGGCGACCTCAAGACCACCGACGTGGCCACTTACGGCGCCGACCTCTACAACAGAGTCATTGACCAATACGTGCCCAGATACCAGTTTCTCAAGCTCAATGTGGCGTCCAAACAGGATAAGTCTACGGTTGAGGTGATGAACGAGCTGTGGCGTTCCTCTGGCTGGCGAGCTCCATCCGCCGGTCAGAATGTGGCGGACTACTATCCGCAGCTTCTACTCTCGTCGCTGATTTCGCCCATCAAGAGTATGCTGATCAATGAGCACCGAGACGTGCGGGAGGAGTACGATGTTGTCAATAAAGACGAACTGCACAGCGCGAACGCAAGCACCACGAGTTTGCCGCGGCTCCAGGAGCGCAACTCGTCGGCATCGCTGCGGAAGATGACTCCGTCGGGCACGGATCCCCAAAACAGACGCCCGTCGTGGGGATTTGGCTGGAAATCCAGAAACAGCTCTTTTGCGAATGAATAGTCACGATTCTGATTTCAAGCTTTTATTATGTTGAATTTATATGTACAGGGTTATAGCTGGATATGTTGGGAAATGAATTCTTCTGTTCTGAACTCTTTCTCCTGGAGACTGGCCTTCTCTTTGAGGTTTCTCATCTGTCTCTCGACGGTTTTAGGGACAAAGTTCATCGGCTGCGGATGTCTGTCTATGATGCCTCCGAAAGCCTTGGAAGGCTTGAGCTTGTCCGACCCAACAGCTGTGCTCTTTTCCGTTTGGTATGCGTCCCTCTGTTCAATGAAATCGGCCTGCTGCTTGAAGAACTCTGTTTCTTCGGGCCACACAAATGGGTCGATCAGATCCACAGTCATTTTCTTCTTTTGCGGCAGTCTGCGTCTAGAACTGAATTGCATACCCATCGGATAGTCCCATTTTGCTGGCGTCAAAGCGACGGTCACATTCAAAACTCGCAGGCCGTACAGATGGTACAAGTAGTCTCTCAGGTCCAGCTTGTTAAAAGACTTAGGAACCAGAAACTTGGCCTGGTATGGAGTCTGTTTCGCGTTGGGACGTAATAGAGTGACTCTCGCCGATGGGAAATACAGCTTCTTCGCACCCACGGTGAAATGTGGCTCGTCGTTCTCGATCGCTTCCTTTACCAATTGGACAATTCTTTTGGATTTCTTTGCGCGCTCCTCCCTTGGAACGGTTGGCTTTCTCTTCTGAGCGAAAGGACGGGGGCGGCCCATGATTATGGTCCGCTGCGACTGCACAAGCGTGCGCTCGAAAAGGCTGCTTCTGGCCGCTTTTAATCGTGCAAACATAGCGACAAAAAGGTTTGGGAAAAAATACTCGATATTGACCCCGTTGAAAAATCCCAGCTCGTTTTTATCGCCGGGTAATTTTAGGAGGATGCTTGTGTTCGTTGAAGAAAAAAAACTTGAAGGCGAATACTCCTAGATAAACATCTTGTTTTCTGGTAAACACTTTGTCTGAATCGTTGGAAAGTGATCGCATCCACCGAGTCAAGTGCGCATTGAATTTGGAAACGTTTGAGAGATATTTCCAGCAATTGGTATTCAATAAAGTGTATTTTTCATCATAAACATGTCTTTCAACGAAGGTATGTATGACGTTCCAGAATACGAGATGATCACGACGGAAGACTGTTGGACGGTCATCTCGTCGTTCTTCGAGGAAAAGGGTCTTGTCTCGCAGCAGTTGGACTCGTTCGAAGAGTTTATCGAGTCGTCTATTCAGGAACTGGTTCTTGAAGATAAAAAATTGATCCTCGATCAGCCAGCACAGCACATCACAGAGGATGACGACGTGAACAGAAGATACGAGATTACATTTGGAGACATTTTTCTTTCGAAGCCTTCTCAGACCGAAGCTGATGGTACCACCAGTACTCTTCTTCCGCAGGAAGCGAGACTGAGAAACCTCACCTACTCGGCTCCCTTGTACGTTGAGATGAAAAAAATGGTGAAGGAAAGTATAGATGACGATGATGTGGTTACCACGCAAGTTGTCTGGTATCGAGAGGGCGAGATCACCAGATACAGAAACGGCGAGATCGAGCAGGACGAAATGGTCATTATGCCCCCTAACTTTGACGATGACAGCGACGATGTCATAGAAGAGAGACACGGCATTAAGGTGCATCGTTCTGGTGCAGAGTCACAAACGATTTTCATAGGTAAGGTGCCTATCATGTTGAAGTCCAAGTTCTGTTCTCTTTATGGTCTTTCGGAGGACGAGCTATACGAAATCAGAGAATGTCCATTCGATATGGGAGGATACTTCATCATCAACGGTTCCGAGAAGGTTTTGATTGCCCAGGAGAGGTCCGCCGCCAATATTGTGCAAGTTTTCAAGAAGTCTCCTCCATCTCCAGTCTCTCACGTTGCTGAGCTCAGGTCCGCGCTGGAGAAAGGTTCAAGACTCATTTCCTCCATTCAGGTCAAGCTTGCCAGAGGAGGCGCTTCCAACTTCAAGAGCGGTGGTGTGGGGAGATCGATTAAGGCTACCCTTCCGTATATCAAGGCTGACATTCCGATCGTGATTGTGTTTAGAGCTTTGGGAGTGATTGAGGACGGAGACATTTTGCAGCATATTTGTTACGATGAGAACGACTGGCAGATGCTTGAGATGTTGAAGCCTTGTATTGAAGAAGGATTCCTGATCCAATCGCAGGAAGTCGCCCTGGATTACATCGGAAGAAGAGGAAACTCGATTGGTATCAAGAAAGAGAGACGTATCCAATACGCCAAGGACATTTTGCAGCGTGAATTTCTCCCGCACATTTCGCAAGATTCTGGTTACGAAACCAACAAAGCTTACTTCCTTGGTTACATTGTCAACAGACTGCTACTGTGCGCTTTAGAAAGGAAAGAACCAGATGACAGAGATCATTTCGGTAAAAAAAGATTGGACCTTGCTGGTCCGTTGCTAGCCAACTTGTTCAGAATCCTCTTCAGAAAGTTGTCCAGAGACATTTACAGATACATGCAGAGATGTATTGAGAGAGGCGACGACTTTAACATTGTCAGTGCTGTGAAGTCCAACACCATCACCTCTGGTCTCAAGTACTCTCTCGCTACCGGAAACTGGGGAGAGCAGAAGAAGGCCATGAGCAGCAGAGCTGGTGTTTCTCAGGTGTTGAACAGATACACGTACTCTTCGACACTATCGCATTTAAGAAGAACGAACACGCCTATTGGAAGAGACGGTAAGTTAGCCAAGCCACGTCAATTGCATAATACACACTGGGGTCTCGTTTGTCCTGCCGAGACTCCTGAAGGACAGGCCTGTGGTCTGGTGAAGAACTTGTCGTTAATGGCCTGTGCCTCAGTCGGTTCCGCTTCCGAGCCTATCACTTACTTGCTGGAAGAGTGGGGGTTGGAGCCGTTGTCTGACTACGAGCCACAGGAGCATAAGAACGCAACGAGAGTGTTTTTGAACGGAAATTGGGTCGGAACGCACAGAGACCCTGCCATGCTGGTTGAAACTATGAGACAACTCAGAAGAAGTGGTACCATCTCTCCAGAGGTCTCTTTAATTAGGGACATTAGAGAGAGAGAGTTCAAGATCTTTACTGATGCAGGAAGAATCTATAGACCTCTGTTCATTGTCGACAACGATCCTGATAGCGAGCACAAGGGTGAATTGAAGCTGACGAAAGAGCACTGTCGCAAGATTCTGGAAAGAGAAGTGGAAGAGATCGTGCAGGATGAGGAATTTGACGATGAGGGCCAGCCCTTGGGTCCTGTCCAGAGAGTATTTGGTTGGGACTCCCTGCTGAGCAACGGCATTATCGAGTATCTTGATGCCGAGGAGGAGGAAACGGTTTTGATCGCCATGTCTCCAGAAGACCTGATTTCCTCTGCCAGCGCAGAAGTGCAGAAGGCCGAACGTGACTTGGATCCAGCAAAGAGAATCAAGAACGTTGTGAAGGCCCACTCCTTTACCCACTGCGAGATTCATCCGTCGATGATTCTCGGCGTTGCCGCCTCGATCATTCCGTTCCCAGACCACAACCAGTCTCCAAGAAACACATACCAGTCTGCTATGGGTAAGCAGGCTATGGGAGTGTTCTTGACGAACTACAGTGTCAGAATGGACACTATGGCGAATATCTTGTACTATCCGCAAAAACCACTGGCAAAGACGCAGTCTATGGAGTACCTGAAGTTCAGAGAGCTTCCTGCTGGACAGAACGCCATTGTGGCCATTGCATGCTACTCTGGTTACAACCAGGAAGACTCGATGATTATGAACCAATCGTCTATTGATCGTGGTTTGTTCAGATCGCTCTTTTTCAGATCCTACATGGATCAGGAGAGAAGAAGCGGTATTTCTGTGGTGGAGGAGTTTGAAAAGCCAATGCGTTCCAGCACTCTGGGCTTCAAACAGGGCACCTACGAAAAGCTGGATGATGACGGACTAATTGCTCCAGGGGTTCGTGTTTCCGGAGATGATATCATTATTGGAAAAACCGTTCCTATTCCGCCAGACACAGAGGAGCTCGGCCAAAGAACTAAATATCACACAAAGAGAGATGCCTCGACGCCACTGAGGACGACGGAGAGCGGAATCGTTGACCAGGTGCTTTTGACCACTAATGCCGAAGGCCTCAAGTTTGCCAAGGTCAGAATGAGAACCACCAAAGTGCCGCAGATCGGAGACAAGTTTGCCTCCAGACACGGCCAGAAGGGTACCATTGGTATCACGTATAGACACGAGGACATGCCTTTCACCGCACAAGGCATTGTTCCGGACCTGATCATCAACCCGCACGCCATTCCGTCTCGTATGACGGTCGCCCACCTGATCGAGTGTTTGCTGTCCAAGGTGGCCTCGATGAGAGGTTACGAAGGAGACGCCACGCCGTTCACGGATCTGACTGTGGACGCGGTGTCGAAACTTCTTAGAGAGAACGGCTACCAGAGCAGAGGTTTCGAGGTGATGTACAACGGACACACGGGTAAGAAGCTTATGGCGCAGGTGTTCTTTGGCCCTACCTACTACCAGAGACTGAGACACATGGTGGACGACAAGATCCACGCAAGAGCCAGAGGACCGTACCAGAACCTTACTCGGCAACCTATGGAGGGCAGAGCCAGAGACGGAGGACTCAGATTCGGAGAAATGGAGCGTGACTGTATGATTGCACACGGTGCTGCCGGGTTCCTGAAGGAGAGACTGATGGACTCGTCGGACGCTTTCAGAGTCCACATTTGTGGTATCTGTGGTTTGATGAGCGTCATTGCCAACTTGAAGAAAAATCAATTCGAGTGCAAGTCTTGTAAGAACAAGACCAACATTTACCAGATACACATCCCGTATGCCGCCAAGTTGTTGTTCCAGGAGCTGATGAGTATGAACATTGCGCCAAGACTGTACACGCAAAAGAGTGGAGTCACCACCAGATAATGCCACAGAGCTGACTCAAAAAGAATATAAAATATGTAAATTAAGATGGAGATGAAATTCAAACATTGTCAATATGTTAGTCGTATATACACAAGTAGCTATGCTGCGTGCTGGCCCAGTTATATTTTTTTCCCGGACATCTGCTTCTCGTACTCCTCCAGCAGCTTCGTCTTCTCCTCTAACTTCTTGACCTTTTCCAGGACAACCGGCTGTTGGTCGGCAAACGCAATCAGATTCTGTTTGTATGGGTGGTCCGAGCCGTCGTACACCTTCAGCCTGTTAAGTCTTGTCCATCTGTGTTTGTTTTTAGGTAGCATCTTGCTCACTGCTCTCCTGATCACCTCTCCGTATCCGTAATCCTTAATAATCTTTTTCATTGGAGTGGCCTTGCCCGATCCTGGCCGCGTGGAGTGCGACCAATACGTCTTATTATTGAGTTTGTTCCCCGTCACACGCAGAAACTGAGCGTTCGACACCACGACGTAGTCTCCAGCGTCCTGGGTCTCGTGCGGGATAGGCTTGTGTTTGCCTATCAAGGTGATTGCGATTTGCGATGCCAAGCGTCCGAGCGTTCTCTTGTCCGCGGCAAGGTCCACATGGTGCCAAACTCGGGCAAACCCAAGTCCTGTCTTGCCTATTTTGTTCGACATTTAACAAACACTCCTAAATTTTTTTTTCAATTCTCGTCCAAGTTTTCGCCAGCGAAAACAGCCGTGAAAAATAATTCAAAATAAATCCACCCAACCATGTTCTTTATAAAAGACCTCTCGCTCAATCTAACGCTCCATCCATCATACTTCGGCCCGCAGATGAACCAGTATCTGCAGCAGAAGCTGCTGACCGACGTCGAAGGAACATGTACGGGTCAATTTGGATATATCATCTGTGTTCTAGACAGCATGAGCATCGACGTGGGGAAGGGAAAAATTGTGCCCGGTCAACAGGGATACGCCGAGTTTGAAGTCAAGTACCGTGCAGTTGTCTGGAAACCGTTCAAGGGAGAAGTGGTCGACGCAATAGTCTCTTCGGTCAACAACATGGGATTCTTTGCCGACGTGGGGCCACTATCTGTTTTCATATCCAAACACCTGATTCCTAAAGACATGAAGTATACGCCATCGCACACTCCTCCGGCATACATTAGCGAGGACCAGGTCATCATGAAAGGCTCCAAGGTCAGAATAAAGATCATTGGTACGAGATCTGACGTCAACAGCATCAGCGCGATCGGAAGCATTAAGGAAGACTACCTGGGGCCTCTGTAGTGCGCCAGTGCGTTCCTTTGGCTCTTCGCGCTGTGATGTTCACGTTGCGGTCCTCTCACGTTTGTATACTAGTTTGGCACTATATTACAGTCTTTATCGGCACATCTCTACACCGGTTTATGGCTCCGCCTACATATAGGAAGGCCAATCAATAATTTATTAAAAAGATAATTTTAGTCCGAAAAGCTTATCATGTCAGCTACTATCAACCGTTCTTTGACCAACGTCAAGACCGTAAGTACATTGCGTGCTAGTTCTAACACCACAGGAACTTGAGTTTCTCGCAGAATCCAATGTGATCACCCAGAACCTGATGAATCACATACTGAACTCTCTGCCGGAAAAATATATAGAAGGAATGCCGCCTAAGGACGTGGGCGCCGCAGACAAGGCGGAGCCTGTCGCTCCGCCAGCTGCTCCGCCAGTCTATACCCAGTCTAGTCCTTCGCCAAGCCCAGCCGAGTACGCGGAGGCGCTGTATGACTACAAGCCTCAGCAGCCGGAAGATGTGGAGCTCAAAGCAGGAGACAAGATCACGGTGATTGACAAACTGAGCACGTCGTGGTGGAAAGGTACCGTCCGTGGTAAAACCGGAATGTTCCCTGCAAACTATGTCAGGCTAGTTGGATTGGCTCCGACCCCTGCTGCCACTCCTCAGCCATACCAGCAGCAGCCGATTTCCCCAATGTATGTTCCGCAACAGCAGCCTCAAGAATACACGCCAATGACCGTCGCTGAACAGCCCCAGGGAGGACAGCATAACGCCATGTTGAAAAAATTCGGGTCGAAACTGGGGAACGCAGCCATCTTTGGTGCCGGTGCTACAATAGGAAGTGACCTGGTCAACTCCATCTTCTGATAAGTTCTCTATGATTTCACTACTCGCTTTCCAAACCTCATATAGTGATTATCAAATACATACGTCGAATACGTACTGATTAGCATCTTCTAACTGTCTCTCAACAGTGCTGATGTTGGTATGGTGTTCCACTATAATACACACCCTCGTCTATGCTGGTACTCTTCTTCTCTATGCTTACTTTCTTCTGAATGCGCACCCCTCAGACAGCTTGGCCTTGCCTCCGGTTGGCGTGCACAGCACAGTGGTGCAGGAGTCGCAGGTGACGGCAGTTTGGGCGTGCGAGAAAACAGTGGTGATTTGCAAGCATCCTGGACACTTCACGTCCATGAAAAATGATCTTGGCTCTTGCACGAGGGTCTTGAGCTTGTGTTTCTTTGCCTCGGAAGCTGCGCTTGGGTGGAGCAAGTCTTGAACTAAAACCATGTTGAACGTTAATATCTAAAGGTGTGTGAAAAATTTTTGAATTCTTTCTGGACAGTGACTTGAAAAGGTTTCTTTTTTTTTCTGGAGCGAAAAGTAGCGTTACATAATCAATTAACAAATTGAAACTTTCTTAAAATATAGAACTAGAAAATAAAGTTAGACACTTGAGGGAAAAGTAGAGACGCCTACCCTGTGTTTTCTCACGTGACCCTGTTCGAATTTAGGTCCTAAGAATATTGCTACCTAAGTATATAGTGCCCGTATAGTTGATTACCCAACTGATTAACAACATTTCATTGACAAACTAAATCACAAATAGGTAATAAAAAGTATAAGTGGGCTTCGATGGAACTCATGACGGTGGCTGGCTCATTCCTGAACGATGAACATGTGGATTGCGACATAGTAAGCATCAAGCTTCTGATAATCATTTGGTAGGCTTCTTCTTGTTTTTCGGAGACTGGGCCCCTGGCGAAGGCTGTGTTCCGTATCCGTACTTCTTCTTTTCTGCCGGTTTGAGAATCTGGAAGGAGCAGAGTAAACTTTCGTCAACGCTCATCATGGCGCCAGCGTTATCGAATTCTCCGCAGTAGTTTGGAGCAGAAAATATGGTGACCAGCTGCCTTTTGCTGAAGAATTCGTATCCGTCTTCCACCACTTGATGCGCTCTACAGATGAGATCCATGTCATGTTTTTGTAGAAACCTCGAAACCACGTCTGGTCCAAAGGTGAAGGAGACGCCTCGATCGTTCTCACTCCATCCAGTTATATCTTTGTCTGGGTCGGACCACAGCAAGTCGCACAGCAGTCCCACATCTGGGATGTCTGTAGGTCTCATGACTCTTCTAATTTGCTCCATGGTGTTCAAATCTGGCGATAGTCCCCCATGCATCGTGAAGATCTTTTCATCGATGATAGCTGCAATAGGCAAACAGTTGAAACAATCTGTGAAGGTTTTCCAAAGTTTGATATTATAGCGTCTCTTACACTCATCGTAGAACCCGTAGATTCTGTTGATGGATGCACATTCGTGGTTGCCTCTAAGAATAAAGAAATTCTCTGGGTATTTGATCTTGTATGCTAGTAATAAACAGATTGTTTCTAATGATTGCTTTCCTCTATCAACGTAGTCTCCCAGGAATAGGTAGTTTGCCTCTGGCGGGAAGGCACCGTATTCAAACAGCCGCAGAAGGTCGTAATACTGCCCGTGAATATCGCCGCAAATCTTGATAGGAGCCTCAAGCTCAAGCAAAATAGGCTGTCTGATGAAAATTTCTCTCGCTTTGGTACATAGGTATCTGATCTCAAATTCGTGTAGTTGGACCTGCTTACCTGGTCTAGAACCTCTCACGTCGAGAAGTCTGTCGATAATGGACTCAATGTCTGCTTCTTGTTCGGCCATGGTTAGGTGGCGGAGGCGTTAACTGCAGTGACAAGAGGCGATGGCTTTAGCAAATACGTTTGTCAATGTATCAAACGCGTGGATTGACCGCAACGGACAAAAGGCTCGCTCGTTTGGATAAAGGTTGTTATTTTTTCCTTTTGTATCGGAACGTAGTGGCAACGCGTAAAAATAGTTACCCGCTGTTACTGATGGCTGTTAAAACTCGGACCACCGCTGTTGGAAGGTGGGTGGGATACGCAAGGGTCTCGAAAGAGTGATCTAAAACTGTTTTAACAAAAACAAAGCCCGCTCCGTTGCTATTTACTTGTTTTATTTTACAGCTTTCCCAATAAAATGGTCGTTGCAAAATTCGCCTTTCATCTCTCGGCCGGGTAACGTTGATATTTTTATACGGTGCGACTCCACGCGCTCCGGGTCGCCGGATCCATCCCCGGATACGCGCGCGTACCATCTTTCGTTCCCGCGTTTTCCTCCTGGCCTCTCCATTCCGCTCAATGGCCGGTGTCTCCACACCCAGCCCGCCATCAACGCCACGTCGCTTATCTTTTCTGTCCTGTCGTGTAATTTTCAACTAAATTTTTTATACTCTCGACATCCCCTCGATGCTGAGAAAAACGCTGAGTGGCTTGCCGTTTGCTCACCGTGCGTTCAGCGCACGTGCCGCGTGCCGCCAGGTAGAGTCTGGCGTGGATAATCAGTCGGAGCCTGCGGGAGCCACGATCATTCTTCCGCCCCTGTCTATAGCGGAGAGCTTTGAGAACGTGGGCATTCCTGGGCTGTTCAGTGAATCCGTACTTAAGGACATCTGGACCGTCCAGACTGCACGGAAGCTGGACGATTTGAAGTATGGAATATCCGAGTCGCCGCTGAGAAGCAGTCTGGAGTCCGCCTTTGTCGAATACAACTCGAGCAAGAACGTTTTTCTCAAGGGAAAGAAGACGTCTCCTGCCGACCTGATAGGGGAATTTGTCATGACGACTAATAACCCCACCATCGACAAGTACTACAAACTGTTGTCCAAGACGGCGAAAAAACCTACAGAGCAGTTTGTTTTCCAGAATGCCTCTGCCATCTACAACCTGTACTATTTCCTCTCGTCCCTCAAACCGAACCCAGACAACACAGTTGCCAAGGCCGGCGTCGACGAGCTCTACAAGACGCCAGACGTTTTTTCTGAGATCGAAAACGCTCCTCGTCCAGAGTTCGGGTCGCAGATCGAGGCCTCGTTCGGCTCTTTGCAAGAATTCAAGGCCCTTTTGCTGTCCACCGCAAAGGCAGTGAAAGGAAACGGATACACGTGGCTGGTGTACAAGTACAGACAGCCCGAATTGGGACAGGAAACAAGGGACCTGTCGAGATTCTCCTCGCTGGCGATCCTGAACACCTACAACCACGGCACGCCTCACCATTTCAGAGCAGGACAGATCTCGAACGCCAGGGCATTCAAGAAACAAAAATCGGAGTCGTCTGAACAGGACGACGGCTCCTTCAGCATGCACAAAATCGACATTCCTTCGCTGGAGCAGGCACAAGACACATACGAGCCGTTGAAGTACGTCTACGAGCCGCTCATGGCCATCGGAAACAACCCGTCTTTCTATCTGCGAGACTACGGTGTGTTTGGAAAGGCCAGGTACCTCGAAAATGTGTGGAATTGCATAGATTGGAGCGTGGTGGAGACCCGGTGGGCCAACAGAGCTCTCTCTTCAAGAAACTAATGTATATAGATTATGTCATGCAAGGAAAAAAAATTTAGAAAATATTGAGCTCTTGCGAACACTAACCGGCTCTAATGAAGAACCTAAGAATCCTCAACATTGGTCAGGTGGCGCCAGAGTCGCGGACGTACCCGGATCTGGAGGTCGTGGATTCCGTCTTCGACGCCGTGTCCGACTCTGTCACCATTGTGATGGGCTCTGAGGAAAGCCAGACGTTGGAGGTCCAGCAGTTCATGAAGACGGGCCAGGTCCACGTCCTTGCGTCAGTTCCCGTTCGCGAGTTTGACAAGATGGTATCTTTCGTTCACTTTGCGGACAGCTGCCAGCTCGTGGTCATCTTCGAACAGGGAGACATCATGAGTGCCGTGTACGACGCAGCAAGCCCCGATCCCGACTCCACGGTCGTCGAGATTGTTGGATCTATAGACAGCGGGATCAAGTGTGCGAGATGGTCGCCTGACGAGGAGACTCTGGCGGTTCTGACCGGGGAAAACAACCTGGTGCTGCTCACAAGGACATTTGAGCCGATTGCTGAGAAGTACCTGAACCCAAACGACGTGAACGCCAGCACGCAAGTTTCTGTTGGCTGGGGAAAGAAGGAGACGCAATTCAAGGGCAAAGGCGCGAAACAGCTGGAACGAGAGCGGCTGGCGCTGAAGAATGCCGGATTGAACATCGACAGCGACAATGCTATACTACACGATCCGACCGTCGCAGAGGTGCAACACGGCCACCTGTCGTCGTACGACACTTTCAAATGCGAAATTTCATGGCGTGGCGACAGCCAGTATCTCTCTTTAAGCTCCGTCGAGGAAGTCGAGCCAGGACACGAGCGCAGGGTGATCCGTGTTTATTCGCGCGACGGAGAGCTCGACTCCTGTTCTGAGGCAGTCGACGGCCAGGAGGAGCCGCTTTCGTGGAAGCCGCAGGGCTCTTTGATTGCCTCGACGCGCCGTCGGTTCGAGGAGGAAATAAATGAGCAGGTGCTGGAACTAATTTTTTTCGAGAGAAACGGATTGAGACACGGCGAATTCAACGCGCGGCTGGAAGAAAACACCCGAGTGCTGTCCCTGGACTGGTCGTGCAATAGCGAGATGCTAGCGTTCCGCCTTTTGGACCGTATCCAGGTCTGGACGACCAAAAACTACCATTGGTACCTGAAGGAGGAAATATACACTGCTGCCGGCGAGGAGATCCAGTTCATGAAATTTCACCCCGAAAACCCAATGAGGATCATGTTTGGCTCAAAAAAGAGAATAGAGATCGTCGACATGGCGTACGCGATGGGTCTGGGCCCAACGTGTCCGCCTACAGATGTCGGCATGGTTTTGGTAGCAGACGGAACAGAGTGCAAGATCACGCCGTTGGGCATGGCCAACGTTCCTCCGCCGGCCAGTCTGCGCGAGGTGTGGTCCGAGGAGAATTTGCTGGATGTTGCCTGCGCGCGCTCGAACTCGCTGTTTGCGCTTCTGAGCAACAACTGCGTGACTTTTGCTACCGTGGACTTGGAAAATATAGTTAGGGGCAGCGAGCCCAAAGTGCGCAGCGCCGTCACCAGGGACGCCTTCGCGGGCCCGCACGATCGTCCGCGGCAGGTGTGTTGTGCCGGCGACAATATGGCTGCCGTGCTGTTTGACACGGCGCGGTGTTCGAAAGTGGCCATTTTCGACGTCTCCAACGCTGACGAGCCGCTTCTGGCGTCTGTGGTGGACGCAGGCCCGCACAAGCCGGTTCTGGTGAAGCCGACCGTCGATTTCGAGCATCTCGCGTACGAAACGGCCGACGGGTCCGTGTATGTACTCGACCTCGGCACGTTCGAGGCGTCCAAGGTCACACAGTTTCCGCAGCTGTGCACGGATTTCTGGGTCACCGACGTTGACGACACGCGTGTCTGTTTTGGTCTTTCGTCCACCGGAAAGCTGTACGTCAATTCCCTGCTAGCTTGTTCCGGAGTCACGTCGTTTTTGGTCACCGAGTCTCATTTGTTGTACACGACGGCCAAACACCAGCTGAAATTCGTCCATCTGGACAGCAATATGGACCAGCAGCCGTTTTCTGAGGACGAAGACGACGAGAGAACTAGAATGATCGAGCGTGGTGCTCTCCTGGTGACAGCCATTCCGTCCAAAGCCAGCGTCGTGCTCCAGGCGCCGCGTGGCAACCTGGAGACGATCCATCCGCGGATCATGATTTTGACGGAAGTCAGACAGTTTATCAGGAACAGAAGGTATGCAGAAGCCTTTGTCGCGTGCCGCACGCACAGAATCGCGCTCGATATCCTTCACGACTACGACTCTGAGCTGTTTTTCAACAACGTGGAGCATTTCATCAAGGAGATCAAACGGCCCGACTATATCGAGCTGTTCATGTCTACGCTACTAGAAGAGGATGTTGTTGAGACAAAGTACAAGGAAACAGAGAAATCTGCCTCGTCGCTGTTCGAGCAGCTGCGGGTGTCGAACTATGTCAAGCCCCGGGGCAAGGAAAAAATTAGCAAGATCTGCGAGGCCATTCTGACAGTTCTGCTCACTCCACCGTACAAGAGCAAGTACTTGCAGACGATCATCACAGCCTACGCCTGCCAGCATCCTCCAAAGACCAAGCAGGCTCTGGAGCTGATTGGCACGTTCAAGAACGAGTCCGAGACCGAAAAAACCGTGCAGCACCTGTGTTTCCTGCTGGACGTCAACATGCTGTACGACGAGGCGCTGGGCATCTACAATGTGCCGCTCGCGCTGGTTATAGCCCAGCAGTCTCAAAAGGACCCGAAGGAGTATTTGCCGTTTTTGCAGAACCTACATGTGCAACCGGAGCTACGCAAAAAATTCATGATCGACAGCTACCTCAAGAAATACGAAAAGGCGCTCGACTCGCTGGTGCAGATCTCACCGGAGGACTCGCCAGACGTCGACGCCGAGATCGTCGATTTTGTCGTCGAACACAGTCTCTACACGCACGCCCTGGGTTTGTACAGATACAAGAAAGACAAGTTCGACGCCATAATGAGGGCGTACGCCGATTATTTGCACGAAAACAGAGAGTATGCGGACGCAGCTCTGGCATACGAAACGTTGTCGCAGACACAGCAGGCCTTGGAGAACTACGTGCTAGCCAGAAACTGGCAGCAGGCAGTCACTCTGGCTCTCCATGATAAACAGCTTCTCACAGACACCTGCACCCGTTTGGTCTCCTTGCTGACCGACAACCACGAATACTCGGCCGCGGCCTATCTGGAGCTCAAGTTCCTTGACAATATTGAGGAGGCGCTCAAATTGTACTGCAAAAACCACCAGTATGAGCAGGCCATCATGTTGTGCTACCAGGAAAACAGAAAAGAGTTGGTCGAGTCCGTGGTCGACCCGGCTCTTGGAGAGGGTTTCGGTGTGATTGCCGAGCTGCTTGCAGACTGCAAGGGCCAGATCAACTCGCAGCTGGGCAGACTTAGAGAGCTGCGGTCGAAAAAGCAAGAGGACCCATTCGCCTACTACGGCGAGATGGGCGAGACAGATGCACCAGACAACGTCTCCATAGCTGCGTCTGAGACGTCCACCAGAGAGTCGTTCTTCACCAGATACACAGGAAAGACGCAGGGAACGGCCAAAACGGGAGCTTCTCGCAGAACAGCCAAGAACAGGAGAAGAGAGGAGCGGAAAAAGGCCAGGGGTAAGAAGGGAACCATTTACGAGGAGGAGTACCTGGTCAACTCTATTGGCAGGCTGGTTGAAAGACTGAACCAGACCGAGCCTGAGGCGCTGAGACTGATCGAGGGTCTTGTGAGGCGGTCAATGATGGCGCAGGCGTACGAGATCCAGAAAAACTTTGTCGAGGTCAGAGAGCTGCTGAAGTCTCACGTACAGGAAATCTACAACATCAGCGAGAAGGACCGCGAGCGGATAGACGACAACGGCATGGTGTATCTTGTTCCTGAGATCCCGGTGCCGGAAATCAAGAGCTTCCCGAAACGCAGGCTCTTGGACTACTAGTGGTGCAAGGATGCGCTCGCTAGGAGAAGTTCAATTTTGTAATAAAATATAAACTAACTTTTGTCGTATGAGTGCTCCTTTTCTGTCGCTATCGGAGGTTGCCGATGGATATTTGGTGACGAGCGTGGCACGTGGCAGCCAGTCGCACGCGCTGCTGGTGACCAACTCGGGCACAATTGAGCTTGTTGACGCGGAAAAGCATGCAGTTGACAAGAATTCGCAGCCTATCTCAGGTATAATCGGCCTCATCCATCTACACAGCTGTCATTATCTGCTGGTTGTCACTGAGGCCTCAGAGATGGGCCAAGTGTATGGTGGCAAGAAGGTGTTCAAAATGACCTCGTTCAAGATGCTCCCGCTGAGCCCTACCAAGTACCACGTTGACGAAGACGAGAGCAAGTACATGAAGTTGCTGGAGTCCCATCTCCAGTCTGCCTCGCTGTTGTTCTCGTACGACTACGACCTGACGAAGCCGTTTGTCAAACAGGGCGAAAAGGGCTACGATCCAGAGTTTATGTGGAACTACTTTGTGTCGCAGGATCTTATCAAGGTTGCAAATCAGTTTGTGCTGCCGATGATCTACGGATACGCGAAGTTTGTGCACACAACTGTGAACATGAAGCCGGTCACGTTTGGCGTGATCACGAGGCGGTCGCGTATGAGGGCCGGCACGCGGTATTTCCGCCGTGGAATCGACTCCGAGGGCAATGTTGCCAATTTCAATGAGACAGAGCAAATTCTGGCTGTTCACACTCCAGAGGGTGACAAAGTGTACACCTATCTGCAGACCAGAGGCTCTGTCCCAGTGTATTGGGCAGAGATGAACAATCTTAGATACAAGCCGAACCTGCTGCTCGGGCAGACAGACTATACGCCTACAAGGCAGCATTTCAGCCACATGATTGAAAAGTACGGCACCACGTACCTGGTGAATCTCGTGAACCAAAAGGGCTACGAGGAGCCTGTCAAGTTGGCATATGAGAACGCTGTGACTGCGCTGAACGACCCGAACCTGAAATACACCTACTTTGACTTCCACCACGAGTGCAAAAATATGAGGTGGTACCGTGTCAAGCTTCTGATCGACCATTTGAGAGAAATAGGTCTGTCGCCGCAAGACTTCTCTGTGGTTAACGTTTCGGAGAAGTTTGTGGTCCAGCGCAAACAGGGCCACACAGTGAGAACTAACTGTATGGACTGTCTCGATAGAACCAACGTGGTGCAGTCCACGCTGGGCAGATTCTTTTTGCAGCAGCAGCTGATTGAGAGCGGCGTGATAAGCGGCGCAGAGGACTGGGAAAAGGTGGACCCTAAGTTCAACTTTTTGTTCATGAATATTTGGGCTGACAACGCAGACGTCGTGTCGAAGTCGTACTCCGGAACCGGTGCTCTGAAGACAGATTTCACCAGAACGGGCCGCAGAACGAAATTGGGCGCCCTGAACGATCTCGTCAATTCCATCACAAGATACATCAAAAACAACTACAGAGACGGTCCCAGACAGGACGGCTACGATCTGTTTCTTGGCAACATCCTGCCGTACGAGATGGCTACGTCGCCGTTCCAGGACCTCAGACCAGCGTACACCCAGTCCATCCCTTACGTACTTCTGGCTTCCATTTCTCTGCTGGTGATCACCTCGATCTATCCGAACAGCTCGCTTTCTCCGTTCAAGCGTTTCATCCTGAACGGGTTCCTGGTGACTGTTGCTGCGCTCTCGCTCAAGTACATCTTTGACAACGGAGTGCAGTACGTCAACTGGCCTAGGCTGTGCAGTCTAGATTATCTTAGCACTAGAGAGGTCCTGAACGACGGCAAGTTCGACGGCATTGTCTTCGAGAAGTCAGACCTGTACGACAAGTTCTCGGAGGTTGCAAAGAAGGAGTAGAAGATATATACACTAAGTCGGTTTCGGGCTGTGCAAGATTCGATATTTTTCAGATGAATTAATTATCTGTGACTCTTCGGCATTATGTCACTGGAGAGAAAAGAGCCAAACTATTTTGGAGCGGGGCCTGCCCTGCTCCCAACCAGCGTCCTGCAACAAGCCGCCCAGGACCTGATCAACTTCCAAGGAATTGGCCTTGGTGCCGGAGAAATCAGCCATCGCTCGTCTGCCGGTTCCAATATTACAGAGAGCGCTCGTCAGCACCTGGTCGAATTGCTGGACATCCCGGACACCCACGAGGTTTTCTTTCTGCAAGGAGGCGGAACAACTGGTTTTTCGTCTATTGCAACTAATCTCACAGCCTCGTTCGCCAAGAAGACCGGTCGGAAGGGCAGACCTGCCTACGTCGTCACTGGAAGCTGGTCGAAAAAAGCTGCCGAGGAGGCTGCCAGACTGGGCTTCGGTCCGGACATCGTGCTGGATTCAAAGAAGGTCGACGGCAAGTTTGGCACGATTCCAAGCACCGACAAGTGGAGCATACCTGAGGATCTGTCCAACACCTCGTACCTCTACTTCTGTGACAACGAGACCGTCAACGGCGTCGAGTTCCCGGAATTCCCATTTGACAAGTTCCCAGGCGTCGAGATCGTGACAGACATGTCCTCGAACTTCTTGTCCAAAAAGGTGGACGTTTCCAAGTACGGGTGTATCTTTGCAGGTGCGCAGAAAAACGTTGGTCTGGCCGGGATCACGGTCTATATTATCAAAAAGAGCCTTCTTGACTACCCAACTGATGAGGAGCTGACCAAGCTGAACATCCCTTTGAGCCCTATCGCGTTCGACTTCCCAACTGTGGTCAAGAACAAGTCGGCATACAACACCATCCCAACGTTCACCGTTCACATCGTGGACCTTGTCTTGCAGCACCTGATCCAGAAAGGCGGTCTTGAAGTCCAGCAGAAGACCAACGAGCAGAAGGCCAGGCTTCTGTACGAGGCTCTGGAAGAGTTCCCTAGCGTGTTCAAGCTTGCTGTGGAGAAGCCGGTGAGGTCGAAAATGAACGTGGTGTTCACGCTGGCTGACGGCTCCGACGCCGAGTTCCTCAAGGCTGCGGAAGAAAAAGAGCTCACGGGTTTGAAGGGCCACCGGTCTGTTGGCGGCATGCGTGCTTCTCTATACAACGCCGTGTCGCTGGAGAGCGTCAAGCTGCTATGCGACTTTGTGAGAGCGTACGGTGCACAACACGCCTAGTCTGTCTGGTAGCCATTTAGATAATAAGCGATATCGCATTTCTGGTCCATGTCGATGTAGCAGTGCAGGATCCCGCCCTGTGCGTGGATGATGAGAGACATTGCGTCACACAGCTCCATCAACCTCGCACCAACGTTCCAGTGCTTGAGCTTCACTTTCAGCGACACCGGCCGTAGCACACTCGAGTCCCAGCTCTGCGGCGCCGCATCCTCGTCGTCGGGCAGAACGTCCAGCTGCTCTTTCCACTGGACCACGATTTTGCGCTGTTCTTCTTCGATGACAAACTTCAGCTGTCCGGTCTGATTTCCCACAATGGATATCAGGTCCGACGTCCGGTAGCGCTCGAGACGTTTGAGCAAGGGCACGATCCGCATCGGCAACTTCATGGCCAGCTTCATGCTGTCCATTGTCGGCTCCACAATCCTCAGATCGCTGTCCATCTTGAGCAGCCGCACAGGAACGTTGAACGAGTGGCTCACGTTCGAGGTCACGGAGATCTGCTCGGTGTAAAAAAGCGCAAGCGACGCAGCAGCCTTGTTTTTTATCTCTCCGCCGTTAGAAGGTCTTCGTTGCAGGCGGATCACCAGACTGCTGGACACGTTGGACTTTTCGTAATTGCGCAGTACCTGCAGCAGAGGCTCAATGTTGATCTCGAACGGTATCACATTGTTGCGTGTCGAATCCACCTCGTAAAGCTGAAATATGCTTGAATCAAGCTTACACCAGACAGTGGGTTCGTTCAGTCCAGAAGACACTATGATCAATTGCTGCTCTGTAAAGCGGAACACACACATCCGTCGCAGTCCAATGAGAAACGAGAGACATTTGCGCAGCTCGATCGGCTTGTCGGCGACAACCTTTAGTTTCATGGAGAAAAGAAAGCAAGTCCCGATCTAGATATTTACTCTATTTTCTAGGACTCAAAATTTATTTATTTATTTATTTAAATTCTGTATCACAACCCATAGCTCCGTTTCTCAGCCTCATTCAATTTAGGGAAAAAGTTATTAGGAGACGTCACCAACCCTAGGGCCCGAATTCCGATCGTGTCGAGGTTCTCAAGTCCCAATAAATATCCAGCATTGACCCATCCAAAGCCCTCGGTAGCCACTCCCTTGAAATCAGAACCTTGGTTACCATACTCGGCATCGACCTTGTGTGGACTCTGTTCCGACGTGGCGTCGTACTTTTCAACAACAATGCCGTTAAAATCAACAAATGCAAGTGTGATCAGATAGCACCATCTGTAGGAAAGCCTCTTGGCAATGGCGGTGTAGCCGTAGTTCTGCAACCCCCTCCACGTCATGATCTGGTGCGGCGACCACGCGTACGGATAGTCCCACTGTCTCGAAGGCTTGTTCAGCCCAATCTCGCCTCGAGACTCCTTTGTTCCGCTCACAATGCCGCCAAACACCTCGAACCGTGGAAGAGCCTTCTCCACCAACGCTTTGGCCTGCTCACGTGACGCAAGCTTGGCCCACAACGGGTAGAATGTGGTGGCCGACTCGTACAAGCTTTGTCTGTGTGTCTTGATGTTGTAGTCAAAGTACATTCCCTTGGACTCGTTCCACAGATACTTGTCAATACGCTTCTTGCGCTCAGCGGCCAGGAACTCCCACTTTTCAGCAGTTTCAACTTGTCCGTTGAACTCCAAGTGGTTGTCGAAATACTCGCCAATGATGAACGCAATGTCTTTCTCGTATTTGTACAGCAAAGAATTCAGATCAACAGTGGCCAAATAGGCACAAACGCCTTCCAACCGGTAAGAGGTATCGTGTCCACTTTCTCTGACGGCGCGGTCGTGGAGGAAGTACTCATCGAGCTCGGGATCGACGATCTCTCCATCGTTGTATTTCTTGGTAAACTCCTCGAACGACACACCATACTTCTCGCAATATGGCTTCAAGACTGCACAGAAATGCGTGGCCTCTGTCTCTGGAGGGATGCCTTTGCCTTCTGGATGGTAGCAGGAGAGACCAGTCTCTGGGTCTAATCTTGGAGGAGAGCACCAGACCGTGTTGTATTCCTTGATTGCAGCCTTCACTGTGCGCTCCAAAAAGCCCAGGTCCTGGATGCCCTTTTGAACCTCAAGATAGTGGAACACATGCAACGCCATGTCGGTCAAAAATGGGGGCTGCGACCGGCCCAGGTAGTAAGATCTGTTTGCATTCAAGATCTTGCCGTAGTTCTCGATCTCAAAGATGAAGTTCTCACACATACCGATACATGGGTCCACAATGTCACAGAGCAGAAGACCGAGAGTCTCAAAGTACGAATCCCAGCCATATTGCTCGTTGAATCTTCCACCAGGAACGACGTACGGATAGCCCTCCAGATCGGCGTATTCCTGGCTGCGTCTGCGCGTGGCCAGGGCTAGAAGACCCGGTTTGTGGTTTATAGACTTGATGTACTCTCCATCGATGTGCTCGGGCAAGTATTCCACCTGCAGGTTATGTTCTGGACACTTTTCGGCGAGTTTTTGGTAGTACGCATAGAGCTCATGCTGGTTGTGAGGCACGTAGACACGAGGAATACGGGCTTCAGGAGTGTCGATCTTGGTATCCGAAGCCATGTTTATAATGCTGTGCTCGTCAAGCGTCCGGGTCAGGTTTCTCCAGAATGTATTAGAAATGAGTCGTTTCAGTCTGTTAACGGGGTTCTCGTTGAGACGGGCCTCGTCCAGAATCATCTGCTTGCGGCCCATCCGTTTCGCAATGGTCAGCTCCTGCAGCAGGTTCGACAGCATGTAGGTGCCGCGGATGTCGTACTGCCGGTAGCCGTTGGAGTTTGCCGTGCCGAGCTTCAGCACCTTCGGCCCACTGTCCTCAATCGTGATCTGGTAGTTCTTATCTGTGTCCTCGTTTTCAAGTAGCTCCTCCAGCGTGGCGTCGATGTCGCTGATAAAAAAACGCTTGGAGTTCTTCATGCTGGAAGAGTCGTCGGCTGATCCGCGCCGCCGCAAAGTCGCATTGCTGCTGGCAGAGTTCACTGTTCCCGAGGAAACACCGGGCAAGCTGTAGAGCTTCTGCGAGTTGACCACCTCCAGATTGTGCTCCTTCACGAGAGACGACGTGGACTCGCTCGGAGAGTGGAGGGCGGAGCCAGCCTCAGAGGGGGTCTCTGAGACCGCCGAGTCGTCCTCGTCGTTTGAGCTGTGGCCCATGTCAAACGTGGCGGACCCGTTGGGAGGCGGGGTCGCAGTCGGCGAAGGCGTTAGCTCGCTAAACTGGAACACCTTTCTGTTAGGAATGACAGCAGACAAGGTCCTTGTTCTGCCGTAGCGGGACGCTTTGTTGGACTTCGACGGGTCGGTCTTCGGTCCGTAGTACAAGTCTGCGGTTGCAAAAGGGTCGACGTCGTCTATCGACGACTGTCTTTTGTGAGAGGTCGGCATTGCTAAAGAGTGCGCAAATAGAAACTGATAGATAAATGCAAAACTGGGGGGAGACCTTAAATGAGGCAATCATGGGTATTACGTAAGTACGGAAGAGCCTTGAGCATGGCGCTCCGGAGGCGGTGTGGGAGAAGGGGGTGAGCGAGGCTTGAGAAGAGCGGGATGTACCCGAACGCCGTTGGGCTGCATCGGGACGCTGGCGAATCTGCGGCCAGAGGGCCGTCCCGTCCAGACAGACGGAGGCAGCTGGTTACCCTACGGGACAAAAAAAAAAATAAATGGCGAAAAAACACAGATCAACACAAAACAACATGAGCGAAGACAAGAGCGTTTCCAGCGTGCCTAAGACCGAGGAGCCGGCCCTGAAGCCGCCTACGGCCAACGTGTTTGCGATGTTTGGAGGCGCCAGCGCCAAGAAGGAGGAGAAGAAGGAGGAAAAGGAGGAAAAAGACGCCAAAGAAGAAAATAGAAACGGATCCAAGGACAAGGAGGGTGAGGACGAGGAGGAGGTTCCGGAGAACGACGACATCCATTTCGAGCCTCTGGTCCAGCTGGAGAAGGTGGAGGTGAAAACCAACGAGGAGAACGAGGACGTTCTGTTCAAGATCCGGGCCAAACTGTTCAAGTTCCACCCGGAGTCGAAGGAGTGGAAGGAGAGAGGTACCGGAGACGTCAAGTTTTTGCAGCACAGAGAGACCAAGAAGGTGAGACTGCTGATGAGAAGAGACAAGACGCTCAAGGTGTGTGCCAACCACATCATCGCTCCCGAGTACAAGCTGACTCCGAACGTCGGGTCGGACCGTTCGTGGGTGTACAGCGTGACTGCGGACGTGAGCGACGGCGCTCCGGAGGCACAGACCTTGGCGATCCGGTTCGGCAACAAGGAGAATGCAGAGAAGTTCAAGGAGGAGTTCGAGAAGGCCCAGAAGGCCAACAAGGCCTAAAAAGTAAATACAGTGTATTGGTGACCTTAATACATACAGGAGAGCTGGAGCTAGTCGTCCTTGCCGTGGTTTACGAGCAGCCGCTTGTTTCTGCGTGCGCGGCCGGCCCTGTTCCAGCCCCACTTGAACAGAACCCACAGCATCAGCAGCGGCGTGAACTGCGGCCAGAGCACAGACAGGATCTCGACGTCGCAGTCCTCGTCGACGGCCTCCCAGAGCATGAAGTCGCTCAGCCTGTACACGCCGGACGTTCGTATGAGCAGCTGCAGCTTTGGGACGCCCGCCGTGTACAGGTTTTCGCTCACGAGGTCCTGTGTGATGTCCTCTGGGTCGTGGCCCCTGGCTATGATATTTTTTATTGCATGCGTGATATCGTCTCTGGCTGTGTACGGACAGCAGATGTTGAGCACTGCGCGCGCGTTGTTTTTCGTCATTTCCTGCGCTTCGAGCAGCGACTCGCGCACGTCCGCGGGCAGAAGCTTGAGGTTGCCCAGAATGCGGATTTTCACGCCGTACTTGTGGCACAGCTCGCCGTTGTCCACCACCTGTTTCATTTTGGACTTGGCCAGCTTCATGAGCCACTCGATCTCGTACTCGCTGCGGTTGAAGTTCTCGATCGAAAAGGCAAACACCGTCGCTGCCTGCACGCCGCAGTCGTAGCACACCTCCAGCAGCCGGGCCATCGTGTCGAACCCGGCGCTGTGGCCCTCCTTGGTCTCCATCTTGTTCATCCTGGCGTATCTGCGGTTGCCGTCCATGATGAACCCGATGTGCTGCGGCACGCTTCCGCTCCTCAGCACCGCGCACAGCTGTTTTTGCGTGTACTCCAGCACGTGCCGTGTCACTGGGAACGAGGATATCCAGTCCATGAAGTAAAATACAGGTGAAACCGGAAATATAATATTTTCTTGAGAAATATTTGGTTTTCCCGTCGGATACAACTGAGTAATCCGGCAGAGACAGTGCCATGACTTGAAGCATGTGACCAGCCGTTGACTTCTAGCCGGCAAAGTTGTGCCCAGGCGCCCGGGGAATGCGTCCATTGTGTGCCTGGATCGAGTGCCAAAGGTATGCTACGGCACAGAGCACAAATACGTGCGACTTGTGCAGCTGCGATCGACCAGGAGATATTTGGGTTAGAAACAAAACCATGGCTCCTCGAAGCGGACCATATGCAGGCTGCTGGACTGCTGTACTGGGCAGGTCTGCTAAACAGACCTGCCCAAATTCGTATATAACGAGCGTGGACAGGTTGCAACCAAAATGCAAAATATTATGGGATGGTGCCGCATTGTGCCACGATAGCGTTGCTGTGAGCTCGTCTGGGTCTTCTTGGCTACCATGCACACATTGTGGCATTAGATGACACACTTGGGGGTAACTATCGCCAATTGAGCTGGAAATGGGCCCCCAACAAGAACATGGTGCCTAAATGTAAATTATAGGAACAACGGCTAGCAAACTCACCCCAACACAACACATTCCCCGTTACAGTCATCCACCAAAAAGAGAAACGGATCAGCTGCTGGGCATTTGCTTGCCAGCGGAGCTCTTTCCGGGAAGAACAACCCAAAGAGCGTAGACAAAAACAAACCTGCACCCAGTACCGTCACCATCCTGGAATAGTGGTTCACGTTTATCACGACCAAAGGCAGTCCCCACCGAGAGGATCCAGCCCCTGCCTCACATGGCCCGAGTCACGGTGCGTGCTTCACCGGCGGACCGGCCAAAGGTTTCCGGTCGGAAAACCATCGCCTCCCAGACGACATCCCATATTTCCGGTTTCCCTATTCAGCGAATATTTTTTTTAATTCAAACAAATCGTGCATGTCCTTTTTGCGGCCAGTTTCCCTCGCTAGACGTTATTCGTCGTTCCTGACCGCCGTCGAGACGGCAGAAAAGCTGGTGCAGCCCAGCGTGGGCTCCAAGTTCGACCCCTTCAGCATGGTGTCCGCCGAGATGCGCGTGCTGGCGAAAAACATTGCTACTCTCATTGGCTCTGGGCACCCAACGCTCAACAGAGTGGCGTCGTACTATTTCGAGGCAGAGGGCAAGAACGTGCGGCCGCTGATCGTGCTGCTGCTGTCCAAGGCGCTCGCTAAGATCCCAGAGTCCGAGAGGACCCGCATCGCGATCGACCCCTACGACGTGAACGAGCAGGAGGAGTTCAAGGGGACCCCGAGGGCATTTTCCTTTGCGGGACAGAGCCCGCTCGACTCGATCAGCCCGCTGCGGGTGCTGCACGGCATCAACCCGAACATCATTCTGAACCCGTTGTCGAAGCCAATGATGGACAGAGAGCTGTACAAGGCGAAGGACGCGCAGAACGGCATTCTGCCCAAACAGAGGCGCCTGGCAGAAATAACCGAGATGATCCACACGGCGTCGCTGCTGCACGACGACGTGATCGACTTTTCGGACTCTCGCCGCGGCAGAGACTCCGGGAACGTGGCGTTCAGCAACAAGATGGCCATTCTTGCAGGCGACTTCCTGCTGGGCAGAGCGTCGGTCTCGCTGGGACGACTGCGGAACAGCGAGGTGGTGGAACTGATGTCCACGGCGATCGCGAACCTCGTCGAGGGAGAGTTCATGCAGCTGAAGAACACCGTGATGCAGCCCAACGTCGGCCAGATCGAAAACGGCGGCGTCGTCAAGCGGATCCCGGAGCCCACGGGGAAGGTGCCCGTCGAGGTGCACGAGTACTCCGTCAAGATACCGGAGACCATCTCGCACGAGGAAAACGTCGAGGCCGCGTTCCAGTACTACCTGCACAAGACCTATCTGAAGACTGCCTCGTTGATGTCCAAGTCGTCGAGGTCGGCCGCCATCCTGGCCGGCTGCAGTGACGACGTGATCGAGAACTGCTACCAGTTTGGCAGAAACCTCGGTCTCTGCTTCCAAATAGTCGACGACATGCTAGATTACACCACAACCGCAGAAATGCTGGGGAAACCGGCCGGGGCAGACCTGCAGCTGGGCCTCGCGACGGCACCTGTGCTGTACGCATGGAAAGAGAAGCCGGAGCTCGGGCCGATGATCGGCCGCAAGTTCTCCAAGCCTGAGGACGTCGAGATTGCAAGAAAGGCCGTCGAGGACGCCAAGGGAGTGGAGAAGACGCGAGAACTGGCCGAGAAGTACTGCACCGACGCGCTCCGCAACCTGCGCACCCTGCCGGACTCGGACGCACGAAACGCGCTCGAGATGCTCACCAACTCGGTCCTCACCAGATCCAAGTAGCTGTGTACATAGATATAGAGGCGTCGATCGACGCGTCCACGAATGGTATAAAAAAAAAAAAAAAAACCTTATTTATTTTAATTGTATGTTTAGTTCGAGACTGACGATCTCTAGAATTTGTCGTCTCTGCCGCCTACCGCCCGCTCTTCGAATGACACCTCATGGACTCTCCACCATTGTTCCCCGCGACCTGCAGCCAGAGCTCGCAAGAACCATCCAGTCTCTGCCCGCGGGAGCACAGATGGCTGCCGACGGTGAGGTCGCCGCTGGCGCCCTCTCGGCGGCAGACGCACTGGCGCTAATCAACACGCGAAAGTACAACCTTCTGTCGATAGATGTGGAAAATTACGAGTGGAAACAGGAACATTTGCTGGAGATAGGGCTCTCCATCTATAAACCATCATACCAGACCCACGCCCTTTTCCCCCATATCGTCAATTTCCACATCATTCTGGAAGAAGGCCTGAAATACGCCAACAAGAGATTTGTTCCTAATAACCGCCTGAACAACATCACGGGCCAGTCGATAATCGCAAACAAAGTCCAAGCCCAGACGATCATGCAAAAAGTGTTTGACGACGTGGATCTGTCCAAAACGATCGTTGTCGGACACGGCTTTGCGTCTGACATGCGCCTGTTTCGAATGTGGGGCCTGGAATTCCCGCAACACGTGAAAGTCGCCGACACTATGAAACTGTGGTCCTCGCTGGTGCCGTCTGCAAAGAAAAGCTCGCTCTGCTACATCCTAGACAAGCTGGGTATCCCATATGCCTATTTACACAACGCGGTCAATGACTCGTATTATACACTTGTGGCATGCCTGATGCTGGCGTCGCCAGAAATTCGTAACAACCTGGTGATCAAGGAGAAAGAGATCGACGACGAAACAGGCGAGGAAGTCGTAGTTCACCGCGTGCGGTGTTCTCCCCACGACCAAGACCTCGAGCTCAGAGGCCCCGACCGCAAATCAAAACGGCGCACCCAACAGATGTACTTCCACGCTCCCCGCGAGAGTTTTCCCGTGGAGCACGTGGAAAGCGTGCTCAAAGAGTTCCCGTGAATCAGGTCGTCAATATATCTCTGTTCTGCATTGTGATCGACTTGGTCATGTTGCTCACCTTGTATATACCCACCAGCTGCTGGGCAAGCTCGAACATATTGTTTCTGAGAGAAATGACGATGAACTGTGCGTTTTTCGTGCGCTCCTTGATATAGTTGGCCACAATACTCACGTTTCTGAAGTCCAAAGCAGCGTCAATCTCGTCCATCACATAGAGCGGCGTGGGCTTGTAGCGATGTAGAGCGAACACCAGCGCCAGCGAAGACAGAGTCTTCTCTCCTCCAGACAGATTGCTGATGTTTTTCCACGACTTCTTTGGAGGCATCACAGAAAAGAGAATGCCCTCCGAGAACGGGTCCAGCGAGTCCACCAGCTCCAGCTCAGCGTTTCCGCCCATCGTGATCATCTGGTACATCTCCTTCAGCGTCAGCGAAATAGTGTTGAAGCCTGCCATGAACTCGTCAAGACGTCTTTTCTTGAGATCCTCGCACGCCTGTTTCAGCTCGTCTCTTTTGGTCACCGACTCGTTTAGGTCCGCTTTGCGCTCGTTGTACTCCTTGTGCCGTCTTGCATACTCCTGCAAAATGTCCAAGTCGACCGTCATCGCCTCGGTATCTTTCTCCAGCTCCTCGATCTCAGACGCCAACGCCTCGAAGTCCACCTTCTTCAGGTCCTCAGACGAATATTCCGGAGGCGGAGCCAGCAGCCGCTGTTTGGTGTCGCAGTCGTCCATCCAGCCAACAAGACTCTCCAAATCGCGCGTTTCTGCATGGCCCATTTCGCTGGTGATCTTCTTTATGTTGTATTTGCACTGGCTGATGCTCTGCTCGCACTTCTCGATCTCGGTGACAAGCCCAATCTCTCCTTTTCTGAGATCTGCAATCCTGGACTGTTTGAAATCCAATTCCTCCTTAATCTCGTCGCACTTCTCCACAAGCTCCTCCATCTGCGCACTCAACTCTTGCAGTTCCTTCTCCGAAGCTTGGAACTTTGCGAGACTCGTGTCGTAGACCTCACGTATCTGGTTGATAGCCTCCTCCGCCTCCTTGATTTCTGCCTCGTTTTCGGTGATCTGGTTGTTCAATCGCGTCATCTGGTTACTTAGCTTTGTGAGCTGCAACGAGTCGTTGGACTCTTTCTCGTTGAAAATCTCCAGCTTCTGCAGAACAGAGTCCACCTTTGACTTCTGCATCTTCAACTTCACACCGCCAACTTGCATGATCTTATCCTCGAGCACTGCAATCTGGTCTTCCAAGCCTTGCGACTGGTCTTTCAGATCTTGCTTCTCGGCCTCCAACTTCGCAATCGCCTTTTCCTGCCTGGATATCTGCTCTTCAGTATCGGCAATGGCCTTCTTGTTGGCAGAAACTTCTTTGGCTCGCTCTTTCGCTTCCTTGGCTTCCTGCTGGTCCATGTCTATTTCCAGTCTCAGCTTCGAGATTTCCATCTCAATCTCGGGCAGCCTGTCCTTGAAAGCAGCCAACGCCGTCTCCATCTCGTTAAAGGCATCCTGGGCCTTCAAAAATGCGTCTTCTTTGGTATGGACCTCCTCGACCATCGCGTTGAGCTCTGCCTCAGAAATCTCCCCGCCCTTAGTGGTGGCAGACTTCAACTTCATGGCGCCGCTGAACACCCTAGAGCCTCCTCCAGATAACGTTCCACTCACATCAACCAGCTTACCATCAAGGGTCACCACACGCCATCTCTTCGCTCCAAAGGCTACCTTGTTGGCCTCCTCCAAATTGCGCGCAACCAGCGTGTTGTACATGGAGCTGTAAAATGCCGGTGCAAACTTCGGATCACAGGGCGTGATCAGGTCAAACAGTCTTGGAACGTTATTGGGCGTGGGGATTTTGGAAAGATTGAATTTTCGCAGCTTGTCCAGGACAATAAACTTGCCAAACCCAAGATTGTTCTTTCTCATGTAGTTGATACACTGTTGCGCGGTCTCGACAGAATCAACAACCATATCGTCCAACGACCCTCCTCCTGTCGACACGGCAACGTCGTATTTATCGTCAATCACACCCAAATCACCCAGACGGCCGTAGAATCCTTGCAATCTTCCCGAGTTCTTCAAGTGCGTCAACGCCTGAAGAACCCTGTTGCGCGACTTTGTCCTGGTTACCCTGTTTCTGGCGTCATCCAGCTTGTCTCGCAGCACACGGATCTCAGACTCCATAGCTTTCAGTTTTTTCGAAGCTTCGTCAACCTCAGCCTCCCCAAGCTGGATCTGCTCAGACACATGGACCTGCTCTTTCTGCAAATGCTGGATCTGTTTCTCCTTGGCCCTAACATGCTCCAGCTTCTCGTCCGCCTTGCCTTCTATTTCTTTAGTCTCGTTCAAGAGCTCCTGATGCTTTTGTTTTAGCATTTCCAGCTGCGACGTCTTGATGTCGACCTCAGCCTGCTTGGCACTGATTTTGTCTTTCCAGGGCTCCAGCTGCTGCTGCAATTTCTCAACAGACGCAGACAGGTCTTTGGTCTTGTCAGAAAGCTCGTACTTGATTGCCTCCAGCTGCTCCTGCTCCTTTTCAAGGGTCGAGTTGAGCTCCTCTAACTGTGTCTCGGTTTCCTTCTGGCTTCTCTCCAATTCAGCAATGTTAGCCTCGTTCTCGCGCATCTGAGAGGAGCTACTCTGTAGCGCTTTGACGGCTTTTTTTTTGCGGTTCTCGTTGTGCTTTATTTTTTCGTCCATCGAAATCTTCTCTCGCTCGATCTTCTTATGCGCACTCTTGAGACTGGCGACCTGTTTCTCGATGGCTTTCACCTCTGAGCTCAACTCGTGGTGCTGCTTAGTCAGCTCGTCGATCTCGCTGTTGTGCTGTGCCGTCTGTTCTTTTTCCTTGTCCAGTTTTTCCCTCAGCGTCTGCAGGGTCGCTGTCTTCTTTTCAAGCAGATCCTTATCCTTTAAAAGTCGATACTGCAAATACAACGACCGCTTGTCTGCCAGGGTCTTCTCCTTGCGCAGATACTTCAACGCATTCTCTTTGCCACCCTCCAAATCCTCCTTGGCCTTTTCGACGATCTCGTAACGGTGCTCTTTCTGCACACATATATCGTTCAGAACGTCGATCTCGCGGATACTGGATTCAATGGTGGCCTTGTACTTTGCTGTGCCAATGATATCCTCCAAATACTCCAGCAGCCCGTCGTCGCTGCTCCCCTCCGCCTTCGGTTTCATCTGCGCGATGCTCTCGACCTCCCCTTGCAAAATCAGAAACCGTTTGTGGTCAAGGTCGATTCCCTGGTCTCGTAGCAATGCCTGCATGTCCGCATAGGTGCATTTTTTGTCGTTAATGAAGTAATCCGACGAGTTGTTGCGGTACGCTTTTCTGGAAACCACCAGATCGGGAACAGATAGATACTCTGTCTGGAGCTCGCCGTTCTCGTCGTAGCGGTCCAGAACCTTTTTGAACAGGATATCGACCTGGCAGAAGCTGAGATCCGGAAACGCCTCTGAATTGTGGATCAGCTCGCTCAGTTTGGATTGTCGCATCTTGGTGGCACGGAACCCAAACACGAAAAGAAGCGAGTCGATGACGTTGGACTTTCCGGACCCGTTGGGCCCGACAATCGCCGAAAAGCTGGCATTGAACGGCCCCACCGTCTGTCTGCCGGCGTACGACTTGAAGTTCGTGAGCACGAGCTGCTCAATGACCAGCCGGGGCTGGAACTCTTCCTTCAGATCGGGCTTCTGCTCCTGGGCGTAGTGGCTGTGGACAAGGGCCAGCGGCTGCTGGGGAACCTGTGGCGGGTGTTCAGGCTTGAGGGCCACAACCTCGACGCCCTGCTGGTTCATATCGCGCGGTCCCAACATCTGGCGATTGGCCTTATTTTGATTCATAAACAAAACAAAAAAATAAAAACCCAAGCAATTTCTTACCTAAGCATATCTTTTAAAATAATTGTCAAAAAGCGGAGATGGCCCACGAATTCCCTGAATTGCGTACGTATATCCCATAGCCGCCTAACGCCAGTGTCGCACGAGCAAATGAAAGAACACCAGATCCCGCTGCCGTTCCGGGACAGGTGCGCAGGGCTGCTGGTCCCGCTCAACAAGTGCCGCCAGGAGGGGTGGTTCCTGCCGTGGAACTGCGTGCACGAGAGACACGCGTACGAGGAGTGCCAGTACCTGGACTTCAAGAGACGCGTCAAGGAGCTCGAGGAGCTGAAGAGGGCCCGCTCGAGCTGAGGGTGCTGCGCTGCTTACCCATCTATTTATTAGTGCCCCAGTGTTATGTACGTGGTGTAAGGATGTATCCTGCTTTGCGCGGTCGGAAAAATTCGCGCCGGGAGGCCGGCAAAACCCCCACAGATTGTACCCCACGAAAGGCTATTGTCGCGGGAGGTTTGTCCGCACTTTTAAAATTTTTTACAACACGTTCTTCATGTTCGGCTACAAGCTCTTTGGCAAGGACGGCCGAGATCTGTACAAGACTCCGCGCGAGTTCCACGTGCGGGCCCGGCAGGACGTCCAGCGTCATCTGCAGAACTTACAGGACAAAAACAGCGCAAAAACAGCCGAAACTGTCCAGCCCGCCACGGAACAAGAGCCCTCGCTTACGTACGGCTCGCCGCCCCTCAGACGGGCCATCACGGTGTCGTCGCAGGACTCGTCTGACGACGCGTCCACCGAGTCCGAACCCGCGCAGCTCCGGCGCACAACCACCGTCCAGACGGCCGACTCGTCGCTCTTCAGCCACCTCACCCAAATATACACAAACACAACGCTTCCGACACAGGTGTCCGAGCCCGCAGCCGTGCCCGAAGGGTGTATATCGCTTGCGGACGCGCTGCCGCACGACTTCCGAGACTACTATTCGCCCGATTTGCAGACGTTGCGGTTTCCGAACGGACGTCCGACGTTCACAAAAAGAGGCCTGCGCGACTGGGAGCTGAACGACCTGCGGTCGCTGCTGATCGTGGACGCGCTGCGGCCCGAGTGGCACGGCAAGGTGCCGCAGGTGGTCTCGCCGTACCCGACGATCCCGCTGCGCATACAGGTTCTTCCCCTGGACGCCTCCGACACGGAGTATGTGCAGCTGCTGGCTAGCTCGGACATATACAAGGAGAGCCGGTTCGACGAGGATTTCCGGCACAAGACAGCGAACTACGTCGTGCAGCAGGCGCGGCAGCGCCACGCAAGCCAGTTCCAGAGCAGCGTGTTTCTGAAGTACGAGTGGAGAAATATCGTGGAGAACTATCTTCTCAACCTGGCGATCGAGAACCAGTGCCGGTACGAGTTCAAAGTGAAGATCAGCGGGCTGAAAAAGATGAAACACGAGGGCACCCAGCGCGAGGAGGTGCTGTACAAAAAGGCTCTGAAAAACCGCATCGAGCTGACCGACGAGGTCAAGTTCCAGGTCTGGCAGGAGGTCCAGCGCAGCGTGTACAGGAGTTTAGGCAGTGTATGAATAGTGCGAGCGGGAAGGGTTATTTCTATAGAGTGGATAGAGTATCTATTGGCGGATTCTAGTTGTCCTTTTTTCGAACTGCCCGGATGAAGGCGCGCTCCTCGCCCAGCACGCTGTACACTTTGAGGAGCTGCAATTTTTCGTCGTCGGTGGCCGTTGCCAGTTTGCTGTCCAGCACGCTCTTGAGCTCGATTTTCATCCCGGCGATCTTCTTGCCCGCCACCGCCACCATCTCGAGGCTCCTGTACTTGAGCAGCGCGCTGTAGATCTTGTTGGTGGACAGAAACAGCACCACGAGCTCCCTGACGTCTGCCGTGGCGATCTTCTTGCTGAACAGCGTCAGCTGCTCCTCCAGCACCACCAGCTGGTTGACGACCGCCCTGTACACGCTCAGCTTGCGTTTGTAGAGCAGCAGCGAGTCGACGGTCTCGAGGTCGGCGTCGATCTTCATGTTGGAGACGGACAGGTCTCTGATGTAGCCGTTGAGGTCGATTTTGCAGTCGTGGATCAGGTCCACCGACCCGTCGATGGAGTTGCCTAGCTCAATGAAGTTCAGGTAGTCGTTGTTGACCAGGTCGATCAGCTCCTGGTCGATCTCGTGCAGCAGCGACCCCAAGGACTTGGTGAGGTCGTCCAGCGACCAGTACTTGTAGCTCTGCACCAGCAGCTCCGACGGGCTGAAGCGGCCTTCCGGGAGCTTTGTGACGTTGTACTGGAACGACTCACGGGTCAGGGTCGAGTAGAATTCGAGCGAGTCGTCCGAAGAAACGGATTCTGTCATGCAAACAAATGAAAAAAAGTAATTTCGAGCATTTATCCTGAATAAATAGATCCAGCTGACTTTATTTTTTTATGCTCCCACCAGAGGTTTGGAATATAGTCTGCGGCCACTTGTCCCAGTTCGATCTCTGCACGCTTCTGACAGTAAACCGCGACATCTACGAAATAGCATTGGCCCAGCTGTACCGCTCGATCACCATCGACTACCACTACACCCAGTTCGACCCCGAATATGTCCAGAGGGATCCGCTGCTCAACACGAGACAGACGTACATCCGCACGAAACCGAACATCACGGCGTTCTTGAGGAGTTGCAGGAAGGCGCTGCGGAGCGTCCGTTCGTTCCAGGTTGTGCATCTTCCGCAGGAGTTTATTGACTTCGAGACAAAGCTGGCCGAATGTCTGCCCAAAATGGACAACCTGGTCTTGTTGAGGATCGAGGAGCCGGTCTCGCTCGATCTGCTCCAGAGAGCGGCCCCCAACATACGGCATCTTGCGCTGACGCTGAACAGCTTCCGCAAGTCGAAACACCGGGTTGCGTCGCTGCCGCTGAAAACTGTCGCTATCGGGCCTTCCAGCCAGCCTGACAGGCTGTTGTCGCGTCTGGTGAGACACCCGCAGAAACTAGAGGGCCTGGAGCTTGTGTGGCCGCACCGCAAGATCAAGCTCCGCGACCTGGTGGCCTCCGCCGACTCGCAACGACAGCCCCTCGACGCGTTTTCTAATCTCGCACACCTCAGTCTCGTGAGCGCCATCATCTCGCCAGAGGACCAGTTTCTGCGAAAGATCGAGTCGGGCCTCCAATCTCTCTGTTTCACCGACATCAACGAGATCGGCCAGTCGGAGTCCATTCTCGACACGTTCCGGCCCGTCAGACTCAGACGGCTGGGCATCGATCTGCGCCAGGGATCCACGGACTCCGTTGCGCCTTTTCTCAACAGACTGCCCCTGGGCTCCCTCGTCGAGCTCCACCTCGTTATTAGATACAACTGTTTGAAACGGATACCGCTGGAAACGCTTGTCGACCAGTACATCGCCGCCATCGAAAGACAATCCGCCAGTCTACGCAAGATATCGCTCGAAATCCGGTTCGAAAAAGAGCTGGTTGAAATCCAGGAACAGCTTTCCGAGGCGCAATTCAGCCGCCTCTTCATGAGCCACGCCTTTCCTGCGCTCGAATCACTCCGTATCCAAGCGCAGTTTGCATTCATCTGCAAGGACAAACTGACGTTCTTCAAAAACCTCCCCAGACTTCACAAGTTATGGATCCTTGGTAGCAACGCATTTGAAAAACACTGGGGGCTGGGGAACGCATATCCGGGCGTATTTGACAACTGGCTCCGAATCCAGCACCTCCCTACAGGGCTGGTGAACAACGAGCCACGGCCGAAAACGTCGCTCCGCTACATAAAACTTGACGACTGTCTGTTTGAGATCAAGGAGAAAAATGACACCAAAGAAATCGTCCCCAGAGACTCCATAGACAGCTGGTTCGAGTCTCAGACTCACGTCCGCGCTGTCCGTCCATTGACCTAGTATATACAGAAAACACGGTCCATTGCGACACCTAAAGCACGCGCGTCACGTCGCCCGTAGGCTTGTGTTTCCTCTCTTCTCTCTTGTCGCCCATCAGAGTTTGCGACTCTTGAAACTCCTTGGCAGCAGCCTTCACCTCTTGAACGTGGCCCTCTGTGTCGCCGACAATGACAAACTTCTCTTTGGAGCCGTTCTGGGGCCGAACCAGCTTCACAGCGTACTGCGGCAACCCAACGTCCCCACTTTGCAAAACTTTGCTTAGCCTCCCCCACGTAGTGTCGCTGAGGTTGTACGTTTCCGGTCGGAAACCTTTCGGGTCATGCCTGTACTCCTTGATCACTTTGGTCAACAAACTACTATCCAGCAACCCCTGGCCCGCACCCACGAACGACCGTCTGGAACCCTCCACTTGCGCCTTGACATCTGCGCCTTCCTCCTGTCTTTTTTTGCGGTTTTTCAAAAGATCCACCGACTCGTGGTTTTTGACAAACTCTTGCTCGCTCACCTCCACAACGCCGAGCGACATTGCTTTCTTCAAGAAGGAGTCATCGCGTTCGACCTGTGGCGGTGTCTCGCGCTTCACATCGATCACTTTCCCCGGCTTGAATGATCTGGCCGGCTTGGACACCTTGGATCCCATGATGAGAAAAATATATTTGTGGGGTAAAAATATGGACGAGACCGGAGTCGAACCGATGACCTTCTGCTTGCAAGGCAGACGCGCTACCAACTACGCCACACGCCCTATATTCCCTGATTGCGGGTGGCGCGCGCTATGAGTCTCTTGGCCGCGCGGGTCGTGTGTCCTTATCGTTAATCTCCTATCTCTGACTTCCAAATCTGTCGGGACGATCCGTGAATATTATGCAGCTGAAATAATATTTTTGTATGCAAGCCGCATTTCAGATATTTAATGACATATCTCTCCAGCAGTCTACGATCAGGGAAAGCCGTGCCGCTTCCTGTATAATCCAGATAAGCACGGTGATTTTCCGCGGAAAATGATCCTGCGAAGCTATATATACCGGCGCAAGCGCACTTCCTCGTCTCCAAGATGAGACAAAGCAAAGAGGACGAAAAACACGTTGGGATCGTTGAGATCGCAAGCCACACCCCTGAAGACTTCGTCGACTTCACTGAGGAAGAGGAGAAAAAAGTGGTGCGCAAGATTGACACATACGTGCTGCCGGTGATGTGTCTAGTGTTCTTCGCACAGTATTTGGACAAGCAGTCGCTGGCGTACGCGGTGATCGTGGGGCTGCGCCAGGATTTGCACTTGAGCGGCCCCCAGTACAGCTGGTGCACGTCTGGCTTCTACCTGGCGCAGCTGGCCTCCCAGATCGTGTACATGTATCTGCTCAGTAAGTTTCCGACCAAAATGGTGACGGGAATCTGCGTCATTATCTGGGCCGCAGTGTGCATGTGCCTTGCAGCGCCTGCCACATTCGCGGGCTTTGTCACCGTTCGGGCGTTTTTGGGTTTTTTTGAAGGGTGTGTGTCGCCTGCGTTTGTTATCGTCACCAGCTCGTACTACAAAAAAAGCGAACACGGCCTGCGGACCGCCGCATGGATCTCCTGCAACGCCATCACACAGGTGCTGGCCACCTTCCTGTTCTACGGCCTGGCCAAGGGAGAGAACGCTCTGAGCATTGCTGTGTGGCGCGTCGGGTTCCTGGTGTGCGGAGCACTGACGCTGGTGGCTGGTCTGCTGTTCTACTTCATGGTGCCCCTGTCGCCCAAGGAAGCTTGGTTCCTGACCGAGCGCGAGCAGACGATTGCCGTCCACCGGCTGCTGGCGGAGGCCGACCGGGGAGAGAAGAAATCGTGGGACTGGGACCAGGCAAGAGAGTGTCTGACAGACTGGGTTGCCTGGTCGTCGTTCCTGTTTGGCCTGATCACCACCATGTGCTCGCAGCCGATCGGGTTCTCAACCATCATCATCAACGGCTTTGGTTATGACAAGTTCAAGACCATGGAGTACAGCTCGCCGTCGGGCGCGGTGCAGTTTGCGATGATCTGGATCGGCGTGGCCATGATCAAAGTCGCACCGACACAGCGGTGTATTATCATCTGTCTGCTGATCCTTGTTCCGCTTGCGGGCAACGTAATGCTGTTCAAGTTGCGCTTTACCGGCGGATGGGGGGTTATAGTGGGCGGCTGGCTCGGTTCCTGCATAACCTCCTTCTACTCCATCAACCTCAGTTTGAACGCCTCGAACGTCCGCGGAAACACCAAGAAGTCGATCGTCAATAACCTGTACTACGTCGGCTACTCGCTCGCGGCCGTGGTGGCCGCGCAGTGGTGGAACTACTCCGCAGACCCGACCTTCACGGCTGGCATCATCGTGGACATTGTGCTGTGGATCATCATGATTGCAGGCATGCTGCTGTATAGATGGAAGTGCGTCGCCGAGAACAAGCGGCGCGACCGCATCATCGCGAGCGGCCAGGCGGACGACTTCAACGAGTCGCGGGACCTCACAGACCGCCAGGACGTGTACCACAGGTATAGTTATTAGACTGCAACCGCTGCCATATAAAATTTCGCGCATTCCGGTGCCGGCGTAAATTTTTCAATTTATGACTCTTTAATCTCACCATGTCTTTAGCAGATTCCGTGTCGTCTGTGAGCTCGCTGCCGTCGGGCTGGATAGTGCAGAAATTCGGCGGAACCAGCGTCGGCAAGTTCCCCGAGCAGATATGCGAGGACATCGTGAAAACGTACAGCGAGAGCCACCAGGTGGTGGTGGTGTGCAGCGCCAGATCCACGCACCTCAAGTCGGAGGGGACCACCACGCGGCTGCTTTTGGCCGCAGAGTACGCGGCAGATGAGAAGAAGGAGGAGTACCTGGAAGTTCTGCGGCTTGTGGAGGAGGACCACGTGAACAACGCCAGAGAGAAAATCCAAAACGCTGAGCTGAGAGAACGGCTCATCGACGAGACCAGGGAGGAGATCCGGCACGTGACGCGACTTTTGGACGCGTGTCTGATCATCGGCGAGGTGAGTGCGAAGTCGAACGACGTGGTCATGGCGTGCGGCGAGAAGCTGAGCTGCCGGTTTATGAGTTATCTGTTGCAGGACAGAGGCGTCAAGGCGCAGTATGTGGACCTGTCGATGGTGGCGTCGGACATGGAACTGAGCAACGGGCTGGATGCGCACTCTTACAAGCTGCTGGGCGAGCGGTTTGCCGCAGAGGTCCGCCGGCTGCCCGAGGGCACGGTGCCCGTGCTGACAGGTTTCTTTGGGCTGATCCCCGGTGGGTTATTGCGTGCTGTGGGCCGCGGTTATACCGACCTGTGTGCTGCGCTCACGGCGGTCGGGCTCGCTGCCGAGGAGCTGCAGATCTGGAAGGAGGTGGACGGCATCTTCACGGCAGACCCGCGCAAGGTGCAGAAAGCCCGGCTGCTGGCATCGGTCACGCCCGACGAGGCCGCCGAGCTCACGTACTACGGGTCCGAAGTTATACACCCGTTCACCATGGAGCAGGTTATCAAGGCGCGGATCCCGATCAGAATCAAGAACGTCATGAACCCGCAGGGCGACGGCACCATCATATACCCCGACAACATCGGCAAGCGCGGCGAGGCGACGCCGCCGCACCCGCCGATATCCGTCCAGAACATCCCTGCGTCGGTCTTCACGAGCAAAAAGACCGCCACGGCCGTCACCGCCAAGTCGGACATCGCCGTGCTCAACATCCACTCCAACAAGAAGACGCTGTCGCACGGCTTCCTGGCGGGCGTCTTCACCGTGCTGGACAAGCACAAGCTTGTGGTCGATCTGATTTCGACGTCCGAGGTGCACATTTCGATGGCGCTGCACTACACGAAGGAGCTGAAACATAACTTTGGCAAGGCGCTGGAGGAGCTGAAAAAATTCGGCGACTGCGACGTCACCAAGGACCTGTGCATCGTGTCGCTCGTGGGGATCCACATGAAGCAGCTGATCGGCATTGCTGGTGCGATGTTCAAGATTCTGGCCGACGAGCGGATCAACATCGAGATGATCAGCCAGGGAGCCAACGAGATCAACATCTCGTGTGTGATCGACCGCAAGGACGTGATAAAGGCGCTGAACGCCCTGCACGACCGGCTGCTGCTGCGGGCGTTCACGGGCGGCAGCGCGGTGGACCAGCGGCTCGAGAACCTGAAGCTGGACGATGTAATTTAGTAAGCCGAATATAACTAATTGGTAGCAAGCTACATAGCCTAGAACACAAAGATCTGGTCGCCCGCCTTCGACACGGGCCGGGCCTTCTTGAAGCCCAGCTCGTGCGCAGCCTTCTTCAGCGCGCTGGTCATCGGCGGCGGTCCGCACAGCAGCACCTGCACGTCGTCCGCGGCCGCGGCCCCGTGCTTCTCGAGCAGCTCCTTGGTTATAAACCCGGTCTCGCCGGCCCAGCCCTCCGGAGCGTTGTTCAGAACGTGCACAACCTTGATGTTCGGGTGCTCCTTCTCAATCAGGTCCAGCTCCGCCTTCAGCAGAATGTCCTCCGCCGTCACATTGCCGTACAGCAGCGTCACCTTGGTCTTGTCCTGCGGATTGTTGGTGATGGCCTTGATGATCTGGTACATCGGAGTTATGCCCGTGCCGCCGGCCACCATCACAAACTCGCGCACCATGTTGGGCGTGTACGTGAAGAATCCCTTCGGCCCGCGCACGCGCACGTTCTCGCCCAGCTTGAGCCCGTCAACGTGCTTCGAGATGTTGCCCTTCTCGTAAACCTTGATCAGCAGGTCGAAATATCCCTTGGCGTCCTCGTCGAGCGACATCGGCGTGTACGAGCGCACGATCTCCTTGCCGTCGATCTCGGCGCCGATCGAGATGTGCTGCCCGACAGGCAGGCCCAGCACGTCGGTCGGTCTTGGGAGACCGAAGCGGAAGATGGCCGAGTTTTTGGACACGATCGTCTTCTGGATCAGCGGGAACTCCTGGAACTCGTCCGGCTTGAGAACCTTGCGCTCGCGGGCGCCGAGTGAAAAGTAGCCGACGAGCGCGGCCGCAAGCGCGGCCAGCGCAGCGAGAATCAGAGTGTTGTCAGCCATGCTGTTGTGGACGGGTGAAAAAGTTTATATAGGTGGGCTGCTTACGTCAGCGGCGGGAAAAATGTTGCTGCATTGGGATAAACAACCCGGCACCACGAGGAGGCCGCCGGGGCGCGCGTGGGGCTGCAGTCTGCGTCGATCGACCGCGGAGTCTCCCCTCCCTGCCGCATCGACCCGTCTGTGGCGTCCGCCATGTCAAGTTTTTATTGAATCAGTTTTGCTACATGGGAATATGAACAACCAAAGCCCTGCAGGCGGCCATCGCGCCACGCAGTCGGTGTCTGTCGGGTCGCGCACTTCGCGGTCGAGCATGGACCGGCTGCGGTCGCTCGGGCACAGACTCTCTTTCTCGAAGCACTCGCTGCCGAACCCTCCTCCGTACAGCAACCTGTCGACGTCGCTGAAAGTGCAGCAGACGGCGGAAGAGACGGTGGAGTACGACCCGGAGGACCTACTGGGGTCGTCGGAGTCGGACTACGAGGAGGAGAACCTGAAGAAGGAGGAGGACGAGAAGGACTACTGCGAGGGCGGATACCATCCGACGTACGTGGGCGAGCGGTACGGCACAGAGAAACAGTACCTGATTGTGCGGAAACTTGGGTGGGGCCACTTCTCGACGGTGTGGCTCGCGTACGACTCGAAGCACCACCGCCACGTCGCGATCAAGATCGTGCGGTCGTCCAAGAACTACCGCGAGGCAGCCCTCGACGAGATCAAGATCCTGGAGAAGATCGCGGGTGGCCCGGAGTACCACCCCGGCAAGAAACACATTGTGCGCATGCTCGACCACTTCGTCCACACAGGCCCCAACGGCGAGCACATATGCATGATTTTCGAGGTTCTTGGCGAAAATATGCTCAGCCTGCTGCTGCGCTACAAGCAGTTCCAGAAGGAGAAAACCGAGGAGTACAGGAAGACCTCCATTTCGTACGACGAGAACATGTCGTCCGCGTCCGTGGAGCAGCACATCCACACCATCAACGACCTCACCATCCTGAAGGAGAGCTACGGCGGGCTGCCGCTGACGCTGGTGAAGCAGATCGCCAAACAGCTGCTGCTGGCCCTGGACTACCTGCACCGCGAGTGCGGCATCATCCACACCGACATCAAGCCGGAAAACGTGCTGGTGGAGATCAACGACGTGGAGAAACTCGTGCAGATCCTGGAAAAGGACCGCAAGGACAGGCGACTGTCGCGGCTGATGACGTCGCGCAGCCACCAGAACTCGGACGTCGGCAAGGCCGACCGCTCGCGCTCGGTGTCGCACCGTCCCAAGCCGATCCGCTCGTCCAAGCCGCTCACGTCGCCGATCGAGACGCGCGGCTCGGTCGACAACTTCTTCCGTTCCTTCTCTTTCAGCCAGCGCAGAACAGGCTCCCACGATTCGCTCCCCCACATAAAGAGCGAGTCTACCTCCACGCTAAACTCGGCCCCCGTGGTGCCACCGCCCGCGGCCAGCCCGGCCCAGGCGATCCCCGAAGAGGAGGAATCGTCCGAGGAAAACGAAGAGTTTGTCGACGCCGCGGAGCTGCCCGTGCCTTTCCCGGAACCGGCCGCGTCGACCCCACGGCGTGCAACGTCGCTCAATAATGAATCGCACCAGCCCTTGTCGCGACGCGAGTCCGTTCTGTCCACGGTGTCGCGACAGTCCTCGACCGCCACCACGTCCGTCGACTTCGACTCCATCATCTCGGTCAAAATCGCCGACCTGGGGAACGCGTGCTGGACCAATTTGCATTACACCAACGACATCCAGACACGCCAGTACAGAGCTCCCGAAATTATCTTGGGGGGCAAGTGGGGGTGCTCGACGGACCTGTGGTCGCTGGGGTGTTTGATCTTCGAGCTCATCACCGGCGACTATCTGTTTGACCCAAAGACAGGAAGCACATACAACAAGAACGACGACCATCTGGCGCAAATTATCGAGTTATTACAGATCTGGCCGTCCAAGGACTACTTAAAGAAGTGCAAGTACTCTCGCGAGTTTTTCGACAAGTCCTTCCAATCGCTCAAAAACATCTCAAAGCTCAAGATTTGGACACTTCATGCTGTGCTCGTGGAGAAATACCACATCGAAGAACCTCTCGCTTACGACATATCCAAGTTTCTACTGGCGATGCTTGAGTTCGAGCCCAAGCGGCGCATAGACGCGGGGTCCCTAAGCAATCACCCCTGGCTCGCGGACTGCTTGGCAGAGGAGCACGTGGACCGCGAGTTTGGGCTGCGGGGACAGGACATCAAGGGATGGGCCAGTGAATGGAGCGAGTAGAGCCAAATAGAGGCGATATGCATAAAACTAAATTCTAAATTTTTTTTCATACTGTATTTATAACTTCTGGTTATGTCTCTGGAGCCCGCGACATCGGGGACTGTGCTTTGGCGGTCGGTCAGGGGGCCAATGGAGGTGGCTCTATTTGCCAAACAGATCCCCAATGGCACAAGGAGGTTTGCAGAGCACGTTCTGCGCGGCAACGAGATGACCATCACGAGGGTCACCGAGAAATACGTAGAGTTGACAGGCCCGGGTGGCGAGGCTGTGGCGAAGGAGAGCAATTCGCGAATCCGGTTTTCGCAGCCTTACATGGTGGTTGCAGATACGAGGACGCCGGGAAGGTACGCCATCACGCTCACCACGCAGGTAGGAGACGAGTTGGCTGACTGGACCATTCTTGGCAAGGTGAGAGGCGACGCCGTGTACTGGCTACGTAACCTGGCGGGATCGGGTACCGTGAAAGACGAGGATGGTGTTTTGCAGTATGCGGTGAAGGGCGTTGGCGGCGATATTCTTGAGAATGTGTGGAACATAAAGGACGAAAGACGGGAAGCGACCCAGAATTTGGAGGTAAAAACGTCTCGAAAACAGGTATCGTTGAGCTTTGAGGACGAGGACGAGGAGGCAACTGCAGATGTTCAGATACGAATGCGGCCGGTTAAAAAAGTGAAGCGCGTACAAAAGAAGCAGAAAGAGGAGGAGAGCGAAAAAGCTGTGACGGAGTCGATTACAACCGGGCCAGCGAGCACACCTCCAGCAGAGGAGGCAGGAAAGCCTTTGCGGAGTGGGGCCGAAGATGCCCCAGTCACCCCCACCGACCCCACGCTAGAGAAACTGCGCAAGTTTCAGGAGTCGCTACGCCAACCCAACCGTTCCGCCAAAAAACCGCCAACTCACAGCAACGCAGAGGAGGGGATCGACGGGCTGAGTTCAGAGGACGAAGATCTCGAGTTTCTTAATCATCGCTGGAGTAAATAAATAAATAAACTAATCCTTCATGTTGAGCAGGTCGAAGCTGTCCTTCGGCGTGTTCACAAAAGCCCGGAGCTTGAGGATCTCGTCCCTGTCGTACACCGTTCTATTGAGCGACTGTGAGGACGCCACGATGTGTGGCTTGACGTACTTGTAGAGGAAATCGGCCAACTCGTCAGGAACCATGTCCAGGTTCTCGAAAGTGAGAGCCTCCGGGTCCAGCTTGTGGTCCATGTCGGATCTAACATAGTAGTCGTAATTGATGGCTGTTAGGTTGGAGTTCAGTTTCTCGTTGAGCCAACACCAAGCTTTGTACACGATCTCTGGGGTCGGAATCGAGTACCCTGCCGCTGCCGGGAAGTAGCCGTACATGCCAAGATGACGGATGTACTTCAGCATTTCTCTCAGCTCTGCTTTCGAGTACGGCTCATTGCCGTGCAACTCGTACACCTTGCCCGTGGTCGAGTCGTCAAAGCCAATTTTCTCCAGGGCAGCTGCAACCTGCAACCCGTGCGCAGGATACACAGTGCTTCTGTACTTGATGTTTTCTCCAAACCCTTGCAGGGGAACTAGGTCGTTCAGAAACGTCGAGTTCCGGCCGTACATCGGTCCAGGGCGCACAATCGTCACGTCCGGAAACGCCTCCCTCGCAACGATCTCCGACTGGCCTTTGGTAGCAAAGAACTGCGACTTCGAGTTCGGGTCCGCGTTGTAGCTGGAAACGTGGACCAACCGCGGAACCTCGTACGCCGTGCACAGCTCGGCAATGCGTCTGATCGATTCGACGTTCGCGTCCTCCATCGAGAAGTTCTTGGTGTTCTGGTCCGACCCAATGAGGTTGAACACTATATCTGAGCGACAGACGCTTTCCTCCAGCGACCGTAGGTTCCTGATGTCACATTCGATGTAGTTGACGACTCCCAGGTCTCCCATTGGCTTGAGCTGTCTCTTTGCCATCTCGTTGCGGAACGGGCACACCAGGATTGTGCCGTGTTTGGCCAGCTTCGCAACAAGGAGCCGGCCCAGGAAACCTGTTGCTCCAAAAACGGTGGCTGTGAAGCCTGTTCTAGACGAGCGGCCGCCCGAGCCCTGGAGGATCCGCGTCTCGCCCCGCCGGGTGATGGAAATGTCGCTTTTAAAGGGAAAACGGTGCACGCGACGAACAAAGGACAGGGACATGGTGACAGTAATTTATTTCTCTACTCCACTTTTTATATCGACATCCTTGCACACGTTTTTTGAGACGCGAGCGACAGTCTCACGTGTGCCGTATGCACCACATCCAGAACGCCGCTCGCAGTCCTAGCCACCTGCGCTGACTATTACACGTCTATTCATCAACCCACCCCTTCTCAAAAGAAGATCCTCAGCACCTCAAGGACACCGCCACCAACAAGCAGGAAAATCAGCAGCACTGCCGTTAGTACATGTGCACGCAGCACGCTGTGCTTTGCTTCACTTACCAATCCAGCCCGTCGACAAGGGGAGCTGTTTCTTCTTCTGCAGCTGCTTAGGTTTTCCAGCCCGCTTTTCGTTCTTCTTTGCAAACTTCTGGTTCGCCTTTCTCTGCTGGGGAGTTTGAAGAGCCTGGCGTTAGTCGTCGGCAATGGCCAATAGCAGGAACATTTCACGTACCATCCTTTGTGCGCTGGTAATTATTCAATTCGAATTATTCGATCTATTTGTTTTTCAGTAAAAAAAATACTGTTTTTTTATTTATGACCATCACTTTCTCCTATCCCCGGGAATTCGACACCTTGTCCCTCGACCCTCCGCATTTCCGCTCATCGCTACTTGCGTGGGACGCCGACGGAACACGTATCGCGTGCGCCCGCACCGACAGGTCGATCAAAGTCGCCAAACTCGACCCTGTCAGACAGAAGTTCGACGACTCTGTCGTGATCACAGCGGCCCACGAGTCCCCCGTGGCCGTGCTCATATGGGATTCCCGCGTGAACGCTCGTCTCACCGCCATCTCGACAGATTTTACCCTCAAAGTGTGGGAAATCAAAACAAAGGCCCACAAACTGGTAAGATCACTCAAACTCCCCAACAGTGCTCCTGCGCTCGCCAAGTACTCCCCAGACGGCAGATACCTAGCCATTGCGGACAAAGAAGCCACCCTTATACTGCTGGACTCGTCCGCTCTCCAATTGAACACTGCTATCTCCGTGAAGATGAGCGCCCAAATCGGTGGCATAGACTGGGACGCAGACTCCAAAACTCTCGTTTGCGGACTCGCAAATGGCTCCCTGCAGCTCTACAGGGTCCAGAACACAAACGGTCTCCACGCAATCGAACTTATCCAGTCGCTGCATCTTTCAGACTCACCCGTTGTCTCCATTAAATACATAGCAGACCGCAACCAGATCATAGCTGCGGCCCTGGACGGCCAGCTGCTCGTGGTCGACGCACAGCTGCTCATCTGCACAAAGAGCCTCTACAATCTCGACGACGCGCCGGTCTGCATCGACATCCTTGCACCAGCAGTCGCAATAAGCTACCAGAATAACAACGTTCGTATATTCGACATGGACGGCGAGGAGGAGGTGCACGAGGTGAAGAACAGCAAAGGCGACGGCGCGCTCGCCAGGTTCCACCCGCAATCTCGCGAGATTCTGGCCTACATTGACAGTTCCGGCAAAGCTACCGTGATGGTGGCCAAGAAGAGAACGGGGCCTGCCCGTGCCCCGCCGCGGCCTGTGTCGTCAAGAGGCAGGGGATCTGGTCCATCAGGGTCGTCGGGTTCCTCCAGAACGAGCCGCTCCGATAGATTCGAGCGCCCCGGCGCCAAGCGTCCAAAGTATTGAATTCTAGTGCAGTCTTGCCGGTTCTGGCAGGACCACTTGGTCCAGCTGGTCCAACCGGTCGCTGGAGTCCAGCGGGATCACGAGCGACTGCTGGGACGGCACGCTGTTGATGTCGTCGTAGGGTGGCGGGGACAGAGCCCCCACCGTGTGGTAGGTTGGCGGCACCTCGTCGTCCCAAGCGACCCCGAGGCCGGATCTTTCCGTCAGGACAAGCCGGAACTGCATGCGCAGCACCCTCGCCACGCCCGTGGGGATCCCTGTGGTGTGGTTGAGCGGGTCGCTGCGGTTGCCGTTCACGTGATCTGGCCCCGTGCCACCGTCGTTGTGCTTGGCGTTGATCGAGTGGTGTGTTGCGCTGATCCTGCTCTGCGACGGGGTTCCTGTTTGCATGGGGGCGCTGGCGACGGTGTTCAGATGGCTTGACGATGATGAGGAGCGGGTCGGTTGCACGTTTGTCGCGTGCATGAGCTCTTCTGCCACGATAACCTCCAGCACCAGGTTGTGGTGGACAAAGATGCCTGTTTCGTGGTCTTCTATGTCGCACGCGCAGTTGACACCGCTCTGGGGCTCCAGGCTGAAAATCGGAGACTCGCAGTTCAGAGAGTTGATTGCAGACAAATTGGTAAGCGAGACGTTGAGTCCCATAGAGATAAGGTCCATTAGTGAAATGTCGGCCACAATTTCGATTCTGCCCTTATTCGAAAAATCACTCTTCCAGCCCGACTTGAGCTCGCCCGACTTGATCACACGGATCTCCTCCACGTACAGCGGCGTCTCTGTGGTACTCTGCCGCGGCTGCGGGTCGTTGCTGGCAGCCGTCGACAGCGACGGCGTCATTTGCGGCGTGCTCTGCTGCGACGCCTGCGGGGCCAGACTCTCGCTCCCCGCCTGCACCGACCACGTAGACGCGACAGGCACGAGATCGGGAAACGCGGGCGGCGAGGTGTTTTGCGCAGTCACGTCTGTCGGGTCGTCGTTCTCCTCTGTCGGCTGCCGACGGGGCGGGTCCTCGAAATAATAGTTGTACACCGGCTTGCCGGGACCACCGCAGTTTTTGTACGGCTTCTTGCCGCGGTGCGCGCGCTTGGTGTTTTCGACGGTCGTGGCGTACTTGTCGCGGTGATTGTCGCAGTGGTTGGCTCGCACACGGACGATCTCCTCCAGCTTCCAGTTCAGTTTGCGCATTCTCCAGCGTCGTTCCAGCGAGCACACGTTGTCCATGCGGATCTCCACAGGAAAAGTGGACTTGGGATACGCAACGTTCGGGATCACAGCTGTGGCGGTGACCTCTGTGGGCGGGAAAACTCTGAGCGAGTTGCGATCTTGACCTCTCAAAATCGATCGCCGGATCATCACCGGCAGCGCAATATTAATGTGGTCCGGTCTTCCCTGCTTGTTAATGAAGCGCGCCTTGCAAACGAGCTCGTAGCGGATCGAAGTCAGCGAGTTCGACAGAACAGACGTGGCAGGAAGCGTCCCAGGTACCAGATAGCTGAACGGGAACGCATGGGAGGAGCCTTTGGCAAAGCCTGTTGGACGCGAGAGAACGTCCCAACGAGCGAGCTCTGTTAGCTTGCGACGGCACTCGCCACACGAGTCGATCGTGTTTGAGCCGGCCGTGAACGGCTTTCCGTAGTCGATGATCTGTATAAAAGTTAATGCCACCTCTTTCACCTCCGCATATTTTTGTCTGATACTTGTTACGGCAGTGCTCAGCGAGATGGTGGACTGGATCGACTGGCTGGACGCGATAACGTCGTCCTGTAGCTGGCCGATCTGGTCAGGAAACACGTCCAGAATCACCAGCCCGCTGAAAATTGCGCCAGAGCTGCGTTCCGGCGGACCGTACAGCATCAAAGGCGGAGACTCTATCTGGATGGACAATTTGAGCCCTGCCAGCGGGTTGGCCTTGTTTATCGTGTCTGTATGGTACGGGTCGTTGGGTGCTGGCGACAGCGAATGCGAGGGTTCCTGTTTGACCGCATTGCTGATGCCAGAGAAGAGCTTGGTAAATGAGGGCATGGGCTGACAGTGAGATTTTGCGAGAAATAAATATTTTTTATTTTATTGTATTATTTAGTTGATAATGCATTTCTGCGCCACATGAGAAAAATACAGGTTGTGGCTATCACGACGCGTTGTGGGATCAAATATTTATTTTCATTTTCTATAGCACCTCTTTGCGAAAAATGGCTATTTCCAAGGGGCTTCAGACCCTGAAGTTCAAGGACACGCTGGTGTCCACGGTCGATAGACCTATTGCCACCAAGGAGCTGATTACGCGTCTTCAGGACCTCCACAATGAGCTATCCTCGCTCGATCAGGACAAGGTCGACCTGAAGTCGCTGGAGGAGATTAAGGACTCGCTGATCAACAAGAAGCTGCTCAAGCACTCCAACAACGGAGTTCAGACATTCTGTGCCTGCTGTCTTGCCGATATTCTTCGATTCTATGCTCCTGACGCCCCCTACAACGCTTCCCAGCTGTCGGACCTGTTCAAGCTCTTTTTTTCGCAGTTCAAGCAGATAGGCAACCCTGACGGCCCGTTCTACCACCAGCAGACGTACTTGCTGACGCGGCTGGCCGAGACACGCTCAATTGTGCTGATTACGGACCTTCCCAACGCAGACACGCTTGTGGAGCAGCTGTTTGAGATTTTCTACGATCTGGCCTCTTCCGGGACATTCAGCAGCAAGCTTGAGCCGCTTGTGTGCGAGATACTGAGCGAGGTGATAGCAGAGTCCAGCACCATCCCCACGAAGACGCTCAAGCTGGTGCTGAACAAGTTTCTGGCCAACACCATGGTAATGAAGAAGGGAAACACAACTTTGCCGGGCTTCAAGTTCACCTTGGAGGTGTGCAATGCGAACGCTGACAGAATGTCGCGCTTATTGACGCAGTTCTTTTCCGAAACGATCTACGAGGCCACCAAGGGCAAGGAAAACGAGCGCACAGAAGACGACAAACAGGACGTGTCTGCTCTGCTGGCACAGCTCAAAAAACTTCACACGTTGGCACTGGAGCTGTGGAAGTACGTGCCCGAGATGCTTTCGTCGGCCATGGGGCTGATTGAGAACGAGCTGGACGCCGAGGACGAGAAGATCAGAATCACTGCTACCGAGACGATTGGCAAGATCCTTGCCGTCAAACAGCCGCGGCTCAACTTTGCGGCCGCACACTCCGATGCCTACATGAACTGGCTCAAGAAGCCGCTCGACAAGTCGCCGCACGTTCGCAGCTTCTGGGTGAAATCTGCCGTGCAGGTCGTCAACACAAACCCGGACCTTGCTGCCGATCTGGCGGGCGGCCTGATCAAGACGCTTGTTGACAGCGACGAGCGCACGCGGCTGACGACGGTGCGGGAGCTGTCGAACGTGCGCCCTGGCGTGTTTATTTCAAAGGTGGCCAACAAGACTATCATGAGCACACTGGGCCAGTTAATCAGAGAAAAACACGCCGAGATCCGAAGCTCGTGCCTGCAGCTGCTGGGCTCGCTCTACAACGCCCATTTTGACGATATATACAAGGACGACAACGTGACTGAGCTTTTGGGCTGGGTCCCCGACGAGGTGCTGAAACTGGTGTACATCAACGACAAGACCGTCAATGCGCAGGTCGACCACACGCTTTTCGAGCTGCTGCTTCCGTTTGAGCTGGAAGACGCCAAGCGTGTCGGCCGCCTTCTCACGGTCACAGAGCATCTTTCGGAGAAAGGCAAGAACTCGTTCCATGCGATAGTCAAGCGACAGCCGCAGATGGCCAAGGCGGTGGGCCAGCTCCTAACTCTGGCGGACACAAAGCCGGCCGACGACGCTGTTTCAAAGATTGACAAGCTAATCAACTGGCTCGTGGCCTCGTTTCCGGAGTCGGTGGACTGCCGCGCAGCATTGAAGCAGCTGGTGAAGCTCAACAACAAGCGGTATTTCAAGCTAATCAGGCTGTGCAGCGACATCGAGACAGACTACAAGACCATCACGAACTGCACGAAAGAGCTCTTTGGCAGGCTGAACGAGCTGAAAAACATCAAGCTAGACGGCGAGCCGAGCGTGGCTCCGCACGACATGCTGTTCACCGTCAAGCTGCTGGTGTACCGCTCGTCTGTGATATTCTACAACCAGAGCAACGTGGGCGAGATCCTGCGGATCAGCAAGGACCTAGCGCACCCGCACAACGGCGCGGCCCAGGACGCTCTGGAGAACATTTCCACGGTGGTCCCGGAAGTTCTGCGGGCCAATATCTCGACGCTTACTCAGGAAATCAGCTCGGGCGGACCAGTCGGCGTGAAGGACCTCAAGGCTATCTTTCAGTTTGGCAAGAAGTTCCCGGAGGTCATCGTTACAGAAAATTACGATGAATATGTTACCAGCCTCAAGAGGCTAGCCGTTCACGGCTCGCCTGCCGAGGCGAAGTACGCCGTGCGGCTGCTAGGCCAGGTGCCACGAACGGCCGCGCGCAACGCCGCAGCTGCTGCGCTCCTTGACGAGATCTGGCCGTTGGACTCTGCCAAGGACAACTTCAACACGTGTCTCGCGACGGTCGCCGAGCTCTTCCTGACTGACCTTGCTCTTCTGGAAGACAAAACCAAAGAGATCAGCACGTTGCTTGCGTCTCAAATTCTGCTCCGAAACCACACCGTTGGCGACGACGACGACGACGAAGTGAACGGGTGGATAGGCCCGGACGAGCTGGAAGCCAATAGGGACTGCTTGTCGAAAATTCTGGCTCTGCGGGTGTTTGTGAACTGGCTTATTGCAGTGGAGACTGCCGAGAACGCCGCGCAGGCGGCCGAACCCGTGCTCAAGCTGCTCACGTCAATCATCGGCAACGGCGGCGAGATTGTGTCTCCTAAAACAGGCACGTACCCAACGCCCAAGAAGTACCAGTCGCGCTTGCGGCTGGAGGCCGGCATCAAGCTGCTGAAGCTTGCCAGATACTCGCGCTACAACTTCCTGATCCAGCAGGACCTGGTGAACAAGCTGGTGCTGCTGATCCAGGACGAGAATGATCACGTGCGTGCGCTGTACATGGCGAAACTGAAGAAAAACCTCACTCTGGGTCTCATTTCAGAGCGGTTCTATGCGCTCGTGTTCTTCATCGCCCACGAGCCTCAGGACGCTCTGCGCGAGGACACAAAGACGTGGGTGCGTTCCATGCACAAGCGAAAGCTCACGGCGAACAGAAACGAGCTGCTCTTCGAGAAATCGTTTGTCAGAATGCTCAGCATGCTGTCGCACCACCAGGAGTTTCTCGAACTGCTGGAGTCCGCCAGAACAACGTCAGACTACACTGCCGTGCTGGGCTTCGCGCTCACCTATATCGGCCTCGCGCTCGACCTGGTTGCCAACACGAACAACGTGTCGCTGCTCTTCTATCTCGCCTCGCGAATGAAACAGTACAGAGACCGGCTCACTCCAGAACTTTCCAGCAACATGTACCTAGTTTCTGACCTGACGCAGCACACCATCAAGGCGCTGGCAAAACACAAGAACTGGAGTCTGGCGACGTGGCCAGGCAAGCTGAGTCTGCCGGGCGACCTGTTCGAGTCGATCGGCGACTCTGCGCAGCTGCACGAGCTCGCCGTCAAGTCGTTCATCCCGGAGTCTGCGGTCAAGACGCTGGACGACCTGGTGCGCGACCGGACGCGGCATCTGGCCGGCACCGCTGCCGCGGCCACCGCAGACCGCAAGAGACCGCACGTCGACGAGAAACCGCGGACCAAGAAGAAGCCTGCCGTGGAACCGCAGCGTCGCAGCGCCATCCAGCGCGCGGCCGTGAATTACAACGAGGATGACGAATTCTAATTATCGTACATGCAGAGCCTGCTACGCTACGACCGCAGAAACTCCAGCAGCTTGTCGTGGCCCTTGAGCTCCATCAGCTTCTTCACAATCAGCAGCTCGTGCAGCTCCTGTTTCGACAGCTCGCTGTGCTCGAGCCGGTACTCGTCGTCGATCTGCTTGAGCAGCTCGTCCAGGTTCAGCTTTTTCTGCCGGTTGGTGATGATCGAGCGCTCGCTCAGCTTTGCCACGCCCAGCAGGTAGTCGCGCAACTGCGGCGCGGCGCGCTCGTACAGCTGCAAATTCTCCGAGTCGCGCGCCCTCTGCTCGAGCTGCTGCTTGTGCTTGGTACCCTTGATGAAGTCCAGAATAATGGCCTCCTCCTTGATCTGGTACGTCACGTTCTCGCTCTCCTCGGCCTTGCCGATCCTCACGAGGTCCCTGTTCAGCTTGTACGCGGTGCCGTTGTCGGTGCTGCGGAACTGGAAGACCGGGTCTGGCGGGAAAGTGTCTTCCAGCTCGAGCTCGTCGACGCTATAGTCCTCCACGTTGATAATGTCAATGTTCGCGTCCCGCGGCGCCTTGAAGTCGCGCGTCATCGCCACCGCCACCTTCGGCTGGTGCCGCAGCTTGCGCCGGCTCTTGTTCACCGTCTCCACGTGGTTCGGACACATCCACTTCGACCCCAGCATCTTCGCTGACGTAAGCGGCGGGTCGAGACAGTCCAGGTGCCACGCCAGCGAGCAGTAGTCGCACCGCGTGAGCAGCCGGTTGTTCAGCCCGGACTTCTCGCACTTATAGCAGAACAGCGGGTTGCCCTCCTTGTCGTACACGTTGGTGAGCGGGTCCTGGGCCTCGGCGAGCAGCTGGCTGTAAGTCTTTGGCGGCTTCATGTTGTCGTCCTCAAAGTCGCCGTCTTTGCTCATTGTGACGCCCTCGAACGCCTCGGCCACTTCGCGCGGCAGCCGAAACGCGAGCGGGTTGCGTGTGTTCAGCTCGTCCAGCAGCGCAGAAAAGATGCCGATGTGGCTCTTTCTGGGTTTCTGCCGGCTCGCCACGCACTCGTTGCAGTACCAGTGGTCCGGCAGGTCGTCCTCGCTCGCGGGCGGGTCCAGGCACTGGAAGTGGAACGACCGCGGACACCCCTCGCAGCACAGAAACAGGCCCGGCAGCCCGCACGCGGCGCAGAAGTCCTGGTTGTGGACGGTCGGGTCGTCGTCGGGGCTTGCGACAACAGACTCTGTCGGCGCCGCCAGCTGGCCGTGTGTCTTCTTGCGCGGCGACTGTTTCACGCGTCTCGACAGCGCCGCCGTGTTCCCCACCGCACGACGGCTCCGTTTGCGCGACCCCGGCCGCGACTGTCCGTTTGTCTCCACAGGCTCCTGTGGCCGTTTCGCCACAGGACGCAGCGTCCTGTGCGTCGCGTCGCGCTCCGTGCTCAGCTGCGTGAGCTCCTCCGACCGCCGCGTGCTCAGCCCGGCTCTGTACTTTAGTTCCTCAGCCTCAAACGCCTCCTCGTCCTCTTGATCCAGCGAGTCTGGTGTAGACGACCGTTTCGGTCCTTTTCCCTTCCCGCGGCGTCTCCCGCCAAACACCTCCTTGCGCACCTTCACCGACGGCGGCTCCTCCAGCGGCTGCCCCGTCACAGAGCTCGCCGTCGTCGGCGACTCGTCCGCAGCCCAGTCCAGCCCCGATCCGTTGGCTTCGTCCTGTAGCGGTTTTTCCGTGTACGGCGACGCGTTGCCCGCCGCCGTCGCCGCCTGCTCCGCCTTCACGGCCTCCCTCGGCGTCCTGTCCCGCAGCTCGCGCCGCACCACGGGCTTGTCCGTGTTGGCGCCCTGTATCCTGATGCGAGAAGTGTATGCCATGGGATTCAGAAAGAAAAAAAGTTTGAAAAGTTGCGTCGATCGTCGCGATCCACCAGACACAGAATGCCCCCGAAAGCGCAACTTGATGCGCCCGACGGCGCGCTCCTCCTCCGTCGGGGTGGCAGCTGGGCCAGCCACGCCCAGTAGGCGAGACACGGCCGGTGTCTACGGACACCGGACACCAGAACGGTGACACTACAGACAGCTACAGGCAGCTACAGGCAGCCGACGGCCGGCCCGTCCCGCGAGCGCTTTCACCCTGTTCGTACACCTACAGCGCACGCGCCAGCACAGGGCACGCACCACGACAACAAAAATGTAGCCACGCATTTCTGAGTCGTTTCCACATATATAAAAGGCCCAATGCAGTAATTTTCAGTTATGCGCAAATTCTCTTCAGCTTCCAAGATTCTCGATAAGTCGCGGTTTGTGCCCTCCACAGGCTCGTATCCGCAGGGATATAACGTGGGGGCGCTTGCCACGGGCGTCAAGAAGAACCACGCGCTCGATCTGTCGATCCTGGCCTCGTCTGTGCCGGCCTCGGCGGCCGCAGTGTTCACCACCAACAAGTTCCAGGCGGCGCCGGTGCTGGCGTCCAAGGACATCCTCAGCACGACTGGCGGCCAGAACATCAGCGCGATCGTGGTCAACAGCGGCTGTGCGAACGCCGTGACCGGCGAGGGCGGCCTCAGGGACGCCTACACGATGGTCGAGACGGTGGGCCGCGAGCTTGGTGTTGGCTCGCGGTCTGCTCTGGTTATGTCGACAGGGGTTATCGGCCAGCGGTTGCAGATCGACAAAATAACCAGAGGCATAACCGAGCTCGTGGGCCCGCAGCTGGGCTCGTCGCACGAGCACTGGCTCTCGTGTGCGCGCGGCATCATGACCACCGACACGTTCCCTAAGCTTGTGTCAAAGAGTTTCGAGCTCGACGGGGTGAGGTACTCTCTTGCCGGGCTTGCCAAGGGCGCAGGCATGATATGTCCCAACATGGCCACGCTGCTCGGATTCTTCGTCACGGACGCCCCGATCGCAGCGGCGGCGTTGCAGAAAATGCTCAGGCACGCGGCCGACCGCTCGTTCAACTGCATTTCCGTCGACACGGACATGTCCACGAACGATACGATCGCGGCGCTCGCAAACGGTGTGGCTGGCGGAGAAACTATAACCGAGGGCCACAGGAACTACGACGCGGTCCAGGCGGAAATCACCGCTTTCGCCAAGCAGCTGGCCCAACTGGTCGTCAGAGACGGCGAGGGCGCCACCAAGTTCATAACTCTCAAGATCCAGGACGCCCTCTCCTACGAGGACGCCAAGACGGTGGCCCACTCCATTGCCAACTCCTCGCTGTTCAAGACCGCGATGTACGGCAAGGACGCCAACTGGGGCCGCATTCTGTGCGCCACCGGTTATGCGGGCGTCGAGGTGAATCCGTCGAAAACCAGCGTCTCGTTTGTGCCGGCCTCCGGCCCGGCACTCCAGCTGCTGGTCAACGGAGAGCCGGAGACGGTCGACGAGGCCAGAGCGTCCGAGATCCTCGAGCAGGAGGACATTGAGGTGCACGTCCGTCTGGGCACCGGCGGCGGTTATGAGTGCGAGTTCTGGACTTGCGACATGTCTCACGAGTACGTGACAATTAACGGTGACTACCGAACATAGAGATATATTTTTTCCCCTGAAATAATATTAAATATTTATCTATTTTTTTGTTTTCATGTTTGAGGGCTCTTCGGGCGGACAGCCGCCCCCTCAACAGCAGATGACGCCCCAGATGATTATCCAGAACCTCATGCGGATGGACCCGCAGCAGCGGAACGCGGTGATCATGAAGAACCCGCAATTGCAGATGTTTCTCCAGCACTACGAACAGCAAAGAAAGGCCGCACTCAGCCAGTCGATGAATCCGCAGATGCAGGCAAAAATCATCCAGCAGCAGCAACAGCAGCAGATCCAGCAGCAGAGACAGCAGATGCCCGGCCAGGCTCCCGGCCAGATGCCGCCCCAGATACCCACGCCCGTGCCCGCACCGCAGATGGCCCAGAAAAAGCCAGGCATGCAGGCGCAGAAACGCACGGTTCGCAAACGGAGCTCTGCGAGGGACCCGCTCGACCCATCTGGAACGCCTGTGGGCTCGCCCGTCATACCGCCGGGACCGCATGTTCTTCAGAACATGGGATATCCGCCAGGTGCGCAATCTGGAGCAGTGCCCCCTCCAGGCGCACAGGGTCCGCCGCAGCCGGTTGTTCCCCTCTCGGAGAGAATAGAAGATGCTCGCAAATGGTCGAGGACGCTCGAAAAAGAGGAAAAAGAGGTCCCTACGTCGATCAAGGTGTACGAACAGATAGTCGAGCGGGATACGGACTACGACCGTCGCTCGGTGGCCGAAACCAGGAAACCCTTCAACGCAGAGCAACTGCAGGCAATGGCCAGAGATCTCAAGTTTTACCAGACCATCAGAGACTCCCGGCTCAAGGCGATAGCGTTGACGGAGGCCGGCAAAAACGCAGACAGTATTTGGGGCGACGGGTACTCTGGCTACGGAAACGGGTTCAGCGCAGGCAAGACCCGGCTAGTGTTTCCTAGAAACCGCAAGAAACATTCGCGCGTGCACGACGACTACATACCCACCGAGGAGTACGAGAAACAAGCCAATAAGCCTGAGGAGCTTGTTCCGATCCGTCTGGAGTTTGACGTCGACAGAGACTCGTTCAAGCTGAACGACACTTTTCTGTGGAACTTGAACGAGGGGACCGTTTCTGTGGAGCGGTTTGCACAGATTGCGATGGAAGACTACAAGTTTCCCCAGGGACAGGCGTCGAACGTGGAGAAAATAGTGAGCAGCATCAAGGAGCAAATCAATGAGTACCATCCGATGGTGTACGGCGAGTTCAAAGGTTCTGACTTACGGCTGCCGATCTCTGTGGATATAACCATCGGCAACAACCAGCTCGTGGACAAGTTCGACTGGGACCTGGCGAACCCAGATAACGACCCAGAGGAGTTTGCGAGGGTCATGTGCGAGGAGATGGCTCTGCCGAACGAGTTCATGACGGCCATCTCGCACGCGATTCGCGAACAGTGCCAGATCTACGTCAAGTCGCTATTTTCTGTCGGGTACAAGTTCGACGGGTCGCCGATCACGAGCGACGAGTTCAAGGACCTCAACCGGTCGCAGATCGACAAGGACTCGGTTGTGAGAGCGCGCCACCATTTGCAGGAGTACACGCCGTCGTTGCAGGAGGTCACGTTCGACGCGCTGGAGAAAATCACCAAGGAGAGAGAACGAGAGTCGCGCAGAAAGAAGCGTGGCCAGACTCGTGTTGGCCGTCGCGGAGGCATCGTGCTGCCCGACCTTCACGATCTGCCCAAGACGTTCCGCACGCCGGTGCCCTCTACGGTTCTTCCGTCCGGGGTCAACCTGGGGCCTCCCGTGGACAGCTACATCGACTTCCCGCTGCAGGTGGAAATTCCCCAGGAACAGCTACGGGCTCTTGAGGAATACCGGGCACAGGAGCGGGTGCAGGCTGCGCCGGTCGACCGCGTGGGTCCCGTGGTGGGCAGCAACGGCGTCGCGTACCAGATCGACCTGCAGCGTGCGATTGTGCGGATCAAGCTCAGAAAATAAATAATCAGTTTTACGGTAATAACTTCTGCGGGCTGTTCGGAGGCGCAGAGTACAGAAATATTTTATCTTTTTTACTTGTCTCCTAATAAATGGCGAACAATATAGAGCTAGACACCATAAACGTGGCAGATAGTGCTCTGCAAGCTGAACCGCGCGACTCACTGCTGGACTCCTTCAGCCCCCAGGACCCTGTGGAGGGCGACACGCGGCTCCAGCAGCCCCAGACGTCCGCACAGGAGATTACGAGCAACATTGAAAATAGAATAACCAGCACGGAGTCCAGCACCGGCAGCTCCACGCTGACATACGTCCGCAACCAGTTGCGCTACATGCTGACGAATGCTCCTCTCTTGCGGTTCGTTGTCCCCGAAAATAGATACAATGCGCTGCGGACGACCGCCCCCATGGTGGGCCGCGGCCAGGACGGCGTGTTCAGCAACATGTCTGCCAAGCCGAGCGTTCCCACGGGTACGGAGCCTTCGTACCAACTGCCTTCGTACGAAGAGGCGTCGCAGGACCCTACGCCGCCCTACTGGGAGGCCTCGATCATGGCCGGGTACGAGGACGAGATCTTTGTTGATGGACTGCCCGTGGGCAACATCATCAATTTCCTGTGGAACATGACGGTGAGCATCTCGTTCCAGTTCGTCGGGTTTGTGATCACCTACTTACTGCACACGTCGCACGCTGCCAAGAACGGCTCGCAGGCCGGCTTGGGAATCACGCTGATCAGTTTCGGTTACTCGTCGATTCCCGTTTCTTACGGGAGCCAGTCATCGCACGAGCGGGAGAAATTCGAGCCGTCGTCTCCGAATTCGATCGACACTGACTCTTCCAACGCCGTCGACGGCCACATAGACAAGTTCACCTCCACACTGCCGATGCTCGAGACGTCCGACCTGCCGGACACCACGTACGCTGATTTGACGCCGATTTTCTCATACGCGCTGATTTCGTTTGGCATCTTCCTTATATTCAAAGCTATATTCGGCTACCTGAGGGCCAAGAAGGCGGAGAAGCTCATTCTCGAGCCCCAGCAGCCTGTCTAATCAGTTACCTGAGCACCACGAGCATTTTCTCATAGATGGTGAAGACAATTCCTCCGCTCAAAATCAGCCGTCCCAAACGGGGAGTGGCTCCTTTCCAGAACGTCATCAGTCCTTCCTGTTTGAAGATCTTCACAAAGCAGTCCACCGTGCCCGTGTACAGCTTGTCTGCCCCAAGACCCTGCATGCGTGTCTTGACCGTGTCGATCGGCATCGTGGTGTACACGGTAACGACACCGGCAAAGGCCCCGAGCAGGAACGTAAGCTGGCTGCTCAGAGGCTCGTTTGGCTTTGTTCCGCTGGCCTGCTGCAGGAACGACTTGATGCTGTTGTACGCTCCCAGCCTGACGGCAGAGTTTGATCCTTGTCTCAGAGCCACCGGCACCAGTCCCTGGTAGAGTCCCCTGAGACCGAGGTCTTTCAGAAGTTTGAAGGTTCCAAACCCGTGCTGGTATTTGGGCGTCGCGCTCCGTTTGTCGTCGATCATTGCCGTCTTGATAGCCTCGGCGGGTGTCACCGCAACCACACTCTCCAAGAGACCGGCTCCTAGTCCAGCAAGCACGCCTCGAGGACCGCTGAGCTTGCCGTCCTGGTCTGCGAGCTGTTTCTTGATCGCGTCGAACCCGAGAAACCGCACCGATGCCTTTGCTGTGTTTCCGATCACAAAGGCCGGACACCCAACGTACAGTGCACTGGGCCCCTGTGTTTTGGCAACGGTGTAGATAAGCACGAGTGGATTACGTGACATCTTGGCGCTCTTGTCCACTAGCTGGAGCCTGGTCTTTGCGAACTCAAACGGATACGTGACCACGCCCTCGACGGCTCCGGCGACTCCCCCCGCGATAAAAGATTTGAATGGGTCAGGCTTTTCGGACATAGGGATAATGAATAAAGCAATATTCGATATCGAAGATTTCAATTTTTCAGATTTTCCACTTTTTTTTTAACCCTATTTACTTCTGTCTATGTATTCATTAATTATCTAAACTCTGGATCCGTCCTTATTTTATCTTCACTCCACATCATCCTCGAACATCGCGTCGTCGACGTCCTCGTCGTCCTCGTCGTCCTCGGCCTCCTGGTTAGCACGCAATTGCGCGTAGTACGCCTCCAAAGCGTCCAGCTCCTCGGCCGTATCGGCAGTTCCCGGCCCGTTGGCGTCTGAGCCCGCCGTGTCTGAGACGCTGTAGCCAGCACGGCTGCCCGAGTCGGTCTCTGAGTCCTCCCTTTTGACTTGCTTCTCGAATCCCGTCTCCGTAGCCTCCTTTTTGACGCTTGGAACGTCCTGTTCCATGCCGTTCAATAGCGACTTTCCAACCGTGCTCTCCATGTGCCAGGACGGCAGCGCGTTCTGTTTGAGCGTCTCGCTCTTCTGCTCCTTCGACTCGCGCTCCTGTCTCATTTCCTCGTCGTCTGCTGTGATCGACACGTGCACCGTGGCCTGCGACTTCTGTGCTGCGTTCTGCAGCGATTGCGACATGCCGCCCGGCTTGCTGTTGCGCGGCACCTTCGAGCTCACCGTGTACGACGCGACCGAGCTCGACGAGACGGGGATCGCCTTGACCAGCGACGACTCGAAGTTGTTGTCCTCGATCTTCATGTTGTCGATCTTCTTGAGCGACTCGATGATCGGCTCGATCTGCGACATGAGCTTTTCCAGCTTCTCCTGGCCTTTTTGCGCCTCCATGCCGGAGTCGTCCTCGATCAGCTTGTCTCCGCAGACAGAGCACTCGAACGACGCCTTATCCTCGCTCAGCAGCGATGCCGCGTCCAGAAGCGAGTATTTAGTCCGGCACGACGGACACACGTAGCCCTGCGGGTCGCTGAGCTGGTCCACCTCGTCCTTCACCATTTTCACCAAAGAGTGGATTTTCCATTTGATGGCGTCGATGGCCTCGACCCAGCGCACGAAAAAATACGTCACCGTCATCATCCGGTACTGCGGCGAGTCCTCCTTCTGTGTGTACGCCACAATCAGCCGGTCTTCCAGCAGCCGATTGCAGTACGACCGAAACACCTTCCGGTGCATGCAGGTGAGCTTCAGCATGTCTTCCTCGTACACCACCGAGTGGAAAAGAAGGACCTCCATGATGAGGGCGCACGGCACCGCGTAGAACGCCCTGGTGACGAGCCGCAGAAGGTGCTTCACCTCCTTTTCGGACTCTTTGGAAAGCGACATGGAGACTTAAAGAAAAAAAAAATGATTTCGTCGATCGACCCATCGACGTGGCACGAAGATGCCACCAACCCCGTCATTGCCCAAACGGCTACCCTCAGCGAAGCCAGACAAAGATCCTCAAAGGGTACAAGCGCAAAGACAACGCAGAGGTGATGTCACTAGTTCCTCACGTCGACCGCACGCTAGGAGCCTGGCGGCCAAGCCGCCAGGGGACACCTCCCCGATGATGCCGCATGGCCCTGGCCGCTGGCACGGTCTCCACCACCTTTCCTCTGTGACTAATCGTTGGCGTCGCCTGTGGCGCAGATTTGTCGGTTTCAAACAGCTTATCACGTCAAGCTTATCAGTCGTGCCCCAGCCTTTCCCGTTTGGGATTTGCCACCCAGAAAAATAAAACACTCACTGCCTACCTGAGCAAGTTACTAAGTTTCTTTATCTCCTTCTCTTCTCTGGTCGTTTGATAGGACACTGAAGAGTTTATCCCCCACCTATTCTTATTATTCAACTGCACCATGAAACACGCAGTTGCCGTCTCCTTGCTCGCCGCCATGGCAGTCCAGGGTCTTGTTATCCCTCACTTTGATAACATCCCTCAGCAGTTCACCCTTGTCAAGCAGACAAAGGAGGCCGCAAAGACCGAGTCGCCCGTCGTCAACCTGCTGGACGAGAGCAACGCCAGCCCGCTGATCACCACGCCTGTTGCTGTGGAGAACATCATTCCAAACTCCTACATCGTCGTGTTCAAATCTGGTGTCTCCTCAGAGTCTATTGATTTTCACATGAGCTGGCTGCAAGACGTGCACTCCCAGACCATCAACCAGCTGGGACTGAGTCCAGAGGAGGCCTCTGCTCAGGGCTTCAAGTCGGACATCCTCGACCTGACCCACGTCTTCAAGATTAGCGACTTCTTCTCTGGCTATATCGGTGTTTTCCCAGAGGCCGTCGTGAACCTCATCAGAAGACACCCTGATGTTGCATTCGTCGAGATGGACTCCATGGTGTTCGCCAACGAGGCTGAGACTCAGACCGGTGCTCCATGGGGGTTGTCTAGAATCTCGCACAGAGAGGCCCTCAGCCTTGGAAATTTCAATCAATACCTATACGATGACGTCGCTGGTGACGGCGTCACAGCATATGTCATTGATACCGGTATCAATGTCAACCACAAGGACTTCGGCGGAAGAGCTAAGTGGGGAAAGACAATCCCAACCGGCGATGACGACATCGACGGTAACGGTCACGGTACCCACTGCGCTGGTACTATTGGCTCTGAGCACTACGGTGTCTCGAAAAACGCTAACCTGGTTGCCGTCAAGGTTTTGAGATCCAACGGTTCAGGTTCGATGTCTGACGTCGTCAAGGGCGTTGAGTTTGCTGCCAACGCCCACATTGCGGAGGCCAAGCAGAAGAAGCCAGGCTTCAAGGGGTCCACTGCCAACATGTCCCTGGGTGGTGGCAAGTCTCCTGCCCTGGATATGGCCGTCAATGCTGCAGTCAAGGCCGGCTTGCACTTTGCCGTTGCCGCAGGTAATGACAACGCCGACGCCTGCAACTACTCGCCAGCCGCTGCAGAGAACGCCGTCACCGTGGGTGCCTCGACCTTGTCCGACTCGAGAGCCTACTTCTCGAACTACGGTAAGTGTGTGGACATCTTTGCTCCAGGTCTCAACATCTTGTCCACTTATATTGGTTCCGATACCGCAACTGCTACTCTTTCCGGTACTTCCATGGCTTCGCCACACGTTTGTGGTTTGCTTGCTTACTACCTTGGTTTGCAGCCAGAGAGCGACTCTCAGTTCGCTTCGTCGTCAGTTTCTCCAGCTCAACTGAAGAAGAACATCATCAAGTTTGGTACCAAGAATGCTCTTTCTGACATTCCAGACGATGGAACTCCAAACGTCCTGATTTACAACGGCGCGGGCAAGAATTTGACGGAGTTCTGGGACGTAGATTACGAGTACGAATCCGAGAGCTCATTGAAGAAGGACCTGAACCGGGCTTTAGAAGTTGCTTCTTCCGTGGAAATCGACTTTGACGGTCTGAAGGAGAAGTTTGACGAGATCCTCAACGAGGTTCAAAGTGAAGTGAAGTCTCTGTTGAACTAGCCGGACTAGCTGAATTGAATGAGCGAGTTCTTTGTTTTTGGGTTTTGTTTTTGTTTTTATTCACGAAATGATTACTTTCATTGGGTTTCACTTGCTTCGATAAATTCATGCATCGGCAACACCTTTGTTTCGATCTATGTTTAAGTAAAATGCATACATACATACTAAAATTTACCATGCTAATATTTGGGTCACTTTCCAAAACGGTTGCAGCAGCGCAGCTACTGCCTGGTAGATCCTGTAGATTATCCGTATCATCCAAAGATAAGTGAATATTTCCAGTATAAGCACCGCTTCTGGAGGAAGAATCGGTACTGAGTACAATATCCCAAATAGCTGGAATACCACGCCAATAACGGGCACAAATTGCAGCGAACTCTGTATCGAATCGTGTATGCGGTAAATAGTGGAGTGAAGTTCGGGTCTCTTTGTTTGTTGCGGCCATTCGCGGTCTGCATCTGCCCGTTTTCGTCGGTTCTCAAGTCCCTTCTTCCTGTCAGAGTATCTGACTCCGTTATTGTACCACATGTAGTCCTTTAAATTTTGGTCAAAGGTATTTCCAGTAAACTTGGAATCAAAATGGCTCTTGCACTTAGGATGGTCCAGTTTTATTCTGGAGCTGGCTTTTTGCGGCCAGTCCGAATGGTCGTTGTTTGATCGCTCGAAAAACGTTTCTCTGAAAATGTGTTCTTCGTCGCCATTGGCCCGCCTGATTTTGCGCATTTCTCGCTCCATCTGTCGTCTCGAGTCCCACAGTGATACGGTGTCGGGCTCTTCCACTTTCGGTGGCTCTGCGACCATGCTTTTCTGTCGTTCTCTCCATTGGTTGTTTCGGCGTTCAAACCGGCTCACCATTGGCATAGACTTGATATTTGTGCCTGAGATAGTGAGATCAAGGTTTTTGCTGCGTCGCTTTCGGCTCATCATCGATTTGAACCAGTTGCTCTTTTTGCTGGTAAAGAGCTGCTCCCCTATAGAGTCCGCTTCTGCAGCGCTTCTGTCGTGCCGAGAGGCGTTAAAGTGGTAGTATTGGCCGAGCGAATCACTCTTCTGTATCGTCATCGGAGAATGCAAATTAATCGGACAAAACACAAACAGGTGCTGTGCAGTCGGTGATATATCACTATTGTCACTATAAGTAAATATGTTTTCTCCTCGTTACCCTGCCACCACTCTTCTCGTGTCGCGAAGAAAAACAAATAAACACACTGCTCAGAATTCGGGTTGCAGCGGTGCAAGGATGGAAGCTACGACACTGCTCGGGTGCCGTGTCTTTCCGTCTAGAACGGTGGCCCTAGACAGTGGAGAGTGTGTTTAATGACCGGACAGAAACTATGAGCACATCCAAGCCCGTTTCAGAAAGTCGACCGGAAAATCCCAGGTGTTCGACAAGGCTTGTGCGTTTCTCCTCTAAATTTAAATTGTAAATAAATGCAATATAATTTAATATTTACTTCCTTCGAGAGCCGAGACATATTTCACGCTTGCCCCGCCCCCCTGTACAATAGCCATTAGGAGCAGGAAGCCAGTCCCCAACAGAAACTGAGAGCTTGCCTTCTTGCATTGAGAGTTTCTATTCCCTCACACAACCATTATATGAACTCAGCCAAAGACACGCCTACCGGCCTTCCCAACTCCTCTCAGATAGCCATTTTGAATAATACCGAGCACGACCGCGCCATGACTCAGATAAACGAGCCAACCACACCCTCAATGAAGAAGAGCGCGACTTTCGACGCGGCGCCCTTTCCCCAGACTCCCGAGCGTACACCGCATCAGTTGATGCCTGAAGGCACTCCGTTGTTGTCACCCACGCACATGAATTCCGGAGCCACTCCATCAAAACGGCGAGGCACCGACTTCTACAGCTTATTGAAGTCGCCGGATGTCAATCGAAACGATGTCGACTTGAAGCGACGCTCGGTGGAGCTTAACAAAATAGTCAACAAATCCCCCGAGAAATTGAATAACTATGTATTCCACGACAGTCTGCTCAAGTCTCCGAAGCGTCAGCCCGGAAGCTCGCCGTTCCGTGTCCACAAGAAGAACGACAATGAAATCAAAGAGATATCGGAAAACCTGAAAACAAGGCTCAACTATGCCAATGTGAAAATTCAGCATGGATGGTCAGCTAAATCAATCTCGGAGTTGGAGAAAAACCTCGAGGAGGAGAAGCTGCGAAAGATGCTCACCCCTCAGGACCGGAAACAACAGGATAACTTTTGGAAGATGAAGACCGACCAGCTTCCTACGTACAACCAGCCATCGATGAACGCCGAGCTCAGAACCACCATCCCTACCAGCCCTACTAGCCATGCTACTCCTGCGCGCCGCAAAGCATCGAAGCTGAAGCTGGACGAATTGGCTAGCAGACAAGGATCTGCCGAGTCTGCTTTGTACAAAGCTCTTTCGCCCGAACGACCAAAGCTGACCATCGACTCGCGGTCGATGCTGCCTCCTGCCAGCCACCAGCGCTCTGCTTCCGATAGCAAGCTGGAACAGGAGGCCATCATGTCTCTGATATCGCTTTCTTCGCCCGTCAAATACTCTGGTTCGCAATCTCCTTCGCCTCCTCGGCCCGCTGGGCTGCAGAAGCCGCCGACCTTGTCATTTGACAGAAGACGCAACGCAGGAAACGCGGACACTGATGAGGAAACGGAGCTCGAAGACGAGGACCACGGGAAAAATAATATCTTCAAAGCTCCCCAACAGAACGGACTCAAAGGGCTTGGACTCACGTCAAAGTCTGCGGCAGATGACGACGACCGCACAGCGAGCGACTACTCGGACTGAACGCGGCGCCGGACACTTATACATAACTTTTTCAACACTGTATATGAACACGTCGATCGACGGAAAGTCAATCTCGAGTCGAAATACCGATATTATTTATTATATTTTGTTTTATTCCATTTAATCTCTTGTCTCATGAAAGACACCGTCAAGCCTTTTCTAACCCATCACGAGGACCTGGTGCTGGACGTTAAGTACGACTACTACGGGCGGCAGTTGGCCACGTGCTCTGCGGACCAGCATCTGAAGGTGTTCGATCTGGACGCCGAGAGTTCGTCCTGGATACTAAACGACTCGTGGAAAGCGCACGATTCCACCATAGTCAGGGTCGATTTTGCGAATCCCGAGTTTGGCCATCTGCTGCTGTCGATTTCTTACGATCGCACGCTGAAGATCTGGGAAGAGCGATTTGAGGAGCCTGCAGGATCAGGAAGAAGATGGAGGCGTCTTTGTACCATTGCAGACTCGCATGGACCGTTATACGACGCCTGTTTTATGCCTTCGCATCTGGGACTCGGCGTCGGGACCATTGGTTCGGACGGCAAGCTCCGCATCTACTGTTCGTTGGATCCCGCAAATCTCAAGAGCTGGACCCTGGTGCACGAGATAAACGTGCTCAACTCGTCTGTAGCTTCGCATTTGCAGAGCGACTTTTCGCTGTCTTGGTGTCCCTCGCGTTTTTCAGGAGAAAGGCTGGTTGTGAGTGCATTAGATCAAGCCTACATTTATTACAAGGACGAAGCAGACAACAAGTTCCACCAGGGTGTCGTGCTTCCCGAACACAACGGGCTGATCCGGTCAGTTTCGTGGGCGCCCTCAATGGGCCGCTCATACCACCTGATTGCCACAGCGTGCAAAGATGGGTTTATGCGGATATTCAAGCTTGTTGAAAATCGTGACAACGAGTTTGAGATAGAGTTGCTAGCATCGTTCAATGACCATAGGGGCGAAGTTTGGAAAGTGAGCTGGAACCTCACAGGAACGATTCTAAGCAGCTGCGGTGACGACGGCCAAATCAGACTGTACAAGTCCAATTATGCCAACAACTTCCAGTGCATGAGTGTCATCAGTGCTCAGTCGTAATAAGCCACTAGAAACATTTCTCGGTGATATACTTGAGCAGCTGTTTGAACCGTTCGTCGCTAAGCTGATCCTTCATTCGATCCAACTCCTCCAAATGCGAGATAGACTGCTCCATTGCCTGGAAGTTCTGTGCGCTTTCGTCGTGCATCTGTTTCACCTGGCTCATCAGAGCATTATTTTCCTGTCGCAACAGCTCCAATTTGTCGCTCAGTTTGCTGATCGACTGCTGTTTGACGTCTAAAAGCTTTGTCTGAACAATGTCCTCGGCACTGAGCCTGTGGATCAGAAACGGTGGGTCGTTGCGCAGCTGCCGTTGTCGCGACTCGAACATAATCTCGTCGAGCTCATTGAGTTTCTGTTCCAGGTCCTTCTCCAGATATATGCCTTGGAACTCGTCCAGGGCTTTGCTGGTCCACATTTCGGTGATCTGATGGTGGAAATCCGTCAAGGTCTCGCGATCGACCCCGGGATAACATTCAACGAGCTTCTCAATGTCGAACTTGCTGACGGTTTCCTGAAGCGAAAACTCCGCGGCCTTGCGCAGACCATCAAACCGCACATATTTGAGATTCTCAGCGGGCTCTTTGGCCGTTTTTCTGGACTTTCGAGTTCCTCTGGTACTCATTCAAAATAAATATTGTATATTATTTGTTTACAACAAACACAACACAGCCTTTGAGAAAAAAAAATTCAGATAAATTATAGATTTTTCAAATAAATCATGAAGCTTCTGGTCTCTGCGGAGGAGTCAGGTGCTCTTAAGGAGGTCGTTTGCGTCAAAGGAACAGACACTTCCAAGCAACATGCGCCGCAGCCGACATCCATAAAAACGTACTGCCAGGAAACAAGGAATACCAAGATCCAGCACTTTATTCTATACGAGAATTACGTGGTTGCAGCTAGACAAGGGGGAAGCATATGTATATACAACGCAGAGGATGAATACGCGGAAGTGAAAAAATTAGACAATCTTTCTGCCTCCGCAGATGACGCTTTTGTGTCTCTTTTTGAACTTGGCGACAAAATATATGCTTGTACGGAAGCCGGCAACCTCAGTATCATTGAGCCCGAAAAGTGGAAATATAGTGTGGTCAAGCTCAAGGGGCCGATCAGCACTTTTTGTGGAGATGTATCAAGACCAGGAATATTTGCATATGGAGGAAAGGAAACCGACCTCACTGTCATTAAGCTGGATACCATGGAGGTTGTGTTTAAAGGCAAGAATGTTCCAAATAACAATCTAGACTTGCGCGAGCCAATCTGGATCTCGAAAGTAGCGTTTGCTACAGATGCGCAAGACGAACCGGACGTCTACAAACTAGTTACAGTCACAAGGTATGGTCACGTGAGATATTACGATTCGACCAAGGGCCGTAGGCCTGTTCTCAATTACAAGCTTTCCGACAAGCCGCTGATCACCATGGCAAAGCTCAACGACTCGGAGATCGTGTGCTCCGACACGCACGTTACGACCGCAAAATTTAATTTCAAGAATGGCAGCATGCTCGGGAAGTTCCAGGGTGCCGTGGGATCGATCAAGGCAGTCCATGTTCTGAACAACGTCCTCGCCACCGGCGGACTCGACAGATATGTCCGGTGCTTTGAACTCGGCTCCAGAAACACCATTGCCAAGGTCTATATGGGCACTCAAATTAGCGACGTTTGCTTGGTGGAAGCAGACGAGGAGCAGCCAGAAGAGAAACTCCAGGAAGCAAAGCCTAAGGCCAAGGAGCAGGAAGGCCTTGAACAAAAGAGCGAAGACGACGAGTCGAGCGACGAAGAGGAAATGTGGCAAAAGTTGCAGACCTCTCTAGCTGAAAAGAGAAAGAGACGGAAACTCAAATAATCGCATCTTTAATAAATTTCATATATTAATATGCTAATTAAACTGTCTGGCCATTTTGCGGTCATGGCCGAGTTTTCGGTTGCTGCGATTGCCCCGGGTGGACTTTCTGGGCTTTGAGCCGTTTTCCCCTTTCTCCTGGTGCTTCTCCTGCTGGAACTTTGTGCGACTCAGAGACCCGTTCAACGAGCCACCGACGTCGAGCAATTTCTCTTCCAGCAGCTTGAACCGCCGCGGATTGCGCTCAAGCATGCGCGCCCAGCCTTCCAGCTGCTCGTCAGTCCATTTGAGCTCGCTCTTCAGCTGGTTTCTGTAGTTCGTGTATCTAGAGCTGCGGTCAAAGGCCTCCGGGTTGGACTTGTAGATTTGCAGAAGCTTGAGGTTCAGCGACTCCATGGACTGGTCTTTTTCGCGATTTGCTTCCTTACTCTCCGCAAACTCCTCGTCCGACTCGTAATCCTCGTCTTTGGCCAGAGTGTCTGCTCCCCTGGTGAGATCCTGGTCGTTGTACGTATCATCGGGCTCGTCCTCGGCAGACTCATACAGCATGCGCAGCGCGTTCTCAAGCGTTTTCTTTTTCAACTCTCGGTGAGTCCGGCTATCCGCCTTCAGCGAGAAGTCTTTCTTTCCAAACTGGACGCGGGGTTTCTTCTTTTCCGTGTACTCCTCGATCTCTTCTCCCTCCAGCACCTTGTTCATCGCCTCCTCCACGGTTTTGTACTTCTTCAGAAGCGTTTTGCACTGGGCCTCGGTGAGCTGCGGAAACACGTCGAGCAGACTCTGTATTTTGTGCTGGTCGAATGCGCTCTTGTTTTCAAAAAGCTTGGTTCTCAGGTCCGGGTTCATGTCCTGGAACTTGCTCGAGAGAATTACGCGCGCCGTCAGAGGATAGCTTTTGATCAAGTGCGCTCTGGCAACTACGCCCAGGTCTCTCACGAGATTTATTATCTTGGCAGATGGCAAACTGACAAACGAGACGAGCGCAATCTCAAAACATTGCTGAGCATGCAACGAGTCGCCTCTGTTGTACAGCGTTTCCAGAATACCAATCCAGTGAGAGTTGACAAACCGCTCGCTGAAACTGTCCTGTTGTCCACGCCCCACCACGACGCGCTGCTTGCTGTTTCCTCTGCTTTTGACTTTCTGCCCAAGAAGCATGCTCAAGGTCTCTAGATCTATCCGGTTGAATTTGGCATCGCTGATACGCAGCCTCAAATAGTCCTGGAGAGACTGGACGAGCGAGACGTCGTCGGATTTAGACGTGATCTTTGACTTCACTCTCCCTTCCACCAGGTCTCGCACTATTCCCACGCTGATCAGCGACTGGTTCAAATTCATATTCTCGTACGCAAGACGTAAATATACCTTGCAGAAATCCCAAACCGACTCGCCCGCGAGCTTCAGGTTGACCAAGTTGTAGATCTTGATGAACTGGAAAACGACGACCTTGAGCCGTTTCTGGTTTTTGAGTATTTCCGGGTTAATTGCCCCGAGAGAGAATATCTTGGTGCTCTCCTCGCTTGTTTCGGAGAGGTACACCTTCATGAATGCGGTCAACTGTTGCTGGCTCTTCAAACTGAGCTTGACGTCCCTCTTGGTCGAGACCACGATCAGTTTCTGAAACAGGTCGATATAACTCTCCAGCAAGTGCTGCCAGATAACAGGGTCCTTGTCAATCAGACTGGACCGCAGCTTGAACGGCGGATACACCACGATAGGGATATCCAGCTGGTCCATTTAATATATCCTATCAATTTTTTCACGCCGATAGTCGCTTTTTATCGACTCAATAATAAGTATATCTTCATTTATTCCATGCTGTCCCTAGCAGTCTCTGCTGCGGCTCTCGCGCTCATCTTCACCAATGAGTCGTTCCAGCCCATACAGGCGGCCATAGGGTTTGCCGTCCTCGGGTACCAGATGACCACGTCGCTGATTCCAGCCGTCACCAATGCGTTTCTCAAACGTGGCCTGGGAGGCAGAGACCTGTCTAAGCCGGGGAAACCGCTCATTCCAGAGACAATGGGCGTCATTCCAGCCATCACATACATGTTTGTGATGATTCTGTTCATCCCGTTCATGTTTATCTTTGGCTCTGACCAGAACGGTCTGTCTGGAATGTTCCCCCATAAAATGCTGTCGACATATTTAGGATGTCTGCTTTCGCTTATGTCGATGATTTTGCTTGGGCTCCTGGACGATCTGTTTGACATCAGATGGCGGCACAAATTCTTCCTGCCTGCGGTCGCCTCGATTCCGCAGCTTATTGTGTACTACGTCGATTTTGGAGTCACCGCGATCCTCATTCCGCACTTTCTGCAGCAGTGGCTGCATTTGGAGACCAATTCCGTGGACCTCGGCTACTTCTACTACTTCTACATGGCGTCGGTCGCTATTTTCTGTCCCAACTCCGTCAACATTCTAGCCGGGATCAATGGATTGGAGGTTGGACAGACAGTCGTGATTGCCGCGCTTCTGCTGCTCAATGACGTGTTCTATCTCTCCACGGGGACTATCCAGTCGCCAAGCTACTCGATCCACCTACTCAGCATGTGCTTCCTCATCCCGTTTGTCGGTATTGCTCTGGGTCTGCTCAAATACAACTGGTTCCCAGCCAGAGTTTTTGTCGGCGACACCTGGTGCTACTTTGGAGGCATGGTGTTTGCCGTCGTGGGCATCTCGGGCCACTTTGCGAAGACGCTGATGCTGTTTTTTCTGTTGCAAATCGTCAACTTCGTTTACTCGGCTCCGCAGCTCTTTGGACTCATACCATGTCCACGTCACCGACTTCCGAAATTCAATGAAGAAGACGGCCTGCTCTACAACTCGTACACGGAGTATGGCCTGATAGACACTACGAGCGAGAAGGGCACGCAAAATCCGCCGCTGAACTCAAGATTGGTACCAGTAGTACTATTTCTTGAGAAATTAAAGCTCATCGGAGTGGTCAAAGAATACCAAGACGGAAAATGGGTGATCCGTAAGACAACCAACCTTACCATCATAAACCTATTTATCGTGTGGACCGGACCAATCAAGGAAGACAAGCTTTGCACGCTTTTGCTGGCCACGCAATTTGCAACCGGCTTCATCATGCTAATCCTTCGACACACGCTTGCCCCAATGCTCTTTGGCTTCGACAACTCCTGGAGCATGCTGAATAGATATAACTGAATGTCTATGCACCCCAGAATGCTTTCCGCTCTTCCAACAGGCTGTCGGCAAGGCCCTGGATCTCTGGATGCTTGATCAACGCCCGAGAGCGGAAAAATTCATCGAGAGACTTCTTGGTGGCTTTCTCGTACTCAAAAGCCTGGATCAGCATCTCGTACTTGTCAATGTCTTTCACTATTGAGGCCTCGAAGTTACGCTGGTCCTCATAATCGAGCCAAAGCTGCACGATCTCCTCGGAAAAGGCTGCGTTATATGGCTTGATGATTTCGCTCAGATAGAGAATCGTGCTGTATTCTCGTCTATTCTTCTCTTTCTTGTCAATGTTGGCATCGTGAGGGACGATGTCGCCGACCAGACTCTCTGCTATGTCGTGCACAAGCGCGATCTTAGCACATTTGGTCAGATCAGGCTTCTGAGAAAATGCTTCGCTGTTCAGCGACATCGCAATGATAGACATTCGATACATGTGATCTGCAATACTCTCTGGGTTGGGGACCTGGTGGTCGATCCAGCCGGTCCGCTTCTGCTGCTTCAAGAGCGATGCGATCTGATAAAATGCATTAATGTAGTTGTAATTTTTGCCGTTAGCCTCGGCCGGAGTCAGAAGTTTCCGAATATCAGCTGGCAGAGCTTTCCGTGGGTTCCACTCGGATGTCGTCATAGTCGATAGTTTGCGAGCCGCCAGCTTGAACGAGCGACGAAAGTGCGGAAGAATGTTGGAAAATTGAATATATAAACAATGCGCGCTGGCTTACCAACGTCTCTCGTAAGGATCTCGGTGCGAGGTGTAATTGATAGGATGCGAAGCAGGACCAGCGTCAGGTGCTGCGGTTCCGCACGCTGATCCCGCGTCGAGAAAGCACGTGCTACGAGGAGGGAGGCTCTGGGCTGCTTCCCTTGTGAGTTTGGAATATGGCAAAATTTCTTGACGGGGGTTGATGCGGTTATAGAACTGCCACAGCGATTTGCTCTCCCAGTACCACAAAATCCTGGCAGTGATCTGAATAGTACCTTGTGAACCTTGTCTTGGGCAAATAATAGCCTATAGATTAGCTTCAATTACCCAAAGTCCACTTTTAAGACCACAACAGAACCAGCAATACCTAGTTTCCTACGACCGACTTGGTCTACCTACAGTCTCTCCTCATGCTCATTTATTATTCGCATACTTAAGCAACAAGCTCAACAACACCTCCGGCAGCACGAATCTTCTCCTCAGCCAACTTGGAAACGTATCTGGCCTTGACAATAACTGGAACGTTTGGCAATCTTCCCTTACCCAAAACTTTTCCGTAACCAGAAGCCAAGGTGTCGATGACAACGGCGGAGTCCTTGCTGCTAGAAGCAAGCTTCTCCTCCTTGTTTTCCACCAACGACCAGAGCTTCTCTAAGTTGATGACTGGTTTCCAGAAATGGCCTTGTTGCTTGTGGAAGTATCTCATACCGACCTTACCAAAGTAACCTGGGTGGTACTTGTCCAAGTTGGTTCTGTGGTGGTGTTGACCACCAGCCATACCTCTACCACCTGGGTGCTTTCTGTGCTTTCCAACACGACCTTTACCGGCCGAGACGTGTCCTCTGTGCTTTCTAGTTTTGGTTAATCTGGTAGGCATCTTTGGTGGAAGAAATTATTTGACTTTGCCAATTTTCACTATAATTTTACACTCTGCCATTTTTCACATGCTCACAAATCGGGTCAGTAAACCAATTTTTCAGCTCGCGCAACCCTCAAACCCGCGTACAAAGTCACGTGCAAAGGGGAAAAAGCTAATCTCTAGGATCTGTCTCCTCGGATACCCCAGACCTCGGCGTAGGTACTCTTGCCCTTGGTTTCGGGCACAGTCGTGTAGATAAACGCGTAGAAGCATGCACAGACAGCGGCAAACAGCAGAAATGTATATCCTCCTATGCAAGAGTTGAGAATAGGAAATAGAAAGCCAACCGCAAAGCAGCTGATCCAGTTGCAGTCTGTTCCCCAACTTTGGGCTAGGTCTTTGATTTCCACCTGTGAAAACTCGCTAATGATCAAAAATGGGATAGGTCCGCACCCAATAGCAAAAGAGCCGACGTAAACGAAGACCCCAAGCAGCGTGAGCGCCGAGTTGCCAGATATAATGCCGAGACTGAGTGACGCGGAGGCGACGCCCATAATTGCCACCGAGGCGAGCAGCATTGGTTTGCGGCCAACTCTGTCCAGAAACAAGGATGCGGCGAAAGTGATCAGCATGTTTCCGAGGCTGATGAGACAATTGATTGCAACAGCGTGCGCTGGGAACAAACCCGTCAGGATTTTGACTCCATAAAACACAATCGAGTTGATTCCTGCAAGCTGCTGTCCCACCATCAGCACTGTAGAAACAATGCGCGAGTTTCTGTAGTTCGGGTTTGTTAGATAAGTGTAGAACGAGAGTGTTTTGAGCGACGGATTAGACTCTATGAGCTGCATGTGCCTTTTCTTCTCTTCTTTCCAGATCTGTACCTCTTGAGCACATTGCAAGGTATTGTTGCCCCTGAGCCTGTTCAGAATGCGCAAACCTCTGGCTTCGTTGCCCTGGTTGAGAATCAGCCATTTAGGAGACTCTTTCAGAAGCAACAGGGACAGAAGCAGCGTCGACGCTGCCAGGACCACCCCTGATCCCAGAATTAGCCTCCAATTCATCTCTGTAGCCCACCAAATTGCCAGAACCTGCGCGAGTAAAATCCCCAGGTTGATGCTCACCTGGTTCATTGATCCCAGCACGCCTCGCAAAGAAACTGGCGCAATCTCGTTGATGTACAGCGGAACAAGCACTAAAGCACATCCTGCCCCCAGTCCGCTCACAAATCGTCCAAACAGCATCGACAGATAGGTCTGGGCGCCATACTCCAGATACGAGCCTATAGTATAATAGATAGCAGTGACGAGAAAGCTGGACCTTAGACCAAGACGGGAGCTTATTTGGCCTGCAAACGTGGACGCCATCAGTCCACCAATGGAGAAGATCGAAGTGAGCAACCCCACCTGTGAAGTGTCAAGTTTCAGTGCCTCTTTGATGAGCTCTTCAGGGGCGTTGAGCTCTGACATGTGGAATCCGTACTGGATGGAGTTCAGACAGACCAGCCCCACAGAAGTGACCAATGCGACTGTGTAGCTGTCCTGAGCAGCTGGCAAAACCAAAGGGGTAGCAGAGGTGGCGGAATTGCGGCTCATGCTCAGAGGGAACAACCTTCAAATACGTCACTTCTATCTTATCATGTACATCTTTGCACGGGACTACGAAAATAAATTCAACCCCACAATGTCCTTCACCGAAGAAGAGATCGACAACCTTTCGGTACGCGACGCGGTGGCAGAGCTCATTGACTCGTCCCGAAACGAGCGATTGGGCCTTCCGGCTGGAATTCGCGTGCCGTTGCTTGTTTCCTCGGCAGCACTGGTGGGCGGGCTGTCGGGAATGGTGTTTGGATACAGAGAGGCAGGGCTTCGATTTTTGGCCAGCAACTCGCATCGGCTGCCGACAAACAGAAACGGCTGGTTTATGTACCACAAGCGGAAGGGATACTACTGTTTTGCGCAGTCATTTGTGCTTGGGGCCAAGACAGCCGGCAAGATTGGACTGTTCACGGCTGTCATGTTTGGAACAGAGGCGTTGCTGGACGAGGTGAGGCAGCTAAAGGATTTTGGCAACACCATGGCTGCGACCACTCTGACGGGGTTTTTTTACGCATGGGCTTTGGGCATGAAACCAGTGCAGGCCAAAAATTACATTCGGAAGGGTGGAAAATACGGATTACTGCTAGGCGTGGCGCAGGACGCACTGATTTTCTCACGCGGGGGTTATGTGTGGTACATAAATGGAGTGCTTGGGCTTGAGCCTAAAAAACTGCACGAGAGAATCGATTAGCTGACTGTCTACTCCTCTTCGTCATCCAGGTTCGGCACAGGATAGTTCAGGATCACGGCTATTCCGGTCAACTGGTTCAACTGCTCGCCGCTGTCATGTAGACTGGAAAATATGACGACCTCTCCGCCGTGCTCTTTCACCTGCTCCGTCATATGGATGTATTTCTTACGCTGCGCAATGTCATCGCTCTTGAATAACGTGTCTGTGATCATCAGCGTGCGGACCGCTCCTTGCAGCTCTATTGCCTTTGCCACTTCTGGCTCTCCATACCACGCCTTCCCGTCATCGTCATTGAGCAGCTTGCTGAACTCGTCGAACAGCATCGCACTGTGCTGGAACTTGGTATCGGAAAGCTGTTTCTGCAGCTCGGGCGCTTTCAGTGCTTCTTCGAGCCCCTGTAAGTACCCCGTGGACGAATGAGCCACAACAAACTTAGATTTTGACTGGATGAGAGACTTGTCCTGGTTGCTCACTGCGATGCTAAATATTTTATCATACAACTGACGGGCGCTGAATCCGGGAGAGACAAGCAAAATGACCCGCAACTTGTCGATGTTGAAGTTGCGGATCACCAAGTCCGCCACAGTTTCCATGAATTTGTCCAGGGCCTTGTCGTGGGCGCTCGAGTCTCCACGCTTCTTTTTGGGGATGGACTTCTCAATCTTGGACCTCAATATGGTCATGTTCTCTGTAATCAGGCACAGATGAGCAACGCCTTCCTGTAACACCACTGCCCCAACTTCAGCCTTGGCCTCTATTGAGCATGATTTATTGACCAAGTCCAGACTGATGTCGTCCCAGTCATTTTTATAGAGCGTGAATTTTTGGTTGAACTCCAACTCTGCGGTGTGGTAGGAGCCCTGTGGAACGTCCTCGTGCTGCTCCACGGTGCGTCCTTTGATCCGCATCACCTCGTCGCTCGGCGTGAAGTCAACGCTCTCCACACTGAGCGAGAGAGTAATAAGCTTGCGCACGGGCTTGTCTGATGGGGACTTTTTGATATTTCTATGAGTTTTCAGCCGCACTTCGTCATCCTTGGCAATAAGGTTGTACAAAGTCCACAGATCCTCGCCGTCCTGCGGAACAAGACTCACAGACCCGCTCTTGTCCTTCTGGAAGGAAGAATGCACCAGCTTCATAAATTAAAAATAAATTAGTTTTTTGCAGGCTGTGTTGTGCATACATTACGCATTTATTTATCTCACGGTAGCACCAACAAGAGAGGCGGCCTTACAGACCTTGCCGTCCTTGGTGACCAATCTGGCGTCCGGCTTCCCTTCTTGCCTATAGATCACCTCGAGTTTGTCATTGGTGCTGAAATTAGGTTGCACCTGCTCAAAGATCTTCTTTTTAGGGTTGAGCTGCTTTTCTGGAGTGCCGTCGAAACCTTCAAAGAAAACCTTGTCTCCGGCCTTGGACCCCTCCGGTGGGTTGATAAACTCCACGGTCTCACCCTCAGAGGCACAGAGAACCATCGCAGACGACTTGATTCCTCTCATTGTGACCGGCTTCAGGTTGGCAATCACCACCACGTATCTCTGCTGCATGGCCTCCAGGGGATAATATTTCACCAGACCAGAGCAAACGGTTCTTGGGCCCTCCTCATCGCCCATGTGAATGGTAGAGACATACAGGGCGTCCGCGTCAGGGTGTTTGATTGCCTTCTCGATGAATCCAACTCTGAAATCCACCATCGAAGGGTCTGGGCCAGCAGCAGCAGGCTTGGCAGCTTCAGCCTCGGCTTTAGCTTTGGCCTTAGCGGCCTTCTTGGCCTCTTTAGCAGCTTTGGCAGCAGCAAGAGAAGCTTCATCGGTTGGTTTTCCTTTCTTCGGCTGCTCTTTTGGCTGTTCCTTGGGTTTGCTTTTCTGCTCGTCCTTGGAGTCCTTAGCGTCCTTCTTCTTCTTTTCTTTCACCTCTCTTGGCAGCTCGACAGAGAAATCGATCTTGAGCTTGTTTTCAACGCCAATCTGGTTTTGGATCAGATCAATCCATCTGACAATGTGTCTGTACTTGGCCAAGTCCTCCACAGAGGTCCACTTCTGCGCGAGTGGGAAAACGCGCTCGAAAACGGCGGCGTCTGCCTTCGATGGCTTCGAACCAATAATGTAGGTCTTTGACCTCAGCGAGTCGTTCAGCTCGGTCAGATTCTCCTCGATACGGCTACTGAGCGTCACCCATTGATCGCACAAGGCAAGCTCCTCGTTCGAGAGGTTTTCAGCCACCTTAAGGCTGGCAAAATTATCTGCGAGAGACATGAATTAAAATTTTTCGAAATGACTTAAAAAATGCCTTGTCGAAATCAGCTCAAATGGTACAGACATAATTTTGATGAGGACGTGTTAGTGTTTAAGTTTGGCGGCTACAATTGAATCTCCTGGCTGAGCTTTTCCGTCATTCATCATGCGAATTCTATCTTCTGTTCTGTCCAGCAAAGGCAGTTTGTGGGCCTCTTCTTTAAAGGTAGCACTTGTACTTATCATTTTTTGACTGCGACCTAGCAATTTAGTGAACGCTTTCAGACGAGTCATTGCTGGATCGTCTAACTGGAGTTTTTGCTCAGTAACGTTCACTCAGGCTCCTTATATCCGGGTTCTGTGCTTGACCGTCTGTACCACGACAGAAGGCAAGTTCACGAAATGGCTGATGCATAGCCTTCTGCAGCGTGAATAACCGTTCACATCCTGCAGAGACGGCGCGCTTTACAAGTAGCTTGTATACGATGCAAAGAAAGTTAGGAACCAGCTGAGATCGAGATTTGATTCCGGCCCCGTGAGAGTCATAAATACCCAGACAGAACTTGACAGCTACGCATAGCTGCGGTTGCTTGGGTCTACACAACGGCGAAAAATGGCAGAAGAGACGCTCACGTAATGGACAGCGACAACGGCATGGCAAGTAGAAACTCGGAAGCGAACATGTGACAGACTGCCAAACCGACCAAAGCACAGCTTGTCTTACGTCAGTTTCATATATCACAGGCAGCTTCGCGTGCTTCCAGAGCAGTTCATCGCGGATGCACAGCCCTGGAAAGCGTCAAGTTTCAACCGGCAAGTACGGGAGCTGAAGTCGCTAGTGGCGGAGAAAACTGACGGAGAGAAGAGTACCGGCCTGGAGAAAACTAGTAGTACAGCTATGGTACGAATCTTGATTGCATGCATGATGGACAACGCTAATGCCCGGATTTGAGGACTGATCTGGAATATGTTAGGTCTGATGATCTGATCAAGCAGTCAAAAGTTACAGATGACACCAGGGAAGCGTTTGACTTGAAGGATGTCCAGGTCGAGTCCGAGAGAGACGCTCTCCGTACATGGTTTGTGTGGCTTCCCTCGAGCTGCAGGGGGCAACTGAAGTTCAACCATGGAGTCTTTGATTAAAGGCTATTCAACGATTGACGGCGTCGTGGTTTTCTTTGCCACTAGTACAGAAACGACGGGCAGACGCTTTGCCGCTGACTCTAAACTGGCTTGCCGTCACGACCAGTATTCAGTGGACAGTTTCCCGAAAACGTGTTGTTGGGAGCGGACGACGAGCTCTTGCCAAAGTTCAGCTGGCTACTCCGAGGATTAGTCTGTGCAAGGATGTCCCTTACAACGAGATACCGTTAGATAAAATTTACAGCGTGCCTCCGAATTGTTTTTGTCATGTATCTGATCTAAAATGAGCACGTCCCCGCCCAAGAAAAGACGCAATGTCAGGAAGAAAGTGTCCAGAGCATGCAACCATTGCCGCAAGGCTCACGTGACGTGCGACGACGGGCGTCCCTGTGCACGGTGCATAAGCAAGGGTACGGCCGAAACGTGCATGGATGCCCCGCGAAAAACGAAAAAGTACCTTGCGGGCGAGACGCCCAGGCCGGAGCTGCCACCCACGATGCGGGAGAAGCGCAGGCCGTTCATGTCGTCGGCGGCAGACATGGAGTATGCGACATTGGGCAACATAATCAATCAGGATTTCGTCAGCCCCGACAACCAACAGTCGGGCCAATTTTTCAGCCCTGCCGTGAGCAATTCCGCCTCTGAGGACACCAATGACAGCGTCAACTTCCAGAACCCCATGTACCAGAATTCTCACATGTTTGCGCCCGACACCAACCAGATAAACATGTACAAAATGCAGAACATGGGACCTCAGTGCGATCCAATGACCAACCAGTATTTTATAGGGGCTCACGTTACGTTTCCGCAGGTGGTGAAGCAGATTTCGCAGTATCGGCAAATGAACCCCGTGCAATTCAACGAGCGCAACCAGCAGTCCGCCATCTCATTCTCTGTCGCGGTGTCGCAGCCAGAGGAGCACCAGCTCGCCAGCACGCCGTGCGGACTGCAATTCAAGGAACCTTCCGAAATCTATTCCAAAATCACGGCCCCTTTCAACTACGTTCAGCCCTACCATGACCTCAACCTATATCTACGAAAACGATTCGATAAAAAACACCTGGTGTCGATGTCCAAGTCTATGTCGGAGTACAGGCCGTCTTTCATTGCCGGGATGATCCATTTGAAAGGAGATGACCTTATCTTCGCCGAGCAGTGCTTTCAGCGGACGCTGCTCGAGTACGACGCGTACATATCGATCTCAGGAACACCCACGCTGGTCTGGCGGCGTACGTCGCAGATCGCCTACGTAGGCGACGAGTTCTGCGTGCTGACCGGATGGAGCAAAGAGCAGCTACTGGGGAAGTCGACTTTTGCCGTTGAGATCATGGACGACAAGTCGTGTGTCGAGTATTTCCAGCTCTTTTCCAAGATCGCGTTTGGCGATTTTCGCGGTGCCACAATGACAGAATGCACACTGCTCACGCCCGAGGGTGAAAGCATTCGCACTTCCAGCATATGGACGCTTAAACGGGATGTTTTCGGCATCCCGATGATGATAATCGCCAGCTTCCTGCCCATACTGACATGACGAATGTAATATAGGTATAAATCGATAACAAAATTATACGAAATCTATTGAGCAAGGATGCTCTTGACGAACTCAACGTAGTCAACTGTCTGCTCATCAGTGACATTGACACCCTTGAGCAGCTCGTCGACCTCGCTCTCGTTCAGTTTCTCGCCCACAGATGTCAGGATGTATTTGAGTTCTCCGACGCCAATGAATCCTGTCAGGTTCTTATCGAAAATCTGGAACGCTTTGATGTAGTCTTCTGGTTGGCCCGCCTTCTTGAAACCGCCCTCTCTGTTGACCACGCTGAGGAACTGCTCGTAGCCCAGTTCGGACGGAACAGACTCCTGGAGCTCGCTAATCTCTTGCAGTGTAGGGTTCTGCCCAACCGCCCTGAGCAGGTCGCCCAAGTACTCGCTGGACACCTTTCCGGTCCCCTTCTTGTCAAAAAGAGCAAACGCGTCTTTGTAAGCTTTGGTGTCGGACTAGAATATTAGCACTTGCGACGCTCTTGTACTTACCATCTTGTTTATTTGTTTGTGATTTTGTTTACACGAAACAATTGTTTTAGTCAAGTCGTGTTTGACACACTGATTTTTTTCAGCCTGGAAACCATGTCTTCAGTGGCTCGTCGCCTGGTCGCCAAGACCTCGTTACCGCCGTGCGCGCTTCGTATCCACCCGTCAGACCCAACCGTTGTCTATATCGGCACATACAAGCTTGTGAAAGACAGCGAACGGTACGGAACAATCGAAATATGGAAATGCACAGCAACGCTACAGAAAGTGAACGAGGTCGCAGCAGGATCGGCGATCCTGGACCTTAAGTTCGACCCTTTCGACGAATCGCGGCTGATTAGCGTCCACTCAACGGGCAACCTAAAAATATGGAAATTGGCAGACGATTACCTGCATTTGACAGAAACGTTAAATTATCAGGCATATGAAGAAGTTACGCTCATAACTGCCGCCAATTTTCATCCTGCAAGGCCAAATGTGCTCACATTGAGCACCACAAGCGGGGTCTGCTCTGTCCTCAAACTGGGCGACAAAATAAGCCAAAGAGACTTTGACACGACCCATGACCTAGAATGCTGGTTTTCCACTTTTGGCTGTTTCGACGGCTTGCAAGACATTGTCTTTTCAGGAGGAGACGATCGAAATCTGATCGCGCATGACAATAGAATGGCAGATTTCCCCGTCTGGAAGACAGACCGCCTACACGACGCAGGAATAGTCTCAGTGCTGCCTGCCACACCGTCGTGGAACAGAACACATCCTTACACCATATGGTCCGGGAGCTACGACGACCATCTAAATTCGCTCGACTTGCGCGTCAGTCCACCCAGTGACCTGATTCCTGGCATTTCGCCTAGAGTTCTGCAACGAAAACACCTTGGCGGAGGGGTGTGGAGGCTGATTCCCGGGCCGAACAATGACGGCCGAGTTCTGTGCTGCGCCATGTATGCCGGTTGCAGGATGCTCAAGTCCGCTGACGAGACCATCATTGTCGAGCAGGAGTTCAAGGACGATCACGATTCCATGGTTTATGGAGGTGACTGGACCGCAGGCAACATGGTGACGTGCAGCTTTTACGACCAAGTCATTCAGGTTTGGGAACAGCAATGATTATTTTTCAGCAGCTTGCGATTCCACCCACTTCTTAAGCCTCTCGTAGTCCACCTCCCCTTCCGGGTTCTCAATAAGTTTCTCGTCGACAAATGTTGCTTGGGCGATCTGGTTTCTCAAGCACACAATGGACGGAATTTTGGTAACCTGATAGTCGAGCAACAGGCCCTTGTTTCCCGGCTCATCGCACTCCACGTCAACCATGCTGACAAGCTTGCTGTCGTCGATATCGTAGGTTAAAATTCTTTGCAGGGCCCCCGTTTGCTTGTTCGATGCGGCGTCGCCCCTGAAGACAAAATTCATCAGCAAAGGAGAGTGCAGAGGCACCAGTGACTGTAGCTCAGATCTATCTCTCACGGGAAGGAAGATCCTGTTTTTTGTGGCGGACTGCGGAGGCCAAATCACTGGCTTTGGTTTGACCAGCGGGTTTTTAGATGATTGCACGTATACCGCAATGGCACCAAAAACCAGAGTCCCCCCGAGAATCCATCGCTGTTTCTCTGTCAACGGCATTTAGTCTCAAATATAATGCGTCTAACTATTTTCTGCCGCCTTGCACCAGCCTATATAGTTTTCTCCCGTCGATACAAGACCTAGAGAATATCGGGCCAACAAGGTGCTCCCCAAACGCTGAAAATACCCGACGCACACCAAAAGATGGACGCTCAAGATGTTTTCCAAGATATGCCTCTCATATCTCCCACTATATCGCCTAGCAGGGCAATATCGATGAACGGTAACGGAATAGAAGGTCACAAGCTCGAGAGAGACCAGCTTCCCGAAACCCTACCCTTAGTGGAATGTGTGGCTCGTGCTAGGATCCCAACTACCCAGGGCCCTGAGATTTTTCTGCATTTGTATTCTAACAACGTCGACAACAAGGAACATTTGGCCATCGTCTTCGGGGAAGATATCCGATCAAAGTCGCTATTCAAACGTCGGCCAGGCGAGACACAGCATGATAGAATGACCAGAGGAGCGTACGTCGGCAAGCTTCGGCCAGGAAGAGACGTCGCCGACAGGGACGATGTGCTTGGAATCGAATTGAAATTCGACGAGGACGGAAACATGGTCAACGAAACCAAGCTGCAGGAGCCAGTTTTGGTCCGTATCCACTCAGAATGCTACACTGGAGAGACAGCCTGGTCAGCCAGATGCGACTGCGGCGAGCAGTTTGACGAGGCCGGCCGTTTGATGGGCGAGAAGGGCCACGGATGTATTGTCTATCTGCGGCAGGAGGGCCGCGGCATAGGTTTGGGAGAAAAATTGAAGGCTTACAATCTGCAGGACCTTGGAGCAGACACTGTTCAGGCCAACCTGATGCTGAGACATCCGGCCGACAAGAGAAGTTTTTCGCTGGCTACCGCTATTCTGCTCGACTTGGGACTAGTCGAGATCCAGCTTCTTACCAATAATCCCGATAAAATAGTTGCCGTGGAAGGCAAGAACAGGTCTGTCAAGGTGGTTAAACGGATTCCTATGATTCCGCTCGCGTGGCAGCGGGAGAACGCAGGAATTAAGTCTAAGGAAGTAGAAGGCTACCTGCGTACGAAAGTTGAGAAGATGGGTCATCTGCTTACCACGCCCGACGTCTAATTATAGATCGTATAGCGATTTTAGTCGGTGTTGGCCAACAAACAGTATGAAAATTATTGATTACTATAGTAGTACAATTAAGGCGCGCTTTTTGGCTCATTAAGCAAGCTTTCGATGTCGGCAGAAATTTTAGACGGAGTTTTCACAGAAGAGTACCTGCGAACCACATTTCCGTTTCTGTCAATCAAAAACTTCTCAAAGTTCCACTTGATTCCCTTGAACCCAAGTAAACCCGGCTTTTCGCGCTTGAGCCACTCGAACACGGGGCTCGCATTAGGACCGTTCACATCCACCTTCTTCATCAGCGGGAAGTCCACGCCGTAGTTTCTGCTGCAGAACTCCACAATCTGGTCGTCCGTGCCAGGCTCCTGGTGTCCAAACTGGTTGCATGGGAAGGCAATCACAACAAATCCTTGGTCCTTGTACTTCTGGTAAATCTCTTCCAACTCTTTGTACTGTTTGGTGAATCCACACTTGGAGGCAGTGTTCACCACAAGCACAACTTGGCCCTTAAGATTCTCCAACGGGAATTCCTTTCCCTTATTATCAGTAACGGTGAATTCGTAAAACTTTGACATTTTGCAGATGTTGCCCAGACAGACTGTGCGATTTTTGTCCCTTTTTATATATGTTCGTGAATACAGGACGTCTGGTGCGAGGTGTCTGTATTATCGCCGCTTCGCTTACAGCGTTGCTCAGCTCTAGAAAATTTATTTCACAGCCAGACCTTACGTATGACATTTAACGTCTATTTTTTCGCCGAATACAAACTCGTATTTTTTTGGGGTTGGCTTCCATACGGGCATTCTATTTCCTTCGGGACTTTTTTGCCGCCGGACCGGCAGCGTTTGTTGTCGGCTCTCGCTTGCTGGGAATGCTGCGCTCATACTCCTTCACGACACAGCCCAGCAATGTCGCACATCTGCGGTTGATCTCGGTAGCATTTCGGCTTTGAAAGAAGAAATCAAACTCAAACATTGGGCTCAGCCTGATTTGCTCCAAAATGCGCTCATAAACGTCCTCTGTGTCGACGCCCAGGCGGTAAAGTTGCACGAGTAGGTACCGATCCTCGGCTTCGCTGAAAACTCTCTTTGACGACGAAAGAGACGACGACGGAGGGAACCTGAGTGTGAGCTCCAGTAAGGGACAACTAGTTTCTGCCATCTTGCGACGCAGAGCCTCTTTCTGTATCTTTACCTTTCTGATCTTCTCCTCGCCAGCCTCGATCTGGCCAACATACCTTTCGTAGCCTTCGATACTTGCAATATTGTTCCAGAACGCCTGGGCATATTCCTTGACCTCGTCATAAGTTTTATCCTCAAACTCGGCAGCTATTGAAGAAATGGCTGTGCGGCCGTACTTCACGTTCAAAGAAATGAACTGGTAGAAGTCGCGTCTGCTCCAGTTGTGAAACCCTTGAGTAAGTAATTCCTGCTTCAGCTGCTCTTCTTCGTCGGTCAGCGCTCGCGAATGATCTATCTCGAGCTGCTCAAGCTGCTGGTTCAGCTTGCGCTGCTCAGCGGTGCCAGGGCCCTTCGCCAACTCGGCTGTTTGCTTTGTCTTTCTTTTGTAGTAATTACGCTCCAGATCGTACAGCTCCCATAACTCTGCCGGGAAAAATTGATGGTCGTAAATCGGAGTTTGTTTCAGTGGTTTGACACCCGGGAATTGAGGCTGCGCCGAGCCAGACCGGTGGCCTGGGTTGAGAACATCTCTATAATAGCCGTCAATGGAATAATTCTCCTTACGTTCTCTTTTTGAAGGGTTGATCCATGTGTAGACGTTTCCAAGAGGCCCCGCCACCGTAGGGTCTTTTTTCTGGAATGTCTTACCGTCCCACTCATACAGGGAATCCGATGCTGTAGCGAAATTCTGCAGGTCATCGAGTCCGAGCTTTGAATACTTGTTGTTTAGCTCTTGTGTTTTCTTCTCCGACTCCATCAAAATCTTTTCTATCTCATCATCATCTAGTTGTTCTTTTTCCTCTTCTTTAGAACTCTCAAGGTTCTGGCCTAGTACATCGGCAGCACCATATTGAATCATGTTGAGCAACTCATCCTTGGTGTTGGTCTTCGCTTTGTCTTGCTGAATATTCATCTGTCTACCTTGTTGGATGACCAGCTGATCTAATCTCAGTTTCTGAGAGGCTCTCTCCAGCACCTTTTCCTCAATGGCCTTTTGAGTCACGAACCTAAACACCTTGACTTGCTTAGTCTGACCAATACGATGCGCACGATCCATGGCTTGCAGGTCCGCCTGTGGATTCCAATCAGAGTCGTATAAAAAGACAACGTCTGCAGACGTTAGGTTGATACCAAGTCCACCAGCTCTCGTGGTCAGCAGAAAAACAAATTTCTTAGAGTCAGGAGCAGAATACTCGTCAATAGCCCGAATTCTATCAACATGGTCCGTTTGTCCATCTATACGGCAATACTCAAATCCTCTGAATGAACAGTAATCTTCCAAAATGTCCAGCATTCTGCTCATCTGCGAAAAAATCAGCACTCGGGAACCTTGCTCCTTGAACCGTTTCAGCATCTTATCCAGAACCTTCATTTTCTGCGAGTTGTAAATCAAGTGCTCATCTGTTGTATACGGAGGACCGGGCTCTGCGCCTTCGAATAGATACGGATGGTTGCAGCACTTTCTCAGTTGCATGACTATGTTGAGCAGTCTAGTTTTCGACTCGCGTTTTCCATTCGCACCGTTGACGGCATCTATGTCTCTCTCTAGAAGCTTTTGGTACCATTTTTTCTGCATCTCTGTCATTCCAACATACACGTTAAGCTCTTTTTTTGGTAGCAAGTTCTTCTCGACGTCTGACTTTATTCTTCTCAAAAGGAAAGGCTGCAGGACTTTATGCAGTTGGTGAACAATTGTCTCGTCTTTGTTTTCTGAGTCGCCTGAGGAAAACCAGTCGTCAAACGTCTCTGAATCTGCGAAAACGTCCGGAAGCAGAAAATTGAGCAACGCCCAGAGTTCGTGTAAATTGTTCTGTAAAGGAGTACCGGTTATGAGCAGTCTATTTCTTGAGTGGAAGGTTCTGATGATTTGAGAAAGAAGCGAGTCTTCGTTTTTTAGCCGATGCGCCTCGTCCACAACAATGTACTCCCATGCAAATTTCTTTAATGCTGTCTTCTCCCTTATGACTATCTCATACGAGGATATTACAACGTCAAAGTTGCACGTCATCAGGCCGTCTTTGATGATTTCGTTTCTCTGTTGCTGATCTCCAGTCAAAACCAGCGTTTCCACTTCTGGAGTCCATTTAGCGAACTCCCTTTGCCAATTTTCCAGCGTCGACTTCGGAACAATCACGAGATGCGGTCCTGCTATACCCTTGATGTATCTAAGATAACCAAGAAACGCAATTGTTTGCAACGTCTTTCCCAAACCCATCTCGTCTGCCAGGATCCCCGAGAGGTTGTTCTGATTGAGCGAGATCAACCAGTTAAGCCCTTGGATTTGGTACGGTCTGAGTGTTCCATTAATATATGAAGGGCTTTCGGTAAACTCAAAATTGTCTGATAGCAATTCCTGGTCTTTCATAAGCTCTGCATCCTCCTCCTTTTCCGTTTTCCGATGTCTGTGATCCTGGCCAGATCTGTTTGTGGCGGCCTTATCCTGTTTCAGCAATTTCCAGACTTCAGCAAATTTGGAGTCACTGGAAGCCTTGGACTCCAAAAAATGCTGAAAGAGGCTAGTCAGTCCAAGCAAATACCTGAATCTCGTAGCTGTTTCTTGCACATTAAAAGGTTTCTTGTCACTCTCAGCAAAGTACTTGGCTTTCTTTGCCTGTGGCGACAATGGGTGATAGTCATATGTTATCGGCGTTTGGTCTGTCAGTGGAGGAGCCGGCGTGCTCTCCAAAGAGGCGTCAATGCTAGAGCTGGGTGGTACTTCGGCCATGAGATTGCAGAAGGGAGTTTTTTTCCTTTCCATTTTTAATTTTGTACGCGTTTTGCCTACCAGCCACTGTGCACCGCCTCACGTCTATGCTGAAGATAAAATTACTAATCTAAAACAAAATCTCATTTTTATCTTTCAAGATGTTGACCGTGACCCCCCAACGTCTGACAAACACTCATCTCCCCACTCCAGAGCCAGAACATTGTCCTGGTCCTGAAAGCGAAAATGCTGGAAAGTCGGATGCCTGCGCTGGATGCGCTAACAAGGAGATTTGCGAGTCTTTGCCTAAAGGACCGGATCCTGATTTGCCCTTGATCAACAAGCGTCTCGCAAATATAAACCACAAGGTGTTGGTGCTGTCCGGGAAAGGAGGGGTGGGGAAGTCGACTTTTACGTCGATGCTTTCGTGGGCACTTGCTGCCGATCCAGGACTAGAAGTAGGAGCCATGGATTTGGATATCTGCGGACCGTCCCTGCCCAAAATGCTTGGTTGCGAAAATGAATCCATCCACGCGTCGAACTCGGGATGGTCACCTGTGTACATTAGCGACAATCTGGGAATGATGTCTATACAATTTTTGCTTCCGAAGGAGGATTCCGCCATCATCTGGAGAGGTGCGAAAAAAAACGGTTTGATAAAGCAGTTCCTCAAAGACGTCGATTGGGGCCAGCTAGATTACCTGGTTATTGACACGCCTCCAGGAACCTCGGATGAACACTTGTCTGTCACAAACTACATGAAAGACGCTGGAATAGATGGGGCGTTGATCGTTACTACGCCTCAAGAGGTTGCATTATTGGATGTTCGCAAAGAGATCGATTTCTGTCGCAAGGCGGGCGTGAAAGTGCTGGGAATTGTCGAGAACATGTCTGGGTTTGTGTGTCCGAACTGCGGCGGTGAGTCCAAGATTTACAAGCCAACCACAGGAGGCGGAGAACGGCTTGCCAAGGAGATGGGGCTGAAGTTCCTAGGCAGTGTTCCTCTAGATCCCCGTATCGGAAAAAGCTGTGATTCAGGAGAAAGCTTTTTGGACCTATACCCGGACTCGCCGGCTTGCGAGGCCATTCTCGATGTCGTCGACGCGCTTAGGGACGAGATTGAATCCGAAAATTAATGAATTAATCGCATCTATCTTTATTTATCTATTTAGCAGGTAGTCTGCTTTTCAGGTAGTTCATCTCACTGGACGGAAGATCCAGGCTTAGTAGCTGCTGCTCGTTGTAGTCGAGCGACAAGTCAAATATGAGACGAATCACCTCTCTGTACATCAGGGTCTTTGCGATTCTGGCCTTGGGATTCGACTCGCGCAGAAGAACTAATCCGTCAAGAAGCTTTTTGGTGTGAGCCTTGACAGAGTTCTCATCGCTGTTCTTCTTGAGTTGGATATATTCGTAGTATATCTGAGCACCAATCACCCAGTCAGACAAGGTCTTAAATTTGACAAGCAGTTCCTCCAATTCGTCAAGGTTGGCATTGGCAATCACAAATTCGGGCGCAACCTCGCTTAAGGTCAGCTTATGTGCCTCTTCCATCGATCCTGCCTCGACCAGCGCCCACACAGCCTTCACGGAATCTCCATCCTTTTCAAACCTCCTGGATCTGGCCTGGTGAAGAATAGACTTTGGAAGTCTGTATGTCTGGTGCAAGGTGTCGAGTCTCATGTCGTTATCCAAGAAGCGGAACGAGTCGATGTTCAGTTTGATCAGGCTCGAGATTTCAGACTCGCAAAGGGCATCGTCACTCAAATGTTCCAAAACAAACAAGGCTTCCTCATAGTATTCCTGTGAGGCAAGCTTCTGGCTCAGTTGAAGAATCACGTTGTCAATATTGGACAAATTCAGCATACTGTTCAGCTTCTTGAACAGCAGGAACTGCGTCTCGTTGTCGTAGTGGATGACGACGGAAGAGGGAGAACTCAGAAGCTTAAATGCGAGATAATACTTGTCTCGCACGCTTGGCGCAACCCATAGCTTTGACTCGTGGTCAATCACGTCGTTAACCAGTTCGCTGATGCTGCGGTTTGTGTCTCCGTATTTCAGTTGCATCAAAAGAACAGTCGGCCACGAAAGTCCTTTCAAATGCTGGACAATGTCGTTAGATAGTATGTATCCTGCCAAAAGCTTGTAGACCTTTAGCACCGGAGCAGGGATGTACTGCAGCGTAGAGGTAGATTCCCATTCCTTTAGCTGTGCTCTTGATAGTCTTCTAACTGAAGGGTCATTTGAGTCTATTAGGGTTAGAAGAACAGACAGGTGGTTGTTTGAGGATTCGATTGCTGTCACCACCGCCTTTACTATGTCGCCAGAACAAATATGCAAGTATGTTCTCTCCAGAGGATCCGATTTTGAGGCTTCGAGCAGCTTGTTGATTTCTGGCAAGCTGTGGTCGTGCAGCCAGTCAATCAATAGCTCCCGGCGTTGCAGGTCGATGAATGTTTTTCTCAGCTGTGGCTTGCCTGCATACGCATCCAACTCAGCTTGTCCAAGAAACGACTCGCAGTATTTGTCATCGAAGAGTCGCGCAATCAGATCCCAAAATTTGAACTCGCTCGAGTTCCTGTAGATGTTGAGAATGGACTGTAGCGAAACGTCTTCGTCAGGCTTGATTAACGGATATGAGTTTTCTCTAGCTATGACTTTCATCTGGCGCATTTCGCCCGCCAGAACACTATTCAACGTCTGCAAATCCTCAGAGTGCACTGGCTTCATTTCCACTTTCTTGCGTTTGTGCGAGTCCCTACTAAAAAGCAGCTCGTTCACACTTTTGGCAGACACGTCCATTTTTTTCGAGTAGTCATATTCGTTGCTGAAGACAGACTCGAACCCGGAAGCCAGCTCCAGCTGGTGGCTCCAGTTTTCACTGGTCTCGAACTTGGCCTCCTTTTTGAGAACCATCATATCAATTTCTTCTAGGTCTGGCTCGTATGCGCGCACATGCACCAGATCGTCGAAAACTGGGTCTTCAGGAAGAACCTCGTCTTCCATGTCGCTGACATCATTGTCTGGCTCCGGTGCGTCTACCTGAATGTAGTCATCCTGTCCGAGTTCCACGCTGTCTTCCATGTTTGCGTCTTCCGACTCTGCGGTCCATCCTCCAGGAACAGCCTCCAAGTCTCCAGTATACGAAGATATGCGCTTAAATGCCTCTCTTTTCTGTGTCTGTTTACGTGCCTCGCGCTGATTCTCGCTCTCTATTTGTTTTCTGAAGCGTTGGACAAGCTGCGGATCGTCTTCATCCTCGTCAACCAGTCCCCAGATACTGAAATGGTCCACCTTGAAAGTGTACGTTCCGGTAATAGGATCATAGTTGACGAACGCCATTCCTGGGGTACTCTTGAGTCGATTAATATGTGCAGAAACCTCGGGAGCAGAGGGGTTGGTAATCCGCGTTTTGGTGGCCTTATCAAAGGGATAGCATTTCTCCAGACTAATCACAGCAGGCACATTCATTCCATTTCCCGGCGAGGGCTTGTCTGTTCCGTCAGGATACACTTGCACTATTCTTGGTCTGAAAACGATGTGCACGCCTAAAAGCTGGTCCAGCCTGCTGTGGAATGCTGATAAATCGACCGGATACGAGAACGAGACCTGGCCGAATCCCCGGCATCCAGCCGTGAAATTCTGCACATGCATCAGGTCCTGCTGCGTCATTTTTGAAAGATCTTCAATCGAAGGCGAGCACCAGTAGCCCTCGGGTATTTTTGAAAAGCTGGAATCTTGTTCTACAGGCGATTCCAGCAGCTTGTCTTCTTGCCTGAGAAACGAGGGCTTAAAGTTGGACACAACACGCATGAACCCGTTTGTTCTTGCCACTTCCTTGCCAAGAAGCACTTCGTCTGGGTTGATCTCGTAATAGTTTCTGTGCGTTCCTTTAGGATTCCGAATTACCAGCTTTCTGAAATCGGACTTTGGCAACGAAACAGAGTCCTCTGAGAACGGAACCGCGTCCACTTTGGGTCTTTTGGTCTCGTGCGCTTTGTCCGACGTGAAAATCCCCGTCACGGTTTCCATAGGGTACTTGAGAGTGCCCGAAAAAGGTTTCGAGAGACGGCTCAGAAAGGACAGAGACGAGGCGTGCTCCTTAGTTTCGTGCGACGCTATCGAGGACGCCGACCTCCTCCGTTTTAGCTGTGTGTCTGTATTAGGCACGCGCGACGTCAACGCCTGCGGCATCTCAGATTCCTGTGCCGACGCCGACGCCGACGCGATGTTGACTCCATATGGGCTCGAGGTCGGCTGGCTTTGCTGGTTCTGCTGGTTCTGCTGGTTCTGCAGCCCCCCAAAAAGCGCATTGCTCGTGGTCTGCCCTGTGCTTTGGGAGTTCCCAAAGATGTTGGGTTTCGGCGTGCTGCCAAAACTAAACCCATTGGACTGGGTGGTGGAGCCGAACATGATTGAGATTGATGTTTATTTACTCAAAATTTTGTCTAATTATTTTTCTACACAGAATCGTGTGTGGCAGAATTTTCATGCAACTGGCATTTTGGCTATCACGTCGAAACTGCCGGTTCCGACGTTGTTGAGCTTTCCGATGACGATCCGTGCAGACGGCGACTGTAGCTCCTCGCGGTCATTGTCCAGCACGGCTTTGGTCAGGAACTGGCACGTCGTCTCGTACGACATCTTGGTGAACGACGACGTGGACGAGTCGATTCCCTGTCTGTTGAACGCCAGATACGTGCCCTCCCTCGTCATGTAGTCTGCGATCAGGTCGAGGTGTCTGGACGACACAGAGATGGCGTACCGGCCAAACACATTGTTGACCTCGTTGACAATGGTGTTTCTGGCAGCCTCGACACCATATGTGCGTAGCACGGCAGCGATGTCGTTGGAACGGATGTCGTTGACGTTGATAAACGCGTCGTGCTCCCACATGGCGGCAAAATTGACGCCCTCGGTGACCAGAATGCGTTTGCCCTGCTCGTTTTCCGGATGCAGACATCTGCCGATGCCGCTCACCTCGCGTACCACCACTGCCTTGCAAACGGCCTCGATGATGTTAACCATGAGCAATTTCTGCGTGTCGGCGCTGAGCTCGAGCTTGAAGTCGCACCAAGAGCCGTGCTCGTCGTCGTAGTTAAACTGGCTCACAAAGTTGTGGTTGATGATCACCTCCTGCTGTCTCTCGCGAGCAGCCTTGGACATGTTTTCCTTGACGAGGTTGGACTTGGCCCCGTCGACGTCCATCTTGTCGTCGTCGTCGTCATCGGACTCGGATTCGGACCCGGACGAGCTGTCGTCGAGCAGCGACTCGTCGTCGGACTTCTCTGCGCGGCGCATAGTCTCGACCTCCTCGTCGTCGGGGCCGTCGTACGAAACGGCCTGCTTCGCGTTGCTCTTGAGCTTTTCGTCGTCAGCGTCCTCGTCGACGACGGCCGCCGTCTGCGCGGCGAGTTCTGTCTGCGAGCGCGCCACAGCCTTGCCGACGGCCGGCAGCGACTCGCTTGTGGCCTTCTTCTGCTTCTTCACCTCCTTGATAATGGCCGTCTCGAGCGCCTGGATGAATTTCGTCTTGATCACGTGCTCCAGCTCCTCCTTGGTGACGTCGTACTCCTGCTCGTAGTCGGCGCAGTCGAAGAAGCGCATGTTGACCTCGTACGAGCGGGCCGCCTGCGCGCCGGTGCTGCCCGTCGTCTCCACCACAGACACGCCGCTGATGAACTCGGAAAACCTGATTTTGGTGATCGACTTGCAGAACGCGTCGGCGGCCGCGTCGTCGACGTCGTCGAGGATCGGCAGCGTCATCTGCGGCGTCTTGATCGACGTCGACGCCGTCATCACGATCTCTCGCAAACGCGGGATACCCAGCGTCACGTTCGCCGCGCCGTGACCCGCAAAGTGGAACGTGTTGAGTGTCATCTGCGTCGACGGCTCGCCGATAGACTGCGACGCAACAATGCCCACGGCCTCGCCGGGGTTCACGAGGGACCGCATGTACTTGAGCTGCATCAGCGCCTTGAACTTCTTCTGCGTCAGTCCACCTCTCGTCTTGGCCTCCTTGCTCGAAACAAATAGGTGCTCGTTTTCCTCGATGAATTTATCGAGCTCGTCCTCGAATTTGTCCGAAACAGAGCCCAGATACTTGCTTGGGTTGTACACGGAGACCGTCGGGTCGTACTTGAGGCTCTGCGCGTAGTGCGGCAGCGCGGCCTGTTTCTTCAGTTGCTTGCGGAACTTCTTGTTGTACGCCACCGCTGTCTCGGTATCGAGATTCTCGATCGACGACGGACTGTATTTTTGCAGCAGCGAGTTGTAGTTCTCAAGGAAAAACTTGAACTGGTGCATGTACGACTCCTTGGTGACGTCGATCGAGTCGCCGCCGTACAGGAACTGGATCAGTGTGCCGTCGGCGTTTCTGATCGTGTTGTCGTACGAAACGTGCACTCCCTCCAGCTGTTTGGTCAAACAACGCTGCAAATAGCCAGAGTTGGCCGTCTTCACAGCCGTGTCGATCAGACCCTCTCTGCCGGCCATACAGTGGAAATAGTACTCCTGCGGACGGATGCCCGAGTAGAACCGGTTCTTGATGTAGCCGCCGGCTCGCACGTCGGTCTCGAACGGCTTGAAACACGGCAGCGTCTTGCCCGACACCATCACCGGCACTCTGCGGCCCTCCAAGGCCTGTTGGCCCAGAAGACACATGATCTGCGACACGTTCACGTTCGAGCCCTTGGCGCCCGACAACGCCATCGTCTGCATCGCGTTCGCAGGGAACTTCTTCATCGTTCCTGCCGGCACACACTGCGACACCACCTTCGAGGTAACGGCATTCACCTTGGACTGCGCGACGGCGTCCAGAATGGCCAGCTTGCCGTCGTCGCGCAGAATCTCCTCCATCCGTCTCAAAAACTCCGGGTCGTCCACCTTGACGTCAGGGTCTAGATTCGTCACCTCGGCAGCTGCAACACGGCCAATGTCAGAGCTCTCCTCCAGCAGACTGCTTCTCCACTTGTTTCCATCCTCGGTCAGCTTCAAGTCGTCCATACCACACGTCAGCCCCATCATCATGTTGTAGTTCGTGAAGAGCCGTCCCAGCACAGAAAGCGCCTTTCCTGCCACCGTCGGGCCGTAAACCTCGTGCAGCGAGTGGACAAACCCGTACTGCGACGCACCGTACTGCGACTTGTCCAGGATTCCGCACAGAAGCTCGCCGTTCTGGAACAGCACCTCGTTTTCGCGGGATCCGTCGCCCCAGTACTCGTTCTTGATCTTATTCTTGGACCTGAGATTGATGCCCGGCAGTTCCTGCGGCTTGATGTTGAGCAGTATCGTCGTGATCACCTGCTTTCCCGTCCACAGCGGCTGCGGCTTTAGCACGGCGGGCGCAACCGTCACGAGCCGCAGCCCGGTCGAATGCCCGTCCTCTGGCCGTATGCACCCGTACACCAGCTGCTGGTACTTGTCTCTGGTGAAGAAGGTGTCCTTGCTGGTGAGCCAGACGCCGGCAGAAATGTGGTCCTGGATCAGTCCTCTCACGGGCGAGCCCGCGGTCGGAGTCAGGTACTGCGAGTCGGTGTTGGCGAGGTTAAAAGCCTCGGCACGCGCGTTCTCGTTCTGCGGGAAGTGCATGTTCATTTCGTCTCCGTCGAAGTCGGCGTTGTAGGCCCCCGTGTTGGCGTAGTGCAACCGCAGCGTCTTCTCGCCCGGCAGCACCCTGACCTTGTGGCCCATCATCGACGCCTTGTGAAGGGTAGGCTGTCTATTCATAATCACCACGTCGTTATTTCTGATGTGTCTGTACACTTTTTTGTTGACAACGTCCGAGCCGTTGGACGGGGTGAGGAGCTGTTTGGCAATGGCCGTCCTCTGCTCCAAACTCATGCCCACTAGAGACACCAGGCTGCCGTCCTCGTTCTGCACCTGCAGTGCTCCAGGCCACCTGTCTGGCCCGTTGATGACGGCCTGTCTGAGCTCTGCCACGTTGTGGACGGTGACCGGCTCGGGATACGTGAGTTTCTTGGCAAAAACGGGCGGAACGCCGATCTCGTTGGTCTCGATCATTGGGTCTGGAGAGATGACCGACCGCGCCGCGTAGTTCACACGTTTGCCCATCATGTGCTTTCTGAACAGTCCCTCCTTCTTTTCGAGCGCCTGCTTGATTCCCGGGTGCGCGGTGTTACTATTTTGGTTCTGGTTCTTGGTCGAGTCGATGAAGCCGTTGACGTCGTTCTGCAGCGTGACAAATGCATTCATCAGCCGGTTGAAGATGATCTTGCGGTCCTCCGTGCTGATTTCCTTGCTCAGGACCGAAAACTGCTCGTTCAGGTCTCTGATCAGCAGAGAGGTGGTGAGGATTTTCGACAGTAGTTCGTTCTGTGAGTTCTCGTGAACCTCATCGCCGAGCTTCGAGGGAAGACGGAATCGTGTCGGCGGCACCACAAGAGCGTGGATGAAGAACATGTCGGCCGAAACAGGCGACCTACTCAGCGGCCGGGAGTGGAACAGCAGGTCCATCACTTTCTGCTCCGTTTTGAACACTTTTCGCAAAATGTTGCGCACCTCCGTCGACAAAACGTATTTCGAGCCCTCCCGAGGCTGTGAGTAAGGATCTGTTTCCGTTTGTCTGTCCTGAGATCCGTTCTTCAACATATCCTGTCTCTTGACACCCTTGATTCTATTGTTGGTCAGCTGCTTGTCCTTCAGACCGAGTTCGAAGATTTTCGAGAACCCGTCTTTTCTGAATGGTGGCGAGTACATTCCACAGTTATCGCATCTCGGCCTGCTCAAGATATGCTTGTAGAAGTCGTGAATCACAGCTTTTCTCTCCTCTGCAACTGTGGCCGTCATGACACCCCTTTCCGTGGTGCGGCCCTCAGAAAGCGCCTTTGCGATGCTAGTTTCAACAAACTCTTGTCTCCTGTCCATCAGGTCCCTGTCCGACTTGCTGTTCACAGCAACTGGACCGTCGTCTTCAATGGCTTCGTCCTCATTCAAATCGGCATCCGAGCACATGTTGTCCAATTCTAGAGCCTCTAGCAGCAGCCCGTATTGAATCAGTCGCAGTTTACATTCGTACTTGTGCACTTCCCTGGCTCTGAGTCTGAAATGGTGGCAGTATAAGCAGGAAGACCTCAGAAATATGTACATTTGGTTGAAAAACAAAGGGTTGTAGACCGGAATCGGCAGCTCTATGTGGCCCTGGTGGCCCGGACAGTACTTATCGTCCAGCCCGCATGTGGCACACAAGTTCTTCAGAAACGCTCCAAGACTCAGATCGTACAGGCCCCCGGGCACTGGGTGTCCTAGATTGTCGAAAACCGTGGGATTGGTAATCTGTTTGGCAGACAGTTTGCGGACATCGGAAGAGGTGAGCACTCCAAAATCGACCGACTCTATTTGGGACCCAACTGGCTTGGCAATGTTCATGATGATCTGCCTTTTGGAGTCCTGAATCAACAGCTAAAAAAATACTAAAAAATATCTGAAATTTTTTTATCACCTAAAAATTTGCAATCCGGGTAACACATATTATAGACGCAGCAGTTCGGAGCAGCACCAGTCGTTCACTGAATATCCAAGGTATTCTTCAGCTTCTTGATCAGCAGCCAGTCATCTCTAGGCACTGAGTCTCTGAATGCTGGGTCTTTCAGAGTGTCGATCGACTTTCTCGAGATCAAGGAGTACAGAGGATCTTTTTCGTCAACATGTCTTCCCCAGGTAGGCTGTTGTCCCGAAGGAGCCTCTAATCTCATCGCCACACCGGCGTTGGTCTGGCCCTTTCTGACAGACTCTCTTGACTGGTGGTTGACCTCCAAAGAAACAACTTTTCCGAGTGGTAGCGGAGCGTTTCTGCCGGTAGCAGGATCTGGCTTCACCACACAGATCGGAGTTCCAATTTGGACCATACCTTCCACAACGTCCACACCAATAATCATTGGGTTTCTCTTGTTGATGATCTGCAAAGTCTTCAGAACACATGGGTAGATGGCATACTGCTGGTTCTCCTTTCTTCTCTCGTCCAGCAATTTCTTTTGGTAGGCGGTGAACGAGTCGAACAGATGGTAGATGATATCGGCGTTGAAGATTGTGACACCCTGCTCACTAGCATATTGTTCAGCCTCCTTGTCGATTTTGACGTCGAAACAGAGCATGACCGCATACTCCTTTGCCTTGTCCAACATGGCAGCGGCTTTCATCACATCTCTTTTATAAACAGGACCCAGGCCGATGGACATCACCGGGATCTTCATGTCTTTAAGGAAGTCCAACAGGGCCTCCAACGAGCCAAGCGTCGATGCTTGAACGGTGACACCTCTTCCCGAGGAGTCGACAGAATCGAGCAGCCCTGTCAAGTCGTCCATCACCTCGTCCATGAGCTCCTCCTCGTCGTCGCCCTCGCCCACAACGAGCAATCTGGAGCCGGCAACAGCTTTCTCCAGGTCGTTGGCGGCGATCTTCACACCCAAAGCGGCCTTCACCTCCTTGTGGTGCACGTACTCGGACTTTATACGCAGCTCTCTGGCAGGCGGAGGCGTGAGCAGAGCTCTGATATTCGTGACAATCGGACCGTTCATACCGCAGAGAACAATTCGGTCTCCTTCTCTCAAAATACCGTTGGAAAGCACCACGTCAATAGTGGTTCCGAGTCCTTCGACAACCTTGACTTCCAAAATGGTAGCCTCCACATGAGTGAGGTACTTGAGCTGTTTGCTCATTCTCTTCTGAGTCAGCTCCAGAAGCAACCACAGCAAGTCCGGAACACCTTCGCCGGTGACCGCAGAGGTAGGCACAATCGAGACGTATCTGGACATGTTGTTGTTCTGGAAGTAGAGCTCCGAGTTGAGCCCTTGTTCGGCCAATGCAACCTTGATGGCGGTGTACCTGGTCTCAAACTTCTGCTGCACGGCTTTCGTCTGCTTGGCAAACGAGTCACGGAAAGAGTTGTTAGGAATAGGCTTCCAGTCGTAGAGTCTGTCGATCTTGTTCAGTGCCACCACAAACGGAGCCTTTCTTTCTCTCAGAAGCCTGATCGACTCCAAAGTCTGCTGCTCTAGACCATGCATGATGTCGATCACCAGAATGGCAATGTTACACAGAGAAGAACCTCTCGATCTCAAGTTTGTGAACGACTCGTGACCTGGCGTGTCGATGATCAGCAAACCTGGAACCTCATATACCATTTTCTCATACGGAGCCATGACCGCAGTCTTCTGCTTGATGGCTTCCACGGGAAAGTATGTGGCGCCGATCTGTTGCGTGATACCACCAGCCTCACCTCCCTGAACGTTGGTCTGCCTGATCTTGTCCAAAAGCTTGGTTTTACCAGTATCGACGTGACCCAGAATACAGCAGATAGGGGAGCGCAGGTTTGAATCATTATCGACCTTACCGTTCTTCTCTGGAGCAAGAGAGTCCTGCTTGCTGGCCTCCACAGTAGTCTCTGGAACACTTGTTGGCTCTTTCTGTTCTTGCGGCTCTTGCAATGGCTGTTTCTCGGTCTCGTCGTCTTGTTGCTCCTCGTCGTTCTCGTTCTCCTCTTCTTCGTCCAGGGCAGCCTCCCAATCGTCAGCAATGCCCTCGTCATCATCAAGGGCCATTTTCTCCCAGTCATCAACTAATTCCTCTTCCTCTTCATCTTCCTTGGCAGCCTTTTCCTCGGCTGTCTTAGAGACCTCCTTGGCTTCGACAGCCTTCGCAGCTTCTTCCGCCTCTTGCTGTTTCTTCGAAGGCTTCTTCTTGGAGCCATAGACAACCTTCTTCGGCTTGGCCGGTTCGGCAGACTGGTTCATAACACCTGGAACAATGATATTACTGGCCTGAAGCAATTGCTGTCTTCTTCTCTCCTGCATCTGCTTCTCCTGCTTCTGCTTCTTGGTCAGGTACTTGCCCTCCTTCTTGAGCTGCTCTCTCTTGGCCTTTTCCTTCTCTTTCTTCAGTCTTCTGGCTTCCTCCTTGGCCTTCTCCTCCTCCTCAAGACGTTTCTGCTCTTCCTCCTCTCTCAGTCTCTCTTCCTCTTCCAAACGTCTCTGTTCCTCTTCGGCCTGTTTTCTAAGCTCCATCTGTTTCTTCAGTGCCGCAATACCAGCAGCCATCTTTTTGGCCTTTTTGGCGCCTTTACTGGCAGCAGCATTGTTCTCCTTTTCCTTCGACGCTGCTTCCTCCTTAGCTGCCTCTGAACCTTCAGAGCCAGGAGTTGGCGTGGTCTCTTTGGAATCTTCCTTTGGAGCCTGGGCCTTCTTTCTCTCAGCAAGCTGTTTCTTTCTCAATTTCTCCTTCTCCTTTTTCTCTCTCTCCTTTTCCTTCTTGCTCTTGATGATCGGACCCTTTTGCTGTGGAGCTTGGGCTTTTTCTTCTTCCTCCTGCTTGGCCTTGGCCTGTTTCTTGTTCTTGGCACGCTTCAAGTTGGATAGGAAATCATCTGCAAAGTCCTCCGCTGCTGCTGGAGTCGCCTCCCTGCTAGGGTCTGCGGTCTCGGTCGTGGATGGAGCAGAACCTAACTCTTCGGCTTGGGGCATTTCTGCCTCGAGCTCTTCGTCCCAGTAGTCTCCGGCCTTTTGAGTCTTCTTTCCCTTCTTCGCCATTTTGATGGTGTTGTTTGATGTGTCTGTTTAATGAATGTATTTGACTAGATCAGATCTGTCCGAACATACGAGAGGCGCAATTCTGTGAAGCTGTATGCTCATCCGTTCGCCTCTGCAAAATTTATACAGTGAGCTGCAGGTTGCGGATTAGTTATAGTACAATACAGGGGAGAAGGTCCTGTATCACAAGTGTTTAGTTTAGAATACACTTTAGTTTTACACAAGGGCTAAAAAATTTTCAGGAGACACCACAGACCACACCGTCGCGTCGCCATTAATTTTGTAAAAAAAATTATTATTTTCTCTATCTTTGTTCATCATGACTACCGTCGAGAAAATCAAGGCCATCGAGGAGGAGATGGCCAGAACACAGAAAAATAAGGCAACAGAGAAGCACTTGGGTATGCTGAAAGCCAAACTTGCCAAACTCAAGAACGAGCTGCTGAAGGATGCCAACTCAGGCGGAGGAGGAGGAGGACCAGGGTTTGACGTCAAGAAAACAGGAGAGACCATAGGATTCATTGGGTTCCCGTCCGTCGGCAAAAGTACTTTACTATCGAAACTCACAGGAACGCACTCAGAGGCAGCAGCATACGAATTTACCACGCTTACAACCGTCCCCGGTGTCATTAGATACAAGGGAGCCAAGATTCAGATGCTCGATCTTCCTGGTATCATCGAGGGTGCCAAAGATGGCCGTGGTCGAGGTAAACAAGTTATTGCGGTGGCGCGATCCTGTGACCTCATTTTCATTGTGCTGGATGTGAACAAGCCTTTGCAGCATAAAAAAATCATTGAGAGCGAGCTGGAAGGTTTTGGTATCCGTTTGAACCAGTCGCCGCCAGACATTCTACTTAAGAAGAAGGAGAAGGGAGGAATCAATATTACAAGCACCGTGCCATTGACCAAGATCGACCACGACGAGATCAAGGCAGTGCTGCAGGAATATAGAATGAACTCGTGCGACGTCCAGTTCCGTTGCGACGCCACCGTTGACGACCTAATTGACGTCATTGAGGCCAGAAACAGAAGATACATCCCGGCCATTTACGTGCTGAACAAGATAGACTCGTTCTCCATCGAGGAGCTGGACCTGCTTTACAGAATCCCCAACGCCGTTCCTATATCATCTGGAAGCGGGTGGAACCTGGACGAATTGCTGGAAATGATGTGGGACAGACTCAAGCTGGTGCGGGTCTACACCAAGCCAAAGGGTAAGCTGCCAGACTTCAACGATCCGGTTGTGCTTCGTGCTGGCAAGTGCACGGTAGAGGATTTCTGTAACAAAATCCACAAGTCCCTGGTTGACGATTTCCGGTCTGCATTGGTGTTTGGCACCAGCGTGAAGCACCAGCCGCAGTACGTGGGACTAAGCCACGTGCTCGAGGACGAGGACGTCATAACGATTTTGAAGAAATGAGCATTGAAGAATCTATGTATGAAAGGGGTTGTTTTTTCAAATATAGTAGGCTGCTAGCAGAAATGTGAGGATGAAGCTGATGTTGAAACTTGGTTGTTCGAAAATCATCTGTCTCACATCGATCAAATGGGAGCCCATTTTAATGTAGCGAGTCCAAGGAATGGTGACAATTCCTCTCGAGTTGAGGAATTGGACGCCGAGGTAGAAACTGAGTGATAAGAACACAAAAATAGAACTCAATTTACCCATAACCATGCCGCAGACTAGGCCACACATGGATCCAAGAGACAGCTCCTGGTAGTCAAGCTTCCCCCCAAAAGACTTGTCATATTGAGGTTTCTGAGCGATGTCTTGAACGGTGCTTTCTATTTGAAGCTGCTTTTGGTCACCAATCGCTACCTCATTTCTGATCTGGTTGTGATAGAGCCAATAGCTCGAGATGCCAAGCACTCCTAGCGAAACACCCATTTTGGGTGCTAAAGGCCTGCCCATAGGTCTGGCGAACTGGCTGGAAATGAGTCTGGCCCTAGGCACGGCCTTGGAAAGAAAACTGGACGTATTTGGGCCTGGTCTGAGTAGAATTCTGGAAAACATTAGTGAAAAGAAATGTTCTGCTTGTCATATATAATTAATTGCTACCGCGCCCGAATATTCTTAGTTTATTTTTGTCATATTTTCCATTTACTTTAAAAGAATGTCACTGATAACGGGTCTGTGATCCGAAAGATAATACGAGTTGTCGTACCAATTTTCGCCAACCTTGTATCTGACAGCCTCCCAGCTGCTCGTGTTGGCTCCAAACTGGAAGTCGATCCTGCTGAACGAGTCAACGTTATTCTTGAAGCCGGTGAAGGTAGCAAGATTTCCCTGTCTGTTCTCGACAGGAGTCGCCTCGAGCAGATCCAAAAACTCAAATCCGGAACCCGAGTGGTTGTATTTGGAGACAAATGTCGAATTCAACTTGTCTGTAGGGAACTCAAATCTGCCCGTAGTGATCTTGTACGCTCCATTGGTCTCTCCGCTGACCTGGGAATTGAAGTCTCCGACCAAAAACACCGGGACTTTTTTCGTTTCCTGCTCGTATTCCGCCCTGTACCTGATCAGTGCTGCACCTAGCCGCCTCTGATCGTCGGACTGGTCGTCGAGATGCGCGTTGATCACAACAAATCTGGTACTTTTTTTAATGGTTCGAAAATAGCCAACGGTGCAAGAGCGATATGAGCCGGCACCAGGATACTTCGAAGGTTCGAATGGTTTATCGCTCAGCCAGAACGTGTCATTTGAAAGTAGCTCAATTGAGTCCGGATTGTAAAAGATCGCCTGGTATTCGCCCGCCTGTGCTCCGTCGTCTCTGCCCACTCCGATATACGGCATGTCCAGGAGCTCTCTGAGGTCTTCAACTTGTCTGTGTAGGCCCTCGTTAATGGTAAAGAGGTCCGCCTCGTTGAACAGGACCTCATTTTTGACGCCAATCCTGCGCGTCGACCACGGTTGCTCCGTGTAGTTGGAGTAATACTTGGTCTGTGTGTCAAGAGGAACGGTCCTGTTTAGAGCCGCAATTGTCTCTCCTACGGTGATATCATTTGGCATGGAGTCGTATCTCAAATTCCAGCTCTGGATTCTTATTGTGGAGCCGGTCTGTGCAGAGCGGGGATAAATCATGATTAGCACAGCGATCAAGAAAATGAGAGCAAGTATTCTGATTCTCGCGGAGGAATTGGCAGTGGTGATCATTTTGTGTCATGGGCCAGTTTTTGTATGTTACATCGGCGGTCGTTGAATGTCAATTTATCCGTCGCAGGACAATATGGTTGGACGTTTTACGGCACCAGACGCTCTTAAAAAGATATTTTTTGTTTTTTATTCAAAAAAAACTTCCACGTGGGAATCTTCCTTTCTAGCCCCATTTGGGAACACAACGGGACGCCACACGGGCTTGTATTTGCGCGATGAGCACGCAGACCGCGGCATTTTCGAACGGTAAAAGTGGAACGGCCTCCTCACCAGTCCAGAAGGTGTCCAACGACCAGGATATGACAGCCGTGTCTGTACCCTCCAAGGAAGAGATCCAGCTGGAGTTGCTGAAATTGGAGAAATCTCTACAGCAGGCTACGTCTCTGCACCAGCTGGTGAGACTGCTAGGACAGATCGATTCGAAACAGCAACAATTAGACTACATTCTTCACAAATTCACAAACAAACGATATGTGGCCCACGGCTCATCGATTCGCGCTTTGGAGATCAGCAGAGTGGAACTGTCGTCCACTCTGAGCCATTCGCGGTCGCTCAAGAAAATTATGGACAACGCGTCGGCGCTGAGCTCGAAAATCACCGAGCGAGTGCGACTGCTCGACTCGGAAAAATCAAAAATCAAGGCTACCAAGGATTACGTGGAAAATGTAAGAACCTTAAAGTACGAGGTCCAAAAGGCAGACGCGGCAATCAAGCAACAGGACTGGCTGGTAGCAGCCACATCCATTAACGCTGTCCGCAACCTACCTCCTGGTCTGATCAACGACGAGTTTGTCGAATTTATCGTCCCCACTAGCGACCTGCCCGAGATGCCGAGTGTTCTGCTTGATTCTTGGATCTCGGAGCTGAACGATATATTTCTGAGCGAGTTCAACGAGGCTGCTGCCAAGAAGGACGTGCAGCGACTCACCTATTTCTTCCAGTTGTTCCCTCTCATCGGCAAGAGCGACGTCGGTCTCAGCTGCTACTCGAGATTCATTTGCAATATTATTAGCGACCAGTCGAGAACCAATTTGAGAAGCGTGCAAGGAAAGGGCGTGCATTCGAGCTTCTATGCGCAGGTGTTATTCCAGCTGTACCAAACCATTGCCGATATTGTTCACCATCATTCGCGAATAATCACGAAATACTACGGGAAATCTGTGCTCCCCAAAGTCCTAAGTGCAATACAGACGGAATGCGATCTTCAAAGCGGCCTCATTTTGGACACCTTTTGGGACGCAAAGAACCTGGATAGGGCGATCGGCGATATTAGTAACTACGGGTACCCGATCCTCGTCGGGTCAATTTTGAGGAATATTCAGACAGAGGAGGAATTACAGGACGACAATGTTGTCATTTCTCTTGCTGAAGTTTCGAGTCTGATCGACGAGCTGTCTGCAATGCTCAACCATTGGGCAATGTATTGCAAGTTTTTTGTCGTCTCCTGGAACGAGGCTCTCGATAAATCTAATGCGTCGGACGCTATTTATCCACAGCCGTTGCTGTTGAGTACATTCATGGATAAAATTCACAAGAAAGTCACTAGGAGTTTTGACCAGCTTTGCACGTTTGCTATCAGAAGGACTATAGAGAAGGCGTTTCTTCTGGAAAACCTCCCTGACATCACCCCACAACTCCAGCTCTGTGTGCGGTACCTGGCATTAGCTACAAAGAGCAACGCATCCACCAATCAATCACTGCTCTCCCTGACTCCAGAAGACCCGCCAGTGACATCGATGGTCGAGGATATCACCATTTCGTTGAACGTCATTATGTTACAGACAATCACCACTGGTGAATTCTTCACCATCAAAAACATGATGTCCAACACCAGGAGGATTCTCGAGAACGACTTCCTGAATATCATGAAGAAGAAACTCACCGAGTCACAGCCGAGAGCAAACTCGGTTTTGCTCACGCCTCAAGCTATCCAGTCTTTGCATACCAATAATCGGACAAGTGTGCCTATCAACCAAAAGGGTGGGTCCTCGAACCTCGTGACTCCAAGAAGCGGCACCCCGCCTGTCGGGGGCAAGGACTTTAATTCTGGAAGCTTGTTCATGAAAAGCGCCACTTCTGCATTGAACGCGGCCATGAACCTGAGCGGTGTTGAAACAGAAACTGCAGATAAGCTTCAACAATTTGTCATTGTGCTTAACTCGATCAGCGTTTTCCAGCAGTATTTGGACAAACTGTCGGACAATTTGGTGACGAGACTCGAAAACGACAATCTTTTGATCGTAGACGACCAGGAGTTTGGTCAAGTCCGCGCATCCATGGAGAAAGACCCTAACACGGATATACAGCTTCATGTGGATCTCGACAATGGCGAGGGGACCGACGATAGTCCGTCAGTTAGAGACAGGCTGAAATCGGTGGTGATGACGTTAAGCACGTCCTTCGTCGAAAAATCAGACCTTGTGCTCAAAGAGAACATAAAGACGATCTTTAACCAGAATTTCCGGTCCAAGCTGTCCAAGATGGTCAACGATGCGCTGAAGGAGAGTGACTATCTAATCTCCTCTGATGTCTTGGCTCTGAGCTCGACGTCAGAGGTTATGGTCAACTTCATCAGGGAATGGAACTCGTTGATCATTCCATACCTCACCATGTTTACCAGAGCTAACTTCCAAGTCCTGATACAGCTGGCGGTGACGAACCTGGCAAAAGAAATGGAAAATAAGATCTGGTCCATGGAGAGAAAATGCAATGAACTGGGAGCGGCGAAGCTGGAAAAAGACGTCTCGACCATTATCAGCGAGGTCACCAAGTATGACTACAGCCTGCGGGACAACTTCATCCGGATCACCCAGATAGTCGTGATGCTGGGATTGGACGATGACGACGAGGTGGAGGAGCTCAATGATCTCGAATGGGCCCTGACTCCCGCAGAGCGGAGCAGGGCAAGAAATCTGAGAATAGATAGAAAGTAATGTAATATTGTACAATGCTATATGCTCTATATTTGCAATCCGTCTTGATTGTCCGTCTTTTCTGCCTCGCGCTGTTGCTGTTCGAGCTTGGCCTTCCGTCCCGCAATGATCTGTTCGTCCGTTCGTATCTTGAAACGGCCCTGGATCATGGCCGGGTTGAATTTCGGATGGCTCAGCTCGCACTCCGGGCCCTTCGGACAAAACCCTGTGAGATATAGCGGACACATGACCTTGCGAACGTGTCGTCTCTGGCATTTGGGGCCGTCTGGACAGTAGCCGAGGTTCGAGTAGTTGTAACATTCAGCAATCTTTGATTGCGGGTCGACGTGAAGATAAATGCACTCCGGCGACTGAGTGCACACTCCATTTTGCGAATAGTAAGCGCATTCGGGCATACGTTGGAGATTATATTCGTGCAAAAAGTCGCAGTCGTCGCCCATCTTGCACAGTCCTCGCAGCCAGTACTTGCACACGATCTTGTTGTTGAATATCTTGGAAGGATGCTTATTTTCGCAGTCGTTGCCGTTGGGACACTTTCCTGACTGCAGCCAAAACTCGCAGATCGGTCTGTCTGGATTGAGTCCAAAGCCGTACTGTCTGCGCAAGTACGGCTCGAATTTGAAGGTTGCCTTGTCCGATCCCACGTTGAACATCCCCAGCGCCGGCATCATTCCCAACGGAGGCATCATGGGCGGAGCCAGGGGCATTGATGGGTTTTGCGACGACGCCATTGGTGAATAGAAATAAAATATAATATATTTACTTCACTTTCGCCTTTTAGATATGGTCGTGCAAACGCAAACTTTATAACCGTACTATACATCGTATCCAATATACACTCTCGCACAGATCTCCTGCTCTGGTCAATGTCGTCTGAAGATCTCCCAGTACTTGTCCACCATCGAGCACCCTATGAACTTGCCCAGCCGCACGATCTTGTCCTGTCTGCTGAGCCTGCCAGCTTCCGAGCCCTGGCTGCCCAGCAGCTCGTAGTTGACCAAGTACTGGTCGAGGGCGGCGTTCGTGCAATTGAAAAGCGCGTAGATGTTCACGAGCAGCGGCAGACCCGACTCATCGTTTGCAGGGTCGACTCCGTTAGCGAAAGGAATCAGGTCGTACGCCTGTTCCAGCCCTGTGCCCCTGTTCTCGTTTAGCGATCTTGCCAGCCTCTGCTCGATTCGCACGGCCGTGCGGGCCTGTTGCCTCATCTGCTGGTACAGAACCTGCTGTGTCTGTACGACGGTCTGTAGAACGTGCTGGACCTGGTACAGTTGCGGCTGGTGGGCCCCGATTTGCTGCACCATCTGCTGCGCGCTGTATAGCATGGTTTCGAGCTGATCGGCCTGTTTTTGTACCGACCTCTGGGTCGACCCGTTGCCCTGCATGTCCAGACGGTACAGAGGCGTCTGTATGGCGATCGACCTCGAAATCGAGTCTGAGTAGTCGTGTCCCGAGAGCGAACCCGTGTGTCCGTTCGAGGACGCGGATGAGGTGGAGCCCCCGCCAGCCGAGGCTGCGCCGTTGTTGACCATGATGCCGTTCCCCTGGAGCATCGAGTTCGGCGCAGCATACCCGGCGGGCCCCAGGTCGGTTGGCGTTGTGAGACCAATGTCTAGCGAGCCTGTTCTGTCGGCAGCACCCGAGGCAGCAGACTCTGTGCTGGAGTCCTTGGTCTGCGAGGGCGACTGTTGCGGCTGGGCCATGCGGGACCTCTGTGCGTCAGCGTTCTTAACTAGGTCGTTGGGCGCGGCCCCAAACGGCCGGCGAGTGATGGCCGATTCGGGCTGTCCCAAACGATGGGTTTTGTTTATATGCCGTGCCAAATTTGTGGGTCCATTCCTGCTGGAGTACCGGAACGTCTTGTCGCAGTGCATGCACTGGACGTTGGAAAAGCCATTCTCGTTCGAGATGTGTCTGTAATGCTGCCACACCCAACTGTTTGGAGGCCGAGGCATGGTCGGATGGTTTGGGTGACAATTTTATTTTTCAGTCAAAAATTATCTAGGGACGATAAATCAGAAAAATAGCAGTCGCTCTACATCTATCGATCCTTTCGCTCGCGCACCATGATTCTGCGGCGACGCATCGTCTCCTTGTTCCAGAACTCGTTTCTGTACAATTCCCACTGCTCGCGGATGTCGGTGCTGAAAACGCGCGGATTCAGGACAATCTTCACATCGGTGACGCCGCCGTTCGAGGTCGCAAGCTTGATCTCGAGCTCCACAAGCCAGTTGCGGAACTTGGCGACCGAGCTCACTCGCACCACTTTTGACAGATACTGTGTCTGCATTTTCAGCACGCGAATCGGTATCAGAAAGCACGACTTGAGCACCACGAGCAGCGCATCGTACATCCGGACGCGCACCTTCACCAGTCTAATGTTGAGCTGTCGCAGGCCCTTGTTTGTGATCACCACAAACTTGCGCGGCCGCACAATCGTCCTATGGTACTCTCCGCTCAGATAGAACAACAGCAGCGTCACAACGTCGATGATAAATACGATCTGCGTAGCAAACCGGATGTAGCTGGAGTCAACCGTCGAGAGCAGCCGGTAGCCGCTGAAAAACAGCACCACGATCATGCTGATGAAGAACGAGAAGTATTTCCGTCGCAACAGCTTCTGCTCCACGTTCTGCTGCCGCAGCGACTCCTCCAGTATGAGCAAGTTCTTGAATATTTTAGCTGTTTGGGAAATTTCAGATCCAGAGCCAGATTCGGGAGCACCGTCTCTCGTGCGCGAGCGCGACGACCCGGACCGCTTGTTCTGCGGCGTGCTGCTTCGGCGACTTCCCGGCCGGCTCGGCGTCTTCGTGTGCTCGTTCTCGCTCTCTGTGTGGTTGCTGTAATCGATGTTGGATCTCAGTGAGAGGTCACTGGCCCGTCGTCCCTTCTTTGTCGAGATCGGCGTATCCAACGCGCGTCCCCGCAGCTCGCCAAACGATTCTCTGTGCTGCGAGAAGTACGAGTCGGAGGAGATCGTGAAAAGCTCGGGAGCATTGATGTCTCTGTCTGAGCCAAGCGACCACACGTCAGAGTCCGACGAGCACGCGATGTCGTCCTCCTTCTCATTGATTCGCGGCAGCAGCGACGGTGACATCGTCGGAGAGCTCGGCGGCGACGTAACAGGCTCCATTTCGGACGGCGAATCCGCCGCGGGCGAGTCCTGGCACTTTTTGCTGGACATGGATGTATTTACGAATTTTTATTTTCTATTTTTTCCTGGATATATTTTCCGTATTTTTTCCCATTTCGTACCCTGGATGCTCAATTACATGGAATACATACAAAAATGCTTTTACACCTCGACGCTGTGGAATCGCGACAACTCGTACGAAAGCTTTCTTGCAACGTCCAAGCAGGTGCTGGATTTTCCGATCCCCTCGGGGTTTAGCATGACCGTGTCCTCGAAGAACACTGAGAACAGTTTCACCTCCATATCCATCTCGCAGCTCGGGGAGCTGGCGGGATCTCTCTCGTACATGTACAGCTCTGTTGACGTCGCGTCCGCGTACAATGATACCGCCTCTGTCTCGTTACAGTCCATGTTTGAAGGATACCGTCTGCTTTCCTCGCCCAGGAATTCAAACTACAGTAAGAGACCCACGCTGCTGTACGGGAAAATGTATTTCCCGTCCCAATTTCTTGAGGGCATGTTCATTAAACGTCTTTCCGAGGACTCGCAGCTGCTCGTCAAGTTCATCAACACGCCTAAGCTGAACAAGCTGTCCAACTCCACAAGCATAATGAACGTCTGCTACCAACGCCAAACACCCAAGTCCGCGCAGGACTACGTTTTCTCGACGAACGAGGCGCTCTTTGGCCTTCGATACATATACAATCTCGGCGCACCTACCCCGGCGGCAGACTCGTCGCTGTTTTCCGTCGGCTGCGAGCTGTGGTGCGCTGCCCAGTCGCTGGCTCCGGGAATGTCGACTGGACTTCGCTACTCCACGCACCTCACGTCCTCGGGCAAACCGCTCACGATGACTCTCATCATAAACCCGCTGCTAGGCTCGATTGAGTCGACATATGCCATCAAGACCAGCGTTCTGTCGACTTTTGTGTCAAAATACAACTTCAACGTGTACTCGTACGAGAGCGATCTGTCTCTGGGATGTCATCTGTGGCGATTGTCGGACGAGAACAAGTCCGTGACGGATGAGCGTTTCAACAAAATGAAGACCGAGGAACAGCAAGAACTGATGGACAACTTCATGCACATCGATCCGGCACACATGCTGTCAGAAACCAACTCCACCAGATTATTTATCAGCCAGCACCAGACGTCGGATTTTAGTAGCAGTCTCAAATGCGCAACCAGCTTGAACAAACAGCAAGTTAGTCTTCTCTGGGAGGGGCGTTTCAAGGACTGGTTGCTGTCAACAGGAGTCAAGTTCGACTACAAAGACATGAACCCGAGGAGTCTTGGGTACGGGCTAGAACTCCAGTTTTCGTCTTAATATACACTCTATCTACTCAGAGAACAGCATGCTCTCCACAGCCTTGGCGGCCTTGTCGTCGTCGCCGGACATCATCGAGTCGTCCAGCTGCAGTTTGTTCTGGGCCAGTTGCAAAATATTCTCCTCGATGGTATCTCTGCAGATAATTCTGTAAACGTTGACCTCTTTGGTCTGGCCGACTCGATGAGCACGATCCTCTGCCTGCTTGTCGTCGTGCGGATTGAAAGACTGGTCGAAAATGATAACGTTGTTGGCGCAGACCAAATTGATACCAAATCCACCCGCCTTGGTACTGAGCAGCATCACAGGCACCTCGTCGGCCTCGTAGAATTTGTCGATGATTCCCTGTCTCTCGTCAACAGAGGTCTGTCCGTCCAGTCGCAGGAACTTGATCTGGTTCAAACTGAGCACCATCTCAAGGATATCGAGCACCTGGGTAAATAAGGAGAAAACCAGCACTTTTTCTCCCTTCTCGGTCACCTTGTCAATAAGTTGCAGCATTTTTCTCACCTTTCCGCTCTGGTAGTATGCCTCGTTGTCCAATTGGAACGAAGCCAGCTGCTTGGAGTACGTGTGGCACAGTCTATTCAGCTCGAAGTCTGACATGACTTGCATGTCCTCGAAAATATATTCCCTATTGGCATTGTAGTAATCATCGCTCTTCATGATGTCTCGCGACATCTTCTTTAATTTTGAGTCCTGGTAATGAGTTCTGAAAAGCAGCGGGTGCAAAGCAGCTTTACGCAGCTGCATCACCACATTCGACGCCGACAGGGACATGGATGCCTTTGGCAGTTTGCGTAGCTCGTCCGGGCTCATCAGCTTTCGTCTCTCCCTCTCGGCCTTGGCCTCGCGGGCTTTCTGGATCTCCTGCTGATAAACGTCCTTCTGGTACTCGTCCAGATCGCAGTACTCAATGTGATGGTGCTTAGCCGGAAGATGCTGCATCACCTGGTCCTTCTTTCTTCGCAGCACAAACGGTGCCATCATCGCACGCGCGTTGGTGATTGCTTGCTGCGAGAGCAGCGGGTTGTAATTCTCCTCGTCGTCTGTGTCGCCGTCCTCCGTCTCGCGTTTGTGGGTCGACTTGGTGGACGCCTTTTGATCAAAAAGCACCAGCAGATCTTCGCGCTTTTCGTGGAATATGCCAGGCAGAATGAACGCAAGCAGCGAGATCAGCTCTCTCAGGTTGTTCTGCAGTGGAGTACCGGTCAATAGCAGCCGGAAACGTGCTCCCAGCTTCATCAGTTTAGCATATCTATCAGAATTCGAGTTCTTCAGCATATGGCCCTCGTCGTAGACAATCACGTTGAAGTTGCGACTTCTCAAAAACGATTGGTCGTACTTGTGGCCTGTAGCAAGAGTGTACGTAGTCACCAGGACGTCGTAGTCACTGTTGTACATCAGCTCCTCTCTCAGTTCTGCTCTGGCGCTTTGGCTGCCATAGTAGGGTATCACCTTGAGAGAAGGAGAGAACTTCTGAAACTCTCGGAGCCAATTTTCCAATGTGGAAGACGGAACAATCACCAAGTGCGGGCCGCTAAGAGACTGCTGTTTGAGATACGTCAAAAATGCAATCACCTGTAAAGTCTTTCCCAATCCCATCTCGTCGGCAAGAATACAGGAGAGTCTTTTTTGGTACAGCAGGTTTAGCCAATTCATTCCAACGATCTGGTAGTTTTTCAGCTCAAACCCGTCTGCCATCAGCTTTGGCTTGTGCCTGTAGTAGTCAACTTTGACCAGAGGCGGTCTGCCGCGAGGTCTGCCGCTTGACTTGGACATTTTCAGAGTGAACTCTCTGTCCTCCATATCGTCATCCGAAGTGAGCGCCTCATAGCTTTCGTTCTTGTTCTGAGAGTTCTCGTTCGAGAATAGCGTCCTGTCCGACATGTCGTCGTCACTCTGCTCGCTCTTCACGTCGATATCAACAATCTCCAGCTCCCCCTTGTCGTTGTAAACCTCAGCACCCCATTTATGGATAGCTTGGGTGATGCTGTTTCCATGGGTCTGGCATTTTTTGATCAGCGAATCGACCGCAGCGTACCCTTTCAACTTCTTGATGGTGGTTTCGAGGATCTTCTCGCCAGCAGCCTTCTTTTTCATCACTCTTTTCTTCTGCGCGCTTGCAGAGTTTTCTTTTTCTGCAAAATCAAAGCTCTCCACTTCCTCAAGCGACTTGAAAGGTCTGCTGTCTATTAATGCCTGCGCAACAGAAGGCGGGACACCGGCAATGTCAACAACATCCCTTTTCTCGCCAGTATTGAGAAAATGCAGCACTTTCTCGTCAAACTCTAGATCCACTGGTTCTTCGACTTCAGACTCCTCCATGCTGTCGTCATCAACTTCTTCCGGCTCTTCGTCGTCAAGAACAATCAGCTCATTGTCGCTGTCTGACAATGTCGTTGCTTCACGCTTGGAATCTCTAGTCCCACGCACCAGCTTCCGCTTCTTGACAGGAGCCGGCTCTGGTTCTCTTTTGGTCTGAGCGTTTCCATACCTCTGTAAAATACTAGAAGCTTTTTGCAGCTTCACCTTGGAGGAGAGCACGTCATTTTCTGGCTTTATGGGCGACGAAGAAGAGAGCACAATTTTTTGAGGAGACACTATCTGTGCCACGCCTTTCGGATAGCCGTCTGAAGGTTTTGAGCCAACTCCCTGTGGCAGCGAACTCAAGTATGCAGCAGCCTCTCTTAGCGATCCCTTAGTTTTCAGGGCCGAGAGCACGGTTGCCTGCGATAAATGGGGAAATTTATTTTTCAGCGCCATGAAACTGCGTTTGAGATCTGAAGAAAGCGCGCCCTTGGGAGGGGCAAGAGGCTCTTGCAAGAACTTCGTTCCCAGCGAACTGCTGGGGGTATAGGAGAACCGCTCCCTCAAACTAGGGAGACGGGTAGTGATCTGGATAGGAGAAGAGGCTGGTTCTGTGGACTGTGATCCGACCCTGATGGGCGACGAGTCAGGGACCTGGACAGGAGAATCCTCAGAGCCTCCCGCCAATCTCTGATTATTATTCGCGTCCTCTATAATTATGCTATCGTCAGTCATTGGTTGATCTGGACGAAATGCGACAAGGAACTTAGGGTGTAGTTTTTGTTAAACGCGATTGAAAAAACGAGCAAGACGTTTTTTAGCTAAATTAATTTTTTTCTCTCGACGCGTCGATCCTACTTATCGCGTCGGTATCAGCTAATGACCTATCGTGTCTACGCCTGCGGCTCCAACGGAAACTTCCAGCTCGGGCTCGACGACAACGAGGACCGCAGCCGGCTCCAATGCGCCCAATTTCAGACTGAAGAAGGCCGCACCACATACCTAAACGTCAGGCCCATCAAGATTGCCTGTGGTGGAAACCACACGCTCGTGCTTCTGGAGAACGGACAGGTTTTCGGGGCTGGCTCAAGCCGTCATGGACAGCTGGCCTGTTTTCAAGAATATTTGCCTGTTTTTCGAAAGCTCGATCTTCCGGTCAAGGTCAAAGACGTGGTAGCAGGCTGGAACTACACCGTATTCATTTCAGCAGATGACGAGGTGTATACCTGCGGACAGGGCTTTACAGGCGAGTTGGGGCTCGGGAAAACACATCTTGAGGCTCTGCCGACCAAAATAGTGTTGCCAGACAACGGCCGCATCGTCAAGGCCGGGTCCTCGCTCCACAACGTCGTTATACAGTTTGAGAACGGAGAGCTCTATGGCTTTGGAAATAATAAGAAGGGCCAGCTGCTTGACGGACCCAAAGTGCTATGGATTCCTACGAAGCTTCCTATGCATGCTTGCGATTTTGCGCTAGCACGCGATTTTGCTGTGTTTTTGAGCGACGGGCGGCCGCTTCTTCAAGGAAAAGACCAGCACGGAATAGCAGAACGGCTCCAAGCTGTTAACCATGTAGACCGCATCTGGGCCATGTGGAGCTCTGTTCATCTTCTCTCTGGCCGGCAACTTGTCTCATATGGGAACAACTCGCATGGCCAACTGGCTCCTGCCACTACCGTCGACAAGCCCTTGAAAATTGCTATTGGAAGCGAACACGGTCTTTTGGCTGAAGAATTCAAGGTATTCGCCTGGGGATGGGGAGAGCACGGGAACTGCGGCGAGCACCAGACAAGAAAAGCAGGCGTCACGTTTGACTACATGAACGAGATCTACACTGAACGACATGCCGTCGCGGATGTGTTTGCGGGCTGCGCAACGTCGTGGGTAGTTGCCCAGTGCAGCGAGAACGTCTAGCTGTCTCCTCAGGTTCTTTCCCATATTCATCTGTGCTTTGCGAATAATGCAAACGAAAGATGGAAAATATGTTCTGGGATGTTATTCTAGGAACAGTTGTATCGACGGGCGGGGAACAAGAACCCCCGTCCATCTTCTTTACCATCCAAGTAAAAAATAAAATTTAAAAAAAAATATGACAAATTAATCTAAAATACACATGCATTTCACTCCTGCAGTCTGGCGGGCGATCTGTCTCTATTTTTCAGGAAGTCTGGGAACAAGTCTTCCTCGTCGTCGCAATTTCCTCTTCTCGGTTGCAGTCTCTCTCTGTATCTGTCACGACCCCTTTCGCTTCTCCCTCTCGAAGGACCCCTTGGCGGGCCTCTCGATCTAGGACCGTCCCATCTTCCAGATATCTCAAGTTTTCGGTAGGAGTCTCCATCCTGTTCGTCCACAGGCCCGGTGTCCTCGCCTGTGATCAGGTCGGGCCCTCTGTTGCGGGCTCCGCTACGGCCTCCTTTGTAGTTGCTGTATGTCCTCTGTCTCTGGGTCGGCTCCGGCTCACCGTGAATCAGGTAGTAGCGCGAGTAGTTTCTTGCACCTTTGACCTTTCTGTCGCCCCAGTAGCTCTGTCTTATTGATAGTCTAACATTCTGATCGTTGAAACCAGGATCGTTGCTGATGTACTCCATGGCGCCGCGTTCCTGCTCCGGAGAAAGACCGTCGGAGACCTCAGATAGGAGATTCAGCGCCTCCAGTGCAGCGTCGGGCTGCTCAAACACAATGTTGATTTTCTTGTCGTTCACCCATTCGAGAGTATAGTTGAATCGAGCGTATTCCTCTCTGTTCTCGAATTTGAGGTCTGGCTTCAGCAAAGAGTCAATGTACAGCTTGATTGCTCTCGTGTCCAGTTCGTCGACGCCCGAAAGAAGTAGCGACCCCGGCCGGAGCTCGTTTGGGTCGTGTTCCTCAGGTTCTGTCGAAAGACGTTCGGGAGACGCCGATGGCCCCGTCTTCTCCGTCTCGCCCATGTACTCAAGGTGCGGAGGCAGCTCTGAGGGTTCGACGTCCATTTGGTCATCGTCGTGGACCACAGTGGTCAGCTTGGTTGCGAAGTCAGACATGGAAGATTAAATGTTTTTAGGATTGGAAAATGCACGACAAAGAGCCTGGGGAGCGAGCAGGACGGTGTTGGCACATGGTGCTAGCTGTAAAGCATTTACAAAGAGAAGAAAGAGCTGCGCGGCCTTATTGTGGCCTTAGTAGTATATTTCGTAAAAGAAAGTACAAGACTAGGCCATCGTCGTTCTATCCATCTAATATACAGTTACATTATTCACACTTATTCCTTCTCTGTCTGCTCGTCGTCCTGTTTCTCACCTACCCACAAAACGTTGTTGCACCGCACAAACAGCTCGTCTCCAAGATCCGTGCTCGTTTCGGCCGCGGTGTCGATCTCCTTGACGTCTTTGTCCAGCAAAAAGTTCATGTAGTTATCGATAGACAGCAGCTTTCCGTGGTATTCAATGTTGTTGAATTTCAGCTTTATCACCACAGGCTTGCCGATAAGCGACTGCAGATAGGGTTTAGGATTGATGGGCTGGAAAGACATGGTACAAGGCAGTTCAACTATATTTTTTTTTGCACTAAATTTTCCAGTCATATTTATAAACGGGTGTAAATTCTGCTATGTAACTGTCTTCTATCTTTTGATTAGTACATCTATTTGGCACCCTCAAAGCTCGTCAGCGTATGGAACAGCGTCGACGTCTCCAACAACAGCCAAGTTGAATTTAGGAACGGAAACAGAGTCTTTAGCAGCAGAGATGTCGACAGTGAAGCCCTGGGCAGCCTGGTTGTAGGTAGCCAGAGCCTTGTACTTAGATAGACCCTTAGCCTCCTTGAGCAGCTTGGCAGCCTTGGAAACTAGAGCACCGGTCTCAGTACCAGATGGAGAGGTGATGGAGATGTAGAACAGAGCAGCACCGTCGTATGGCACAACCTTGGCATCGACAGCGGCAGACGAGCTGGCTGGGAGCGAGGATTTGGCGTATGCAGCAAGAAGAGAGTAGGTAGCAACGTCAGAGGCGGCGACACCGATCACGGCAGAGGTTGGGCCGGCCTGTCTGATTCTGGCGTCCTGGCCAGCCACAGATTTCTGTGGAGCAGGCGACGTCTCGCCAGCTGGGAGCTTGGACAGAGGAGACTCAGAAATGAATTTTTTCAGGTCGGCCTCGACCACGTTTAATCCAATAACCTCAACATTGCCGTCCAGGAACACAGACTTGGCGAACTGGGCAATGTCCTCGGATGTGTACGATTTAGAGCCGTCGTAATAAAGTGGTTTACCCAGGCCCGTTCTAAAGGTGATGGCGTGCAGTGCTTCCAGGGCCTTGAATTCAGGGCTGCTGTTGGCGGCCGCAGCCTCGGTCTTGGAGTATGGGAGGGCGATCTCTGCCAGCTCGTGAGGCCTGAAAAGAGTTCCGGTCAAAACGTCGCCAATAGCGTTGACGTAATATGGCAGAGCTTCCTTCAAAAACTTGGCCTCAAGCACCAGCGAGTCTCTGGTGACGCTGGCCTTGTACTCTCCTCCCAGCAGTTCGGATTCTCTCTTCAGTCTCAAACCGCTTCTGGCCTCAGTATTGAGAAAGCTGGAAGAGGCAAGCAGGTGAGCCAGACCTGGGGCACTGGCTTTGGAACCGGCGTTTTTCACAATCACCTTCAGAGACGAAACTCCCGATCCTGGAGCCTCGACAGTGGTCACCTTGACGGCCTTTGGCACAGTAGTGGAGAAAGATCTGATCGACGTTCTTGCAAACATTCTTGCCCTGTTGTACTCGGATGGAAAACTTTTTTAACTTTAATGTTTGTTATAATTTCTAGCTAATTGGTTAGCCTGAAAAACTACACACATCTCCCGGTGCGTCGTGGGGAAGATATTTTTCTCCCACGGAATCTCGAGGGCCAAAAGATTTGGGAGCTGTCAACTGGGGCAGGCTCGCTTCCCATGACTCTACCGCCTACTTCACAATGTAAAAGTCTTGTAGTACATCTCCCCTTATAGGCACGCTCAATGCAGTCTCCGTGGGATGGGCTTTCCTGTCCATCTATTTGCTTCGACAACTTCAGTGTTTTTATAAATTCTTCTTCTGTGATTGGACGGTGCAAATACTGTGACATCCGTCCACCACTACTAGGATTTGGATTTTTTTTGCTTCCTTTCTTCAGGCTGTGTTCTCTTCCGCTTATGTAAGATGTTTCGTTTTTTCATAAATTTTTACGTATCTGAGATCACGTACCATGTCGGCTCGAGAAGGGGCTCCCACAGAGCTTCCACTGTCTATGAAGACTAAATCGCCCGAGTCGTTTTTGTTCACTTCTCTCTTGAAGCTGGTGCTCGGAGAGCAGGCGGCATATGTGTTTGGCATTCTTCTAGATCACAAAAGACTCACTTTACCCCAATTGCAGAAGCTGTGCAAGATGAAGTTGTCGGCGGTTAAAAAGTCGCTTGTTTCTCTTCTGCAACTGGAATGTGCCGTGTATTTCGAGGAAACCAATTTTATCACCGATAAATCACAGACATACTACTCGTCTTCGTTCTCTGGTTGCTACAAGTTTCTGTATGCCAACGCCATTATAAACGATATTCATCGCGACTACGGTGAACTTCATGCTGCCATAGTCCAACAGGTTCTGGTGAATGGACATTTGACCATCGGAGAGTACCTCAAGAATGTGGATGGAGCAGCCCGGGCGGAAGAGACAGAAAGGGCATTTTCAATCCTTGTCATTGAAAAATGGCTGATTCCAATAGACGAGTTGCATTTCCAGAGCAGGTACGATCTTTTTCACAAAGCCTATCATCAGCAAACAGCTATTTTCAACGCGGAAAATAAGGGAAAGGCGATTTCCCAGGCAAAAAAGCTGCAGGTGATCAAGGAGGAAACCAGAAGAAAACATCAACAGCTCATGAGCGAGGACAAAGTCCGCTCGCAGCTTTTTCAATCAGACTCGAATTCGATGTTTCCAAAGGTCAACCCGGAAATTCCTCTGACGTTTAGCCTCAATAGATACTTGAAAAGATTACGATCTTTGCATTTTGCCTCAGAAGCCAGACACAAGGTGGGCGAGATCTCTTCTAGGCTTTATGCTGTTATACTTAATCGACTGGAAGCCAAGTCTGCGGAGGTCGATAACCCAGAGCTCAGGCTGGAGAAATATCTTGCCAACGTCGGACAGTCGGGAGTTGGCCTCGATCCGCGTGTCGTGGAGCAGGTTCGTGGTCGGTACGAGTTGAAAGATCAGGAGAGGGGCATGAATATAACTGTTAGTGAGCTCTACAAGGAGCTCTTGAGAAACGGTGAGAAGTTCGGCGTTACTGTCGAAAGCGTGAAAAACACAATTGCTGATCCATCGTTGGAATTTGGTCGTAAGCGGAAAAACGAGGACTCCAATGGATTTCCTGGTGCGAAAAAGGTCAAGATTGAGGTGGATGAGGTTCTGGAGAGACTCGGATCTCATGATTCGGATGACGAAAATGAGAATGATGACCCAGATAACCCGGACCCGCGCATTATGTCCACTCTCCTGCAGCATCTGAAGCTTCTGGCCTCTGATCCCAAATTCCCCTTCCTTATCGAGACAGATATGGGACAGTTCCATGTACCTTACACACGTCTGTCTCCAATATTGGCCAAACATGTGTTCAAGCAGTACGTCAAAGCCATCATAGGACCTGACGCTCTAAAAGTGTTGAATTGTATCGAAGATAAACGGCTTGCAGACGAAAAGGCGGTGAGCAAGCTTGTGCTGATGAAGGAGGCCTCCGTTAGAAACATTCTGAGTCGCTTGCTCAAGTTTAACATTATAGAATTGCAGGAGATTCCAAAAACGCAAGACCGGTCTGCGATGCGGTCCGTGTATGCATTTAGATTCAGGCCCCAGCCAGCTATTGAAATGTTCAAAAAGTCTATCCTGTTCAATATGGGCGAAGTTTTGGAGAAACTAGAGCATTACAAAAAGCAGAACAAAATTCTGCTGGATAAAGTCAACAGAGAAGACGTGAAGGGCAGAGAACAAGAACTTCTGCTTCCGTCCGAGCTGAAACAGCTAGAGCAATACTACGAGTACGAAAGCACCTGGATCACGAAATTTGGTAGACTCCGTACTGCCATTGACGTTTTCGAGTTTCTAACGACATAAGCATGATAGTCATAATAATAATTTGATGTACATTACAATTGTCGCGTCAGTCCATTGACTAGATAAATATTATTTTACTCGTGAAATAATGTGCCTTATTTTTTTTTAATAAGATGACTGATTTGAAGGCATAGCATAGTAATCGTCTATCAAGAAGAATTAATTCATTCAAATCAGCAGATTCATCCATCAGTCAAAGAATAGACACTGGCAAATTTCAAGGTCATCAAGCCATACGGTTTGCGAGTTACTTACCGCTAAGTCGATTATTGTGGGTTTTTTATCGTTAAGTGTGGGTTGGGTTTTCTTATCGGATTTGCCCTCAAATCAATTTTTTGATCAAACTCTCACCGCTTAAATTCGCCTAGTCACCCGCTCGAATACTGCCCCCTGTTGCTACAATTGTTTCTATTGCATTCAGTCTCTGTAAATTAATCAGGAATGAGCTCCGTGAGAAGGCCTTCAAAACTTTTATCTGAGAAGCAGTCAGATAAGTTAGCGCAAATCATCCAGAACTTCTTCCTCAAGGCGGCACATGTGATATTCCATTTCCGAGTGGCGTTCCCATCGGTGGTTTTGCAGCCCGAAGATAGTTACGGCGCCATGGGAGATAGCTTTTCACAGTCCAAATATAATAACAGATGGTTCAATCTGGACCTTGGCAACTACCAGATTCCAAGAAACGAGCTCTCTTTCTGGCGGAACAAAGACATATTGTCGTTACCCCCGCTGGTGGTGGAGACATATTTGGATTTAAGAGGGCTCAGCTCCAATCAAACACTCATGCTTGATGACGTGATCGTGAAAACAAACAAAAAAAGTGAAATCGTGTTGGAAAGATGGCTCATTGAGTTTGACCTCAGCTCCTTCGACAATGAGGTAATGGAGTTTCCGTCGATATATAAGAAAATCATCATTTTGTTCCGGTCGTTGTACCTGCTGGCGGGTCTTCTTCCAAGTTATAGATTGCGGGACAAACTGGTGAAGTCTAAATCGAAAAACAGCGCCATCCATGTCTCGTGCCGCATATTGGACGGTTCCAAGCCGATTACCTCGAAGGGAAGAATAGGACTGAGCAAAAGGCTTTTGAGCGAAGACGAGCACACGAGCTCCAAAAAACTCCAGCCTGTCTTGACGCCAATTGGAGCATTCAGAGTTTCTGTTTCTTATCGTACGAATTGCAACTTCCAGGTCAGCGACAACGAGGAGGCTCTTTCATCTCAGTTCATGCTGGATCATCTTCCATCTGTTCGCACTAATTACGACAGCGATGGCAACAGTCTCACCTCTCCGATGGAGTATCTACAAAACAGGGTCTCGTCAGCATCGATCCATTTGTCTGACCAGTCACCAAGGCTGCGATCGTCGACCAGATCAGTCCAGCTGTTTAAAGTCGGCTCAATCAACTCGTCGTCTTCTCCTCCCCCTGGCGCCACACAGAGCAATCAAAGCGTGTCCTCGTTTTCGACATCAAAACCAATTCCTGTCACCTTGAATAAAACCAACTCAAGCGCATCATTGGTGCCCATACTGCGACAAAACAGGGACTCGCTACCCAAGTCGATTGGGTCTATGGTGCAAAATCAGGTGCAAGATACAGGACATCAGGTATCCTCCAACTCGAGAAAGTTCTCGTCGTCATTTGGGTCGCGATTTCGGACAGTTTCGAGCAGAAACAATAGTCTAGATGGCCAGTTGGTTGTCGCTAATCAGCCCTTTTCGACACCGACCAACAATCCTATATTGCATAATTTCCGCTCGAGAAACAAATCTCCATCGGTGTCGTCCACCGAGCTCGGCCCTTCGAGTTCAATATACATGGACGACGACCTTGACAGTTTTATGAAGATGCTGGACTCGAAACCCGACTTGAGGTTCCCGTCAAACTCTCCCTCAGTGTACGAGGATCCTCTCGCAAATTTCAAGACTTTCCAAAAGTCGAATGATTTCCTCACTTTGGATCAGCAGCAACACGGCTCACCATCGTCAAATCAGATTATGATACACAGCCAAAGTCAAACTTCTCAGTCACAGGTATTCAAAAAACGGACGGTTTCCTCTGACAGGTCTCGCAGAGGATCTATTTCTTCCAATTACTCGCCCACCTCGCAGGCACTCAGGCCGGGAGTTTCTGCTCCAATGGTGACGCCTTCGGTAACCTATGGGAAATTTCACGCGTCATCTGGATCGCCGTCGAACTCCTCGCTGGCACAATATCTCCGACACAATCCGTCGCCCCCGGCATCGGCAACGGCGGTGGCTACTGTCCACAACAGTCTACGCAGACTCACTAACTCGTCACAACGCACAAATACAAATTCCACAAACAGCAGCAGCAGACCAGTTAATCCAGAGCTACTCAAACTCAAATCTTTCAACCAAGACGTGTTTGAGTCGGACGACGACGATCACGATGTACATTCGCCTCGCTCCACAGATCCTAAGTCAAGAAACACGGGGCCTTCTAGTGGACATGCTGAGGACGACGAGGATGATTTGTTATTTGCTATGAGTGACATGACGCTAGCCAAAAATAACCAAGAGTTCTAATTTATATCAATTATAGTGTACCAATGCATGTCATAAACATCCTTTTAGTGCAATGTAGCCATCAACGTTGCTTGGATTGAGAAGAAGAGAGCGCTGGATCGCCCGCAGTTCGCCTGTCTGGATGTAGGCGTTACTCAACTCACCAGCGTCCACGCTCTTCGAGTTCAGGCAAACGTTCAGATGCACGTGTCTATCCAGTTTTTTCCAGGTGTAGGCGTCTGCCGGGAACATAAACGCGTTTCTTTGCCAGATGGTAGTCGTTCCCGTGCCCATTCTTGATTCCAGCTGTTCTAGGAAAAATGGTACGCTGCTTGCTGTGTCCTCTATTCTCTCTTTCAGGGACAACGACTCTAGTTCCTCCTTGATGGCCGGATAGAATTCTTCAAGGTTTTCGACTAGCGAGATGGAGGCCAGAGTCAGTGCAACGAGCAGCGACGTTCCGTAATTCTCAATGTGATTAAACAGCTCGTCGATGGCAGCCTGTTTTGTGTCCTCTGTGTTGCAGTCGTGGAGAACTTGAGCGATCAGAACAACTATTCTTCTGGAGTCTGGGAAAGAGTCCAAAATTTTCTTGAACTCGACCAGCGCGGAGTCGAAGTCATCCTTGAAGAAACTAGAAAGCCCTAGCACAGCCAGCGACGAGAGCATGATTCTTTGCACCTCTTCTGTCAAGTCGTTTATGTCTTCCAGCAGGTCCATGGACTGCTCGCTGACCTCGATCGCCTTATCATACTCCTGTGAGCCCAAATACATTCTTGAGAGCTGAGCAAGGGCCGTCGAGAACGCAATCGTTATTTCTGGAGAGTTTTCCTGTTCGAACTTTTCCTCCAGCAATGCACAGAGCTGCTGGGAGTAGCGAAGCCCCGTCTCAAAGTCGCGAACCCGCTCAATGATCAGAGTGGCCACTTGCAATGCTAGCTTCTCCTTTGGATAGTACTTGAGGTAGCTCAGGATGGAAAGATTGGCCACATTGAGTTCCTGGACAGAGTCCAAATTCTGCTCATCTACCTCACTACCAACGAGCGATAGCACGACGGAAAAACTGTACAGCAGCATGGATAAGGGGCTTTTTCCGTTGGACATGACGTGGGCATGTGTGAGCAGCTGCGAGGCCGACTTGTTATCGCCCTTGGCCTCTTCAACAAGCGCTCTTCCGGTCCAGCAGGTCGCCTGGCCCGGAGCGAGCGACTGCACTCGCAGGAAGCACTGGTTTGCAAGGTCCAGGTCGCCGTGATGCATGTACAGCACTGCCAGATGAGTCCACGGGGCCGGGTCACGTGGTGACAGCGATGAGGCCTTGATGAAGCAATGCTGTGCCACTTTCGGGCTCTGAACCAGAGAGACGATTCCTAGCGAGTTCCAGTACTCTGGGTTGTCGTTTTCGAGGACAATCGCCTGTTTGAACGCCTTGATGGAGCATTCTTGGAGAAAAGATCGTTCGAGTCTCAGAAATGCGACGAGATAGGCCACTCCAAGATTGTACGTCACAGACGAGCGCAAGAGCCGCGCTGCACTCTCGCCTGTAACGGAAAGTGCTGCGCGCGCGCTCTCGATCATGTAGTAACACGTTTTGTCCACCTTGTTGTTGCTTGTTTGCAGCTTGTTGTAAGTTTCTTCTTCGCCCATCTCCTTTAGCAACCGCACGCTGCTCGTCTCCGGGACACGGCTAATGATGAATTCCAGGTCGTCAAATGGAATGTGCTCAATGTGCGATTCGACGGTCAACAGAAGTTTCAAAAGCTCCAACAGCAGACGCCAGAGACTAGGAGCATACGGATCTAACTCTGCTGCTTTTCTGAGAGCCTCGAACGCCTTGAGTGCCGTGTCCATCGACCTTGCAATGTGGCTGTTACTAATTTCGTAGTCGGTCTTCATTATCAGCGTCTCGGCCAGTCTACTGACAATGCAAAGCTCGTCTGGCCTGGTGTCGGCAATACTCTCCAACTGAAATATACTGTCCTGGAATTCTCCCATCTCACCTAAAACAACCGCAAGCAGGTAAATGCCATGCCAATTATCTGGCTCCAGCTCCAGCGCCTTGTTGAAAACCTTCAGCGCGGCATCTAGCCGTCCACGAGCAAGATACCCTTCGCCCAGCCCAATCCAGGAACCCACGTCCGAGGCGTTCATCCGCAGACCGTTCTGGAATAGCTCAATGGATTTGCTGTCATCCTGACGCTCGAGAGCAGCACATCCAAGCATCCGGTACGGCCAGGAAGCATCCTCGTCCAGGGACAGCATGGCCAGCCGTCCCTGTTCGCTGTCAATTACTCGTTGACAAACAACCTCCACCATTTCCCAGTCTCTGTTGATACTAAAATAATTGGCTAGCTCCCGCGCAGCAAGCATGTCGCCCGCGTTCAGCTCGAAGGCTTTGGTCAGACACTTTAAAGCCCGTGTCTGGTTGCCGTAAAATGTGAGATATATGTATCCCAGCGAGCTGTAAGGCGCAGAAAGCGACTCCGACTGTTTAAGGGCCTCGATCAGCAGGTTGAACGCAGATTTTACCAGGGCAGCGGCAGTTTCCTCATCAGGGGTGTCCAGACTCTTCAATTCCATCAAATACGACTCCGCCATACGCCAAAGCGTGGTGCCTCGCATTTCCAGCGAGTTGGGGTCTGTACCGTCAATAAGCTTATAAGCCTTCTGTAGTCCTTCGCGACCTTCAGAATAGCGGCCCATCTGGATAATACTCCAGCTGTACTCAAGGTTGGCTTGTAAGTGGTCCGGTGCGTCCTCCAGCACCTTTCCCAGAAGCTCTGAGGCGGCCTCGTAATTTTTCTGCTCCACCAAAATGAGGCCTTTGCCAATTCTGGCCTGTACGTCTGTTGGCGAGCTGGTCAGAACAGAATCGTACAGCCTCAGTGCCTGTGAAAAGTGTCGTGGAGGCTCATAATATATGTAGGCTGTGGCCAGAGACAGCAGAGAATCCTTTTTCGAGTTCTTCAGCTCCAGAAGCGTCTTTTTCTGTTCTTTGGAAACGAGAGTAACCAGCTGTTTGGCGTACTCGAGAGCACTCTCATACTCCCGCAGATGCAAGTAGTAGGCGACGACTATTCTATGCGCCAGAATGGACTCCGCTGCCACCTTGATACCCTGGATCATCAGCTCGAGCATGTCGGCAGCAGAAAGGTCCTCGGAACTATTTCCTTGCTCTACTTCTTCCAGAGGGAGAGTGGACTCGTCGTTTGGGTCATCTTCGGTATCCTCTGTGGTCTTGATGTTTTTCAGAACACGCTTGTTCTTCTTATGGTGTCTTCTTTTCGATTTTTTCTCAACCTTGAGATACTCCTTGACTCTTTTTCTATCAAACGGAGAAATGTCAGAGGAAACAAAAGCATACAACACTGCGCCCAGCCCCACATTTCCAAATAGCTTGATGTAATCGGCAACGACGATGAGATCCAGCGAATCAAACGATTTGAGGTCCAGCCAGTCAAGATAGAGGTCCCAGGCCTTCTGAACAGGATTATTAACAATCACCATGCCATGGGCCATGTCGAAAACCTCCGCAAACAGCTGTTTCTTCTCCTCTGGAGGCGAGGCCTTCATCAGCTCGTATTTTAGCTCCAACAGACGCGACTCCATCTTGCGGCGATGAAAGTCATCCGTGCAAATATCGATATATCGCTGGCACAACTCCGACAATTTGAACTGCTTATGTGCAGTCACAATCACCTTGTTGTACGCTAGCTGGCTTTTCTCAGACATGTTCGAGATCCCGGTCAGCTTGTTTTTGAACAACTGCGACTTCACATAATTATTCTGCTTTTCCTGTACTATGTTAATTAGCTGGTAGAGTGCGATCTCTGGTTTTTCAAACATTTCTCCCATCAGGTCGCCGAGTTCTGCGCCAGGAATAACCTGGCGATAGTAGTACTCTGTTAGCTCTGGGATCTTGCGCCTGAACTTTTTCAGGTAATCTCGCACCTCTGTCACCACCTCTGTCAGAGGATCGCTCTTAGCAAGCAAGCTGTTGGCCATTCCGGTCACTACTGCGAAAAACTGCTTATAGTCGGTGCTGTCCCGTTGCAACTCGAGCATTCCCTTCCACGCAAGGATCTCATCTGGATTTATCTTTGCAGCCTGCTGATAGGACGTAAATGCCTTGGCGTCGTCCTTCAGCATGTGCAGCGCCTTACCCTTGAAGATATAGGCAAAGTAGTTGTTCTTGTCGTGTTCCTCAATGATCTTGTCGCAGCAGTATATCACATAATTCGGGTCGTCATCTTTGAACGACTGCTTGGCAGCCTTTAGCAGACTGTTAACCGACATTTGAAGGGTGAAATAATTCACCTTAAAAAATAGAAGGTGTACAGATTATTTTTGTTTACATTAGATTATTTATCATGAGTGTAAGTAATTGAGGGCATGTACGAGATTCTGACAATTAGACAGCTGAGTGGAGCATCAGTACGCTCTCGAGAGAGCAGGTTGCTCACTGGAAAGGAATTTTCGACGTGATTGACCAAGATCACGACGGAAAGATCACAGAGGAAGATATCAAAAACACGTACAGCAGCCTCGGACTGAAGGACGAGGGAGAGGCCGCAAAGATGATGGCAGAGGCAGACTCCGACGGGCTGGTCTTTAACGGGTTTTTGAAACTAATGGGCACAAAATACGGCGACTTCAGCGACCGCAACGAGCTGGAACAGGTATTTGCAGCCTTCAAAGACGACTCCAAGACTTTGAATGCGGCAGAGCTCAAAGAACATCTCATAAGCGTGGGCAAGTCAAACCAGGATATTCAGCTGAGCAAGGACGATATCAACAATGTGCTCAGGACGTTCGGTAAGAAGAGTGATCTTACTGGAAAAACCGCCTTTGCAGCCGACAAGTTCATCGACACGGTTTCACGTTAGGGAAATACAGAGCGAGTCAATGATACATTCAGTTCTATGCCAAACGATAAATAAAATACAGGTCCATTATTGATCAATAATCAGCTCGTCGACACTCCAGTCCTCGTATGAGCCGTCAGGCAGGTATCTTCTGATGATTAGCGGGATTTTTCTCTGCGAAAGTTCCTTGAGGGCGATTTGCAACGGGTCGGTCTCTCCCTCGATGTCGACCAGGACAGGAGCATTCATGGAAATTTGTAGAGCTCTGGTACCCAATATTCTTGCTCTTTCGTATTTGGTCATGTATGGCGTGGTTGTGCGCTGATCTTTAGGAATCGCGAGGTTCTTCGCCTTCTTGTGCGTGCCCCCATTGGCAAAAGTTTCTGCGTCATCTGGTCCTAGGCCTCCTTTCACGATCGTCTTTCCGTCTTCGGTTTCCAGTGGATCCTCATCACTGAACCGTTCCTCCTCACTCAGCTCCATGTTCTCCTCGAAGTCGTCGAACCTTTCGTTTTTGAACTCATCTTCGTCATACTCTGCCATGTTGCGTCAATTGGAGGTCTATTAAAGACTAACAAACAACACCGTTATTTTGAAAAAATTTTGCCAAAAGACTAGGGTTCCGGGTAACAAGAGAAAAAATTAGTTATTTATTGATAAGAAATGGCCTCTTGCGATTCTCTGGTGAAGCGAACAATAGACGATCCCGAACCGCTGGAGCCGTCAAAAAACCCAAGAGCTTTGGATGCTTCTCCAGGGATAATATCGCCAGAGCCTTCATCAAGGAATTCCTCCCGGAACTCCTCGAGATCTAGCTCCCCATCTAAATTGAAAAAATATATCTGTCACTATGAGAATTGCGGCAAGGCGTACGCCAAGCCGTCGCTACTAGAACAACATCTCCGCACGCATACGAATGAACGGCCGTTTCACTGCTCTTCTTGTGGTCAGTCCTTTATCAGAAAAGACCATTTGCAGCGACATATGCTCAAACATACTGACGAGGACGCCAAACCGCTGCATTGCTCAATTTGCGGCAAGGGCGTGAATACAAACCAGCATCTTCGACGACACGAAAAAACGCATTATAAGTCGTTCAAATGCACTTATGAAAATTGCACCGAGTCATTCTATAAACACCAGTCTCTCAAAGCACACATCAATTCTGTTCACAATTCATCGCGCTTGAAGTGCGAAGAATGCGGCAAGAGCTTCAGTCGCCCGGGCAGACTCTCCGATCATATGGAAAAACACCACAGCGCCACTCCAAAGCTCATTTGCGAGTATCCCGGCTGTTTCAAAGCGTTCAAAGTGTGGTCGGCTCTGCAACTGCACACAAAATCCGAGCATTCCAAGCTCTCGTGCGACATCTGTGGAAAACGCTGTGTGGGGCCAACAGGATTGGCCAACCATATGAAGATTCACGACGAAGCGACCGCCGTCAAGATATGGAAATGCTCGCACTGCGAGGAAAGATTTCAAAAGAAGGAGGATCTGACACAGCATTACGAGAAAAGCCATCCGGACCACCAGAGCAACGAGGAGCTTCAGTACGTCTCCTCGACTCCCTCGCCGATCGATGAAGTGCCTGTATCGAAGTCAACGAAGCAGACGTTCCAGAGACAGCTCAAGAAGGGCAGAATCGGGTCTGTTTTCAACCTGCTGGTCTCCAACGTGAACGAACGCACCATTTTGTGCCATCTGTGCAGCAGAGGGTTCAAGAAGGAGTACGATCTACGCAGACACCTGGAATGGCACGAAAAAAAAGGCCAATCTACGATGAATCAATAGTTCAATGTCCTTTAAGATAGAATTGTGCACCTAGGTATTAAGTGTCTTTCCATACTAAATGGAACCTGATCAGAGGAGGATGTAGAGGAGCACGGTGAAAACACCGAGCAATGCTGATGGGGCTTTAGAGACGGCTCTACCAGAGTAAACAGATAGGCCAGCGGAGTTGGAAGAGGTACCGCGAGACGCAGTCACCGTGGTAAGCGTTCTGCTGCCATTGGAGTCCGTGGTCAAAAATGCAGACGCGCCGGCTGGCACGCTGGTTGTAATTCGCAATGTGTTACCTTCGGAATCAGTGCCGGTAATGGTTGTTTTGTAGCCTGCGGCGGAAATGGTGGTGGAGTGGCCGCTGGCATCGGTGGTGATAATTGCTCCGTTAGAGTGAGTGGTTGACGAGCCGGAGGCAGAACCGTTGGACGAGGCGTCAGAAGAACTGTCGGAGGACTCGCCAGAGGATCCATAGCTAGATCCACCGGATGATTCGTCTGCATTTGAGGTTCCCGTACCACCACTTGCTTCTTTCACCGTGGTGTACACAAGGTCGCCGTCTGTGTCAGTGGTGGCCGTAACGTAGCCGTTCGAGCCGACGCTGAAGGACGTCGCCAGGACCGTTTTTCCTTCTGGGTCGATTGTCTGGTAGAGAGCCACGCCCGAGGCAAGGCTCGTGGTAATTACAGTGGAATCGTCATTAGAGTTCACAAAAGTGATCGCCGTTCGGCCCGCCTGTCTCGTGGTGGTTTTAGCATTATTTTTGGTTTTGGAACTGGTCGCCGAGCTGCTAGTTCGGCTCAGAGACGTCTTGGTGGTCTCGCCATGAGGGTCACCCTTGCTGGAGGTCAAGGCAGACCCGTCGATGGACGTCAGGGTGTCGTCGTCGTCGGACGCGACATCGGTCTCTTTCGAAACCAACGTGGTCACCACGGTGGTTTTGCCATCGCTGCCCGTTGTGGTGAGGATCTGCGACGTCTGGGCTGAAGGCTCTGAAGAGCTTGGCTTGACGACGCCGCTGGACGACGTGGCGCTCAGCTTGATGGTGTAGTACCAGGAGTCGGCTCTCTTGACTTTGGATCCAGAAGAGAGCGAGATGTACACGTCGATGGAGCCCGGTTGCGTGTTGTCTACCTCGTGACCGGCGATTTCGAAGCTGGCCGCCGCGTTACCCTGCGGGATGGTTCCAGAGCTGGCGCTGTCGATCTCGAAGTTGTTCTCATTGGAGGTGGAGTACGACACAGAGCCGCGCTCCATGATGCTTGAAGGAATGGAAAAGTCTATCAATATTTTGTCTCCTTCGTAGACGATAGTGTATGTAGGGGCATCTGTGGACGATGCAGACGACAAAGAGGAGCTTGACGTGGAAGACGGAGTCGAAGTAGTCGTCTGGGTTAGAGAGACAGAAGTGCTGAGGTACATCGTTGTTTCTGGGTCGGTGAATGTGAAGGTGGCGTCGTACTCGCTCTCTGCTCGCTTTTTCAAAGCCCGATTGTCGTCGACCGGCTTGATGGCGAAGCCGACGTTGTAGGCGCCGCCGGGAGCGTGCGTGAGAGGATACGACATGTCGATGGAGGTGTTACCCAGGCTGGAGAACGAGCCGCTCATGGACGAGCCGTCGTAGTCGAAATGGTAGTATTGGTCGACAAAGACCCAGTCGTGTTCGCTATCTGCGCTGATTCCAAACGGCGTAAAGTTGGAAGGGACGTGGATCTCGAAAACGCCGTAACCGGTGTCGTTGTCCTGGTACGCCGAGATGGTTGGGTGGATCTCGACGAAACCGGACGCGTTGAGAAAAACTGTCCCGGCGTTCTGGGTATCGAGCGTGGCGTTTGCCTTGTAGCTGCCGGTGATGACATCCATGACGTAGAAGGAGGCCCGGAATCCGAAATCGGCGTTATCTAGCTCATCGGCACACACGTCTGCCCCGCTGGCGGCCACTGGGGCCGTGTAGGTCACTCTTCCTTTGCTCAGAGAGATCTGTGACGGCTCGAAATCGTTTGGGTCGAATTCCCAGTTGTCTCCCTGGTCCATTTCAATCGAGTAGGAGCCGTAGCTGGGCGGGACGTAGACTCCCCAGTAGTAAGTCGAAGCTTCCTCAATAAACTTCATGTACGGAGTAGGGGTACACAAAGAGGAAGAGGGGACTGATGCAGAGAGAAGGGCCGAAGAGGACAGATCTGGGGATGGCGACGATGAGGTCTGCGACGATGGTGGCTCCGAGACCGCGGCCGTGGATGGCAGGGACACTGCGGCCGACGGTGATGATGGCGGTGCCGACCATGGTGGTGGTGTCTGTGGTGAGTGTGTCTGCGAGGTGGACGGCCCAGACGGAGCCACGAAAGAACCCGTCTCAGTTGGGGCACCCGATGAAGTCGAAGCAGACGAAGGACCCGGAATGTTAGAGAGCGAGACCGGGGAGAGTGCCGAGATCTGCGGGTCCGACACTGACATTGACACTGAGGGCCAGAAGTCTGGAATTGTGAGAGATAACGAAGTAACTTCTGGAAGCGAGAGCGAAGGACTGCGAGGACTCGCCGTAGGGACTGTTGGGAACACGGGAGAGATTTCCGGAAGGGACAGGGAGGGAAACGAAGAGCCTTCCGGAAAGGACAACGATGGGAGGATATCAGGGACCGACATGGAGGGTATGAGGTCCGGACTCGAAAAGGACGGGAGAGAAAGGTCGGGAGAATGCGGCGAAGAGTCGGTCAATGAGAAAGATGGCAAAGTCGAGGACTCGTTGTGGTAGAAGCCGGACCGGAGGATCGCCGAGGTTAGAGGGTCAACGGCGTGGGAGGATTTGGAGTACCTCCCAAACTTGTAATACCCTCCATATTCCGGGTATGTGGCAACAGCTTGCAATGCGAAACACGACGCCCAACCGGCGGCATTGAGTATGTTCACCATGGTGGCAGACACTAGTGTTACAAGAAAAGACCCGAGGAATTATAATTAGGTTTTCTGGTCTCCTGTGAGAAAAAGGTTCATCAGGTTCCTGCACTATACGACGGTAATAACGTTTCCGAGCTAAAAATTTTATTGTTTTTCATCGCAGATACATGCACGCAAACGGGTGCAACCAATTAGTAGCGATATAGGGCGAACATGGACTAATCGGCCTGGTATGTACGGGTTTCATGCGCGCTTCTGCGGACTCGCCAGCTTCTTGGCTCGGTGAGTCGCTGCTATTCGGACCAAAAACTGTATCTTCTGTGACAAAGCACTAATACGGTAAACTTTAACTTGCATACTGCAGATCTCTGGGTTATATCTCAGAGTAATGATCTTCCCGGCGGAACAGGAGAAAGGTTACTCGAGTTACCGTTCACTCGTGCAAAGATCAGGGTCGGCAGCCATCGGGTAGCATCCTAGGGCTCTAGTTATGGCCCCTATGCAGGCTGAACAGCCGCGCATGGCAAGCTTAATCTGAGACACAATTCTCCTATCCATAAGGCTGAGCCGATGTTGAATTGGGCTGTGCCAAAAAAAAAACTCTAACCAGTCATGGAACAATTGGCGTACGCCCCGGCAACGTCGCGCTCGGTTTCAGAGAGTCTGATTCGCCAAGCCAAGCAATCGCTCGACCACGAGATCCCTCTGTTCGAGTCGAATCGCCAGAGAGACCACATCGAATCGCTTGCGGAATTGTATTCCATCATAGTGGCGATCAACGTTTTGGAGAAATCGTTCATCAAGGACAAATTCCACGACAATGAGGACTACTACACGAACACAGTTATGCGACTGATCAACCAGTATAACCTCATTCTCAAGGACGACGAAATCAAGAAAGAGTTCGACGACCTGGACAAATTCGTACAGCGTTTGCAGTTAGACTGTCCTCTGGCCGTGAAACGCATCCAGATCGGTCTCCCGGCAACAGCCACACAATCACACGGCTCCTTAGCCGCGGTGAACCTCGCTCCCTCGGCCAGTGGAAGCGAAATTGCGCTCAAGGGTAAAGCAATTGCCGAGGCAACGGGCTCCTTCATTACGCTAATGGACGCAATCAAGCTCAATTACAACAACAAAGAGCAACTTCATCCGTTGCTCACCGACATCGTGACCAGCACAAACAAGGTGTTTGGTGACTACGATGGCCGCGCCAAACTCGTGCAGTGGCTGATCAAGCTCAACAATTTAAAGCTGAACGAGTCGCTCACCGATGATGAGCTGAAGGAGTTTCTCTGGGACATCGACGTTGCCTACAAGGGTTTTTTTAGTCTACTTGAATGAATCGATTTACGACGCATCGTATGTCGCATCGCGACAAAGCTCCAGTATTCTATATTCTTCATGCATGCAACCTGTCTGAACTGCCAATTGTCTGTTCTGCGCGCACTGGTCTACAGAATATTGCTGAGCGCACCATATAAAATTAGGGCTCCCACCTCGCACCGCGTATCGAAACAGGAAGCGAATCTCTGGAATTAATTTGTGGAGATCTAAAAAACAAAGAAAAACAATCTTTTGACTCAACTACTTCGTTCGCTTTGTAACCTCCACTCGTTTCTTTGCTCTAGCTACCATGTTGGGATACAAGTCTTTGTTGAGCATTCTTTGCTCGCTTTCTGTCACTAATGCGCTGATTCCAATCGAAATCATTGGAAACCGTTTCATCAAGCCAGCCGTGGATGCAAGCGATGCCGGCGAGGTTTTCTTCGTCACCGGTGTCGACTACCAGCCAGGTGGATCGTCAGATTACCAGGATTCTAACCCTACAGACGTTCTTTCCGACCCAGAAGCCTGCTACAGAGACGCTTACGTCTTGCAGAATCTCGGCTCAAAAGTCAACGTTATCAGAGTTTACACCGTGAACCCAGAACTCAACCACGACGAGTGCATGTCCATCTTCAACTCTGCGGGCATATACGTCATGATCGACGTCAACTCGCCGCTCTCGGGCGAGTCGCTCAACAGATACAACCCAAGCAATTCGTACACTTACTCTTACATGGAGAGAGTGTTCAAGATGGTCGATGCTTTTAAGAACTACCCTAACCTGCTCGGATTTTTCAGCGGCAATGAGGTCATCAACGATGCGAAGTCCGCTGGAGTCGATCCAAAGTATCTACGTGCCGTTCAGAGAGACATCAAGCAGTACATTGAAAACAACGCCAATAGAACCATCCCTGTTGGTTACTCTGCCGCTGACGTTCTGGACGACGGACTCAGAGACGCCACTTTGGAGTACATGCTTTGCTCTATTGACGGCGACGAGGACGATCTCTCGAAATCCGACTTCTTTGGTATCAACTCATACGAATGGTGTTCTGGCGTATCAGACTGGGCTTCTTCTGGCTACGGCGAGCTTAACAAAACCCTTTCAAATTCTACCATCCCAGTGTTTTTCTCTGAATACGGCTGTATCACCAAGACACCAAGAACTTTCGACGAGGTGAGCGAGGGTGTTTATGGCGGATTGGTCAACACTTTGAGTGGTGGTCTGATCTATGAGTATTCCACAGAAGCTAACGACTATGGCCTGGTGAAGATTGCAAGTAACGGCTCTGTCACCATCAAGCAAGACTTCGACAACCTCAAATCGCAGCTTGAGAACTCGTCTATTCCAACAATCTACTCTGACGAGGTGTCCAAAGCGAGAATCGTTACCTGTGACAAGGCTTATTTGGAGTCGCTCTCCTCAGTCTTTGATGCCGACTTTGACCTGCCTGATGCCCCAGACGGAGTTGAGGATATGATCCACTTTGGTGCAAACAACTCCAATGTTGGTAAGATCGTGGAGATTGACATTAGAGCCTCTAATTACACCATCTTCGACACCGATGGCACGGAGATCACTTCTGCAGTTATTTCTGTGGCCTCCACAAACACCATTAATAGCCAGACCGGCACGTCTGCGTCTGGTAGTGCTCACCATCCTTCCACAACCTCGTCTTCGTCCTCGTCGTCGGCCGCTTCAGTTGCTCCAACATCTTCGTCCTCCAAAGCGCAGGGTAACCACAATGCCCAATGTGCGGGTCTGCTTTCGGGCCTGACCGTTGCCCTTTTGGCCTTAATGTAGAGACTTTATATTTTTATTTGAAGTTTTTCTACGACATAAAATATGTTGCGACTTGCCAAACTAAATTAAATCAAAAAAACACAATCTGTTCTCAATGACGAAAGCTTCCGAAACTGTGCTCGCAATATTTATTATTTCTGCGATCTACTTCTCCCTATTAGTTGGAGTTATTCCATTGCCTAAAGTCGTGCAACAGGAAGTGCTGCCTGTCGTGCCATGGTGGGCTCTCGTGTCATTTGGCTGTTATGCATTGGGCACTCTGGGTTATGGAGTGTTCACCTTCAAAGACAAGGAAGACAAGTATCACGAGCTTCTCGGCGAAATTGCCGAGGCCAAGGAGTTTCTCAAGAAAAAGGGCGTCGATGTCGAATAATGCTAAAAATATATCGCGAATACATATTAGAAACAACGGGCCTATGCTTGAGCCGCTACCCTGGAATCGGACTGCCGCCGGTGTTTCGATTTCAGCTTCTTTTCCAGCTGAGTAAAAACCTGTAATCCCAATGGCATTTCCACGCGCTTCTCCTGCCTCACGTTCTTTTCCCTGAGTTCTTCCGGAATGTATTTGGCAGGCAGATAGTCGGGGGGTGGATCAAATCCTACCGGCCACTTCTCCTTCACGTCGTCACCCTGCTCCATGAGCCTCTGTGCGGCTAGCTTGGTGAGCTGCTTCCACTCTTCCAGGTCCTCTCCGTAGAGCTCCCACACACAGTTCACGCAGCCACTCATACAACAATTGTCCGGCTCTATAGGGCGTTTTGGCACCATCACTCCAGCGATATTCCTCTTTATGCTTCTATAGGAAACGTCTCGTCTGGATGACTTGTCTGACTTATTCTTGCCAGAAAAGCCAAAAATCTTGTCTATATCGGCGTTGTCAGCGGCGGTCTTAGGTCTAGTATCAAAGGTCAGGGACATAGTTCGAACACTTTCGTCGTCAGATTTGGCTTTCTGATTGCGCGACTTGGCCATCAACCGATAGTAGTCCATTTTATCAGACTGGAACACATGCGAAGAGGTTGATAGCAGTCTCTTCTGGCATATTCGAATCATTTTATTTTATATCAGCACTCGAGGCGTACTTAAATATTTTCACTTTTTTAACACTTTTTGTGGCGAATATTTATAAATCCTTAGAATGTCATTGGTAGGTACCCTGCACAAGGAAAGGTCTAACAGCCAGGTTCTTAGATTCAGATCCAAAGATGGCGTGTTTCGCTTGAACACCAATCAAGGTGCCAGCTTTGGCTCTGTGCTCGACCAATTGGCCTCAAAGTTGCCCCCATTTAAACCAGAATCACTTAGATTGGCCTCCAATCCCGGTGATCAAGGACAGTTGGCATTGGATATCAAGGACCAATCAGTACAAGGATTAAATCTCAAGCATGGAGATATGCTCTATCTGACTTACGAACCAGCTGAGGCCAGTAACTCAGTGAGTATCAGCGAAGTCAAGACCACAAACACAGTCAAACAGCTACCCATCGATGACATCTACGACAAAGAGGAAGGTCTCATTCCAAGAAAAAGGACTTCACTCTGTAAGCATACAGATAAGGGGATGTGTGAGTATTGTTCGCCATTGCCGCCTTGGGACAGAGGATACCAGCAGGAACATAATATCAAACATATTTCATTCCATGCTCATATCAACGAGCTCAACTCTTTGACGAACAGAAAAGAGTCAGGATCATCTTACATCTCGCCACTTTCAGAGTCCAATTTCAAGATTAACAAGAATTGTCCCGCGGGCCATGATCCTTGGCCAAAAGGAATTTGTTCCAAATGCCAGCCGTCCGCGGTCACTCTTCAGAGACAAAATTTCAGAATGGTGGACCATGTGGAATTCCAAGATAGTGAAATTATCAACGAATTTATCAACGCCTGGAGATTATCCGGAACCCAGAGGATTGGCCTCATGCTCGGCTCATATGACAGGTACGAGAAAGTGCCTTTAGGAATCAAAGCTAAGGTCGAGGCTATATATGAGCTTCCACAGGTGGACCAAGAGGACGGCATTATACTACAAAACTGGGAAGAAGAAGAGCAGATACTGTCTCTGATCAGGAAACTAGATCTGCAGCCGGTCGGCATAATTTTTACAGATCTGCTTGACGCCGGAAGCGGGAATGGATCTGTGATTTGCAAAAGACACAAGGACTCCTTCTTTCTCTCTTCCTTGGAGGCCATTTTTGCTATAAAGTGGCAACTCAAATTTCCCAACATATGTAAATGGTCAGACTCGGGGATATTCTCCTCCAAGTTCGTCACCTGCGTGATCTCCGGGAACACCAGTGGCGAGATCGACATAGAAGCATATCAGATTTCCGAGAGTGGAGAAGGCCTGGTCAAGGCTGATTTGATTAGCCCTTCCACACATCCAAACGAGGTGTACATCAACGAGCAGAACGACGAAAGATATGTTCCTGAGATCTTTTACCAAAAAATCAACGAGTACGGGTTACAAGTCAAACAACATGCTACCCCTAGCTTCCCTGTTGAATACCTGCTGGTTTCATTGACTCACGGATTTCCTGAACGGTCATCGCCATTTTTCAAAGCTGGTGCTACGAACAAGTTCCCTATCGAAAACAGGTCCTATATTGGAGAATCCGCCTCGATGCCTATCCTGAAGAACTATTTGAGCTCTATCAATGGCGATGACCTTAGCGTTTTGGCTACCCTTATTAGCAATTTCCATTTGCTGGTATATTTTACGCTCAACCAAGATATTTTAAGCGGACATGAATACGAGCTGCTGGTGGAAATTGTACGGAAGTTGGGCAAGGGCGAGGAGGTCCTGCCCGACTGCTACAAGCTGATTGACAGCGACGGCTGGAGGACGCTTCAAACGATCTTGCAAGTTGGCTACTAGGTCTTGTGGTGAGAAATATCTAAGTAGTGTAAATTCTAGAAAGTTCCTGAAGTGTACACGCAAGAAAAATAAAGTCTCTTAAAATTTTTCAAGGATCAAAAAAGTTGCTTGTTAAAGAGATTAACTTTTTATTGATCGATCATGTCTACCCCATTTGGTGTTGATTTAGGAAATCACAGCGCGGTTGTCGCTGTTGCGAAGAACAGAGGTATCGATATTGTTGTGAATGAAGTTTCCAACAGAAGCACCCCTGTTATCGTTGGATTTGGCACGAAAAATAGATCCATTGGTGAGACAGGAAAAACACAGCAGACATCCAATTTGAAGAACACAGTCGACAACCTGAAACGAATTCTTGCTCTGAACGCTGATTCGCCTGATTTTGAAGTTGAAAAGAAGTACTTCACCTGTTCATTGGTCGACAAAAACGGATATGCTGCGGCACAAGTGAGATATCTTGGAAGGCAAGAGGAGTTCACATCTGTCCAATTGGTTGCCATGTACTTGAACAAATTGAAGGACATTGCTGCCAAGGAAACAAAAGGCAACATCAAGGATATCTGTTTGGCTGTTCCTGTCTGGTACACTGAGCAACAAAGAAGAGCAGCAGCTGATGCTTGCCACATCGCTGGCCTGAATCCGGTGAGAGTCGTCAATGAGGTCACTGCCGCTGCTGTTGGTTACGGTGTGTTCAAGACCGATTTGCCAGAGGACGAGCCAAAGAAGGTCGCCTTCGTTGACATTGGCCACTCCTCCTACACCGTTTCCATTGGTGCCGTGAAAAAGGGAGAGCTCAAGATTTTGGGCTCTGCTTACGACAAGCATTTTGGAGGCAGAGATTTCGACAAGGCAATTGCAGAGCATTTCGCTGACGAGTTCAAAGAGAAATACAAGATCGACATCAGATCCAACCCTAAGGGATACAACAGAGTCCTGGTCGCTGCTGAGAAACTAAAGAAAGTGCTGTCCGCCAACTCGCAAGCCCCATTCAACATCGAGTCTGTCATGAACGATGTTGACGTTTCTTCTCAGCTGACCAGAGAGGAGCTTGAGGAGATGGTCAAGCCGCTACTGGACAGAATCCACGTTCCAATCGAGAAGGCTTTGGAGGTTGCTGGTCTCAAGGTCGAGGACTTGGACTCCGTTGAGGTCATTGGCGGATGTACCAGAGTTCCATCTGTGAAGGCCAGACTTTCTGAGGTGTTTGGCAAGCCACTGTCGTTCACTTTGAACCAGGATGAAGCCATTGCCAAGGGTGCTGCCTTTATCTGTGCTATGCACTCGCCAACCTTGAGAGTCAGACCATTCAAGTTTGAGGATATCAACAGTTTCTCTGTCACCTACTACTGGGACAAAGATGCCGAGGACACCGATCACCTGGAGGTCTTCCCGAAGGGAGGCGTTTTCCCATCCACCAAGCTAATCACCTTGTACAGAACTTCTGACTTTGAGATTGAGGCTAAATACACCCATCCAGACCAACTGCCTAAGGGAACTCGCCCAGAGATCGCCAAGTGGAAGATTTCCGGCGTCGAGGTTCCTGAGGGACAGGACTCTGCCATTTGCAAATTGAAGGTTAGAAACGACCCATCCGGCTTCTTCACCATTGAGTCTGCATACCTTGTTGAGGAGAAGGAGGTCAAAGAGCTTATTGAGAAACCAGAAGCCAAGACGGAGGCCAAGTCAGACGAGAAATCAGAGGACAAGCCGGAGGACAAGCCAGAGGATGAACCAGAGTACAAGATTGTCAAGAAGCTCGTCAAGACCAAAGATTTGAACATCGAGTATGAAGGACTGGCCTTGCCAAAGGACGTCCTGGACGAGTTCTTCGAGCAAGAAGGAAAGATGGTTGCCGAGGACAAGCTTGTTGCAGAGACTGAGGACAGAAAGAACGCTCTCGAGGAGTACATCTACGAGTTGAGAGGTAAGCTTGAGGACCAATACGCAGACTTTGCCTCTCCTGAGGAGAAGGAGAAGCTGTCGAAGATGTTGATGGACACTGAGGAGTGGCTCTATGATGAGGGTGATGACTCTACCAAGGCGAAGTACATCGCCAAGTACGAGGAGTTGGCCTCCATTGGTAACTTGATCAAGGGCAGATACAACGCCAAGCAAGAGGAATTAAGACAAGAACTGAGAGCCAAGCAGGAGGCTGCGCAAGCCGCTGCTATGGCCGAGAAGCTAGCTGCTGAAAGAGCGGCTGAGAAGACTGGTGGTGACGAGAAGCAGACTGAGGAAGAGAGCCAGGTTAAAGATGGAGACGTTAACATGGCTGAGGACCTAGACTAATTGGCGTGGCAGATAGATAACTTTGCGATGAGATTGATCGTTTTACTTGCTAGGTTCATCTAATACATAGTATACAGGCGAATAATGCTTTTAGTTCATGTTTTAGCTATTTAATAGTGGGGGCGATCGACGTACGCAGGAAAAATAGGGTTCTGGGAAAAAAAATAAACGGGTACGCATATTTGTGAAAGCCAACCAACCTCCCGCTTGATCTGACAAAGTAGACCATACAAAGTGTTTGGATTGGTAGATTCTATTAGAAGGATAGAGAAGAAGTTCTGCGTGGCGCCCTACGGGAACAAAATACAGAGAACTAGAAAGAGGCGACCTGGAACCAGTTTCAATCTGAAGTCCAACGAAGAGGGGTCAGCATGTCCTTTCTGCCCTCAAAAGAGCGTATCGACAGTAATGAAACAACGAAAATGAACAGAAACAAGGAAAATGCTTCTAGCGACCCAGCAAACCCAACAACGTCGAAACTATCGCTTGCGTTGAAGGAAGCTGGTGAGGAGTTGCCGGACCCGCACGAGCACCATTTCGAGCACGAAGAGGAAATCCTCAAAGAGGTGACACAAAAGTTGACAAACCTGAAGGATGAAGACCTTACCAAGGCCAATCATCAGGCTACTACGACTTTCGTAAATGAGCACGTTGTGGAAGGAGAAAATATTAAGGAGCCAGCAAGTCTGAAACAGCTTTTGCAGGCACAATTGGGAGAAGACATTTCAAACGATTCCGACACAGACTCAGATGTGGATCCAGCGAATGAAGAAGATCTGGAAGACTACGTTCCTGGCGGTTACCATCCGGCTTATCTTGGGGAAACATACAAAGACGGTCGATACGTTTTGGTGCGAAAACTGGGATGGGGCCACTTTTCCACCGTCTGGCTTGCCAAAGACATACAGGAGAATAGACACGTTGCTATGAAGGTTGTGCGGAGCGCCAAATCCTACAGAGAAACAGCCATTGATGAGATAAAGCTTTTGTCCAAAATCAATCACACAGACCCGCAGCATCCAGGCCATAGGCATCTCATCAAATTGCTTGACTACTTCGACCACCAAGGACCTAATGGAACGCACATTTGCATGGTTTTCGAAGTGCTGGGCGAGAATTTACTGAGCCTGATCCGCAGATACAAGCACAAAGGTTTGCCGATCAAATTTGTGAAACAGATCGCCAAACAAATCTTACTAGCGTCGGATTTTCTACATCGACAATGTGGCATAATCCATACCGACATCAAACCAGAAAACATTCTTTTGGAGATTGAAGATGTGGAAAAGCTTGTCAAATATTTAGAAGACTCTCAAAGAGAGAGAAAACTTTTGAGAAGGGTATCGTCCAAACTTAAAGCATCTGGTGTGGAGGCCAGCTCGTCTTCATTGGACGAAGAGAAGAGACAGATACCGTTCAGAAAAAGCCGTCATTCAAGACGTCAAACGCTAGTGACAGGGTCGCAGCCCCTTCCGTCGCCGCTGAGATCTAAATCAAGCTCATTTTTCGTTTCACCATTGAAATCCTCAATTTCTACGTTTGCTGGTAGAACTGCCGGAAACGTCCCTATTCGTTCAGAAACATCTCAGCAAGACCTGCAATTTCTGCTGGACAAGAGTTTCAAAGATTCGGATCCATATTCTGCCGAGCCACCGCGGGAGGACGAGCTTGAGGACGATGACCTAATTACAGTAAAGATAGCAGACTTGGGAAATGCATGTTGGGTTCATAGACATTTCACCGACGATATCCAGACCAGACAGTACAGGGCTCCAGAAGTGATTTTGGGAGCCAACTGGGGATGTTCATCAGACATTTGGTCGGTGGGGTGCTTGTTGTTTGAGCTTCTGACCGGAGACTACCTTTTTGATCCTACAGAGGGCCCCACTTTTAGCAAGAACGACGACCATCTGGCGCAGATAATTGAGCTGGTTGGTCCCATATCTCATCGCGTGCTGGAAGAAGGCTTCAACACTAAAAGATATTTCCATTCCGACATGAAGACACTACGCCAGATCAAGAATTTAAAGCCGTGGCCACTTGAGAGTGTTCTGATGGAGAAGTACAAGTTCAGCGAGACGGATTCGCGCGAGATTAGTGATTTTCTTGGCTGTATGTTAATCACCGATCCCAAATTCCGGATGGATGCTGCTGGACTATCTAATCACTTTTGGCTGAACGACTGTGGTTCATTTGGGTACATTGACCGTGAGCCAGGGACAAGAGGTGAAGACGTTGGCGCTGGGTGGTACAGAGAGGTGCGCAAACACCACTAATTCCATGTATTAATTATTTCCTGTAATGTTAAATTAATTTTTCACCCAAACTATGTCACTTGACTATGCGTTAGACGAGTTGCGGACGATTTTAGAATCTGGAGCAGGCGATTCGTCGTCTGTGTTTTTTCAGATTGGCACTTATTTGAGGGAAGAGACCAACAGGGCTAATGAGGCCCTGAGAGGGCTGGTTTCTGATATTATGGAGTATACAATTCTCAAACGAGAGATGGCTCCGTTGGGGGATATATACAGACTGCTCGCAAACTTTGTTGCCGACTCAGTACCGAACAAACACTTGGTTCTGCACCAGGCAACATCAGAGCAGTTTTTTGCTTTTACACGAGACCGTATTGACGGATCGAACCACAGTTTCTTTATTCTGCATTTTCTGAACAATTTACTTTTGGATTGTCCAGAGGCGTCGAAGTATCTCAATGCCAATGGCATCGATCTGAAAGTGGCTTACCAAGATATTCCTGAAAGCTGGCAAGACGTTTGGACAAGCGTTTTGGAGGAACTAGCTACCCAAAGCACGTCTTGCGAATATTTCAGAGCGCTTATGAAAATCGATAAACGTGATCTGATGTACGAGATGAGCAAAAACGACATTGATTTACAGAATGATACACAGCTGATGCATGACTTGATTCAAAGAGTGGCAGAAGACGACGATCGACGACTGTTCGATAGCGTGATGAATATCTCTGCTAATCCTTCCAACGCAAATAACGATCTCGAGGAGTACCTCAAACTCATTGATACCGAAAAGATGGCGCTTCAAGCATTGGGAATGATAATCATGGGAAACTATATCATGTCTCCGGAGCAACAGGCTGAAGTAGCTGCGAATATCAAAAGCATCGAGAAATTGGTTGACATTCTGATTAGCTTTGCCGAATCGCGCAAGGTCGAGTATCTTCAAGCCGTTTACCTGCTGAACAAACTTCTGGGAAATAGGGATTTTAGAGAACGGTTTCCCAAGAGCTCGTTCTTAAAGATGCTGTTTCTGATTGATTCTCTTTTTGAATACCGACTTCACGAAACTGAGTACAAAAACGTACTAAAATTGAATCTTAATTTTCATTGGAGATACTCATCTACGCTTAGCGAGGATGAAGCAGAACGTTTAGAGGAGCATATCGTAAGATGGAAGTCTTACAATTCCCGCGACGACGACATCAATTGCGAGCTCCAGAAAATAATGTTCAAAATCATCGAACATAGGAACGACGCAACGTTGGCAAACCTGGCATTCGACGGGTTCGCCACCAATCACAAGTTTGAGCGCCAACTCGATCTTGTACATTTACTGGAAAAAGTCAAAAGTCTAGGCATTTTGGTTTCCAGGGACAGCTCAATCACCCAGCTACCATGGTTTCCTGCTACAATGGAAGAATTCAAAGCAGCCATAGATACGCTTCATCAACAACCCAGCTTCGAAACCGACCCCAGGCTGCAGTTGCTCGACAACAACTACCGATATATCTGTGCAAAAGTGGGAGAATGCAAATAACTTTAATCTCTATAATTGTCACCTTAAGTTTACTCATTCTTTGGCTTTTGGAGTTTCACCTCGGCAAAGATTCCATGCCACACGAGCTTGTATTTGTCTTGCTGACCGATCATCCATGTGTGTAACAGCTGGTTGTAAATGATAAAATAGTAGACTCCCAGACCAGTGAAAATGTGCCACCATCCGTGGCCCTCGGTCACCACACCCATCGGAAAACCGAGAATGTTACGACGCCAGTCTCTGAGATTAGGACATAGCAAGAAGTCCAGGTTCCAGATGAAGAAGCCAAAGATAAACAAGGACACGGCCAACACAAGCATCTTGTACATAGTCTTTCTTGCGTCTGGATCTGTGACCTTCGATTGGATAGTCTTGATTGTTTTGTAGATCACACCAAAATTGAGAATAGCGTAGAATATCTGATGAAAGGCCGGGTCTCTCTGCACGTATATATAAATGTAAGTGAACAACGCGGTGGCAGCAAAGGTACCGACTCTCCAAGCATATTGCACCAGGCGTGGCTGGTTCCAGCTGAATATGTAGCCGAACGGGAGCGCCGTGACATAGACCATGGGCAGTTCATCCATCAGCTGGTACTCATAGCGCAGGGTCATGTGGAACAAGAAAGATCCAATTCCAACTGACGCAAAGCCAATAGAGATGAAAACGTACAGACTGCCAAAATTGTTCTTAAAAGTACTCCACAGATGGCCCATTGCCAGGGCCACAAAGATGAAATTGGTAAAACTATTTACCACTTCGGCGATATAGGGAGTAAAAATGTAGTTTTCCTCACACCAATCAATTGTGGCGGTGACAGGCCCCCAATGCCCAACATATGAGTCCGGAAGCTTTGCCGGATAATCAAATAACACCATTTGAAATAATTTATGGATGCTACGGATAGATAGATATATTTGATTACTCCACAAAATTGAATCTTTCGAATTTATGTGCGTCGATCGACTTGTCTCATCTAATGTCTATTTAAGTGGCCTTTTTCTCATCTTTCTGCGGCGCTGGTGATGGACTCTGTTTCAGTCTAACCTCGAACGGCATGCCTAGCTTCCAAACCAGCTCGTATTGGTCCTGCGTCCCATGGTACCACACGTTAAGGATCTGATTGTAGAGAATGAAGTGGAAGATCCCCAAAGAGGTGAGAATGTGCCACCATCCGTGCCCTTCCAGTAGCAATGCTCCAAATGGAAGACCGACCAGCCTTCTGACCCTAATGAGCTCTGAGCAATAGAAAGTGTCGAGATTCCAAACTAAAAATCCGAACAGGAACTCAAACAGAGCAAAGCCAACAAATTTATAAAGGAAGTGCCTCTGGTTATAGTCTGTAACGTGTTTTTTCACCAAGGATAGAGACTTGAACACTATAGCAAAATTGAGAACCGCATAGGAAGCCTGGTGAAGTTCAGGGTTTTTGTAAACTGAGCAATAGATATATGTTAGTGCTCCGATGACGACCGTAGTGGTCCCGTACACTAAGATCCTCTTCACTCTGGAGTTTGTTTCCAGCCCAAAAATGTAGGCAAACGGTATAGCTGTGACATATATCATTGGGAGCTCGTCTAGTAACTGGAATTCATATTTTAAAGTCATGTGGAACAACCAGGAACCGATCCCAACAACGCACATACCGATGGACACAAAGACAAACATCAATCCATGTTTGTTCACAATAGCCGAACGTACCAAGTTGAGGGAAAGGAAGTAAAACGAGAGATTTGTGGTGGCGTTAATAAGCTCCGCGAAATAGGGGGAAATCACATAGTTTTCCTCGCACCAGTCGATTGTTGAAGTCACTGGGCCCCAGAATCCTGGCCGAGGCTCCCCGTATTCAAAAGGAGACAGAAACTTTACAAGTGACATTTGTGGCTGAGTCCAGTTAAATTGTATATTAAATAATCGCTCTCGATTTAAATTTTGCTTTATCTATATATATATATGTATATATGCAGGTTTGATTTATTATGTAGCAATGACGCTAAAAATGTGGACATAAAAAAAGTCCCCAATGTTTGCAACAAATATTCGATTTCTGCCACGCACTGTCATGTATCTATCTGACTAGAGGAGATATGAGCCCAATACTCAGGTTGCATATCCCGTGTAGAACCCAGAAAAGCACTGATTGTAACCATTCTGTTAGCGGATTAAATGAAACTGAGCTCTGGAACTTGAAAGCGTCATTCGAAGAAGTGCTTGAAGGCTGATTCCCTCCAATCTCCTCAATCATTGCGAGCCGAAATTAACTCACCCCAATCACATCAATGTAGCAGGCCCGATGCGGAAAAAATTATTGAAGGTGGAAAATCAAAGTAAAAATGATTACCATGAGTCGAGGTCTCAATACTGAGGAACGGCTTGAAAGATTGAAGAATTTAAAACTGCTCAAGGAGAATGCACTTGAAGAGAATGAGAAGGAGTTGCAACGAGAGCTTAAGCAGCTCAAGGAGGAACAGAAATTACGAGCTGCTGCTGCTCAAAAAGATGCAGAAGAAGAGGTGCAGGAGACAGAATTACAAAACCAAGAAGTAAAAAGCGAACGTCTCCGAAATCTGCGCTACACAATTGAAGAAGACGAGGCATGGCATGAAAAACTGGAAGCCGGCAAAACCGCGGCCGAAGACAGAGAGTTCCAGAATTTCAAGCAACTCGCTCGTCAGACGTACACAAAAGGCCTGAAAGCATTGAACCCGTTAAGTGCGGAGAAATACGAGGCCCAGAAACAGATATACTTTGAAATGAAGAAGGAGGGGAAGTCGGACTCAGAAATAATCAACTCTTTGACCAGCAGAGAGAAGCTTGATCACATGGTGGATCAATTGAAGGAGCGCGAGACTACCACTGTTAAAAGGCGGAAAACGGCGCAGGATCGCCAGAATTTTATCAACGACAAAAACAAACAGTTCAACGATAAGCTTGACAGACATTATGACGAGTACCTGTCTGATCTGAAGGAGAGCATCCAGCGAGGGTCCTCACTCTGAATCTACCGGTGCACGGATGCGCTTTGGCATAGGAAATTTTTCAGTCTCGCGAGAACGATTTGATTACCCGGCAGTTAATTCGTATTTAATATTTTTAAGTAAAAATCGCCCGGTGAACACAACGTTACCTTGTACAGGTTCGCAGAAATAGATTCAGTCGACAAGAGGCTTTCATTGGGTTACAAGCTCACACAATGTCGGAACATGAGAGCAGCGCTGTTGCCGATGATGAGAACGAAGTGAAAACCAAAGACTTTATTGAAGATGTAGCCGAATACGATGCTGAAGACAACGACAACGACGAAGTTTCAGCTCTGGACTCTTCCGAAGAGGATGAGGACGAAGACGAAGATGAAGAAGCTCTACGCAAAGTGCGGGAGGGATTTATTGTGGACGATGAGGACAGTAGTCAAGAAGACGAAAGCATAGATGAGGATGAGCGCAGGAGGCGTCGTAAGCACAAAAAGAGAAAGAGGGAAGCAATACGGAAGCTTGAAGAGGATGACGAGCTTGATGAGGACGATCTGGAATTGCTCAGAGAAAATGCTGGCGAGTTACCTCGTCATCTAGCAGAAAAAACCAAATTTAAGCGTCTTAAAAGGGGAGATGACGATCAAACGTCGGCAGGACCGACTTCCAAAGGCCTGACAGATATGTTTTCGGACGAAGAGGGTGCTAGGGAAGACGAAGGCGAGGAAGGAGAAGAAGTAGAGGAGGAGGAAGACGATTTAATGGAAGCCTCTAAAAAGCTGAGACAGCAACGACAACAAGATCTCCTTGGAGAGTTTGATGATTTCATTGAAGATGATGAGTTCTCCGAAGACGAGGAAGAGAGGGATGAGCGTCTTGCCAGGATGAGATCGGCAAGAGCCAAACAAACGAATCTTGCTTCCAACTCGCAATTTGACCAAGACAAGCTTGATGAACTTTACGAAATATTTGGTGATGGAGAGGAATATGCATGGGCTCTGGAAGCTGAAAGTCTTGACGAAGAGCCGGAAATGGAAGACGAAGTTGATGAGGAAGGCTACGCAGTCAAAAAGCTTTCCAAGGAAACTCACGCGCTGAACAAGGTCTTTGAATTTGAAGAACTGAAAGAGCATCTTTTGACTGACAGAGATCAAGAGATTAGAATAACCGATATTCCAGAGCGGTACCAATTTTACAGAGAGCGGATAACTAACTATGATTTAAACGATGAAGAGTTTCAACTCAAGCAAAATTGGGTCTCCAAAGTTCTGCTGGAAGAGAAAAAGGCCTTCTTTCTTGGAAAAGAAGATCTCATTGAACCATTTCAGAAGGCAGTCGCTCAGATCGTGTACTTCATCTCAAAGGACAACCTGGAAGTTCCAAGTATATGGAACTGCCGAAAGGACTACACGCTTCACACCTACCGTGAGGATGGGCAGCTAAGAGTTCAGAAACTGCTGACTGAAGACGATCTATGGAGAATCGTGCAGCTGGACATAGATTTCTATGCTCTTCTGGAGAAGAAAAAGAACATTGAAAAGCAATTCAAGTCACTGGACACGGTCGATACTCTTTACGATGAGTATATTGACTCGGCAAAGACAGTGACCGAGTTGCAGGATCTTCAAGAATATCTCTTTTTCACATACAGCAAAAGGCACCGCGACCTTTATCCAGAAGAAGCCAAGGGAAAGCAGAAGTCGCACTCCAAATACAAGATTTTTGAGAGGATCAAGAGCGACCCAGTTTACGAAGTGATTGATAAGATAGGTATCAATGCGGAGAAATTTGGAGAAAATGTCTTTACAAACAACAAGATCTACTTGGTCGACGATATCGACAAGAAAGTTGATGATTTGATCCGCGAGTGTGTTGAAAAGGGGTCGTTCTTTGACACCGTTGAGAAAGCAAGCAACGCTGTGAAGCATATGTTTTCTGAGCAACTATTCCACAATCCTAAACTCAGAGCGCACTTGAGACTTGCATTCCAGAGCTATGCGAGCCTGGATATAAAGCTTACCGAAAAAGGAAGGCTCAAAATCACTGAGAGCTCTCCATATGCCGATTTCAAATATGCTATCAACAGGCCTCTAGAATCGTTCACCTTGCAACCAGATATGTTCTTGCGCATGTTGGAAGCCGAATCACTGGGGCTTGTGAAAATCGACATCAGCCTGAAAAACGCCTTCGCAAACTTCGCTGACCATCTATTTACGTTTTTGTCGTCGGATGGTACCTCTGATCTGAGTAATTCTTGGAACAGTTTAAGAAGGGAGTGTCTTGACATGGCCTTGAAAAAGCTTATTCCTTCGATAGTTCTTGATGTCAAAGAAAAGCTAAGAGGAACATGTGAAAGATTACTGTTCTACGAAATCAGACAGAGCTTCATGGAGAAGGTCGACCAGGCTCCGTTCCATCCGCTCCCAACCGCCAAGGGTACTGTTCCTAAGGTTTTGGCCATTACTAACGGTGATGGAAAACGTGATTCTGCAATAATTGCTGTTGCGATGGACTACGACGGAAGTGTCTTCGACCACATCAAGTTTGAGCAAAATCACAGACACGGAGATTTTGAGAAGCATTTTTTAGAGGTTGTCAGAAAGTTCAAGCCAGAGGTGGTCGCTGTTTCCAGCTACAACGTTGAAGTGTCTCATCTTTTCAGAAAGCTTCAGGACATTGTCAGACTTAACAATATCACTGTTGAAATTGATGTTGACGAGGAATACGAGGGTGATCCAATCCCGCTTCCTGTAATCTATGTTCCAAATGAAACCAGCAGACTTTATGAGCATTCTGATCGGGCAGCCGAAGAGTTCAGTGACAAGCCAGTGGTGGCCCGTTTCTGTATTGGGGTGGCAAGATACGTTCAGAGTCCATTGCTAGAATATATGGCATTGGGAGATGCAGTGACCTCTATTTCTGTGCACAAACATCAGAACCTGCTTCCAACTCATAAGGTGAAGGAGGCAATTGACACTATTTTCGTTGATGTTGCCTGCCTAGTTGGTATCAAGATCAATGATGCAGTGAGGTCCCCTTACCTATCTATCATGTTGCAATATATTGCTGGTTTGGGCCCTAGAAAAGCCAGCAGCTTGATCAAGGGCATCGAAGCTAACGGAGGCTCTTTGCTGAGAAGAGACGAACTGATTGTGAGAGAGCTATCTACCAAGGTCGTGTTCATGAATTGTGCTCCGTTTATTGAGCTTCCGGTTCCTGACAGACCAGATAAAGACGTTGAGCTTCTGGATGCCACCAGAATCCACCCTGAGGACTACGAGCTTGCCAGAAAGATGGCGAGCGATGCTTTGGACCTCAGCGAAGAAGAAAAGCAGGAGATTGAACAGGAAGAAGGTGGTGTCATTTCCAAACTTTATGACGAAGGAGTTGAGAAACTGGACGATCTTCTTCTTGAGGGTTATGCTGATCAGTTGGAAGAGCACGGACATCGTAAGAGAGCAACGTTGGAAATGATTAAGGAAGAATTGCAGAATAACTATGAGGAACTCAGGAAATCGTTCCACATCCTCAGTGAGGATGAAGTTTTCGAAATGCTCACGGGTGAATCGAAAGAGCTTTTCCAGCGTGGAAAGCTGATTTCTGTTATTTTGCAGAGAGTTGACAATAGATTCATGGTGGGAGTTACTCAGTCGGGAATTTCGTGTAACATTAGCAGATCTAATGTGCTAGAATATGGAGACAACACAAATTTACTCACTAAATATCAGAATGGACAAGCAGTCCAAGGTGTTGTTCAAACGGTCGATTACGCGAACTTCAAAGCGGAATTGTCCTTGTTGAAACGTGACATTGAGGAGGCAAGTCGTGGAAAGAAGGTGGACAAATTCCAAGGTCTCTGGGACTTTGAGGCGGAACGTGAGGATCTTGCCAAGGAGCAGGAGAGAGAGAAGAAGGAGAACAGCACGAAACGTGTCATCAAGCACCCATACTTCCACAATTTCAATGCCCGGGAGGCAGAGGACTACCTTGCTTCCAAGAATAACGGAGAGTTTGTGATCAGGCCATCTTCTAAAGGAAATGACCATTTGACTGTCACCTGGAAGATTGAAAACCAGCTCTTTCAACATCTTGACGTGTTAGAGCTAGACAAGCTTAATGATTACACTGTTGGCCGCACTCTCCAAGTTGGAGAGTTCCGTTATCACGATCTGGATGAGCTGATTGTTTCTCACATCAACAACCTGTACTTGAAGGTAGAGGAAATTGTTAACCACGATAAGTTCAAGAATGAGCCTCTCAATGATACAAAAGACTGGCTGATTAGATATTCCAAGGCCAACAAGAACCGGTCATGCTACTGTTTCTGTTACAACCACAAATCTCCGGGATGGTTCTACCTGCTTTTCAAGCTGAACGATAAGAGCGATAAGCTATATACATGGAACATCAAGGTTCAGCCAAACGGATACCTATTGCATGGAAACCTGTATCCTGACATGGTCCACTTGTGCAATGGTTTCAAAAAACTGCTACAAAACCAAATGAGCAGCTCAAGAAGCGGCTACACCAGCTATGGTAGATTCTGATGTATAGTATAAAAATTATTATGAAAACTGAATGATTTCTGTTGAGATCAGGGTCCCGGCATGGTGTATGGATGTATAGACAAAGACTTTTGCTCTTGAAAGATTATATTCAGATTCGCTAGATGGCTTGGTTCAGAGGCTTTTCATGGGCCATTACACTGGTTACAGTGGTCTTGAATGTCTATATCTACACTTATCCAAGTTTCACTCCCGGGAAGTGTTCGTGGAATCATAGCTATGAAGATGGCAGTGATCTAATTGGCGAACGCGTCAGAAATATACCGTATTTCGGTGATCTTTACAAAACATTCTTCGTCAAGGAGTCCAGCGAGAAATTACCGCAGCCCCGTGATATACGGATGATGGCATTTGGCGATCCGCAGATCAACGGCAATTGGCCTTCCACTCCTTATATCAAGAGATTAGACAATTTTGGCAACGATTACTACCTTGGTCATATCTATAGAGTGATGAAAAGCCGATTGCACCCCACTCATGTTGTTGGATTGGGTGATCTGTTTTCGTCTCAGTGGATCGCTGATTCCGAGTTCTACAACAGAACCAGAAGATACATGACGCGTCTTTTTCCAAGACCTCAAGAACAGACCTTTGCTGAGCTCGACTTCATAGCTATGCATAAAGATGTGGACTGGGTAAGCCATCTGGAATGGTTTCAGAGAAGCCTCGCGGACGGCCTATTTCTGAGGCCGGAATTCTATCATTACGAAAATGTTTACGACTGGTCTTCTGCTAACCTGACTCATGAGCCATTATTTATCAATGTTTCTGGGAATCACGACATTGGATATGGGGACACAACTTACCAGCATATGGCTAGATGGCGAAGGCTATTTGGCAAGGACAATTACTGGATAGAATTTGATAACGATACAGATCATCCTTGGCGAATAGTTGTGCTCAACTCACTTGCCCTAGACGGGCCTCTTTTGCAGCCGGAATTTAAGGACTACACATGGCAGTTTATTGAAACGTTAAAGCAAAGAAGTTACCATGGCTCGTCTATTTTGCTGACTCATATTCCAATGTACAAACCCGAGGGTCTTTGCGTGGATGGCCCGTTGGTGGAGTACTTCAACGAAAAGAATTGTCATCCTGGCGGAGAATACAGAATTGGACTTTTGAAATCCGAAAACCATCTGCAATACGACACTTCTCAGGCTGTGATGAATGCAATTTTTAAGGGAAACTACTCTGGCATCATTGTAACTGGCCATGACCATGAAGGATGTGAAAACTACTATAATTATAACTTCACTTCTGGGGAATGGCATGCCTCCAAGAGCATAGATTCCCCAAAGTACATAAAAGAAGCGACAGTCAGATCCATGATGGGTGATTTCGATGGAAATACTGGACTCATTACGGGGCATTTCAACCATGATACCAAAAGCTGGGAGTTCAACTACAAATTGTGCCCCTTTGTTGTCCAGCACGTTTGGTGGGTTGCGCAAATTGGCATTGTGCTTAGCATTATGCTTCACTCCATAAACTTTCTGCTTTAAATTTCAGCCGCATTCTTACATAAAAATAGAAAATCCACCAGCTAAAAATTTTCCTATCGAAAGTTTACCTCCAGACTATTTGGCAAGCTACCAGCGCGTCTCAATGCCCAGAAATGGGTATTATTCCGCCAAGGGGTTATTGCTTGAACCACTGTCGTGGTCGGTGTCATAGCCAACCGGTATCATCGCCTATTAAGTTAGGGATGATTTCTAGCTGGTGGAACGAGTAGTAATCACGATGTTAGTAGCTTGTTGAAACGTTTGGACAGAAGAACGTGGCTTCTAAGAATTTGTCGTTGATCAGACAACGGCGGATCCCGTATGGCCACAACATTACAGGCATAAGCACAACTCCTATTTTTGTTGTATGTGGCTGAGCACCTCCTCCTCAGCCTTCTTTGGCGTAGTTTTTAACTTGGCAGTAAAAGTAAAACATAAAAATAGACGAGTTACCTGTTCGATTGCTGGAAAGATATGACCAGTGATATTTGATCTGCTAAATACCGCTCCGTCATCCTCTAGGCCAAATCCATATTAGTTCGTATTTACCAGTCTTGCGCTCGTCAAGTTCAAAAATAGTGACCAAACTCTGCTCAGTTTCATCTGGGGCACTAATTTAATCGGTGTACTATTTTTTACGGTAGTTTCACCTGATCATGTTTTCGAGAAAGAAGAAGGAACCAAGCCCGCCGCTGCCCAAGTTGTTGGAAATTTACAATGAGATTGCCAACACATCGCTTACGAATCTAAGTTTAGAGCAAAATAACCGTTCTAGCGAGGCATTGAATGGCTGGAGATCGCTTCATCAAGCGGCAGCGCTGAAGGTGGAAGCCCTTGAGAAGAGTATTGCAGGGGTAGAGCTTACCGATGAGGAGTCTTATATTTTAGACGAAATCCACATTTTGCAGGCACAGGCGGATGATCACATGGATAGATTAGAAAGCAAACTGAATCCTCCCCATCTCATGCAGGCGTCTAAAATCTATTCCAATCCTCAGCAATCCTCCGGCTCTGGTGGCCTGAAGGTGTCTCCCCCTGGCTCCAGATCCAACTCTGTGCGAGCGAACGTTCCTACCCTGAGATCCGCTTATCCAATAACAATGAATTCCAGAAGACCAGTAAACAAACCATTAATCAAGTCACTCCGCCCTAATCAGAACATACCTAACAACAACTCTAGCGGGAGTTTGGGCAATTCTATCTTGTCTCAAGCCACAGCCAAACAAGCTGCAAACTTGATGTGGGCGCCATCCAAAAGTTTATTCACCAACAAGCCGTACTTGTCGAATTCGCAAGAGGACCTATTTCAGGATTTTGATGGTGTCATTGATGATGAGGAATACCATCATAAAGAAACGCTCAAGCAGTTACAACAAAATGCTCTTGCATCGAAAGCCGCTAGAAGTAACAACGACGAAGACTTAATTGACCTCAGCGAAAACCTGTCAAATCTTGATGTTCGTCACAAGTTGACGCCTCAACCAAAACAACAAGCACAAAAGAATCATGATAAATCATCGGCAGAAAGGGCCAGGGCGGCGCTGAAGATTTCCTCGCAAGTCAAACTTCCCCAAAAGGTGGCCCCCAGTGCTGTTCGCCAACCTGCCCGCCACACATCGCCAGTAAGAATTGCCAGATCTCCACCGCGATCGATAAATGTGCAGCTCGCCAAACCCCAAAGCCGCAGAGCTAATCATTCTCCTGGTCCCGCTAAGCCTGTGCCAAATCTCCAATCTGGCTCCAGGAGAGCTTCGCCAGTCGCTAAAGGGTCAACGGCAAGTGCTCCTAAGGTGCTTGCTGATAATTCTACAAAAGATACGGAAACCTTGGACAGTGACAATTCAATTGAAGACGAAGAAGACAAACTAATTGCCTCAATGAGAGGCGTAGATCCCGTTGCTGCTAGGCAAATTCTCAACGAGATTGTGATTCACGGAGATGAAGTCCACTGGGACGATATTGCGGGACTTGACGCGGCTAAAAACTCGTTAAAGGAGACGGTGGTTTACCCGTTTTTGAGGCCAGACCTATTCAGTGGCTTGAGAGAGCCTGCTCGCGGAATGCTGTTATTTGGCCCACCAGGAACAGGAAAAACTATGCTTGCCCGTGCAGTTGCCACTGAATCAAAATCAACATTTTTCTCAATATCTGCATCCTCGCTGACATCGAAATATCTTGGTGAGTCGGAAAAGCTGGTTAGAGCTTTGTTCCAACTAGCCAAGAGACTTGCGCCCTCAATCATTTTTGTGGATGAGATAGACTCTTTACTGGGAAGCAGAAGTAATGACGGCGAAAACGAGTCCTCAAGGAGGATCAAGAACGAGTTTTTGGTTCAGTGGTCTGATCTGACCAAGGCTGCGGCTGGAAGAGACCAGGGAGAGGATCTACAAAGAGTATTGGTGCTAGCGGCGACAAACTTACCCTGGGCAATAGATGAAGCTGCAAGAAGAAGATTTGTGAGACGGCAATACATACCACTCCCAGAATATGATACCCGGAAAGCCCAAATACAGAGGCTTCTTTCGCATCAAAATCACACATTAACGGACAAGAACTTAGAAGAGCTAATTCAATTGACCGATTCATTTTCGGGATCCGATATCACAGCCTTGGCAAAAGACGCAGCCATGGGACCATTAAGAGAGTTGGGAGATAAATTGCTCCTAACAGCGAAAAACGAAATCAGGCCTGTCTGTCTTCAAGATTTCATCAACTCTTTGAATTACATCAGACCAAGTGTCTCAAAGGAAGGTCTCAGGAAGTTCGAAGAGTGGGCTAAGCTGTATGGATCCTCGGGCGTCTAAGTTCTAATTTGGAATCAAGCTCCTTTTTGTGTGTTATATAGCATGTATCAAAGATACTCGGCCGTTCATTGATGATCTATCTTCAAGATTATACATTCATGAGTAGAGTTTTTTCACACTTGGAGTAGCCACCACTCTTAGCGGAATCTGGAAAACAGACCTTTCTTTTCCTTTGACAGCTTCGAATCACCAGTTCTCTCCTCAGGGGCCGTTTTGATAGATGCACTTGGAGTTGAGGTCGGAGGCGACCCTCTTGAAGATAAAGCTGCCCTTTTTAGATCTCTGGCTTTCACCTCTTTACTCTCCCTCATCAGTTCCTCGAACATCTGCACTTCGTTCTCGTCGTCAGGGTCTCGTCTAGCGTTCTTGAACAAGGCACCCATTAACACAAGTAATTCAGCTCTCATTTTTCTGACCTCGAGTGGCACATTTTTATCATTAAGTATCTTCGAGCAGACTTGATTTAAGGTTGATTCCATTTCAAATTTGGATGACACCCAGGCAACGGAAATAAACTTTCCTGTCATAGCTCTCTCAATCTTTGCTCTTTCGTATTCGTCAATTGCGCTGGACTCGTGCACCTGCAGTTTTTCCATGGCTTCCACAGCAGATTGCGCTTCAGTAGCAGTTGCGACCATGGACCAAATATTCTTCACGGTGTTTCGACTCTGCTTCAGAGATGAGGACATTTTGTGGAATTTACCAAGGAAGGCTTTTTGAGACTTCAGAAAAGCTTGTCCTTTGAAAAGGTAGACATTACCTATGATGTGGCAAATATCAACACCAAAGGATTCTTGCTTCAAATCTTCAATTTCCTTTGCTACTTTGCTTTGGAATTGGGTCGTCGACTCGTTGCTGAGAAAACCATGACTAGAAGCATCTATAACAGGTTGCATTTTTTCAATCAATTGCTTAGCGAGCTCTTCCACTTTTTTTGCTTCCTCTTCTTGTCTTTGTTTCATCTTTTCCATATCGAGCTTGTCCTTTTTCGTATGCTGATTTTGGCTTCTTTTCGGATTGTGCGCTCCAATCTCCTGGCTTTCCGAAAATTTGACATCCTGAGGTTCCGCCTCTGGGCCCGCTGCCATTTCTTCAAACATAGCTGTGAGAAGCGTTAGCTTTCCAATGTAAGGTTCAAATCCTTCACCTCCGAACATCATGCTGAACAGCTCTCTTGGACCAAGGTCTTCAGCGGCTCCTCCAGCCTTCGTTAATTCATCTTTGCCAATTTCATCGTAGAGCTTCCGCTTCTCCGGATCACTCAGAACCTGGTAGGCTTCGGCTATCTCTTGGAACTTCTTTTCGGCATCTTTGTCATTCGGGTTTTTATCGGGGTGATATTTGAGGGCCATCTTTCTGTACGCCTTCTTTATCTTTACCTCATCAGCATCCACATCAACCGCCAAAAGGTCGTAATAGAAAGTGTCCTTCACCATTTCAGTTTCTTATGCCGAGGACAAAAAGCTTTATCTCAAATATATTAACCTATGGGTGTTATCCGTACTTGTGCAGTGCAAACTACAAAATATACTTACTTTGAGGTCAATTGTGAGATTTTAAAAGAAGGCTGTGCTCTGGAGCCTGATTTTATCGAAAAGAGGAGAAAGAATTATCGATCACAGTGTACTGTATGTCATTCGCGCGTCAATTGGCTTCACGTCGTGTGTTGAAGCCTCACAGTCCCGGGCTCCAGGATGTAAGTCTAAAACTGGGTAATTTGATTTTGACCCACATGAAATCCAGCATACTAACGACTAGTTTATCCTCCAAAATCAAATAATCAGAACATACAGAGATATGCTGCGCACGATTCACAGTAAGTAATGAGGTTTGGAAGCTAACACTAGAAATTCCAAATAAGACCCTACAAATTGAACTAAGAAACTATCTGAAAGAGGAATTTAGATCCAGTAGCAAAGTGACGGATTACGATACTCGGAAGTCCTTGCTTACGGGAGCAATCAGACAATTCAAGAGCGTCACCAGCAACTTGGGGTTATCATTACCTAACTTCAACCACTAATATTGAGCTAAATATATACACGCGATCAACGTTTGACCCAAGTTGGAGACTTTCTAGCCTTCAGTTTACCAGGCTTCTTTCTCTCCACCGATCTAGGATCTCTGTACAAGCAGCCTGCCTTGAGCAAAATGTCCTCGAATAGTGGGTTGTGAATCACCAGAGCCCTGGCAATGGCCAGCCGCACAGCGTCTGCTTGTCCTGTAGTACCGCCTCCTCTGGAAAGAGCGAAGATATTATACTTGGTCTCAGACTCAACGATTTGTAATGGAAAAAGTATTCTAGTTCTGTCTTTCAGGTTCTTGAACTTCTCATCAAACGGTAGGCCGTTGACAAGGATTGTTCCTTCTCCTTCCACGACGTAGACTTTTGCGCTCGAATCCTTTCTTGCTCCAGTGGCCACTGCTCTTCCCTTACTGTCCAATTCCTTAGTCTTCTTCTCCACGTCCCTCAATGTCTTAGGGACTTTGAAAAAGTCGAGAACCTCCTCAAGATCAGGGCTTCTCAGTTGTGGATCTATCGAGTCCAATCTCACGAGGGTCTGTTTCAGCTTATTGTACTCTGCTTGTTTGCATTTGGCACCATTCCCCCTTCTCTTATACTCCTCAAAAGATAGCCAGACGGACTTCGCGGTGTTTTTCTTGTCGTAGGGGAGAGAGGCATATTTATTCAACATATCAAGCAAATATTCCATAACGTTCTCATGGTATGGGTTTCTCGCAAACACCGTTGGACCAGTAGGAATGAGTCTCATTTTCTCTAATTGCAAATCTCGCTCGACAAAGCTATCAGAACCATACTGGAAAACAGGCTCAAATATCGCACGAGGTTTGCCACCAGTCAACTGACGTGCAAAAACACGGAGAGTGAGACCTGCCCGGGCTTTCCAAAGTTGTCCTGCCAACATGCCGATACAGTCAACGATGAAAAAATTTACCAATTTAATCGACGTGAATCGACCAAAACTATGTACGCGCGCCGATCGACCCCATGCATTAGGATTGACTAAGGTCGCTAAAGGGGTCATCGCTATCAGAGACAGGCTGTCTTGCTTGTGCAGTGACTGTAGCGTGATTTCCGTCTGCCTCCATAGATTCCAGATACTCTTTCAGTATGTCACGTAACGCATTATTCTTACGACTCACCATGAGAAGATCCTCGGGTATAATTGTCTTTCTCCTTGCGTGCTTGGCAAACAGCTCCAAATCTTCCCCAACATCAGTTAACTGGCGATAAACCAATTCAACAAGAGCCGCTGTAAATCTCGGTGTAGCAGTTATATCAGTTCCCGAGTCTTCAGAGAGTTTTCTAGTTTCCTCCTCGACCATCTTTGATACGCTGTACCAAATGCTGGCCTTGAGGTGCTGAAATGTCAGATCACTACCTCTGCCTTACTTACTGTCGCTATTTCCTTTTCTTCTGTGGTTAGAACTCTCATCTGCTCTAGAATAAATGTCACAATCAATTTGTCGCGTCGCGTTAATTTAATCTGTTTAAATCCAACCTATAATATATAATATACAAAGCAATGATAATCAGCACCGTTTATACCCAAAACACACCCACGTCCCATTCAAACAGACTTCAAATCCATGAGAGCTATCGCAGCTATCTCCTCATCGCTCTGCGTCGCTAACGCTGGTCTCAATGGACTCGACATATCTGGTTTGACCATTTTGACAGATACTGGTCTCGGTGAATTGTGTTCCACTGCAACGTTGGAAGCGGGTACCGTCACTGCAGACATGTTATTTTTCCTAAGCGTGGCAGGTCCCATAGCTTCCCAGTCTTCCTCATCTGTGTAGTTTTCCAAATCATTAGGTTCCTGCTCATGGAGATTCTCCATGGATGACACAGTATTGAGCGTCACAGTGCTATTTTGGTCATGTAGCATGACTGGACCGTTCGAAGGAGATATGTTCGTACGTAAAAAGGATTGTCGTGTCACACTGGAGGAGTTCGAAAAAGACACTCTCGGGCGTCTCTTGGATATCAATCCATCTGGCATGGACGCAGAATCGAGGTTGCTATTTTCATCAAAAACAGCCTCGATTGACTGACTTGTGAAGGAAGAGCGCGGTTTTCTCGGTTTCGCGATGCCCGCAAAAGACGGATGCCTGTTTGTGGACGACAACGAAGACGTGCGGAGAATGTGCTTAGCTTTTTGGGATCCATTGTCTCCTTCAAACGTAAACATGCCGTCGTCATCATCTTCTTGCGAGTGAACCAAATTCAAATCATCATCATCATCATCATCAGAGGAAGAGGACTCGATAGCCTCGTCCAAGGAGTATTTCCGTTCTTTGAATGAATTTCGTAAACTCTGTAGAGGTCTGAGATTTGGCGATATAGGAACCTTAGTGTTGTGTAAATCTGTCGCTGAGTTTGTGATTGACTCTCGTCTATAGTTAGCACCAAGTCCCCTGGCTTTTGGCGACACGCTTAAGGCAGAATTACTTCCTCTTTTTTCTTTCCGTCTGGCTCTAGTAGAGCCGTGAGTCTCAGGAGGACTTTCAGGCGACCTATCTCTGTTTCCAGTGGATGCTTGCGTATTTCGCTGGTTGATCTGGTCGTCAGAAGCTTTCCTTGCTTCCCACTGGCCCCAACCGATTTTCTCGAACACACAGCCAGTTTGCAAGTCTCCCATTTCCAAGGCGGCCATAATCAAACGTCTTTGTTTGGATAGCGAGAGATGACCAAATGCTGGGATCTGAGACACCAAATGTGCAGTCAAGTGCCTGATTGGCAACGGTCCCTCTCTGAGCAAGATATTGGCAATTCTGTTCGGCGTGATTTGGGAGGCAGCTGCAATTCCTTCAGGAGATGACGTAGAGATGAGAGATTTATGTTCCTCGGCCACCGTTTTTTTCCAGCTCTTCTTCCTGTGCTTGCCATTGGTTTGAGTCACAAATGATACCGAATGGTGCTCCTCCTTGTCCGGAAGAGACGGAGAACCATCATGGGCAGCAACACTGAAAATAGAGGAGATCTGGGATGGACTAGGTCTGGAGTCGTCTTTCGGAGGCGAGGTGTACCGATTGCCACTCTCGTTATCGGCGTCCGGGGAAATCGAAGTGGACGAGGTGGCTGAAGCAAGAGCCGAGTTCAAGGGGGACGAAAGCTCCCTCTTGACTGCGCCGGATTGGTCTGCAATGTTGACCATTGATTGAAGCATGGGTAATAATTTAATTTTAATAACGAGCGCTGACACTGGTGTGTAATTATAGCACGCGTTTATCAGTCTGGTCAAGTGGGTGGAACGCAATCTCAAGCGACAATGGTGATACCAACTGTGACAGTCTCGAAGCAAAAATGACTGTTTATTGTTCGTTATATGTATGACCTATAATGTTTGGCAAATAATTTATTCAATAAAGTTTCTAGAAGTCTAGTATGGTAACATAAAGAATAAAATAACTTTGTGAAAGTCAGATTAGTTGAAAAATGAAAAATCCTATCCTGGGACGGAATACAGATAATAATAATTCCCAATTTATGGATATACTATTTATCGGTACAAATACCACACTTATCCACCAAAATCATAGAGCTGGGAAGTTCTTGTCGTTAAGTTCAATCTTTGGAGCGGCAGAATTAGGTGCCTTACCCCTTGGAGCTCTTCCTCTACCTCTGGTGTTATTGGATCTAGCTGGTCTCTCTCTTGGAGCACGAACCTCGTCAGCAACGATGACATCGACATCCACATATTGCTTAGCCTTCTTGGCCTTTTGCTTGGTTTGCTTAATAGAGGTTGGTGGGATAAAGACCTCTCTTTCTTTAACAAGCAATTCAGCGTTGGACCACTTGTCCTCTGCACCAGCGTTAGGAGCCCTCTTCGGCTGTGCAGCAAGGCCCTCCTGCTGCAATTGCAACTCGCTGAAGTAGTCATCAAGAGTCTTGTAAACTGGCTTTTCGGCCTCCTCTTCCTCCTCAGCAGCCAATTCCTCAGCAGCATCGGCCTCGGCCTCAATCTGGGCCTCGACCTCATCTCCCAGCTTGGTCTTTTGAGACTTGGCAGTCTCAGTCTTTCCGCTCTTGGAGTGTCTGTCGTAGTTCTTACTCTTGGCAGTACGACGCTCAGTAGACTTTGGTGGCTCGACGTCAGGGTTCTTGTTCTTGAACTTCAAACCCGCCTCGTTACCAGTCGCAGATGGCTTCTTGTTTTTCTTGGCCTTGGACTTGTCAGCAGATGGTGGAGGAGCGTCCACCTTCTTGGAGGAAGTAGTCTTCTTGACAATTTCCTTTGGAGGAAGGACTTCACCCTCATCGTCGGACACATCGTTACCCAAAAGGGCGTAAAGGTTCTAGCGCATTAGTGAGTAATATTGCTGGACTTGGGTGCTCTTCATCAATTGATTGTGATGCTTCATGCCATAGTAGACCAGCATACTCCTAGCTTCCTTGGCTCACGCGAGTGGAAACTTTCATCTTGCTCGCCTCAGATTACACACAAATCCTTTCAGTTTTATCGAACTTACCTTGTTGTTGGACATCCTGCAAGCTTAGTGATGCGAAATTACGCTCAGCCTCAAAGCTTTGTACTGTTAGAAGTTCCAAAAGTGTGTAACTTTTCGAGCACTATTTGAAAAATTTTTGTCGTCGAACTGCCGATGTTCTTTGTCGTCGTGTCTTTCCTGAAAAATTGCTACCTTCAAAGCACGGATATGTAGATTTGGGCAATCTAAATACAAATGCTATATAAGAACTCTACTCTTTCTTTTCCAAAATGTAGGCGTCACCAACTCTTGTCAAAAAGTCCTTGATAGCAGCTCTCAGGTCTGCCATCAGATTCTTGTCGAAAAGCTGCAAAACAAGGTCATATGCAACCGGACAGCATCGTAAAAAGTCCTCATGATCCAGCTCACTGTACGCTTGTAGTACCTCCACCACAACGGGTCTCCAGCTTTGAATGTTTCTCGACTGGTCTGCCTCGTTCAAGCTCACAAATCTTTCGAGGATTGTAACACCCATTGGGATCAGAACCCCAACAATTTTCTCCCTAGCTTCCTTATTGACGCGTCCAGAATCACAGTACAAACGGAACAGTATGCTAATGTAAACACCTGCGGAAGACGTTTCTTGCTTCAAAAGGTTTGGAAGCTTATCAATGACACCTGCATTCCACAGACGGACTCTCAGATTGTAGTCCTCGTTGAACTCTCTCGCAAATTTGTAGCTATGCTCCAATAGGTCTGACAACTTCAAAAGGTTAGCAACGGGAACCGTTTGGTAAAATTCATCAATGTCAAACAGCTCCGATAGAATTTGTATGACATGTAGTTGAAGGACACATTTGATTACAATTGCCGATTTCTCTCTCGATTGGCTTAGAGGAACGGGAAGCTCCAGATCTGACTCGCTCGCTGAACTTCCCTGCAAATCAGACTCATCTCCCTCTGCTGTTTCCTGTCTTTGTCCATTCGACTGTCTCAAAGGATCGGCTCTGAACAGCTCTTTGGCCGTGGTCAAATCAAATAGTTCGGCGAATGAATTATTCAGCATCTCCCAATGTTTTTCATCAAATCTAGTCATATTGTCGAGAATAAGCTCCTTCAGACATGAGATACCAATTTTAGAGATAGTTTCATTCTGTTGACAGATGCACGAAACCAAAAGCTTCAAATATCCCTCCATCTTTTCACTAAGGGTATCGAAATAATAGGTGAAGAGAGCAATCATGTTTCTCAAGGCCTGAATCAAGGTCGTAGAAAGCCATACAGAGAGATCATCCTGTGTAGTAAGCTCCCAACGATCTCCCAGAACACCAAATATTGGAAACAGTAGCTCTTCGCAAATCTTATCCCAAAACTTTATCTCAAACTGGCCGCCATTTTCAGTCAAGGCATCAAAAGTAAAACTTAAGGCCTTCGACCTGACTTCAAGATCCTCTCCATTCATCACAACATCGTGGAAACCGAACAACAGAGGGAACCAAAGATCTTCGGCAGAAAACATATCGCCGTGCTCCTCCAACGTCTTCGGGATCGTCTTGGTCAACTTTTTCATCGAATTAAGAGACTGCAAGCTAGTTTTCTGGAATTGTTCGTTCTTTGCATATTCGGTTAGACAAATTACCAACGATGAAAAAGCATCAAGGCCTAAGATTTGGTCGAAATGTGATTTCATGATCATGCTTGTGTATGAGAGTCCTTTTGCGACAAACTTCTCATTATTATCTTTAGCTGCATTTGTGAGAATCTCTAGTAAAGTTTGCCAACCAGATTTTATAAGGTCAGCTTTTTTATGGACCATATATTGCACACAATCCAGAACCATTTCACGGACCTGCAAATGTGGACTATGGAGCACAATGTAATTGAAAGGTTTGAGGAACTCTTTTTGGAACTTGAAATGGGACAGCTCCTCAATGGCAAAGAATCTCTCGGACAATTGCCGAAGAGAATCAAGTGCAAAGAAGGCGATTGAAGTATTCTGGTGACAGCCGAATTCATTGAATTTCTCGTTCATGACCGCCCAAAGAGCAGACCATTGAACTCTAATCCTTCCCATATTATAGTAGCAGACATCAACCATTTTTTGTAGTGAGAAGATCCGCGGGTTTTGGCTTTGTCCCGAAGATTCAATCTCTTCATGTGCAACTTCACTAAGTGCCGCAATGAAATCGAAAATACCATTTCCCTCAATTTCAGAGCTCTTGGAAAACACCTTATCAATTGCAACATCCAAGTCTGTTGAACTGATGCGAACAACCATATCTGAGCTTAACTTCTGGCTGAAATGGTGTTGCGATGTTTGTTCCGAAATGGTTTGTTTTTTTCCGAAGGAGAAGAAAGACAGTTGATTAGAATTGTGCGATCTGTAACTCTCCGTGGAATGCCTACTTGCTAGTCTGGCATTGAGCAAATCCGGAATACTTTCTGAGTCGACGCCTTGAGACAACAACTTCAAACGTTCGATCTGGGAAATTGAAGTAAGAATACTCTTCCAAGATGAACCAAGCCTGGAGTTTTCGTCCACAGCAACTTCCAATAAGGCATACACGGCATCAATATTCTTATTCTTGAGTTCTTCAGGATTGTTCAAATTGCAGAATTGCACCAGTGCCCTGATGAAAGAGGTTCTTGCATAGTCCAAATCAAACATGCAAGAAATGTGAATAGACACCTTAATTCCTTCGAGCAGGACTCTCGAAATTTCGTCATCATCATACTCCTTAAATGGCGGGGTTAGGCCGGCCAAGATAGACATCCAAAGGTTGTCAAACATAGACCTCACGTGATCAGCATTATTGCCGACGTTAGCAGTATAGAATACAACCTTGGAATTTTTCTTGTAGGTGTTTCTGATACTTTTCACCGCCTCCTCCGTCTTTGAGGACATCTCTTTCGAAGCTTTGGCATATGCCTCCTTTGCCAAATCTCTGCCACCAAAGAACGATTGTTGCATTGGATGCAAGTCACTGGATATAAGCGCGGCGTGCTGCTCACTTTTCAGCATGATCTCATCATTTTGAATGTCTGTATAAATTTGCTCGAGCATCGAGGGATCAAGGTCTTTGCCATCATCGATGCCTCTGTTGTTGTTGATGAACTCTTCCAAAGTCATTCGCTTTTTCACCTGTGGCGAATGTTGATCGGTGTTGAGCATTATGACGGAATAAGACAAAACATACACTGTGTCAGCGTTCGCGAACGTGGATGGGTTATCATTGACATATTTCTCAGCAAATTTCAGCATGAACCGATCGATTTTCTGCGATTCACCGGGCAATCTAAAATGCTGTAAGAAATATCTCAGAGCCTCGAGGAACTTTTTGTCTTTAAACTCCATCATGTCAACATATTCATGCATGATTGTCACGTTCTTCTCGTCTCCCTCTCCCAGGAATTCTCCCAATGCTGCCTTGTCGAGCATGTCAGTTTCCAGTAGAAATTTTGCAATATCCCGAGGAGAGTCTGAAGAAATAAATCCATTTTCCAGCAGACTTCTCAGTCCCCTCTTCGGATTGTAGTTGAACAATCGTATACTATCCAAAAACACGTTCTTTCTCTGCTTGATGCTATCAAACTGAGAAACGGAGGTCTCTTCGTTGGCAGAGGAGATAGTATCACTGACAGATCCATTAGTAGAATTTTGGACTGAAGCTTGCGATAGCACTGAGCTACTGGTAAGGGCTCGTTCCCGTTGAGAATATGGCGCATGATCTCCTTCTGCAGCGGTGGCGGTGATTAGAGGTTTTCCACTCCAAGAGTTGAGCGACTTCAAGAACGCGAGAATGCAATCAATTGAGGTCATTTTCAAAGCATACTCGATTGGGAAGTTGAGGGAGGCATCGGGGTTTGGCGGATGTCCACTCATTTTGGAAACATTCAGTTGCGGAACATCGGAAAGATTGTATGTGGCAAGATTCCTAGTCAAACTCTCTCTGTAACTCACTTTCTGGGTTGGGGTTGCGTCTACCCGCATTAGCGCAAACTTTGCCAAATAATCCATGATGGTCTCACACAAGTTTGGCATAGAAGGGTCACAGTCATAATTCAGATAGAGTTCGATCAAAATCTTAGGCGCTTTGCAGATCCGGTGAATAATGGAAAGGAGATATCTCTTTTGGTGCGCCGTGGATGTCTTCATTTCGCTTACAGGGAAGTAAATCTCGTCCAGAAACACGGGAATTTCCGACTTAAATTGTTCTCTCATTTTATCCACCATAATCCAAAATATCTCGAGACACACCTCGTAGACTGGAGCTAGTTGAGAAGCGGCATTTCTAGCTAGCACTAGACAAAGATACTTTCTGATGGCGTCAACCAAACGAGTTTTCTCATTTGTGGCCCTGTTGATAATCATGCAGTCTTTATCTAGAAAGCTTTCAATGTGATTTTTGAGTACCCAGTGTATGATATGCAATGATAGAAGCTTCGATCTGATTGCATGGGAGCGCATGTCAATCGATTCATTTTCCATCACCTTGACTGACAAGTTGCACATAGATCTCAAAATAAGGAAAGCGTCCCTGACCACCAGCTCTTCTTCGTTGCCAGAAAACTCGTCAGAGCTTATCTGGACGTCATCGTTTTGAACGTTCTGTTCCATTTCGCGCAGCGTCATTTTGGTCTGCGCCGCAGCCGCTGTGCTGGAAGTAGCTGGCGTCGAAGTGGCTGCAATGTCCTCCGCCTGATCGCTAACATCAACATCAGAGCGTCCTTTCTTTCTCGTGCTTGAAACTTTCTCGAAAACGACATTGACGACCTGAGTGAGAGTTGCCTGCGCAATGCCTTGGTTGACAGGAGACAGCGAAAGCAGGAAAATATTGTACACTTGTCTCACAGCCTGCAATAAGGCTCTTCCATGAAGTGGCAAAGTATCGTTGAGGATTGCGCCTGTCAGCACGCGTATTACTTGAAGCTCGACCCTCTCGTCTGTGCCCTCTCCCTCAAAGCACGAGCTTATCACTTGGACAACCGCCTCAATGAGAGGAATTGCATGAATACGGCCAACCTCTGTTTCTGTATTAGTTTCCATATCAGCATCAGTGTGGATGTCAGGCTTCGTTTTCTTGTAACTTATAGTCAATGGCTCGTGGAAAACACTGAATGTAAAAATCTTGCTGAGACAGTCAAGAGCGACTATCTTAGCTTCAGCACTGGGGACTTCGCATGAGTTTTTCAGCACCTCAAAAATTTCCTGTTCACTGGGCAACTCGCCAGTATTGAGAATTGCAATTTGCTTGTTGAGAAGATCCACCAATGGCTTATGCTTTTTGCTAATTTCCTTAATCTGAGCCAGCTTCTCGAAGGACGATTTGATGAAAGAGACTGTCGCCGATAGGTTCACAACAGGAGCTGAGCTAAGAGCGCGGCTGCGTGCCGGACTTGAGGGACTCGATGTGGTCGTTCCATTCGTTTCGGGGTCATGCGATGCCACCTTGATAGAAGGCAGGCTCGCAGTACCGTTCGTGTTATCTGTCACAGGGACCTCATTCGGAGAATCGTCTTGAGATGGTGTATCGTTCACTTCTTCCGCGGAAGGATTCTCCTGATTGATCGGCGCAGGAGTAGCGGTATCGTCTTTCACAGCTTCGCTCATACACTTAGAGTTATATTATGGACTGATGGCGGACGTAGAATGTGTAACTTTCGCTTCTACTTTGCTGACAACGCACAGTAGGAAGGTAAAGGATAACGCGTTTTAAAGCCTCAATTGACTGAGTTGGAGCAAGCAAACCGCTCAGAATGTCACTGTAGATCAAAGAAACGTCTCGCTATCTCCGACGCTGAAATTGTGAACGGGACAACTGATCGTTATTACTCTCTGATTTTGCTTGGCTTGTGTGCGCCCCCTCCCCTACTCTGAAAAATACATTGAACAGGGCTTCGAACCGGGCCCGGGAAAAATTTCGTGCTATAGATTAAGATCCAAGCAGTAAGCATGTTCAGCAGAGCATCGCGAGCTTTTGATTTTCTTTATACCGGTCTATTTAGCTGATGTCATCCCACGTGCGGCCACGTATGTTTTTCAGTTCCTCCTGTGTGTAGACATGGCCATTTGTGAAGTATCCGGAGGCAATTTTGGCGTCGATCTCTACACGGGAGTCGGCAGGGAGCATCTCGTCAGGTATTTCCACTCTTTCTACGATCTCAATTCCCTGGCTAACAATTGCGTCGTGTTTCATGTTGCTCATGGAAAGCATGCGGTCGATCCTGGTGATGCCAAGCCAGTGCAGAATATCTGGCATCAGTTCCTGGAAACGGGCATCCTTCACGCCTGCTATGCATTCTGTTCTCTGGAAGTAAGCGTCGGCACTATCACCTGCACGCTTTCTTGCGTTGTAAACGAGATACTTGGTGACTTCTCCTAGCGATCTGCCTTCTTTGCGGAAATATGCAACCACGCCGTTTCCACCCTTTTGTGCCTCTTTGGCAGCTTCTCTGAGTCCAAAGATCAAGTAGCATCTGCATGAGCAGATGTCCGAAAGGAAGACATCTGATCCCGAGCACTCGTCATGGACTCTTAGAGCCAGCTTCTTCTCAGGATTAGGAATGTCCTCCGGGTTTCCAAATATGTACACGGTGGTTCCACCGATTGGGGGCAAAAACGTCTTGATATCAGGCCTCGTGATCAGCTCTGGGTACATACCGTTGGTGTCTTCAAAAAGAGCACGACGGAGCTCGTTTTCAGTGACACCCAATCTTTTGGCCACGCCGGGCAAGTACCAGACAGGATCAACAGCTATTTTTGTCACGGCCATCTCGCCCTTCTCATTCAACACAATCTTGCCGTCAGGCTCCAGGTTTCCCTTCTTCACCTCCTCCTGTATTTCAGGAAGCGACAAAATTGCCTTGGTAATGGACATGGATGGTCTCACCTCGACATTCTCAGCCTGCGCGATGTCTCCGTAGAGCCAAGGGGCCAAATGGCCCAGTGGATCGAGCGAGACAATTTTCTCGCTGTCGTACCATTGTGGCTGAGGAGCAAAGTCAACGGGAGGCTGAGCGTTGGTATAATCGGGAACATGTTGAGCGTCCAGCTGTCCAGAGACAATGCTGAGAGCATGGTAGATGGAGTAAGGGCCCGAATGGGCGCCAATGGCGTTATGCTTGGTAATACCGTCGCCGCGGCGAGAACAAACAATGGGACCTCTTTGTTTCCAATCTTGGTTGTGCCAGTCAAGCTTGATTGGGCGGACATCGGCGTCGCCGGAGACGGTAGCCAGTCTTATTTGGGCACCATAGATATGCTCCAAAGAGTGGCTGATTGGCTTTTCGTCGTTCTTGAAAGTGCTGGAGTGGTGTGCGTGTATGGCGGATGGTTGGCACAAACAGCTGTGCTCCGCAATTAAAGACGCTGGGGCCATGGTATGAGCGGGCGTTTATTTGGTGTAAACTTTAAATACACAGTTTCTACTCAAAGGTTAGCTCAGAAGTTGGATATTGAGGCCTTATATAACCCAGGGCCTTATCTTATCACTTGTAGATGATATTGTTTCTGCACACATCCTGTTTAACCCGTGGTGGCCCCAATTGACGGCTGTGCTACTAAAACCGACGGTGGCCGGCCCCACAAAATTGGCTGTGCAACGGAAGCCGTCGGAGAAGAATATTAGTTGGTTTATTACGATAAGAGCCTTTATAACATCGACGTCTTTGCGATCGCAGCTTTTAGTACTGGTGGGTGTGGATAGAGTCGACGTGTTCGACCTTGATCATCGGTCTGTAGACCGGTTTCCACATTTGTGACTTGACCCATGCCAGACATTCCTCAAAGTCTCGAGGAACAGTGACTTTGCCTCCATCCGGAGACTCTTCGTCCTCGACCCGGGCAACTCCCTCTTCCAAGGCGCGCAGGATCACAGCAGTTGCAACTTTGGCGGAAGTTTCGTCAATAACCTCGAGAGGAGCCAGAAGACCGGCCTTGGCGTTCTTTTTGGCGGGAGATCCTTCGGCCAGCTGGTCGACGGCTGCAGAGATCATCGAGTCAGAGATAGTGGTTGCTCTCGAGAGCACTGCGCCCAGACCGATACCAGGAAACGTGAAACAATTGTTGTTTTCTGAGATCACGTAACCATGGACCGGAGGAAATGGCGAGCCCGTGGCCACCATAGCATTGTAGTCTGTCCATTTTAGAGCGTCCTCTGGCGTACACTCGTGGAGTCTTGTTGGGTTAGAAAGCGGGAAAATGATGGGCCTAGGGTTGTGTTTGTACATCTCCTTGATGACTTCTTCGTTGAATGCAGAGGCCTGTGTCGAGCAGCCGACCAGAACCGTAGGCTTGATTTTTCTAACAACCTCCACGAGAGATCTTGTGTTGACGCCTTCCCACTCGTCAGCCGGATCCGCGTATTTCTGTTGAGCAGTTGTCGAGGTCTTGTGCATAGAGTCAAGAATAAGGCCTCTTTTGTCCATGCAGTGGATTCTTGCCCTTGCGTCCTCAGGAGTGCTTCCATGAATGACCATGTGGTTCACAATCTGGTCGGCAACACCCAGACCTGCCGATCCGGCACCGTAGATGATGATCTGCGAGTCCAGCAGGTTTCTTTGGCTAACCTTAAGAGCCGCAGTCATAGAAGCCATGACAACAGCACCGGTTCCTTGGATATCGTCGTTGAAACATGGCAATTCTTTTCTGTATCTTTCCAGAATTGGTCTGGCCGTGGTGACACCGAAATCTTCGAAGTGCAAAACAGCACTTGGGAATCTCTTCTTGACGGCCTGGATGAACTTGTCCACAAACTTGTCATACTCCTCTCCTCTGACTCTCTTGAATCTGTTTCCCATGTAAAGATCATCATTTAAAAGTCTCTCGTTGTCCGTACCAACGTCCAAAACAACGCTCATCACCCTTCCCGGATGGACACCAGCACATAAAGTCATGAGGGCTGCCTTGGCGATGGCGATACGCACACCTCCCACACCCTGGTCTCCGATACCCAATATTCCCTCTCCATCAGAAACAACAATGTAGTCTATATCTTTAGCCTCACCGAACGCGGCTAGTCTCTCGTCCACGGAGTCGGGATCCGTGATATCCAAAAAGCAACCTTCAGGCTTTCTGAATCTGTTCGAGTAGGCAGCTATGGCATCTCCTTCGGTCGGAGTATACACGATGGGCAGCAGCTCTCTGATGTGTCTTCTCACCAGCTCGTAAAATAACACTTTATTTTGCTGTCTCATGGAGGTGCAGAAATCGTTTTTGGCCAGCGGTGTCTTGAGAAAATGGAGCTGGTCATAAGCTCTCTCCACTTGCTCATCCAGCGTATTCACGACTGGCGGCAACAGTCCGGTAAGCCCAAAAGCCTCTCTTTCCTCAACAGTGAAAGCAGAGCCCTTGTTGAAAAGAGGTGAATTGAGCAATTGGAACCCATGCAATGAGCACTCAATTGGTCCATCAACAGATAATCTGGTGTATCTTGGGGCTCTCAGCTTAGCTTCTTCACCGACAGGTGTTTTGATTGTATGAGAATGAACATGTGACGTGACAGAATCACTGATGATTGATTGGTATCTCACGAAACCACTTGGTTTCCACTTTCGAGCGATACAAAGGGACATCTATGGGCAAGCTTGAATTAAATCTATAAAAAACCTCGAATAGCAGATATTGGTTTAATTAAATAGTCTACCTAGGAGGGGCAATTATTCTCCATCTATGGCTTCATACAGCTGAATAAAAAAATAATCGCCAAAAACTTTAGGAGCCGCAGAGAGTAAAACTTGCATTGCTTCCGTAAAAACACGGTGAAAACTCCGTAATTGTAAAACTCCGCACCCTTAGCGAAAGAGGCGCTATTCCCCGATTATGAGATCCCATCACGTACAGCCATAGCCGGATCGCATACACAAGCTATAGCGCTGCCTGCTGCTTGGGACGCAGCAGAATTGGAACCGCCTACACGTCGAAAACGCGTATCCTGTTCTAAAATGGGCTGTGTAAGGTTATGCACCTCGGACTATCTCGGAAGAATTTCTCCTCCTTGAGCGCTTTCTAGGAAGTACGGTGCTGGCCTCCTATTACGGGCATTGTTTACGTCGTTTACAAATCCACGTATTGTACACATTCAGATACCCCCCACTTCTTCCCCTCTTCTATGGGACTTCTGTGTGCGTGCTTATAGCCTCAATCTAATGATCTCCATTTGTCCATGGCCATACTAACTATATGGTCGTGTGTAAAGCACAAAACTAATGTCCGGTACAGGAGGACGAAGTTTCGATTACTCTAGTTTTAAGTGCGATATCTAGCTTATTGCCGTTAAGTCGCGGTAATCCACTTCCATGATCGGTCTTTGAGATCTCGCCATACGATACGGTGCGCGTTTGATTTGCTACTTTTCGAAACGCAATCTCATGCAATTGCTACCGATACGGAAAAGTATATGGTGTACCTGGCTTATGAACGAATGGAACTTTAGAGTCCCTGATCAGTTTTGTCTGTTCAAGCTTATTGGATGATCTGGCTTTTCACCACTTGGTTGCTGTTTTGGTAAACAGTGGGCTTTACAAGACAGTCCTTATTTGGAACAAGCATTGATTTAATATATTCTGGAGCGAACAGCGCATGATATCAATCAGGGGTTGCGAAGCAATTGCCCTGATTTTAAGAGTTCCTTGGCATCCAAAAATTTCTTGAGAAATTCTCTCTAATGAGTAATTCTCAAGATAAATAAAAAATAAATGAATATCTTGGACAGATTTTTATCTAATGAGCGCTGATAAACGACAATTTTTGATATCCAAAACGCTTGCAAGGTTGCTTCGGCACCAAGCATTGAGAGAAAATTTATCCATTGATGAGCAGGGTTTTGTGCCTTTTGAACAGATCTTGAACCATCGATTTATCAGGTCACTAAAAGCAACGCCCCAAGAGATCTTCTTAGTGGTCAATCAGAATGATAAAAAGAGGTTTCGTATTGTGTTTCAAGAAGGAGAAGAGCTTGTCGATGCTCTGGAATACAGGCCAAACAAAACATACTATATCTGTGCGCTACAGGGACATTCTTTAAGTTGTGTGCGTCAATCTTACGACATGGTTGAATTAACTCCAGAGACTTTTCCCGATATCATCGTGCATGGAACGTATACTAAGAACTGGAAAGATATCAAACAAACTGGTGGTTTGAGCCGAATGAACAGAAATCACATCCATTTTGCAAAAGGATTGCCCCGTTGGCTTTCCAATGACCCTGACAATAATGTTATCAGTGGTATCAGAAAAAGCTGCGACCTGTTAGTTTATTTGGATGTTGACAAGGTCAAAAACAGTCCTCTCACTTTCTATGAGAGCGGGAATGGCGTGATTCTAACACCAGGTGACGAGAACGGCATTGTGGGTCTACAATATTTCATGAAAGTTACTGACATCAAAGGTAATCAATTATCTATTTAAATTTGAGCTAAATGCACGAAAATTGGTGTATTAATGTTTGATGGAACTGGAATCGTATTTAAATTCCAAAAGTTTAGCCAGCTCTGCTGTCGAACAAGCTTTTCTGAAGAATCTGTGCTGAAGCAGTTCGTCGGTTCTCGCCCGGTACTTGACTTCGACACAGAGACAAACACTCAGAAAGTCCATAAACTCACTTGAAAGGGCCTCGGGATTTTTCAGCGTGGGTGTTCCATTGGAAACAATCAAATAGAGAGCTTTCAAAGGCTCCTCATTGAGATATGGAGGCTCCCCTTCGACCATTTCGATAGCCATGATACCTAGAGACCACACATCCACTTTTTCGTCATACTCTTTTTGTCTAACGACTTCGGGGGCCATCCAATATGGTGTTCCAACCATTGTAGCACGTTTGGATTTTTCTGTGGTCAACTTAGCGCAAAAGCCAAAATCTGTAATCTTGACATTTCCCTTAGCGTCCAGGAGAACGTTGTCTGACTTTATATCACGGTGGATGAAGTTTTTCTTGTGCAAATGCTGCAGCCCCTTTGTAGTTTCGTAGCAAATGGCGGCGATTTGCTCTTCACTAATTTCAGGATTGTTGTCGATGACATCAGTTAAACAGCCCCCCTCCATGTATTCCATGATGACCCATAAATCCGCAGACCCATTTAGATAAGCTTCAATGAAATTAACGATATTGTCATGCTGAGAGTCTTTCATCACCAGGATTTCGTTCACGATCAGCTCTTTTCTGCTTTGCTTATTCAAATCGATCTGCTTAATAGCAACCTGCTTGTTACGCATTTTCAGCGACTTCGCAAGGTACACCGAGCCACTGGCACCCTGTCCCGCTTTTTCTATGACTTGGAAGTAAGGAGCGGGATTCGTGTTGATGACAACGCTTCTCAGTTTTGCCATGATCTGCGAGTCTGTCATCGTAGATATACGTTTGTCCTTGAGACCAGCCTTGCCGATTGGGGAGCCTTGTGGGAGCTTATTTTTGGTCGTGAGAGGTTGTCCATTGGAAGATTTATTCGAGTTGGCAGCCGTTGATGCCGCAGCGACGGCCAGCTTATTCTTTTGAGGAGGCATTATGTGCGGCTGTGGATATGGCATTGGATGTTTGTGATGAACAGGCATTTGACGCTGAGAATTAGGCGAATAGTGGTTTTCGTGGCCGTATTTGGACATTGGAGTTTGTAGGTCGGAACCTGGGGAGCTGTGTGAAAACGCTGAATGTAGAGAAGTTTGCGAATATTGATGAACTGGAGAATGATTCACAGGCGAAGGTTGTTTATAAGACGAAGGCGTATAGTGTCCTGTAGGGCTAGGAGTCGCCATGCTAGTGTTTAACCTCATGTTCGAGTTGATTTTCTTCGATGGAGTCACATTCGAAGCTGGAGCATAGGGGTTTCGGACGTTGCTTCTGAATGTTGGCGGAGTTGGTGGAACCTGTCCAACCGGCTTTGAGGGGGATCTCGAACTTGGTTCTTGAGGTGTCTTGGTCTTCGACTTAGGAGCTTCCGGAGCTTTTCTCACAGGAATATATTTCGTGTTAGTTGTGTCAGCCTCTGCAGCCTGTGCAGTGGGCGGTGGAGGTGGCACTCTTCTAGGTTGGAGGTATTTACCATCTGTCGCTGAAGAATAGGGTTTGGTAATGTCGTTGATAAGCTTGGACGATGCAGACATGTCACCATCTCCAAAAGGCACGGCGGAGGCTTTGTCTTTGAGGCCCAGATCTGGGCTTACCATTTCTGTGTATGTGTTCAATACATCAATGACGGCGGTTGGATCATTTGCGACGTCTTCAGAGGTGATATTTGAGCCTTTTAAAAGTGCCATCCACTCTGGAGGAACGCCCGTCAATTGCCCGCTCGACGGGTCGTATCCAACATGAGTTTCATGTGTCACTGTCAATGGCTTGGAAAAGCCCTCCTTGGGACACTTAGCTAAGATGCAATCGATCCACATGTTGAGCTCTTTTTCAGTTTTCACTGATACAAAGGTAGACCTTGCTCTGTGTACTATTTCGAAACAGAATGTTTTGATCTGGTTCTTGAAACAGCCCGAAATGTGAAGCAATGGAATACGCATCGAAAGTTCAACTTTCTCGTCGTTTTTATAGAAATCCAAGCTAGACTCGCTTAAAACGAGAAATTTCTTTGGCCATCTAAAAGATATCAACCCGTCCTCTTTCACTTGAACCCATCCACTCTTCCGGTATATCGTGGCATGGATGCGAAGACGGCTCATCGATAAATCGTTCGGCGTGTTTGTGTTGGATGTAGAGCTTGCTCCCGACGACGCACTCGAGTTCTTACTATGTAAAGAAGCACCCGAGGATGTAAGTAGTTGGGGAGGTTGAGGAGCATGACCGATATCCGTGAACGCATTTCTGCCCATTGCTTCGGTGGTCATTTTTGAGGTCGAACTTGTGCGGGTGTAGAACGCGACAGAAGATTAATTTGGATTTTAGATGGTGCTGAGGATCGGTTGTCAAAATTCTGCTTCTTCTGCACAATGCGTTCGCGATACAGAACAAATGCTTAATGATATGCTTTTGTCGAGAGCAGACGAATACTTGGGTACGGGCCTCAAGCAGGATAGCACTGTGGAAACAGAACGAAAACAATTTTGGTTTAATTTTTGAGAACTCCTGCTAGAAACACTCAATCTGGAAATATATTTTGGGAACGCGAATTGCAGCCCAAAGGGGTCCTTTGAGAAAACGAGAATGAGCGACACTTTTAAATGCTAGGTCTCAAATTTCAGCGAAGAGGCTATTGTGACAAGTCTAAGTAGCGCTACAAGCCTGTAGATAGCAACATGCTCACATACAAGCACTGGTGTTTCGCAATTTTAGCTTTGTTTCAGGCCGTGAAACCGCGTCAGGTTTTTCGCGACTCCTGTGCAGTTTGGTTTTTTTTTTGTCATTGGGGGGGTGTTGCGCATGTAAATCGTTGATCATTGTTTTAAACGTAACGATGAGGCGGTCTACTATCATCACGATGGAAATGTGGGGGAGATTGCAGAATAGAGTAGTGTGAACCTTGATCATCCTCATCCTCATCGTCTGAATCAATGCTAGACTCCAGCGCTTCTTGGGAACGATGCCCCAAGAATACGTTTGTGAAGGCCGAAACGTAGTTGAACGTGCGCGTTGAACATGGAGCTGATCCTTCGTCTCCCATTGGACTTTGCACCGGTCTATCCGCGTGGAATCCAGAGATGGGGTCTGAAATTAGAGAATAAACACCGGTTGAATGCGTTTCGCTGCGGTGTTCCCGCTCCGGCTGCCATTCGTCGTTCGACGTGGAGCCCGATCCTTGCTCAATGTCGACCAGCGTTCGTGATAGATGTCTGTAAAGTCTGCTGTTACGACGACTCGAAGCGTTAAACGCAGCGAGTGAATCTCTTCTGATCGGCACTGTTTGAAATCCCGGAATCACCAGCGAAGCCATCGAATAATTATCGTCTCTGCCGTTAGTGGATCTGGGCCGTGCAAAACTAAATTGTCTGTTGAAGTCACTGTGATTATCAAATAAATCACCTCCAATGTAAACCTCAACCACTGACGACGGATACCGAATTACCGAACTATAACGTGATAAGGATCTTTTTTGGGAAAGCAGGACAGACTCCTCGCTCTTCCTACTAGCACGACTGATTCTGCTGAAGCTATGATCTAGCGAGTCTGATTTTGCTTGATCAGGTTCTTCCCGTATATCTTCCGGAAACGTTGCGTATGAAGGATAGAGGGCAAGGTTGTCGTTTTTTTGAGTTTCTTCCGGCGATATCTCGCGGTGATGACTTACTTGTTTTCTGAAGGGGCCCCTCAAGCTTTCTCGGAGCTTATAGTAAATTCTAGAGACTTTGTGCTCTCTGAAGCGTCCTCGATGCTTTATTGGCGTGTCATGGTCATTCAGATGCTGTAGATATTCCTCGACAGTTGGTGATTTTTCCCTTCCTTCGCAAACATACGACTCCTCTAGACCCTTTAGCTTCTCTAAATCCTCCTCTAGATTTTGCAAATACTGCTTCACTTCATCGAGATCAACCGTTATTGTAGTTGCTCTAAGAGACACCGACCCCTGAAACATAACAATGGCACTGGCCCCGACTTGTCGAAAAATAGATACTTTGTTTTCTAAACGCCTCTGATAAAAGGGTAAGGATCCCTTTTTTAGGTGTGGGGGTGACGGTCGAATTAATTTGAATTCTGTTGCCTTGGTACTCCGACAAAGGACTTAGCCCTGAACTTGGATCCTGTCAACGAGCATCGGGCATCCTCTTCTAGCATGCCAGATGAGGTTCCGATGCATGTATTTAGTTTTTACTATTTTCTAAACTTGAAAATAGGAGTCAACCTTTTGACTGCTCATTCCTCTTTTTCCTATCTAGTGCAAAGCACTCCACCTCTCATAGTGACTGTCAACAATGAGATTGGCTAAGTCTGACAGTTCAGCAGTCTTCCTGTGTTTCTATCACAAAGGTTGTAAGATTCTGATGTAATCAATTACATAATCAATTACATTCCGAATTTAGATTTTGCCTTTACATATCCTGTTGCGGATTCCATTTTGCATAAAATCAACGAACAATTACACAATCGATCTCTTGATCAATACTTTGGGCCAAATAGAGGACCACCCACCGCAGAGTCCCGTTATACCGAGTTTAGAAAGTTTTTTAGGAAATTGGTGCAGCTTTTTTTGAGCAAACAGTAACCGGTACCATTTATCGACAATCGACATTCTAAATGGAGCAACAGTATTGTCATCATTGATCACAAAACGGTACCTTTACGACAACTCTCTTACCTTAGGAAAGCAGCATTGAACCTCCCACGATCTTCAACACCTCAAAATAGATCTTGACAGATTGTGAAAGCCCCCGCGAAAATGACGTCTAATTTCGATTCCTGTCGATCCAATACAGTATCCCCTAATCAACCTGCCGTATCAGACTATTCAGATCTTTATGACGAGTACATGGCAGTTGAAGGCCGCTCGAGGCCTTCTACGATCAACACCTTCACGGAGCAAAATGCTAGTGGTGTGCGGTCAGAATCCTCTGATTTTATTCCATATACAAGAGAACAAGCCCAGGAGAAACATCTTTATGAAGACCCAGGAGACGAAGATGTGGCATCAGAATATGATGAATGTTCGTCTTCCGAAGAAGAGGTTCCGAATTTGGAGAAAGATCGGATACTGATTCCGGAATCATCTGCTGAGTGGCAGCAGAAGGGCGCTGCTCAGATCTTGGAAAAAGTGAGAGGACTGGATGGAACTTCAGTAACTAGAGTTGTTAGGAAATCTATCAAAGACTTCAAACTAGGAAAAGAACTAGGTGAAGGTTCCTACTCGACCGTGGTATTGGGATCAGATCTGTCTACTGGACGTGATTACGCGATCAAAATACTGAACAAAAGACACATAATCAAGGAAAAGAAAGTGAAGTATGTCAACATTGAGAAGAATGCCCTCAATAGATTGGGAAAAGGCCACGGAATCATCCATCTGTTCTATACCTTTCAAGACGAGCAAAATCTTTACTTCGTTCTGGATTACGCCCCAAATGGAGAGCTTTTATCCTTAATTAAGAAGCACGGTACTATGGACGAGGAGTCTGTGAGGTATTATTCTACTCAATTAGTTGACGCAATCGATTATATGCATAGAAATGGCGTTATTCACCGAGATATCAAACCAGAAAACATCTTGCTGAATGCCGACATGAAAATTAAAATAACAGATTTTGGCACTGCCAGGATTTTGGAACCAAATGACAATGGGGTCTATCCTTCGGATGTGAAAGCTAACTCTTTTGTGGGCACCGCTGAATATGTTTCTCCAGAATTGCTGAATGACAAATACTGCGGCAAGGCTGCAGACGTTTGGGCATTGGGCTGCATAATATATCAGATGATTGCCGGGAAGCCGCCTTTCAAAGCAACCAACGAGTACCTCACATTTCAAAAAGTGCTCAAACTTCAATACGCCTTCAGTGCTGGATTTCCAATGATAATCAGAGACTTGGTGAAACGCATTTTGGTATTGAAGCCGAAGGACAGAATTACGATCCAAGAAATTAAGAAGCACTACTTTTTCAAGGATGTTGACTGGGATGACATGCATGCAATTTGGTCAGCACCTCCACCAGAGCTTGGTCCCTACAAAATGTCTGCAAAATCAATGCTTCCTGTCCCTGAACTAAACAGAAGCTCACAAAGCATGTCTCCAGCGGGGACCAAACGGATTGGCAGTGCGGGAGGAAGAAGCGCCTCAACCGCCAATATCTTGAATTCAAGCAATCTGGCTTCTAGTGCAGCTTCAACTCCTACCGGTACGAATGGAACCATATTTGGCTTGCCAAATCCTATGGAACCAAAAAAGACAAATTCATCTCCACTCTTGCCAACGGAAAAAACATTAAACAATCCTCTATCCACTGCAGCTGCCGTCGCCACAACTAAAAAATTGCTTTCGGAACCTATCAAAATCCCGTATCTAGGAAGTACCGGTCAGTCTCAAGGAATAACTGGTCGTTTTGAGGCATCAAAGGCGAATAGCAATCTTCAATATTCAAACTTAGGATCGAAACAGAACTCTACGTTATACAACGGCGGTTCTGTTCAGGAATACGTGACAGGTAGGTCGTCGCCTAATTTGGAAGTACCTTCTGCTTTCAAATCGGGAGGTTTTACCGGCTCTTCTCCATCTTCAACTTTTTCTGGTGTTTCGATCCAACAAAAACAAACCTCAGCGCAGAGCGTTGACGTGATCCCAGGTACCAACATTCCGAGACCTGTCCTCAATACTCGAATTAACGCATCTAATAGCTTTCGAAGAAGCTCTGGAGTATCGGGATCGAAGTCGAAACAGCCTTCTATCACTGGCGTCAAGTCAGAAGATATTCCCCCTATGTCTATCCTTGACCTCACGTGGGTCAATTTTTTAATTCATCCTGATGAAAGAGTAATGAAAGCAGGTATTGTACAAGCTACCAAGTACACGACAGAGTCCTTTGAGAAAAGATACAAAGGGATGCTAGCAGAATCACCATTAGGCTACAAGAACAGAGAGGTATTGAATTCCTCGAATCCTGGAATGCTAGGGCAGGCTTCCTCCTTAAGGAAAAAGTCGATCGCGTCCCTCCAAAGTTCAGACAATGCAATCACGTTCATCGAGTACGAGACAGCAGAGAATCATGAAGAAGAGGACTCATCAAAAGACATTTCATCCGAAAGAATGACAAAGCTGAAAAACTTGTTTCATAAGACTCCAGCGGATCCAGTAGCAAAGCAACGAACTCTGGTGATCACCACCTTTGGCCGGGCAATGCTATTTGTGGAGAATCATGATCGCAACAAAGAAAAGTATCAATGCGTCGGTGAAATTGACCTCATCCATTCCTCAGTACAATTTAAAGAAGTAATAGGAGATCGAAGGTCTAAAAACGCTTCAACGGGTATTTTTGCCATTGTTTCTAATAACGTGAGTCTGGCATTTGAGGTAGATAAGCAGGATCTTTCTGCTTGGACGAATGCACTGGCTAAATCCAGATTTATGCAACAGGAACGATACATTCACATGCTTATGGAAAACAATCCCGCAGGGAACCAAGGCATGGCTGGCATGGCTACGGGAAACCAAGCGGGTTCTCCTGCAGCCAACATGGGAATGTCCTCTCCTGTTGAAAACTCTCCCAGACTTTCTGTTGAGCTGCCGTCAATGTTCTCACCTTCAGATGAAGGCTTTCGAGAATTACGGCCGAACATGGAATCAGGTCGCGGTATTACAGGGTCGCCAAATGCACAACCTGCTAGCAAAGCCGGAAGGAAACCTCCTCCAGTCGGAAGCCAGTTTCCAAGGTCCGATATGGAAACTCATTCTAGCAAATCACAGAGCCAACACCGCTCGGATCCAGGCACTCGCAAAGTGTTGTACGAGAATTCTCCTATGATCTCGGCAGCTATCAACAAGGCGCTCAAAAATACATCTATCTCCTCTGAAGGTGAATACAACGGGCTATCGAACACTCGAACCTCGAGCTTTACACATAAATCTGATAGCATTGCGGCTAAGACAGACAACACGGGCGGCAATAACCATGGCTCAAGCCCACGTTTGGTGACATCTATGAATTCCAAACTTTTAGCACGGACTACCCGAAAGAAACGCTAATGTATTTTAGTTGAATGTGCATCTATTTTCCCCAGATTTGTCTACTCGGTACTCCTTTCCAGTATTAGTATTAGCTAACCACGTAAACTTTGTGACTGCGTTTTTCCAAATTCTGCCACCACAATAGAGGCTGTAAATAAAACAATAAAAGTCGTGCGAAAACTGAGCACCTTATTTTTCGACCCTCCCCGGTGGAGCTGAAATATCTCCCGTGCAAGGAAATTGACCACCAGGCGACAGAGCGGGCTAAAATTTTTCTAGAGGTGGAGCGCACAAAATTTTTCAGTTCAAGAATTTTCACTTCCTAGCTACTTTTTGTATCTGTGCTTAATCCTAGAACAAGAAGAGAATAGAAATGGCTAAGTTCATCAAAGCAGGCAAAGTCGGTATGTATAGTTAGTTCAAGACCTATCAGGTTATAAGAGACCATGTGAACTACTCAACTGAACACAATAGTTAACGCCATTTTCCACAACATCATTTTTTGATTTCGAAAACATCTGTGTTTCAGTGCGAAAACCCAGTGCACATCTTTCAAATGCATCCGTCGTCAGTTTGAGAGCATACCCTTTTGTGGTTGATAGGTCATGTCATTCAGCACTAACAATTTTAGCCGTCGTGGTCAGAGGCAGATACGCAGGTAAGAAGGTCGTCATTGTGAAACCTCACGATGATGGTACCAAATCCCACCAATTCCCACACGCTATTGTCGCCGGTGTCGAGAGACAACCACTCAAGGTGACCAAATCCATGGGAAATAAGAAAGTTGCCAAGAGAACTAAGATCAAGCCATTCGTGAAAATCATCAACTACAACCACTTGATGCCAACCAGATACTCGTTCGAGGTTGAGTCTTTCAAGAACGCTGTCTCCGTGGAAGCTTTGTCCGAGCCATCCCAAAGAGAGGAAGCCAAGAAAGTGATCAAGAAGGCATTTGAGGAGAGACACCAGGCAGGCAAGAACAAGTGGTTCTTCACTAAGCTTGCTTTCTAAATCATACTAAATAGTGCTTAATCATTTACTTAAATCTATAATAGCCTACTCGTATGCCGGAGATAGTAATTCCCAGGCCTCGATTGTGGTGTACGGATGTAGCTATGACGTTTTAGGGTCGGCAACCGTTTCAAAACCGCAATTCTGTCAAGATTTTGTTTATTTTTCTAGGGTCTTACATCATCACTACATGAAATGAAACGGAAAGTATAGTAGTCGTATTCTTAAGCAATGCGTTTGGAGCAGCCTCTAGTAAACTCGTAAATTGTTTAGTGAGCACTTGATCCCGGAATATGGATTTAATATACTCCCCTTTCCGCTAAGCGTGCTTTAGTGTACAAAATCAAAAACCACAAAAAAACGTTAGGCTCAACTGCAGACTGATTAATTTAAAAAAGAAACCAGTTCGATTCTCGGTGTGTGGACAGAAAGTCACGCAAAAATATACCTCTTTATCTAGAAGCTGATTTAATAGCTCCCTCTACCAGAGAAATTCAGAATGACATCTGTGCTACAGGAGGCCGATCAGACGCAATGGCCAATTGAGTCGATAATTGCGGCTCTCTATGCCAGAATAGAGAGCATTTTACCCATCAAATCTGGCATGACCGTTTCGCAAATTGAGTCGGATAATAACTACAAAGAAGCCAAAAATCATCTTTGCAAGGTGGCGGATAGCATGTGGATTAACGACATTGCTGCTTGTACGGCGACTACTATCGAACACATTAATAAATTCGACAACAATGTCCCCATAGAGGAAAGAAAACCAACCTCGATTGCATCATTAGAACTGATACTAGGCTTGCTAGTAGACTTCATAAATGTCATATGGAGCAGTCACCACTTGAAAATGGACAGCAACAAAGAAGCGTGCAGTGAAAACTCAGAGCTTGCAATCTCGCAAGCCAATATTTCGAAGCGGCTGTACTTTAAACCCCGCAAGATAGCACCACTGATAGCCAAACAACTAATATCGCTGTTGAGTGATCTCAAAACCCACACACGCTGTCTACAGGCTGTTCAGATCCTGACGTCAAACCAGAGTTATACCGCCAAAATTTCCGAATATGAGCGCAAAGATATTCAGAAAATTGATGAACATTGTGATGACATAGTCAAGTACCTTGCAGCGAGCAACGCATCCGAATTCTTTGAATTTTTGGAGAACAAGTATAGAAGAGTTGGATTCGAAGCCTTGTTTGTTCCGCGCTCCGATTTCATTGCTCTTGCCTACTTGGATTCCGACAATATCATTGCCTATCTAAAGATAGTCAAGAGCGTTATTCAGTTAACCACTCGTCAATCACAACAAAACCTTATTCTGTATTGGTCTTCTGAGAGCATATACAACTGGGCAGTCACGCGAACGCGTGAATTTTTGAAGAGCTCCAAGTCAGTGAATTTGAACACACAGGCAGAGTCGCTATTTGATTATGTTTACAAATTTGCGGAAGTCAAAGCGTATTCACTTCCTGTCTATCGATTTTTGGCGACCGTTCTTCTTTTGGCTCCCGTTGCGTATGAAAAATATCTCGATGAAAGACAATCAAAGTCATCAACACTGACATTCAAGAGATCTGTTGGGCGTTTTAGCTCGAAACACAAGTTCCTCACAGATTTAACTCAGATATTCCAGAAATCTCCTTCCTCTACTGATAGCTTGATCAAGGTCATGCTCGTGGGATCTTCTTTAAGCTTGTACGAGCCACATCACCCGCTAGGCAAATTTGCCACGAACACTTATGATCAACTGAGGCTCGATCTGAGTATGGATAATATGGAGTATTATCCGAGCAACCTGGAGCCCGAGCTGGTCGATAGCTACAGAATTGAAGTTTATGCTGCTGGCTTTATCTTAAGACCCAAAAAGCTAACTTTGGAAGCAATAGATGCATTTCAGAATTATTCCTCGAAACCCATCTGCTTATCGAATATCACGGGGGGTATCAAAACTCTTGTCAACAAACTCACCACGGGGAAGTTCTTGCTGGCTTACTTGAAAACCTTGTTTCCCTACATGCTTTCAACTTTACAGAAGCTGTCCATTCAAAATACAACCACTTATGCGGTGCTTGACTCAGATTCAATACCGAGTAATGATTCCAATGAGTCTGTGGTGGATATCAGAGACGTTTTGCAGCAAAGTGTTGTCGCCAAAAATGCCCAGTCAAAGACGGAAGTCCCAACTACACCCACCACCGAATCAGAAGTGGACGAACTTTCGGCCACAACCTCACACAAGGAGGGTCCCTCTTCGAAACATATTTCCAGTACCACCCATACAACTGAGCAAAACTCTACCATGCTCAAATACGTTTATAAACCGAAGAATTTTTCCTCAAAAGTCATTGCTCCCCTCAAGCACACTCTTTCGACGTCATCATCCTCTCTCGCTATGGCATCTATATCATCTGCTCCATCGTCAGTACCCTCAACGTATTCGACTACATCTGGACCGGTTTCTATCAAAGACATTATGGGTACAAGTTCATTTTCCCGAAGATCCACGCAATCATCGTCTACTTCTAGTGGTAACACAAGCCACAGCATTGACGATGCTCCTCATCTTGTCAAAATGAAGGTTAATGTTCTTGCCACTTCGAGGCAAAGTCTTATCAACATTTTGCAAACTCTAAAATATTGCCCGACAATATTCTTTCATGCTTTAGCTCCTGACGTTGAGAACAGTCTTTCTATTTTCGAAGAGCAATTTTCCGTGGCGATGGCGCCTATCGTGAAACTGATATTGGGAGAGGATCCCTATGTCACTAATTCTGTCAAAGAATTTCTGATCAGTTTCCCAAAGAGTGCTGCCGGCAGCACTAGGGAACACGCTTATATGGGTCATCTGGCGTCAATAGTCATCCTTGACTTAATCTCCAAAATGTGCATCTCCAGACACACGAATCGGGATGAGTTGGAAAAGATGATCTCTCTTTTAGCTGAGTTCGCAAGCCTGAGAATGGAATATTTTGACTCCAGGAACTTTAGCCTGTCAAACCCACTAATTCTTGATTTTCACAAATCAGGGAAATGCTCCAAATTGTTACAAAGCTTCGAAAAAGCTGTATACTTGGGATTATTTTCTGATAATGCAGAAACTCATAGACAGTCGCGCTTTTTGCTAAGCGACTTCCTGCAAATGGTGACAGGAGGCCACCATTTGGTTACGTGCTTCCAGGACACGGCGTCCCATTTAGCAAGGGCAATCCTTTCAGATAAACTACCATCGGGAACTATGGCGATGAGGAAGAAGCTGCGCGATCACCTGGCCAACTTGGAGGGCCCAAACGAGGTCCTTCTTGACATTTGGAATACGATGTACGAGAGACTGAAACTTTCGAATGCGATTGAGTCAGGATCGTTAAAGTCTTCGTCATCGATGTCTAATCTCGATCATGAGCAATACGAAGATTATGCAGATTACCTAGCATCACTTGGAGGAATTTTGATGTCTCCAGATTTTGAAGACGATCCTCGTCACTATGTGTTTCAGGAGAAATTGAAAAAATTCTTGAACTTGAAAGTTATCAACCTTTTCTCATCGGATCCCAAGGAGCGAGAAGAGGCTAGAGAGGTTCTTTGTGTTTCAATGCATCCCTTTTTGTGTGGAGTATACTTGGATCTACTTACGAAACATTTCTGGAGATTTGAGTCAGCATATGAGAAGAAAGAGTATCACATATGTGAGGTCATGGTGAGTGTTTTGCGGACCATTAGTCAAATCGACTACGAATCCTTGTTTTTTCATACAGGAGAGTTTTGCGAACTCAACATGAAGATGTTAGTCATGATGGATTCTGAAATTGATAATGACTACTCGTTTTTGAAACTCAAGCTTAAGCTTTGCAAATTGCAATCATCATTTCTGCCTCGTCTAGATGATTTATCTCTTAATGGGAACATTCTCAGAAAAAATCAGTATGCCAAAATTATTGCAAATTACCTCGAAAACTCATTCAACTATCGCTTCATCCAAGAAAAAGAAGACGAGAACAAGCGGGTTCTGAGATTCGAATATAAGCCTACAAATGCAGGTACGTCCAGAACACAGAAAGCTTTGCAGCAAGACTTGAATGATATTCATTATGACATAAAAGTTGAGACGTCGTTGATACTAAAGATCATTCTATTTGGTCTCCCATTGGATGCTTCAAATGGTGGTATGCATGGAAGAGTCCACGGGAATTTGGCAAATGAAGTGGCATTCAGCAACTATTTCAATTTGTTTGTGAGAATTCTAGAACACCTTGATGTTTCCGATCAATCTCAAGGAATGAACATGGCAGATCGTCATAGATCCTCTATCATAGTTAAAAACATTATTCAGGCACTTATCAATCTGCTAAAGTCAAATTCTGACCTTGGGCTCAAACACTCTCTCCCATTGGGATATCACGAAAACATTCTATTGAGGTCGTCTTTCATAAATGTATTTACCAGCATTGTGAAGAATCTTAGCATTCAAATGAACGCCGACTCAGAATCTCAACGAAAAGAAATAATGACAGAAGGCCTTGGTCTCGTGGCGATGGATAGATTACTGTTGTACTCATGTACTCAGGTCTGTCCTACTTCAGAGGTTGACGATTTTGCCAAATCCTTGCTTACATTGACAAACGATAAGGAACTCGAGCTTTCAATGATTACGTCCTTACTTCGCGCGGATATACTAGACACAACTGACTATGTCGAGATTCTAAGATCAAATACCGTGGCTACCCGAATGGTTGCCCTTTACTCACACAGAGTTGCCAAGAACTATCTGGTGAGCATTTTCAAGCCAATCTTCTATCAGTTGCAAAACTCGGGCGAGTACTTTGAAATAGAGAAGATTAGTATAGACGACGAGAACTGTGAGGAGAATTTGCGTCTTTTTATGAAATATTTCACGATGATAGTTGACGCCATCACAGGATCTGTCGACCAAATCCCAAAAGGCCTAAGATTGATATCGAAAACAATCTATGATACGACATCTACCACGTTTCCAGAATCTAAGCTTTCAGTTTTAGGTGCATTCTTATTCCTAAGACTATTCAATCCAGCAATAGTTTCCCCAGAAGGCTTGAATATCTTGCCGTTGATGTCCGTTCCGATGAAGCGCTCATTGATGCAAATTGCACGTATCCTACAATTGCTTGCCAACGAAAGCTCTGTTTCTGTTAAGATTCCACTTTTGCAAAGTAAAATTGAGGAGTTAAAGGAGCAAAAGGCCAAGATCAACAAGTTTATGGTGGAAGTGACTAATATTCCGGATACTGCATTGCTCTCAGATGAGTTAGAGAACTTCATTGATGAGAACAGTATCGAAACCGAATACAGCTTCTTTCACAACTTTTTGTACGACCACTGGCTTGATGTCCGCATGATATATTCTAAGCCCTCGCCTATTTTTGATGTTCCCATGGAGCAACGGTTCGTGATGATTAGGGAAATTGACAGCTTCCTTTCAAGATCGGGAGTTCCAAAACGGATCACAGTTTATGAAATTCCAGAATCCATCAAGAATGACCAGTCTGAACGAGGTGTTCAACTTTACGATTTTATGTCACAAGTTTCTTTGCCCGACCGACAATTCAAGCCTATGATCAAGGAATCCATTACGAGGGATGGTTTTCCACTTGTAATCGTGGATATGTTCCAAATTTACCGCGAAGAAGAGAAACCCTCACCGGAGATTCTGTGCTACCAATTATTTCTTACATGTAGCAAATACTGGGAGAACCCTTACTGCATCTTGATCGATTGCACTGCCTACAACAATGACACGCTACTGAGTCCTGTGTTGGATTTGATGTTCACCCTCTTAGCTGAGAAGTACAGGAAAAACTTGAAACGATTATACTTTTTCAATGTTTCTTATAGGTACTTGAATTCACTCAAGGAGGCAAAACACCATTTCGAAAATCCGAACATGCTGTCCGATTGCGAGGTGTTTTTCGTGAGCGCAAATGAAGACGAAAAGGCTTTAGCTAAGCATGGTCTTACTTATTACACCAATGCCGTGACTAAGGATGCTAGAGTGACGTTCCATGATGTGAGTCTTTATCAGGAGAGCGTCAAACGGTTTGTTCCCGTGAAGTTGAAAATTGGAAACAAATTCCTTCAGATCTTTTCTGCTCAACCTCAAAGACTCAAATTTGGTCAGAAAATGAAAACGCTTTACCTTGTTGATATTTATCCGATTACGACGTTATCAACAATGAGTCCCTCGAATTTTACAGGGGTTGCAAACGAAATTTCTTCAACAGATACTATGACAGATTTTAGACTCATATTGACGTCAACCAAGAAGGCGGAAATTATGCGCACAATCTACTTCTCAAAATCAAAGTATTCCACTGAAGTCCTGGATAATGAAGAGGACAGATCCATTGAAAAGTCAATAGGAAAGCTTCTGAACATAACATTGACCGGTCTTCTTTCTCAATTCGATGATGTTAGAAACGCTGCATTCCGCTTACTCACAGCCATGACGGATTGCTTCAACCTATCAGTCGGAAAAAAGATTGTTAGCAGCGATGCGATGGAATTCCCTTATGGTGATGTACAGTATATTTTTGCTCTCTCTCACCAGCTTGCCGCCAATCACCCTCAGCTGACATACGACTTCTTGTCCGGATTCTTTGATACTCTTGACTACTGCCAGGAGCAAGAACAAGACGCATACGTCATATATACTTCGCCATGGATCAAGAACATATTCAAACACGTTTATTCGGCTGATTCTATCAAGGGACCAAGGAGAACTTCGGATTTAATTCGAAAGTTTGTCAGAGCAAGCAGGAAGTCCAAATCAACCACACTTGCATTCGCCCTTTATATATGGGGAGAGTTGTGCTTGGAAGATCGGCTAGTTGAAATTGTTATTGATGAAATTATATCTGCAGCCATTGATCATGAGGCTGAAGGCCATGGATGGGAGGAGATAACCAAATATTGGCCACTGACGCCTACAGTGGAAATATGTGGTTTATTAATTCATAGACTCCGCGAGAGGTCATACTTCATTAAAAATGACGAGTCGGAATTGGAGTCCCACACACGATGGATTGAAACAACGGTTTTGACGCGTTTCTTGACGTTTCTTGTTTTTGACTCAATAATCTTTGTTCAGATGTACATCAGTGATATTTTTTACCTTGTCACGATATACATGGATCAAGGGCCATTGGAGTTCCGTACATCCATTCTCCGTCTGGTCATGAGAGCATTTCATTCGTTTTTATCTCGAGAGGATTTAACTCCCGCCCAAATCAAATTGATTCGAGAGAAAATAGAGCTTTTTGAAGGAGCTAGATATCGGATGTTGTTTGGTTTGACCCGCCATGATGGAATTGCTTCTGCCTCAACGGAACAAGCAGGAATCGAGATGGTGAATAAATCCCATTCGATTGCTACAGTGACGGAATCCCTGATATCATTTTTGAAAGATCTTTGCAACCCTGCGGACTACGAACTGCATCTCATCAAATGGAATTCTTACGTGCTTAATATTGCCTTTTTAGAGAAGGCACAACTTCGAGGACGTGCAATGCTTGTGTTGGGAAGCTTAGTGAGAGAGGGTGTTAGCCATAGCATTGTGACAAAATTTCTAAGAGTTTTGGCAGAAATGCTAACAATCCAGGAACAGAATATTCAGCAAGATAACAGCGACAAACTTTACATGGTGATTTGCGTGCTACATTCATTTACAAAGCTCACTGAAGGAGTTCCATCGAGTTCCCCGTTCGCGCCACAATTCTTCTGGATTGGATTTGCTCTGTCTCTATCAGATAATGTCATTCTCTATCAGTATTCGATAAAAATCATGAATGCTGCACTCAAAAAGGTTGCTAGCTACTTGAGTGAAGCTGACATGGAGATCAGGGACTACCTTTTCGACCACAGGACGGTTTTCGAGGGTTTTCTGGAGGAACTCGAGTCACTTCATGATATCGACGTTTCTAAAGAACATTTTGATGTTTTGATGACAAGCATTTGTTCCAAAGGCCTCCAGATTCCATTTGCAACAGATCCTACCTTTGGCTGCCTTGAAACACTCTTATCCGCTAGGTATCGAGAAAGCATGAAATTTGTTAAAAAATACCACCGGCAGTTTGATCTAAACACAATATCTTACGCATTTTACCTATTTGTTTTCTCTCAAAATGACTCCGAACTTATGACTACGCTATACGAATGCGGTATGAGAGATTTCGAAATGGTGAGAATAAGTGATAGCTATCATATCCCAAAATTCTTCCTCGATTTTTGCGATACAGATACTCCCGATGTTTATGTGAACGCGTTCAATTTATGCCGTTGCTTCAACGCTCAAAAGGGTGACGAAACTATTATCTATAAATGCTTGAAGCTCTACGATATAATTATTGAGAGATATCCTAAAATTGCCTGGCGTGCGTTCAACTTGATGATCAAAACAATGAGAAGAGTAGCCGAGACTTCTTCGTCGACTAGGTTATTGCACACCACTCTGAATACGATTTCGAGTATGATCACATCGCCGGAATATAAACACCGAAACACGTATGCACAGGAGCTTCTCCTCAAGGTGGATGAGGCTGGTCTCAGCGGAATAAAGGCTTGGGAGTTCATGTACACAGATCGCTCATCAGAGCTTCTCAATACTTTGGAGATCAAACAAAAATCAAAGAGAGACAAGCTAATCAAAATACTGGTGGAGAAGATCACGGCAGCCCACATACAGGAAGAGTGATTCTTGATGTATGCGTATTTGAGGTGGCGATTTCATTAATCATAAAATATAAAGCGAGATCTGATTATGCGTCCCCTGATAAAGGTTTTGTTACTTATGTCGCGGCTTTTTTAATATCCTTTCGAACTCGGCTTTCGCAGACTTGTAAATCATCATTGTTGCCCTTGCATCTTCGACAGAAGAGTGCTGACCTGATTGGATCTCAACACCAAGAATCTCTCTGCTGAGCTTTTTTAGTGATGGTGTTTTGCCCGCTGCGTATTTTTTTCTGAAAGGTGTATGCTTCGCAGTATCTCTTATCATGAATCTTGGATGAGAAAGCATCAGGGCATCTAAGTCATGTCCCACGTCATGTCCCACCAAAATTCTACCGTTTAATAAATCTGAAACCTTTTTTTGGGCTTCTTTAAACGAAACAGCACCCTTCATATGCGCAGGAGTGACACCGCTCACATGCGTACGCCAATCGGTTACTTTCTCAGTGGGTTGGACAAAAGTATCGTAAACAGTTATTCCGTGATAGTTTACTAGCGAGACCCTAGCCAGGATCGAAGATTCTCCTAATTCTCCGGCCCCGACAAATTCACAGTCCATGGCCAGATATTTGCCGATTTCCTTTTTCCTATGAGATACGTTCTTTGTAGACTCTGTGATGCTAAACTCAATTGAAACATCGGAGTCTCTATTCGAAACCTCAGAAACTTTGACAGATTTGGCAGCGATAGCCGCAGCTGATCTGGGTCGTTTTTTTGCAATTCCTTTGGTTTCAGATTTTTGTTTTCTTTGTAGTTGTTTCCAATTGGAAGACAATGAAAAGCCCATTTTGAACTCCTTGAGCTTGCCGAGCGATAAATATTAAAATATAAAGAGTGTGCCAAATTTTAGTATAGTTAAAAATTTACTGAGTAAGGCTTAAAAAGATTTTTTAACACAGCCCTGAAGTCGGCATCTTTTCGATCTGGAATGAAAACATAATTATTACGTAAACCTAAGCTAAAAACGATTTTCTTAATCGACAAAAAACTAACAGGTCTGTTTATCATCAACATTACTTACAAGCCTTTTTGCAAAAAAGCCTTCATCACCGACATCAAATCACCAATTCACAAAGAAGCGATTCATTACTGAGGATATTCAACTATTGTGAATCCTCTTAAAAGGAGAAGCTCATCACTCAACAAAACGAATGGGTAGTCAATTATACAATTAGTGTTCAAGTCATATTTTACTACTTATTTCATTCATCAACAATTTTACGACGCCGAGTAACCGAGTGGTGTAGATTATACTCATTTTGCTTGTCAAATCCTATTGAAACGCATAGGTACTTTATTCTATTATGAATACCGCTTCTCAATTTCAGCAGAAGCTACAAGCGCAACAGCAACCACAGCAACAGTTTCAATCCCCTTATATGTATCAACAACAACAACAACCTTTTGCATCTTTGCAAGATGGTTTTATTCAACGTCAGCATCAAAGTCAATCTCAATCGGAGGGTTTGAATCCATCAAGCTTTTTGACTCAAACCCTATATCAAGGTGGTTACAGACCTTCTAATCAATCAGGCCAGCAAACTCAACTTCAGAGCCTCCACCAGCAACTTCAACAGTTACAACAACCGGAAACCCCGCAACAACAACAGCAACAGCTGTTTGTCTTGCAAGGTCATCAACATCAGTTCCAACAAACTCAGCCTCAGCTTTCGAGTGGGCAAATGGTTTCTCAAACCCAGCTCAACCCTATTCATGTTGATGCATCCGTATCAAGTCAAATTCACTGGCAACATCAGATGCAGCTGGCGGTCGTTGCGAAGAACTCCAACCTGCCTCATTTCTACGCTCGTCAAGCTGCATCGTCGTCGAGGAGACTTACAAGTAATCCGGAGATGTCGAGTAAACAGGGAACTTCGCTTGTGGATATAACGAAGTCCCTGTTGGCAAGCGTGCAGGAAAGCCAGCAAAGCCAAGATCAACAGCAAGCTAATGAAGGTTTGATGCAACATAAAAAGATGAGCAACGACACTTCGATTGACGAAGAAGAAGAAGATCAACGCATAAGAATTAAAGAAAACAACACACAACTTTGGACTGCGTTGGATCTCAGTTGTCAAATGATAACAACTATTTCACCTAAGTTATTCCATTACGGTTTCCTTAGAAGGTTATATCTCAATGGAAACAACCTGAGAAAAGTACCAGAGGCAATTTTACAGCTGAAATCTCTACGCGTGCTTGATCTGTCGTTTAACATGTTAAGGGAGCTCCCAGGCGAACTGGGAATGCTTTTCAACCTAAAATATTTATATCTTTTTGGAAACGATTTGAAGGAAGTCCCATATCAATTTGGAAATTTGTACCAACTTGAATTTTTGGGGGTGGAAGGAAACAAAGACTTCAACCAAGAATTTGTTAATATTATTGCAAAGAAGGGAACTCGTGGCTTAATAATTCACTTAAGGGATGAGGCTCCACGTTTACCTCCTCCTGAACCGCGCAAATGGATAGAAATTGGAGATGATGGAGAACCTAATCTAAACCCCGATGAGCAAAAACCGGCCATTGAATGTGATCTTTCTTCTCCAGGTTCTAATTCGTTTACCTTAATGAGCTACAACACGTTATGTCAACACTATGCCACACCAAAATTCTTCATGTACACCCCATCGTGGGCGCTCGCTTGGGAATACAGAAGGCAGAAACTTACGGAAGAAATACTTTCGTACAAAACAAACATTATCTGTCTTCAGGAAGTCGAAACCAAAACATACGAAGAATATTGGGTTCCATTAATGGAAAGTCATGGTTACAAGTCTGTCTTTCATTGCAAAAGTAGAGCGAGAACCATGAATGATAAGAATGCAAAGAAGGTAGATGGTTGTGCTACATTTTTCCAAACTTCAATGTTTGAGTTGATCGACAAAAAAATTATCGAATATGGAAGAGTTGTAATGACCCAAGACAAATATAAAAAGACTGAAGATATATTCAATAGGTTCATGAACAAGGATAACATAGCTTCCATCTCGATATTGCATCACATACCCACTGGAAATAAAATTGTACTGGCAAACACACATTTACATTGGGATCCAGAATTTAATGATGTGAAAACGATGCAAGTTGCAGTTCTTTTGGAGGAACTGCGTGTTCTTCTCCTAAAATATACGAATAGCAAAGACGAGTTGAATAAGATTCCTTTGCTAATATGTGGTGATTTCAACTCCCAGACAGACTCTGCTGTTTATCAATTATTCTCTCAAGGTTCAGTCAAAGAGCATTATGATATTAAAGGGAGAGATTATGGAAAATTCACCTCTGAAGGATGTACGCATCCCTTCCATTTGAAGTCTGCTTATGGAGCAATTAACGAGCTTCCATTTACAAATTTCAGTCCTACCTACACAAATGTCATAGAATACATATGGTACTCGACGGGAACATTGTCTGTTAGAGGTTTACTCGGAGAAATGGATCCCAACTATGCTAAAAGGGTCATTGGACTACCGAGTGCAGATTTTGTTTCCGATCACTTACCATTGATATCCAAGTTCGAGTTCAAGAAATCGTCCTCAGCGAAGAAAGTTAAGGTTGATTTCCGAGATGGCAGTTCCTCGAGAAAGACTTGACTCTTTGACTTTACATTTATTTACGTTTGGTGCTACGTTATTAGCTTGTATTCGTATTTTTGTACACTTTATCTTACTGTAAGTAATGTATGTCACTGCAATAATCTATCATAAAAAAACAAAAATCCGGGGAAAGACAAATAAGAGAACTTGAAGTTTTACCTTCTATGAAGTAAATGAACATTGTTACAGTAGCTAAAATTTTCAGACCTGTAGGTCGATCGCTCTCAATCAACGTGGATAACTCTATAACCAAGGAAAGAAATTGGTTTGATGTCAGCCCTTCAAAGCGACCAGCTGGACAACAGACCATCACCGTGTCTACTTACAACCTTCTCTCCCAGCAATACATGTGGCCAGAAGTTTACAATCACATACCCTCGAAATATAGAAGCTGGGAGTACAGGCTACTTCTGATAAACAGAAATCTGATAGACTTATCGCGGCTGGCAGACATCATGTGTTTTCAGGAAATGGAATTCAATGTTTATCAGGAAACGTGGAAACCTCTATTGAAAAATCACGGTTTTGACTCCATTTTCCAGAAAAAGAAGCCCCCCGTTTACTGGACGAAAAGCAAAGACCAGTTAGATGGTGTCTCTATTTTTGTCAATTCCAACAAATTTGACCTTCTTAACTACGAACCAGTCGAGTATTCTGAACACTTCCAAAATCCCCAATATTTCACTCCAACTGAAGATCTAAGAGAACGTGCTATGTCCAGAAATACTGTTGCTCTCATTGCAACAATGAGACACAAGAAAACAGGAACTATCATTTTTGTGACGAACACGCACTTGTATTGGTCCCCTGAGTTCCCCGATGTCAAAGTTTTGCAAACATACTTGCTGGCTCGTTTACTTAGAAGGACTATGAGAAATTACTATAAAGTAAATGATTATCAACTAAAAGAAATCATGCGTAATGGAGAAGCTAATGCTCTTTTGGTTGGCGATTTCAATTCTACGCCTGACTCCATGGTTTATGAGTTTTTACAAACTGGCTCGCTGAACATCGCTAAAGACACCCGGTTCAATTATGATTATGGCGAGCTTGATGGTGCTATTTTGAGAACCGGTCTTCTAGGGTTTGAGTCGCAGTACAAATCTTTGGTCAGTTCCTCTGAATTCCAACGCCGTGAGCATAGCCAGCCTTTCAAAAGATTTATTGATTATATCTGGGTGAACAAGTATAGCAAAAATCTGATACCTATCAGAGTTCTCGGAGACATAAATATTGAACATCTGGATAGATTTTCATGGTTTCCTAATGAATCATATCCAAGCGATCACCTTCCAATGCTAGCTCAATTTGGAATCAGGTAAGTAACAATATCAAAAATGTGCACATTATGATACCATCATTGGTATGGAATGATGCTTTCAGCGATAGACTGAAAGTAAAAGTTGAAAACTTATCAAAAGTTGCTCTACCATCAGATAACTTATCATGGTTTCTTCGTCATCGGATATGTTGTCCCGAGTCTTCTAATGCTTGAAACTATCATTTCCCTTTGTAGGTCAGCAGCATTAAAGCAATTATAATCTCAGATATTTCTTAATGTGATCCCGGTTACCTATCTGCATTGAAGCCTGCTTTAAAGACTCATAAGACATCATTTTGCATAATGAAAGTTTGTTCCTTGAAGGCTATTTGAAATGATCACTCGAAACACAATAAATTACTACTTTGAAGTCTATAAACTCTTTTACCCCAGAACGAACATGCAGCTTTACTTTAAGTTTTCCCCGTACGAAAGAAACTTTTTTTTGCGGTGGCCCAAACTTAAGTATTGTTAATGCTCGATCTGCACTCTCGATAAGGAACTTTTTGGAATGGCGCTGAAGAAGGTAAAAGACGAACTTGGTACTACCTTGTATTTCACGGGACGGCAGACGAGGAGATCAAGACTTTCTGCTAGTCCATCAACAGTTTCCGGTACGGACAAAACTGATGATGCAGAGGAAAAGTTTACATTTGAAAGCAAACAAAGGTTAAGCATTTTACCACGATCAACCGAAAACCATGATATACTGAGAAGCAAGCGTAGAAGAATTCAAGTCAAAACCGAGAACGACCCAAAAGGTTTGATCGCAGAAGCTAAACCTAAAAAGCAACGCGTAACTCAAGTCAATTTCAAGGAGAACCTACCTACGCAGCCTCCACCACATTTTTGGCCGATGTACAATGAGATCAAGAAAGTGAGAAGCAGGATAAAAGCGCCTGTTGATGAAATGGGCTGTGCAAATGTGGCGACTACAGTTTCTGGTCTCTCCGAGGGAAAAGTATACAGATTCCAGTGTCTTATATCGTTGATGCTTTCTTCGCAAACTAAAGATGAGGTCAACTTTCAAGTGATGAAAATATTACAGGATTACTTTCTTTCTAAAGGTTACAAACATGGTTTATCATTGGAGGCCATACTCGACACCGACGAACTCGTCTTGGATCAGCTAATTTATAAGGTTGGTTTTCATCGAAGAAAAGCGACATATATAAAGCAAACGGCTAAGATTCTTCATGAGAAATACAATGGAGAAATCCCACGAACAATTGAAGAGATTACCTCCTTTCCTGGTGTCGGTCCAAAAATGGGATTCTTGTTATTGCAAATAGCTTGGAATATCAACACCGGTATAGGAGTGGATACACACATGCAACGAATGGCAAAGATATTCAAATGGGTACCACCAAGCAAGAATATGAGTCCCGAATATGTTAGACGATGTTTTGAAAGTATGCTTTCAGATCACAAAGAAGAATGGTCAAGAATCAATCCCATTCTAGTTGGTTTTGGGCAAGTTGTTTGTCTGCCTCAGAGGCCACGATGTGACGTCTGCCCTTTGTCAAGGACAGGCATTTGCCCTGCAGTCGATAAAGCTTTGTTGAAAAAGGCTGATCTTGACAAAAAGAATGGCATCAAAATTGAGTCGAAAAGCCGAGGCGATCTATCCAATTTGATCAAAGACATTGAAGATTTACGTTAAAACTCAATTAATTTTTCTCCAGATTCTCAACAAGACGGTGACGATTGCGTCTCGAATACTACTTGGACAACCGCAAACTCAGTGGAGTAATTCACAGAGGGAACACATGGAACACTAATAATTGAAAAACCTGTACCAATTTATTTGAGCTGTCTGTTAACTATGGCAGTCTTTCGCTCGTCATTCAATGAAATACCTTTCTATCTGAACTCATTCCCTAGTTGTGAAATTTTGATTTGACCTCTTGAAGCGCTTGCGGGAATTTCCTTCTATGCCTTGCTTTATAAAGCATTCCCTGAATTGTTTCTACCCAGGAGGACAACATTTGAGCTACTACCGAAGTAGACTGGAAAGTCAAGAGTGTGACGACTCTTGCGAAGCTGCTCAGAAGTATCGTAACTTCTGATTGGTGATTAATATTAAGATTATTGCTGAGACTCAAATGATCAAGAGTTTTGCTCTCCATCATTAAGAAGACCTAGAGAACCATGTCATATATGGATTTGTCTTGTGGATTATATATTTACTCATGCCTCCCAATTCGAATTCAGCAAATTCCTGACTTACAACAGAGTTGTTTACCATTATGACTGGAATACAATCAAATCACTGTCACTTTTCTTGAAATTGATAAGTTGGAATGTAAATACAAGAACAATGGATGCCAGAAACATGTATATCATAATACTATCTTGAAAGTTGCATTGTGTCGATGATGAGTGTTCTTGTAGTTATGCGGCGTACTACGGTAGATTTGTGACGTATTGACGTCCAAAAGCTTTTCTCAGCGATATCGCTTTAAATTGTCCTCGCACAACGACGACATCATCTTGCGTAGCCATTTATCATTTGTGTGTGGGGTCCGTGTGATAGGGTAATTTATTCCCCGGTTATAAAAAAGGTCCACGAAAAAGACATTCATCTTCTGCAAGCTCATCGTCTTCGTGAGAGGACGTGATTGTCGATAGCGCTAAAGGCATAGGCAGAGCTCGTACGACGTTCTTCACCAGCTGTCTGTTTGTTACGAGACTCCGTATCGGGTGTTATCTCAAGTAGCATTCAGTTAACGTTACTCGATTGCCTTGAGATATAGTTCTAGACTAGAGCACGTTCATTGTCATGGAACCGGCTGATCAGTTTTTCCATCTACTGGTATTCTTAAACGTATTTTGATAATATTGAATCTTTTGGAGCTATGTTAGAAATGGTATATGACTCAGGTCTCGAAAATAAAAGACTATGAGCATAGTTCATGGCCGCTGGCATCAATATCCAAATATCTTTGAGATAATGTTTTTTGTCAACAATTTAGGTTGCCCAAACAACAGAGTTGCTGAGTTATAAATGCAGAATCAAAAAAAATCATATTTTCGTCCTATCCCTCACCTTTCTCGTAAATGAATTCGATCTGTAAACTGCGTAGATGCGAAATTACCTTTTTTGAAAGTAAAACCGTGGAGCGCAAATGTCTATAAAATTCAACATAGTGGATCATTGCACGGTTGCAACAAGTCTTGAGACATTCTAATCGCAAATCTTCTTAATCGTATACAAGTTCTTCTTTATTTCTATTATGATAGTTCTCCATCGCGTGATCTTTGGACGATTTCTTAATCTCTTGCGCGAGTTTCTTTCCCAACTCACCTTTCTGGTTCTTTTTCTTTTCCTGTTCGAATCGATCTTTCGCAGCTTGTGCGGCTAACTCTTTCGCGCTTAGACCGTTTGCTTCATTTTCTGAAGCACCCCCCAGCCGATGTCCTTTATGCTTGGAAGCTCCTGCTTCTGCGTGGTTTTGAGGGAGAGCTGATTTTCCTGTTCTCGTTTTTTGTACCTCCTTTGATCCGCATAGTCCCATCTCGCAAGAAAGTATCCAAAACTACGAAAGTGAGCCCAGATCTTGTAAACAAAGTAGTATCCAGCACGTAGTTGGGATACCTCTCTCAAAATTGGTCTTTTAAAGCAAATAGAATCAATATTTTCAGGATAATAAATAATAACTTGGGAATTGAGCCGAATTGGAACTATAGACAAATAAATTAAAATGATAAAAGTTACTACTTTTTTTAATTAACCTTCGAACTTATCTGGTGGTCCTTGACAAAGAAATCCAGTTGATCCAATGTTAAATTTTCAGTATCTATTTTTCGAATGTTGTTAAAGATGTGCGAGTAAGCAGCATTTAGTTTCGTGTCTTCTCGTTGATACGAATAATAGTTAGATGAGTTTGCAAAATAAGGTGAACACTTTTTCCATAACTTGAAGTACAAATCAACTTTTTCTTGAGATACAATTTTAGAGTTGATTGTTGCATCCCTGATAGCAAGCCAATCCGCATTGGCGATCTTTCTGTAACCCATCGAAGCATTTGCTGAGAGTAAATTTTGTACCAACTTGATAATTTCAAAGGCCTTTAAAGTCAATGAACCGGATGCTTTCAAACAGCACCGATAAAAAACATTGGTCTTCGGGAAATTATATAGGTCTGCTGTTTTGACAATAGTATGGAAAACTTCGCTATTATTCCAAGCTGAGGAATTTGTAAGTAAACAATTGAAAAATGGCTCATCCATAGATTTGACGTTTGAATAAGCTTTAATTACCTGTTTGAGATGTTTGATACCATCAGGAGTGCAACGAGGATACTTCGAAAAAAATATCTTGAAAAAGAGATCGTTCAGTGATGATGACATAGAAGAGTTAGAACGATGGTGTCTTTCGTTATATTCCCACGTTCTCTCCCAAACGTTCTGCACTAAAGTCAAATCATTAGTTGATTGCCAGAGTTTCACCATGTATGGCTTGATGTAGTTGACTTGGAGAGGAGTGGGATATGGTAATTGACCTTTCGCAGCGCTCTCAAAAAACATATTTGAAGTCGCAATATCGGCCGAATAAGCAATGAATGAAAGATGTGCATTAGTCATATAACTGAGCATTTTCTGTGATGGTGTTTTATTCAAATTTGCACATTCTTTGCAAATATCAGATGTTATTTGTTGGAACAATTCTCCTGCGACACCTGTTTCACCTTTCACAAGACAAGCTTTGATCATTCCAACTACTAATTCTGGGTGAATATCATTTTGTCCTTTATCTAGTTTGGCCTTTTTGAATTTAATATGGTCGTATAATTCTTTAACTTCTTTCAAGTCAAAGTCGCCCGTATCGACCAGGAACTGAATAACGCTACCTAAAACTGGCTCCGAGTCAAAAATTGGTTTTAGTCTATTATTATTCTTCCCCTGCTCCCAAAATTGTACAGCTTCCTCAACAAAACCCAAGTCCTTGTAAGCTTTGAATATATTGGATATACCAGCAGGACTGACGTGAAGGGTTCGATACCTCAGTATTTCGTCTGTTATTTTTCTTAACGCTTCTATCAGGTAAGTTTTCGTACTTTTTAGCGAGTGGTGCAAGTCATTGTCTAGATTCTTATTTTGCTTGGCAAGCTGGTATCTGTGTATTCTTAATCCGTTTCGCAGAAGAGATATTAAGCTGTCCATTCTGTCTTCATTTAACTCTCCTGTATGCAGAAGATTATCATACAAAGGCATTATTTTGTAGATACTTTGCCAAAATGCTTCAATCCCCCCAATCACTTCTCCCGTCCTACTATCGTATGTGCAATTTTGAGATGTACACTCGTCGAATGCCATCAGCTGTTTGTAGTAAGGAAGTGATTTTTTTGGTAAATGAGAAATCATATTATTGAGTTTCGGGAGCAGTTCATTGATTTTGTCTGTATTGGTAGCGTTCACGACTTGAATCTTAGAGTACTGCCTGACAGGAAACAGATACCTTCTTACAGTAGTGGTACATACTCTTATGAGCCCGCGTGATCTTGGTATCATTATAGAATTCTCACAAAGAAAAATATTTTTATTGGTATTCGGAGCTAAAAAATAAAGATTAAGCTGTCTTCGTTCGAGCTAATCTGATCTCCAATTTTGAATTTGACAGACCGAATTGCATTTCTAGCTTGTTCAGTACTCTACTAGAGCTTGAAGCTTTTGCAGCTCTAAATGGCGTCATTACCTCCGCTGACAGAATCTCTCATTCCTTTCTTAGATCCATACCTGCCTCGAATAAATCCAACAGCTGTATTAGATAAAGCCGAAACTGATGACAGTCTTCCGTTTATTACTTTAACATTTGCACAATCCATTGATTCAAGGATCAGTAGCTCTCCTGGTGCCAGGACCTCGATTTCACATCTAGAAACTAAAACTATGACCCATTATCTACGATCCAAGCACGACGCCATACTCATCGGAATCGGTACTTTTCTGGCCGATGATCCGATCCTGAATTGCCGTTTCAAAATCAATCATGACGACTCAAGTCATTTGATAAGACCCGTGATCATTGATCCTACATTCAAGTTAGGTTTTTACTATGAAAAGTCCAAACTCAGGCAAGCTTTCCTGGAGAGCAAAGGACTTCCACCAATTGTTTTAGTGAGACTATCAGAAATTAGATCAAATCCGGAAATCAAGAGCTTTTGTACTCTACATAAGATTATGCTGCTTCCCATAGAAACTGAGCCAGCATCCGAATTTCGATGGTTGAAGGTGTTCAAAGAATTGAAGAAACGACATATCAAATCAATTATGGTTGAAGGAGGCGCCTCGGTAATTAACAGTCTGCTTTTGGCCAGAGATCCAAGCAGCGGGAAGTCGTTGATCAATTCACTAATTATAACTATCGGTCCGGTCTTCCTAGGCAAATCAGGAGTTGAAGTATCTCCTTGTAAAGAACTCCGCCTTACAGATGTGTCTTGGTGGACTGGTGTGCAAGATTCTGTGATATGTAGTCACTTGAAGTGATACTACTTTTCAAGAAATGTGTAAGGATGTAAGTTACTGCAGTAAACGCTAGAATGACTAAATTTCGTTCACATTGACGTATCTTTTATACAGCGTTGAACCTTAAAGACAAATTCTGTAGGATGCATATCTTCCAGACGTCTCGGATCTTCTAATAATCTTGACAACCTGTCCACGGCGAAGACCCAGGTATCGAGCAACGGGGTCCTCTCTTTGAATTCGGGGTAGTTGAGATTCTTTTAGTCTATACCGAGCCAACAATTCCTTTTTCTCCTCGGTTGACAGCCTGATATGTTTGGGGACTAATTCGTGGTGGGTAATATTGACTATGATATCAGCTTCCTGAAATGTCTCAATAACGGCTGGCTCCGCAACTGCGATTGCTTTTGTGGCCGAAGGAGTCATATTTTGTTGGTAAATGAAAATTCCTGTAGCAAAATTCTTGTCTGCGATATGCTGGCAAAAATTCTTCATAGTGGTTATCCCAACAGAAGGCTCATCACAGAACTCAACCCATAATGGTCCCAAATCTCCATATTTCTCCGCAGCTTCTTGAGAAGCATTAGCCTGAAATGACATAAGTTTTCTCTGTGGCATTCCCATGGAATCGCATATCTTTTCTCTGAATTGGTCAAGAGAAATATCGATTTCCTCTTGTGTTATGTAGTACCCACGGTCTCTCACCATTTCCTTCACAGTTCTGTAAGCCCTCCATAATTGAGAGGTGGTTCGTTCAATGTCATCCATCTTTGGGCGTATGGTTTAGTAATGATTGACAAGGATCGGTGATATACTCTCAGCGAAGAAGCGCAATATTGAAGTATCCCAAACTGATACACACCCACTCTTTGACTAGAATACAAGAATGACCTTAGCTGACCAAGTTCACCGTAACAAAAAAAAAAAACTTTTAAAGATCATACATTATTTCCGGGTAACTAAAAGACTAGTCTTCAAAGCTGAACACTAATTCAGTATCTGCACTCGTTCTCCAAATTCGAGTCTTAACAGTAAGTAGAGTCATGCGAGGGTCTAGCTTCTGGCCTTTACACCATAATTGAATTCTCTTCTCTTGTAATGATTCCGGTAGCTTTTCTCTAACAAATTCACAGACTCTTGCAATTCGCAATTGTTGATAAGCATTTAGGCGGTGTGAATCAAACCCTTCCAAGCTTTCGGCATTGATCGACGGATGGGGAACAATTAGGAATACAATTTTAGGAGTATCTTTGACAGCGGCGTAACCAAATAACAAGTATTTGAGAGCCCATAAAGGCATTACTTTTTCCAGGATTGGATAGCAGCTCTCGATTTCTGACTTTCGGGAACTGAACAAAGCTTTGGTTTCCGTCATTCCCTTTTCACTTATGACTATGAGAACATCATTGGACTGCGAAACTTCAGGGTTATGATCAATGACGATTTTGGGCTTAAGCTGACCGGTAGCGATATAATTTTGCAATTCACTGTAGCTGTTAAGATTAGGTAATATGTCTGCCTCGGTTAAATTTTTCATTTGTTCAGCGGAAGACTCCTCATTGTTTGAGGCAGAAGCCGTGCTAGAAGAAGCAGCTTTGTACTTGCCAAAGAATTTCCGTTTCGCCTTTTCCTTGTCGTTGTCGGATGATTTCTCTCCAATGGAGTCGTTAACACTTGCCAGAGAGACCAGATTTTCTTTGTTAATAACTTTCGATAATACATTCGATGAAGCCGTGGAAGTACGTCGAATGCCGCTCTGATTGCAAGATAAATTCGCATTTCTCGTCTTGAGAGATTCTTTTTCATAATCAGCAAAACCAAGAAATAAAGATTTCAGTACCAACTTTCCAACGTTTAGCTTTGTAGATTCTGGATCGCTGTTTTCGTCGTAGTCAAATCTGAAATTTCTATATTCCGTCTCAAATTCGTCTAGGTAGATATCGCAGCTAGCAAAGTCAGACTCCTCCATAGTAATCACTAGTTTCCCTGCTTTCGCATGAGCACTGCACCACATTGGAAGAGATTCCATAGTTTGGATTTTTTGAATAAAATGATCAAATTGTGTATCAATGTCCATTTCAGTTGATTTGTTACCATGATCAGACAGATGTATCTCCTTCTTAAGTGAGCAGTCAATGACATCAAAAATGTACATCTTTCCACCATCATCCAAAGCGGCCACATGTCGGCGATTATTCAGCATTCTACATTTGATTATTCCATGTTTCCCACGCAATACCTCAATCGGTCTAGAATTATAAGGAACAACAGAAACATAACCATCTGGTAGTCTTTGAAAAACAATGTCTAAAGGTTTTTTCTCAAAGTTGTTCCGTATTGTATTGTGAATCGGATCCTCGTAATCGTCATTGGTAATAAATTCAAAGCTTGGACCCCCGTTTAAATTGACGAAATATGACTCTCGTCCATCGTCCACTTCGGATTCGGTTTCTGAATCGTTCACAGTCAGATTTCTCAAGCCGCTGGCGGATAAAGAGCCCCCAACTTCAAAAGTGGGTCTGTGCAATTTCATCTGTGACTTTAAAGCATCATCGATATAATCCAAACTCTCACTTGAGAATTGACTGGCTATATCAAGATTCTCAGCACGTGTGGTTTCGATTGAGTTTCGATTCGTCATGTTCAACATCGACAAATTTCTGTTGAGCTTGATACCTTGGTAAAGTAATAATTTGTCTGTCTTGGGAATCGTCCAATCAGTTATGAATCCCAAATCACTAGTTGCACTAGAAGCCCATATAGAATTGCTGGAACCTGTAATACTAAGAACTCCTGCTTTATCAAACTGCTCATTTCGATTAGAACTCATTCCAGAGTAAGAATTCAAATCTGCAACTGTGGTAGCTATACCAAGACTTTGATTCATTCGAGAGTTTAAGTAATTCTCGTTGAAAATATCAAAGTCAGACAAGTTGGATGATCGGAGATCCGTCTTCATTAGAAGACCGTTCTTGTCACCCGAATAAAAAATGTCAAAGTCTGATTGCTCCTTGGGCACATAAAGCGACCAAACAGATGATTCGTGTATGTCTAGATTCCTCATTATCCTGTTCGTCCTCAAGTCCCATAGCTTTATCGTCGCGTCAGATGATCCAGAAAGTATTCCTCGGTCCTTGAGGCATAGACTGCGAACAGCGTCTGTATGACCAATGAATGATCTCACTGGTTTTATCATAGTCCGTTTGTCAAATAAGTAAATAGTCTGCGAGGGACCTCCAGAAACTATCATGTTTCCGTGACAGGCAAGTGCATACACAGACCTGTTCTCTTCTGTGCTCGTGAAAAATGCCGATTCTTCTTGTTTCGCTATATCCCAAAGTCTAATGGATCTATCAAGACCACCTGATACAAGCTCTTTTTTATTGAAATCCATTGTCTTGACATAGTCATTGTGAAACCCAACAGTTGAAATAACATTTGTCTCATAATTCCAAAGTCTCACTGCAGAATCATGCGAACAAGATGCCACTAAAGAAGTTTGTGGAAGGACACACATATCGGTAATCCAGTCTAAGTGCATTTGTGCCGACTTTTTCATTTTGTAGCAGGATTTTTGAGGTCTAATGTGGTCCATTCCTCGGCGAATACTCTCCTCAAGTGACATAATGACTGGTTCATTGGTAAGATTATTCTTGATAAAAGATTTGACTTCAGGTGCGGTGAGGTTCAATTGATCAAAGTCGTCATAATCTGGATCCAATTTTAACTCTTCAGTGGGAAAATGCATCAAAATCATGCCATCTCTCCCACCCGAAAACAGGATCTCTCTGTCCACATCATATTGAAGTGAATTTACACCCAAAGAATGAGTAGTAGAAGTATCTGAGTCGATGACAGTTGTGTCTAAAATGTAGCTGATAGTGTATTTGGAGTCCTTAAGTGGATGCATTGTGTCAGACTTCGTAAATTTGACAACTTTTTTCTAGCACATAGATTATTGACTAAAATGCGCACGTCGTCTTAGCTAGTTGAGTTGAAAGGCACGAACTTCAATTTGAAATATCATGCATCCAATCTTATGTAAACAAACACATCGAGCAACAATTTTTCAGTATTTGTTGCCACCCCACCAAGTGACTTTTCTGTATGTCGTGGGAAGCTCCAAGTGTGATGCAGCAAAAAAACCGAGCCTTCCCGATAAATTTTGGGGTGACACAGAACGATCTCCATTATTCTACCGTATTTATTATAGTTGACCTGCTAGGGTTATTAACTAGCTCATAGTTTTAATCGTTCCGGGAGACTTTGAGCAGCGCAATCTCAGTTGGACTATTTTTAAGCATAGGTAGTGAATCTCCAGGAAGGCACCCACGATCATTTATATTTGATTGTTAGTCGCGATCGCACAATTGTCAGTTTCCTTGACTACAAAAGTATAGAAGCTTGAGTTTGATTCATAATGGGTAATGCACCAGCGAAGGAAGCACGCTCTCCATCAGGATCCTTTTCAAAAGACAACGTTGTGTCGTCCAAGTCTTTCGTCGGGTTGTCTAAAAGAAAGAAAGAAAGAGATAGGGAGAAACGAAGGCAGAAGGAACAGCATATGCTGGATCTCATAGTCCGCTATCAGGAGAACGTAGACGGAGGCTACCTAGCGCCATATGGAAACTATAAAGATGGTCTGAACTACAAAACAGACGTTGTTCGAGAATTGATAATTGAGAGAAAATTGGCTCCATTTTATACACCATTGGAAGATTTTGACGAAAGCTGGACGGACGGCGAACTTCTCAGCCGTCTCAAGCGCCTTAACTTACATGCCCCAACAACTGAGTTGCTTTTAGATGAAGATGAAGATCCAGATGATCATAAAATACACCAAAGTGCTAGTTCCATGCGAAGAAAAGAACACAAGGCATTCAAGCGTCATCTTTCCGAGATGTCGATAAAGTTTCAGCGAGATGCAGAGTCTCGTTTCAGTAGAGACAGATCAGTGAGTGAGAGCGGGATCAAAACTTATCCAAACATTCCCTCAGACGACCTTCTTTTGACGCTATACCGGAATGCTATCGAATGTCCAATATGCTTTCTTTATTACCCTCCCAACCTTAATCTGTCGCGATGTTGTGTTCAACCAATATGTACCGAATGTTTTGTTCAACTGAAACGTTTGGACCCACATCCGCCTCACGACGAGGGAGTTGCTCCTAATGCTTCCACGGAACCGGAGAAATTAGCTGATGAGCTTATTAGCGAGCCCGTGAACTGTCCTTTCTGTGCGATGTCTGATTTTGGTGTAACGTACTCACCACCTAACCTATGGACTGGTATTGGTGGAAGACCACCAAGAGACTTCAACCTTATACCGCAAGTGATTCACGAAGATCCGAACACGCCTCAGGGTGGTAGTCGCTCTTCCGACTGTCAAAGGAAAGCTTCTCTTAGCTATGCAATGACAAAGTCACATTCTGCATCAGGCACTCCACCCAAAAAGTCTACCTGTTTATCGGAATATAGGACGAACCAAGGTCAAAAGAGTTTTGAGGACTCCGGATCCATGAAGTCTAAGAATAGTGATGACGGTTTTCATATTAAAAACGCCGAAGGCTCCGACCCTGCACGGAGAAGAAGAGGTTCTCTGCCTGCGAAGGCGCCTGGAGTAATTACAGTGGACCTCATCCATCCTGATTGGGAACAAAAATTACTGAATGCGAAGTCGAAACTTGCAAGAAGATCTGCTGCTGCTACTGCTTTGCATGCGTCGTCTTTGATATATGACCGAGATGACTCTCACCACACATATACGAGCAGGTTCGAAAGTTCGTACCGGAGAAGCGACAGTTCAAATGGGAATGATCACAATAATCATACAAGTATTGAGGAGCGAATGATAGAAGAAGCTCTCAAATTGTCATTGCTTGACGAAGAAGAAAGAAAACTGAAGGAGCGTTTGAAGAGATAATGGCCAGTTGATGATTGACGCGTTGTTGAGAATGAAGCTACGATACATCATATGTTTTACTAAGTATTTAAGAATCGAATTTTGTACACTATGTGGTGTTTGATATTTTGTGATCGTGAAATCAAGGCAATAAACCTCGACCTGAAAATTACCCGTAATCCTGGATCTGCGCCCTTGATACACATCTCAATTGTTACCACCATTGAATGGCATTATTTTGCGGATTTCATGTAGTCATCATTTCGTGAAGAGATTATAAAATGATGACGTAAGGAAATTTTTGGCTCACTACTATAGTAAAACTTCATTTATAATCGATGAATAAAATATTAATTTAAAAGTTACACCTTTTTAACAAATTTTCGGCTTCTCGAGTACTTCTTGACAATCCACACTTTTATTTCAATCTGCTGCTGAATTCTCTAGTAGCGCTCTTATTTTTTTAGCTGAAGGTCGGTAGGTGCTTTAGACAAAATCCCAACTTCTAGCGAGTGATCATCAATGGAAAATGGAACCCAATTCAATATGGGACATATACATGTCAGCCAAGAATATATTGCCACTCTATCCTAGAATTGAGAACAGAAATTTGAGAGAAGAGAACTTGAAATTACAACAGCAGCTTCGTGCTAAGCCAAGTGATGGAAGTCAGATACAGGTTAACGGAAATTCTCTTACTCCGTGTTCGAACTCCCATGTTTCGTCTTCACCTGTAGTAATGAAAAATTATCAAAGTTTTAGTTGCAAGCAAGAGCTTGAAAAGACTGCAGTGGAAGACAGGTATTCATCGGATAGCAATATGAGCACTTCGAATTTGATAACACCGCCAAGTGACCTTCAAACTAGCGTTCAACCTGCAGCTTCTTCTCCAACTACGAATTCAAATTTTGTCACACCTGTATCTATGTCCGAAAGCCCCAAAAGTCTGCAAAATAAGAAAGCAAGGGAACTAAACGATATGCTACAGCTGAATTTAGATGACTTGTTGGTCCTTAAGAACGACAAAACACTTTTGTGTGAACATGATCCTCAACTATTTAAGAACTATAACGGGAAACTTTCTAACAATTTAAACCAGCTTAAGTCATCCCCGTCTGTTTCATCTCAGAATATGACCGTATTTTCACAAAATTCAGAAGCTTTAGGAAGGAATCCTTTTGCTTCAAAGTCGCAATCTTCCAATAATGATTGGGATAGTTCAATTTCTTTAGCATCCAAACCTAAAAATATCAGCGTGATCAGGGAGACACATGATAGTCAACAGAGTCATTCGGATAGAATCTCTGTGACTCCTCCATCGAAGCCTCTCTCCAAGTGTTTCAATTGTGGCACTACTAAAACCCCTCTTTGGCGGAGAGACTCTCAGGGCAATACTCTCTGTAATGCATGTGGCTTGTTCCAAAAACTTCACGGAACAATGAGGCCCCTATCACTAAAGACCGACATCATCAAGAAGCGAAATTCGAAGCGGCAGTCCTTTAGTCAAATTCAGCAGGGTGGTATCTTCAACAAGCAGTTTGGCATGAGTCCTTCGACCACGACAACGCAGCAAAAATTGCTTTTCCAAGGTAATTCACAAACTTTGAGCAATCCCGAGGTACTTGGATCATTTCAAACAAACCTTCACCCTAGTATAGCTGCCAATCAAAGCGTGCTTATGTCTCAAAACTTCTCTGATTCACCGAACTATATTCAGAGGCCAAATATGGATACATCATACGACAATCAAAGTTTTCCTCATTTTGGATCGCAACCAGGGCATTTCTATCATTTAGGAGGAAACAGACAAGCAGTGCCCCCAGTGAACAACAGTCGGTCAAGAAATGTTCCAATTCTTCCCAAACCGTCAAATCGATTACCGCAATCACTTTCAAATCCAAATACTCCATTAGCAACCACTCCTATCGCACCTCAATCTCCAACAGGTTATTCTCCGACAAACTCAGGATCTGTCCCAAACTCTGTTAGTCATTCCCAACCTCAAGATATACCACGATTCAAGAGGCTCAAATCAAGGAGTTGTCTGTCTGCTGTATCAGATACATCCTCTCCTCCTTCAGCACCCATGCGTTCTAACTTTTCCTCTCGACAAGGGTCCTTCCCCAAGAATCTTTATCACGACATTCAAGCTAAACGAGGGATTATTAGTCAGGAAATGATTACGGGTGATGCGTCTGTGCGCATGAATTCTGTGGTGGATGGCGATATCAATTTTGGACGATCTAAATTTCACAAAAACGGATCTTATGATCCGTCTCTCGTTGACTCCAAAGATGAAAGTTGCACGTTCAAAGATCTTGATTGGTTGAAGTTTGATGTTTAATGATCCTTTTGATGTTTTGCTAATACAAACTCACGATGGTTATCTATGTCTTGGAGGCCTGTTTTTTTTGATGGCTAAGCTATTAAGGACAGAATCCTGATTTGCTATTTACGCTTTGGGTCTTGACGCTCGTTGTTCATGCTTTGCCCATGTATATTCCCTTCGTCTTGTATCTGTAATGGATATGGATCAACTACTTTTGTTCCTTGTCTATTAGTGAGAGCAACGTCCATATATCTACTCTTTAGCTGGTCTCTGAGCGCTTATTTGCAGACAGTTATAGATCAAAAAATCCCGATTGCTAACGTTTTATTTTTTTTTTTTTTGGCTTCTTCTGTTTGGACGGTATCGACACTGAAAGAGTTCTTGAAGGCTCTAACAATTGAAACTCTCAACAGATTGATGTTAACTATTCTCTACGATTCAATAGATATTTTGAGATGTTCCAAAATACATTTGGGCTAAATGCAAGCAATAGAGGTAATCAACATAGTAGTACGAATTTAACACCTTCAGGTTCAGATTGGACACAAAATAATGGAATTCTTGTGGAGATTACAGGTTGGACAAATGCTGATGAAAAGGATTTGTCATCTTTCATTCATAGGAAGACGAAAATCAATATTAGGCTCATCTATGCGGACCGTACAACTGGAATTTTGAAAGCTTCGGTGAAAACAGATGGAGATGCAAACACCTTGAGCAAATGCAATGGTATCCGCTTTGCAGGCAACACTCTAAGAATCAAGATTCTCTCCTCTTCGGGTAACATATCGGCCGCAGGGGGTAATAGCACTTTGGTATTAATCAAATCTGCTCTTTCTTCAAGGTATGACTCCACGTCTAGACTACTTAATTTGGATGGCATACGCAATGATGCTAACCCTGAGCTGCGTGAAGTTCTTGCAAACTCTCAAACTGCATCAAAATTCTTTTTAGCGATGTTGAAGATCGCTCTTAAAGAAGAATATGAGATTGACTCGTTGAATTTGTCCAACAATAATCTAGGTAACAATTCAAGAGATCTCATCGAAATGGCAATTTCTTTACCAGGCTTGAAAAACTTGGCATTATCTAATAACAACATCACCAAGCTTGACACCCTCGAAAAATTGAAGAATAAGTTGCCTCACTTACGGGAACTATGGATAACAGGTAACCCGATTGATAATCCTACATCTACAGGGGAAATCATCAAAATTTTCCCCCGTCTGATCATACTGAATGGGTTACCGGTAAGAGACGAAAGCAAACTTTCAAAACTGCTCTCTTTTCCTATTCCGAATCAAAGTTTGTTTTTTGAGTCGTCAGATTTACAAAGAGTCGCAATAGAATTCATTACGACTTATCTCAGGTTATGGGACCATGATCGCACGAGCCTAGTTAGCCTATTCTCTCCAGAATCTCAATTTTCTTACCATTTTGACACCACTCATATTGTGGATGCTCCTATAGGTTCCATAGAATCTAAGGCAGTCAGGGTGCCACATTCTGTCGCCAGTTCTTGGGGTTCATATATATCTAATTCAAGAAATCTGATGCGAGTCTCTGGACTCAGGCCCCGGCTGTCTAAAGTATTCAAAGGTGGAGAACAAATTAAGCAAGCCTTTCGATCATTACCTGGAACCAAGCATGAACTTCAAGAAAATCCCCAAAACTACTCTATTGAGGTTGTTTCAGTGCCTGTTTTGAATGCCATGCAAATATCAATTCATGGTGGGTTTCAGGAAGTTTCGCCTCCTGTCGCTACCGGTAAAGAATCTAGTACCAGGCAGGGGGGTCGATTTGGAGCCCCGAATGCAAATACTCGTTCCTCTTTGGAGAAACGCTCTTTTGATCGGTCACTAATGGTGATAGCTGGTCCTAATGGATCTTATATCGTGGCTTCTGACATGTTACTGCTCAAGCCATTTTCGGGTTTAGGCGCTTGGTTCCCAAAGTCTCCTCTGGAGGCAACTCCATCTTTCTCTGATTCCTCGAATGGACATGTGCTGGCAAATGCAGTGGAACCAATTTCAATTCCTTCAGACATCGCAGCGAACTTGAACCTGTCACAGCAGCAAGTTTTATGCAAGGTAATGACGGAGACGAACTTGGTTTTACAATACTCTTTATTACTTTGTGAGCAAAGTAACTGGGATTACGGTACAGCTCTGATGAACTTCCAAAATTCCAGATCTCAAATTCCAGGGGAAGCTTTTCAATCATAATCGATTTATATATTCTTTCCCATGCGTGCACATAAGAAAGAAAATACAGTGGGTGAAAATGAACATAAATTTTAACTCATTACATTTTCGTAAACAGTTCAGTTTATTTGAACGCTAAAGAATCATTGAACACAATGGGCGATGAGCGTTCTTGACTTTTACTCAGAAGACATAGTAGCGGGTGAAGAACCTGAAATTCTGGAAACTTCAAATCCAATATGCTTTGACGAATCGTCTTATTCTTCTGAAATTATTCATCCATGTGTGTCATCAGGTACTACGGCTTATACACCTGATCAAGAAAATTTATCAGAACTTGAACGTCGGCTACAGTTTACACAGTCGGAACGCTACGACGGAAGTAGACCAATCATTCCTGATGAGTGCACATTAATTGTGGATGAATTCCTATACAAATTACGCGAACGCGTAACCTCTTCAAAATTTGAAAGTGACTTGGAAGACTGGACTTTGATCATTGAAACCCTGAAAGAAAAAAGCCGTTCACTTCGCAACGCCTATGAGACAAAGCATAATCGCCTTCCCGAAGATGAGCCTGAATTAAATTTGAATGTTGATTCAGAGACCACTTCGAGAATTTTTCTGTTACTGGAAAAAGTGCAAATGCTGGAAAAATTGACAGGAATTGTAAGCAGACCAATTGAAAATGGTAGCATACAATTGCAGCTTAATGTTCTGAATCAAAAAATTGAAGCTCTGATGTCTTACATGTCCCAGCAAAGCAAAAATGTGTCTAGCAAAGTAACAACGGATAGCTTGTTCTCGATCGAACGAGATAGCTCCTTGCTTCAAAAGATCGAATATCTGTATGAGAGGTATGCATCATTGCGCATATCTAATTTGGAGAGAGTCAATGCTCAGTTAAAATCCATTGGTTTGGTGGCAAATTCTATTGCCCCTTCATGCGACTTTCTCAACAATTTAGGCAATGAGCTCAATACGATGCAACGACAAATAACAAATTGGGAAAGCAAGCTTTCTGATTTAGAAGAATACATGGCCGAAAGCCGCAAAATAAACTGGGAAAATCAATCTCAAGTAGATATATGGATAAAAAAACTAGAGAAAGAGCTACACAAATAATTAGTTCATAGTTTCATTTTGTCACTATCGTTACCACATCCTGATCATGGACTAAATGGTTTAGACCACATTTTTGGGGAGCCACTCCAAATTTCGATGATGAGCCCCAAACCAGAGCATACTTAAAGTTGTCTTTTAAATCTTTGTGAATTGAATTGCAAACATCCTCAATTGTGGACTGATTGCGGACAACAAGTGGCTCGGAAAAATCAGGTCTTGCATTCCTTCGCTTTGTATAGAGCCTCAAAAGATCTAAACGGTACCATATTTCCTCAACTACATCCTCAATTGAAAGTTCCATCTCACAAGACATCACTGTGGTATTTGGCTCGCGCGCAATTCTGTCCACTTCCTCCAGCGAAACGGCATCAATCTTATTGTAGACGTAAAGACAAGGTGTATAAACCACATGCTTCTCATTAATCACATCAATCAAATCATCTACAGTGACATCCTTATCCTTCAATGTAACGTCCGCATTGTGTATTCTATATTCCTTCAGTATAGAGGAGACAAGCTTTTCATCTAAGTGAGATGGTGGGTTTAACGAGATTAGTTTTATACCGCCCGACTGTTTGTACTTTATTGTAATCTCAGGCTTACTTTTGTTCAACCTGATCCCAATGGCTTCAAGTTCCCTTTCAAGATTCTCGCGTTGATCAGGGCCTTTCGTTGCATCAAGGACCATCAGAATTAAATCTGCAGTCTTCGCGGTTGAAACTACTTGCCTTCCTCTACCTTTTCCCTCACTCGCTCCTTTGATTATTCCAGGCAAGTCCACAATTTGAATCTCAGCTCCTTCATAATGTAAAACACCAGGAACAGAAGTCAACGTGGTGAATTCGTATGCTGCGGCTGCTGACTGGGTTTTTGTAACTTTTGATAAGAAAGATGATTTCCCCACGGATGGATAACCAATCAAACAGACTCGGGCATCTCCACTTTTGCTTACCTCGAATCCTTGGCCTTTACTGCCCTGGCTGGAAGAACTGTCTGGATCCAAAAGCATTCTTCTGTATTTTGCTAATTTTCCTTTTAAGAGCCCCAGATGATACTCAGTTGCTTTATTTTTTTGAGTTCTCGACATTTCATCTTGGATTTCCTTAATCTTCTCGGATATAGTCACCATTTTGTGTGGTTGAAAGTCTCCGACGTACTGAGTATTACTAGTAGGCTTGCTTAAAAATTGTGCGTAAAAAAAAATAAAAATTACCTCTCTAAATGCCACTTTTCATCTATAATTACTTACAACCGGAAGCCCTCTTTTGAAGCCACCTCTTGTTGATATTGTCCGGTGTCTCAAGACATTCCCTCTGTTCAATTCGTGTATAAGAATGCTTCCTTGACGCGCTACAGTTACTTGAACCATGATTTTGCCTTTCTTCACTAGGTTCGATGACATGTTTCATCGTGGTAACGATAGCGTATTTTGCTTTCAGATCTCTCCACATCTGGTCAAACTTCGCAAATTGTATTCTGTCTGAAGTAAGAGACTTTGACCATACGACATTGCTGTCAAACTCGCAATCATACAAAACCAAAGGAAGAGGACTGGCAATTGTGTAATTAGGACGGCTTGGAAAGAGTTTAACGTCAAGAAGCTTTCTTACTATTTCAGGTTCTTCTAGTTCTTGGCCCACCAAAATCAGAATAGACATCATGGATCTCACCTGATGCCAAAGAAATGCTGATCCCTTGAGATTGAAAACGTAAGTGTTCGGTCCCAAATCGGTTCTTTCTATCGACGAGGATATAATTTTCCGTCTGTAGTTAACAATCTGTTTGGATCCGTCTACCTTGCAGAAGTTACGGAAATCGTGTTCACCAACGAAATAAGATGCAGCCTTTTGCATCATCTCAATATTCAGATTCGCTTGCTCAAAGAAATATTTGTAATGTCTGGAGAGACAGGAAAATCGAGCATCAAACCCTTCTGGTGGTCTTAAACAAATCGAATGGATTCTTATGTCTTCGGGGAGAACCTTGTTCAGAATTTTCACATAGTCAAGCTCTTTTACGTCGTTGAGGGGATCTGTCATCTCGTCTTCGGTCAAATTCGACCTAATAGTTAAAGAAATCACCTGATTCATTGCGCTCACACCTTTGTCAGTCCTACCACATCTGCTAAAATCACATTCAGTCGGGTCCAAGTTGGAGATCAGCTTTGTTTTCTCTAAAGCTTTCAATATAAACAGTTCTACCGTTGGGACATTGGATGTATCATTTTGATAAGCGAGTCCATGATAATTCCAACCAAGATACGAAAATTTGAGGGCTATTCTTCGCCGATTATACTTAGAAAAGTCGAAATCCCTCCGCGGCTTTTTAGCGTTTTTCGAAACTTGATCACAACTTGGAATTCGATGAATAGATTTATTTTGGTTAGCCCCTGACTCATATTCTTGTAATCGTTTAATCAATGCATCCTTGGTCCACTCACTGTAATCCTGCATCTCAGACATCCGAAATGCTACACAAGTATGAAAGCGGTCTTGTTGGGAAAATATTAGTTTTGATATTTGGCGATATTTGCTGAAAGAGCTGAATCTATTCATGTGACGAAGAGCTCAAAAAGAAAACTAGTGACTTTTTCCGCCTGAATCTACTACTTTAGATCCTTTGCATATGAAGACCCTCCTAAATTTTGACGATGTCACCTTTTCCTTTTTCACTCTTACTGAGATGAGAGACCTTCCAGGGAAAAAAAACATAAAAATAAACGCAAAAAAATTATATAAAAAAAAAGATGAAATCTCACTCCCTTCTAGAATAGTTTTCTTTTAATTGGTTTCCTCCATGGCAGCAGAAAATAGACTGAGCTGGGACTCCTTGTCTTACAAATTACTTCCTTGGCTTCGGGAGGCTTTGATCTCGAGAGGATACCAAAGTATGACTCCTGTTCAGGCCTCAGTAATCCCTTTGTTTTCGGGAAACAAAGATGTTGTGGTACAAGCTGTGACGGGCTCCGGTAAAACATTGGCATTTGTTATCCCAGTACTGGAGATTCTATGTCGTTACCTACGTGAAGAATCAGCATTCAAGAGAGGTCATTTTGGATCCTTAATCATATGTCCAACTAAAGAGCTGGCATTTCAGATCGAAGCGGTCATTAATAATCTTGTTGAATTTTCCCCTGACGAAAACTGTAAACTAAAAGCTCAATCTGTGCTTGGGGGTGTGGGATCTGTATCTACGGATGTACAAAATTTCTTGAAAACCCGGGCACAAATTATCATCGCGACTCCAGGGAGGGTATTGGAATTTTTACAACAGTCTATGGTGAAATCATCTAGTTGTCAAGTATTGGTTTTGGATGAGGCTGATCGATTAATTGATCACGATTTCAATGCAGAAATGTCTTCAATTGCCAAAATTCTGCCTCGACAGAAAAGAGTTGGATTGTTTTCTGCAACAATGTCTGCAGCTATTGATGATGTGTTTAAGCTTGGAATGTCCAACCCTGTTCGTATCACTGTGAAATCTGATCACTTAAGCCAAAAGCTTGTGCCCTCGAAGCTGAAATTATTCTATAGTATCGTACCAGCCGATGAGAAAATAGGGTTTCTTTTCCATGTGCTGGAATCTTACCAATTCAAGAGGGCTATCGTTTATTTTCCCACATGTGTCTGTGTTTCTTACTTTTACATGCTGCTGAATCATCTCTTGTCCTGTTTGAGCAGTTACAAAGGTATAAAATTACACTCCTTACATGGAAAGCTGCAGTTGGAAACTAGGATAAAAACGCTGTCTCATTTTTCGGGGCTTTCAGATTGTAAGAACGTTCTGCTCAGTACAGATGTCGCGGCTCGAGGCTTAGATATACCTGATGTCGATTTAGTTATACAACTGGATCCTCCCACAGACCCTGACGTGTTTGTTCACAGATGTGGTCGGGCGGGACGCGCCGGGAAACCTGGTACCGCTATGGTATTCTTGACTCCAGGTCTTGAAGAAAATTATGTCGATTTCATGAGTTTGAGGAACATAGAATTACAAGATCTAGGCCAAAACAATTACAGCCCTCAAACTTATGAATTTATCCATACGGAATCACGTGCCTGGTTACTCGCAGATAGAGCTAGACATGACAAAGCGACGAAAGCGTTTGTAACTTACATTCGACATTACTCGAAACATTCTGCTTCGTCTATATTCAGACTTTCTGCTTTGGACTATTGGAAGCTCGCGAAAGGGTTTTCTCTCCTCAGATTTCCCAAGATGCCAGAGAATAGGTTTATCCATGATTTTCCTGACGGGGGATTCATTGATAAATGTGTGGATTCTGAGCGGTATTTGAACCTGAAAACTTTGAAGGAAAACGAAAAATTACACCAGGTTTGTCCGTCTTCGAAAGTATTAGATAGAAAAGCACAAAAGGAACAAAATTCACCTTGGAGCAAGAAATCAAAGTCCAATTTTAAGGAAAGGCAGTCGTCATCAAGCAAGGAACCAAAGAAAAAGGAACGGCTACTACTACCAGAAGATGAAATTCAGGAAACGCACGATGACTGGAAGGATCTCGTGAGATCCAATAAGAGACGAAAGGCCAGCGAAATTACCGGGTTTTTTAATGACTTATGATAAAAGGTTGTTTATGAATAAATAAGCTGATACTAAGTGTTTATAATATCCCTTAAATCTGAAGGGACATCGTATTTGAGAGCTTCTTTCCAAAATTTAGACAAATGCCTGATACCTGAATCGCAGGCAATAAAAACGATGGTATCCCCTTTTTTTGCTTTCTTAAAGGCTATTCTAGCGGACGCTACTGCATTTACGCAAGAACTCGATCCCAAAAAGAGACCTTCATTCTCCATGAGATAGCGAGCCATTAAAAGCGCCTCTTTGTCGATGACCTTTTCTGCCGCGTCAATATAAATTTCGCCCTGTGAGAAGTTCTTAGTGATTCTGTTTAGTCCAATACCTTCCACTAAAGTGTCAACTTGATGCCTTCTTCTGGTTCCTTCTTTCTCTACAGTGTCATACATGATACCATATTCAACTCTGTTGAAGAGGCCGGATCCTTGGGGATCTGCTAAGATTGTCTTAATTGAGTTATTCTTTTGTTTGAAGAACATCGAGCACCCTGCAATTGTGCCACCCGTTCCTGCACCCGAAACGAAAAAGTTCAACTTTCCTTCAGTTTGCTCCCATATCTCTTTTGCGGTCGTTTCATAATGAACCCTCCAGTTGCACTCATTCTCGAATTGATCTGCAAATACAGCGTTAATATTGGAACTGGAGTCATTAGTGACTGCATCAGCTGCATTTTTTGCTGCATTTACGTATTGATTTGGATCGACGATGGATGCTGGTTTCACTTTTTCAATTACTGCTCCATACATTTGTAGGAGATTCACCTTCTCATCTGAAGTGTCATCAGGCAAGCATATATGCGCTGTGTAGCCCATAGATTTACAAAGCATAGCTATTGAAATGCCCGTAGACCCTGAAGTCCCTTCAAAAATGACGTCGCCCTTGTTGGGTCTAATCAGATTTCGCTCTTCAAAATCTTTAATAATGGCTAAAGCAACTCTATCTTTGGATGATCCTCCTGGATTGCATAATTCCATTTTTGCATATACCTCACAGCCTGTAGCCTCTGAAAGTGAGCGTATTTTGAGAAGAGGTGTATCGCCTATCAAGTCTGCCAAACATTCTGCTTTTTCTCTCTTTCCTTTGAACCTTTTGAGACTGCGCAGCCATGAAGAGAAGGCTATAACTAGGGATATAATCAATGCTGCGTGAATCCCTCTATAAATTTGAGACATTTTAATCCAGCTACTCTTGAATTTTGTACTCGTGAGGATTTTATTGACTCTTAAATTTAGTTCGATAAATTATTGTTGGTAGAAGATGCCTTCTTTGAAAGAATTCGATTTTTTAGAGTCCTTTAAAAGATGTTTGCTGCTTGTTCACATCAAGATATATGAGCTCTACAACAGCTTTGATCTAACAAAACAGTTGCTGGCTTCGAATTGGTCCAAATGTATAACACTAATATTTACTTATTTGTTCATCGCAATCATTACTCATCAAATACTCATGCTAATTGGATACCATCTGGGACTAATATCAAAACATATGGATGTATTCGCCGAAACTCCCACCCATTGCTCACATGTATATGTGTCAGTCAATTTTATCCAAAGTAATGATATTTTGAAAAGGGAGCTGCTCAGTCGGCCTATAGTATACTATATCGAATTCGGCCCTGATGATTATGAAGACGCGGATCTAGGAACGACGCTTGGGTTTCTACGCGGGAAAGTGGCGGCACTTTTGCGAGAGAACGAGTTTTTGGCTAAGCATAATCAAAAGCTGAACTATCTTCAGGGTGATAGATTGGATCTCTTTAAGAAAAAGCGCTTATTGACTCAAGATAGAGAATTCCTCTGTAATATGGATGTTAACACAGGCGATACGTTAACCTGTATCGCTCAAATCTAGCAATTATTAATTTGGTTGTGAATCCTTAACAATTCAGAACTCCAACTCTTCCCTCTTTGGCATTGTCGACAATCTCAAGTATGGAGAAAGCTCGCCAGACATATCTATATCATTTGGAGCTTCATTTATTTGATTTTCTCCAGTAAGAGTTGCCTTGGAATAACCTGTTTCATTGTTTGTTCTGCTTCCTCCATGCGCAGGTCTCAACCAGTTATAGTTTCCTGCGTAGATTTCAAATAGTCCTAATCCAAAATTTCTTATCACTTGTAACAATAACACCATCAAACAAAGCAAAATTGCGGTAGTTATAACTCCAAAAGCAACAACTGATTGCCTTCCAGGTATGCCTTGGCTTGCTGAATGATATCGAAGATACAATCTCACAATTTTGAATATTATAAATCCCAACCCAACGGTACAGCACAATGAAAAAAACGCGGAGGTTATCTTCTTTTCCCTTGACGTGGAGTAATCAGCGCCAAAAATAACAAACACTGAAAGGACTAGAGCAGCCAGTGTCAAACGGAATTCTGCATCTGATTTGTTCGGTGCTATAATCACGGCTTGAAGAAAGTATCCCGGTGCAAAAAATAAAGCCAACAACAAGGCATCCCGGTGTAAATTGAACACTGTATTGGCATAGATCATTTTGCGACTGTTGCCAATCGCTTCTCCCGTAAATTTTTGAAACTTGTCTTTCAATTTTAACCCAATAGCTAATTGAATTACACATACCGAGCAGGCGAGGATGATCACCGCAATTGATAGGTTTTTGATGTGAACTTTTGCAGCAGCCGTCCCAGACCCAAAGGCATCAAATGTTGATGTAAACAGTTGACTATATGTTGCAAAACTAGTGATTGTCGTATTGATCTCGTTATACTGAATGCCTGCATAAATTGCCATTGCCGCTAGAAATAAAATGGAAGATGCCAAGTGGTATACGTTCCTAGTATAGAGAATAATGAAGGTGGTCAAAATCTGATAAAGTTCTGCATAGATATAAAGTGCTAAGTATGCACCCATAGCATATCTCTTTTGTTTGAGATAGGATCTATAATACCCGTAAATGGCTAAGATTGGGTTGAAGTCGTCATTATTTGACTCTATCAGCCTGAAACTGCTGAAAAACAATGCACATATAGTGCACTCAAGTGCAAGAATTACAATGGCAGATATGGAAGAAGCAAAGAGAAACAGCTTTATCCATGCATTATCGTTGTCTACCACGTTTTCACGGAATTTTCTCCAAAATGTCTTTTCCAATTCTTTCTCTATATTGTGTTCTTTTGGGCCATCAAATGCCATATTCTTCTCTGGAGCTTGCAAGCCTGTAAAGGAATAATTGTCCACGGATTCTCGTGCATTAAGAGACCCCATATTCGATGCCGGACGTGACCTTGAGCCTGATCGCGAAGTCGAAGTAGAGCTTCGGCCCGAGCCCAAAAAGGATCTGCTTCCTGATCTGTTTGACCTTGTTTGACTAGCACTTCGGATACTTCTCAAAGTGTTCATTTAATTAATGAGCCAAGAGAAGGGAATGAAAAGATCGGTGATGGATTTAGAGCTTTAAATATTTTGATTATAGACCAAAAGTTACGCTATGGGTTGAAGCAACCAGGGCAAGGGATAATTTTAGTTCGTGAGTCCATTTGTGATACCAGACAATGATATTGCCAGATAGTCACGTTATTGTTTCAGTCGAAGTCAAGGAAAGTTTAGCGCTTTTTGCGACTCAATCGAGCCTTTGTAATTTTCGAAGAGTCATCACTTTTACGTTCTGATTTCTGATGTTGATATCGTAGAGATCGTGTTTTACTTATAAGATTAATCGGGTCATTTTCCAGCAATGTGTTGTCAATACCGTTTGCAGGTTCCTTGATTGAAAAATCTGATGAGTTATGTCGAACATAAGTTTGTTCTTCTATGTTTGTTTGTTTGCTTCGTTGGATTGGAAGTTTGCTAAGATGATCATTCTTTTTGCAACTATTTTCACCGCTTGACTGATGTTCAACAGGATTTTTGTACATCCAATCAATCCGTAACGATTTAGGTTGATTGAATTTCACGGGCATTTCGTTATTGGCATCTTTGTGAACGGTATCTTCTCTTCTCTTCAAAAGCAGCTCGCGCTCTTTTTCCCATACCTTGGTTCTATTCTTCAACAGCCTCGGATTCCAAGACTTTTTGAGGTTAAGGTCGGAAACCATTGGTAAGAATTTTGTTTGTCTAAATGAGAAAGTGAAAAAAAAAAATGGCGATCCTTCAAATCAGACAGCTTGCTTGTTGAACATCTATCTTTACAAAGAATTGTTTGTCAAATGGAGAAGAACAGACTTTTAACAAGAAAAGCTACCAGGTAGTAAAAAGAAGGCGGAAAAATTTGACATCCATATGTTTGAGCGAATATGTAGAAATTAGATTATCAAGAATATAAAGCGGACTCCACTCTAGAATCCATGTATTTTTATGTTTTTCTTTTGAAGACCAAGTTGCTGGATCAAAAATTCCATTACTTTCAATCTCTGATCTCCCTGTAACTGAATCACCTCCCCTAAATCGTCATCTTTGACAATGTTCCCGTTACAGGCAAAATCTTTCTTTAACACTTTCAGAATCCTCTTCAAGTCGTACTCTTCCGGAACCCCTTGAACAGTTGTTAATGTTTTTCTTCCGTTCCTCTGCTGAATGCGAATATGGATGTAATTTGTAGGTTGAGTTTCAGCGTCTCCAGTATCAGCAAAAGGATCTGTCTGTTAGCCAATCAGTAAAATGTAAAGCCTTCAAGATTCAAAGGTGGAAGGACACCAGGTACAAATCACTTACCAAATGATTTGAGGTTTTCAATGGAGCTCATTAATTAGTTTGCACTGTAAGGTGTTAATAAAGTTTATGTACTCAAAAAATTTTCCGGTTTCTGGAATTCTCAATCAGTCTTACGGTTTATCAGATAACATATTTTGTTATGTAAGCCACACTACATACCACTTCAATGCTTTTTAGCAAGCATTTTTGTGTTTTCGCGTACACTAGAATATTTAGCTACAAAAATTTGACATAGACGCTGGCTTTCGGAGCCTACTGTTCTTGGACAATGCTTGTTAGCGCTTTAAACGATGATCCGCGACTCAAGCGAGTAATGACCTAATGAATCTTGCCGGTAAATACTTATCCTTAGGTAAATGCAGCAGCTTAACGTACAAAAATGATCGCCTCTTTTTTTTTGCTTTTGAACACCTAATAATAACTAATCACCAATAAAATAAAATAAAATAAAATTAAGCTCTCCTATTTATATCACCGTTAAAAAGCGAATACAAACTATGCTCAGTTTCGGGGGTCATTCCAATTTGGACATTCAAACAAGCTTGAAAAAGGCATGCACTGCCGACTCGGCTGCTCCGAAAAGAAAACATGTTAGAGCCTGCATCGTGTATACTTGGGATCATAAGTCGTCTCGGGAGTTTTGGCATTGTCTTAAGTTATTACCAATTCAGTCAAACGATACTCAAATTTTCAAGACACTGATAGTCATTCACAAGGTCCTGCAAGAAGGTCACCCTACTTGCCTGATAGGAGGGTACAAAAACATCAATTGGCTTGAAAGTCTCGGGCGATTCTCCAACAATGATACGACTGCGGGTCACACAAAATTAATCAGGGAATACGTTTTCTACCTAGAGCAGAAGCTGAGATTTCATCACGATCATCGAGGTTTCAACGGAATGTTTGAGTATGAAGAGTATGTCTCATTGAGAACTGTTAGTGACCCCAATGAAGGGTTTGAGTCCATTATGGATCTACTATCTTTGCAAGATTCTTTGGATAACTTGCAGAGGGTCATATTTTCTTTTATACGCCATACTTCGGATATATCAGAGTACGTTATCAGTTCATTGGTTCCGATCATCGCAGAATCATACGGAATTTACAAGTTTTTGATTTCAATGTTAAGAGCTCTATACAGGTCTTCAGAATCGGATGAAGTGATAGCTCCTTTGAAAGATCGATTTGATGCTCAACACCACCGTTTATTTGAATTTTATGCTGATTGCTCTTCCATCAAGTATCTCACAACTCTTATTACAATTCCAAGATTACCGCCAAGCCCCCCAAGACTTCAAGACGAAGATGATTCTCATGAGGTCCCCTCAGCCAAAGAAATTGCCTCAACTAACAACTCCGAAGAATCCAATGCACCGCGTTCTAGTATCATTCAGTCTCAGCCGACAGGAGCAATGGTTGACTCCTTTGTGAGACAGCAACAAGAATTGGAAGAACAGCAAAGACAGGCTGAAGAGAGGAGGCAGGCGGAACTTCTTGAGCAACAGATGCTCCAGAGGGACCAAGCGCGTTTCTGGGAGGAACAGCAAAGGCAACAAGCAGTGTCTCAAGAGCTCGCTCAGAGTCAGTTATTGGCTGACCAAATGCAACGGCAAGCTCAAGGGAAGCTGGCTGAGTTGGAACAAGATTTGTTGACGCTAGGGGGCCAGCATGAGAGAGACCAATTGATGCTGGAGCAATACGATCAGAGAGTAAAAGTTCTGGAAAACGAGTTGAGGATCATGACCCAAACAGCCGAAGAACAGTTAGCAGTTAAGAACTCGCAGTGCTCTCATTTGGAGGAACAGGTTCAGTACTGGAAAAATAAATATGAATCACTGGCCAAATTGTATTCCCAACTCAGACAAGAGCATTTGAATCTTTTGGGAAAGTTTAAGATCGTGCAACAAAAGGCTGCATCAGCTCAAGAAGCTATAGAAAAACGAGAGAAATTGGAGAAAGATTTGAAAGCGAAAAACATCGAATTGGCAGACTTGATTAAGGAAAGAGATCGTGCAAGACTTGATCTGGCTAGGACAAAAGGATATGATTCCGAGCAAGTTCAACTGCTCAAGACACAGCTGAGGGAGATGGAGTCGAAACTAAAGTCAGTCGAAGAAACACATTCCCGGAA